TCGGGGTCTGTTTCCGATTCTTAGCTGGGGAAGGAATTACAAGGCATCAAAGTTTAAAAACGATGTGATGGCCGGCTTAACACTGGCTAGCCTTAGTGTTCCTCAGGTAAGTCTCCTAGCTTAACTTATACTTAGAAAAACATTATAATTGTCATTCTAATAGGATATTCTTCTTCCCTCTTTGTGTCTTTTTATGAATTCTGGCAGAGTATTGGATATGCTAATCTTGCAAAACTTGATCCTCAATATGGCCTGTGTAAGTTGTTTAGTTTGGTTTCTTTATCTGCAGATTTATGTTCATTCTCAGGTATTAATTTTTCTTGTTGTTTGTTTATTTCATTTAGACACAAGCATTGTGCCACCTCTGGTTTATTCTCTAATGGGGAGTTCAAGAGAGCTAGCTATTGGGCCAGTGGCTGTGGTTTCCATGCTGCTGGCCTCCTTGGTTCAGAAAATAGAAGATCCTGTGGCCAATCCTGTTGCTTACAGAAAGCTTATCTTCACTGTGACCTTCTTTGCTGGAATTTTCCAAGCTGCTTTTGGAATCTTTAGGTATGCTTCTTACAGAAAACTTGTTTTCCTTGTGACCTTCTTTGATGGAACCTTTCAATATGTATTTGGATTGTTTAGCTAGTTCTTTTCTGGAACCTTGTTCATCCTAACAAATAGACCAATTTTTTTTATGGTACTTAACAGGTTGGGCTTTCTTGTGGATTTTCTTTCACATGCTGCCATTGTAGGATTCATGGCTGGTGCAGCCATTGTCATTGGTCTCCAACAACTGAAGGGTCTACTTGGGATCAATCACTTCACCACCAACACTGATGTGGTCTCCGTCTTGGAGTCTGTTTTCAATTCAATTGTTCATGAACCAGTAAGTTTTCTACAAGATCCATATCCTAGAAAAAAGATTTAGGTACTTCACATGGGTTGTCTCACAAGGAAAGACACTTCCAGCAGTGAGAAAATACTAATTAAGTGTTCATAATTCAGTGTTTTTTGTTTTACTCTTGAAGAAAATCGAAAACCATTTCATGATTTCATATGAAAAATGGCCAAAATATCTAGGTTCTTGTTTTCTCAACCTGTTTATGTGCTCTTGTCAATTCACACAAAGTTGACAGATCTCTCTCTCCTTTGTCATGGCAGTGGTACCCTCTGAATATTGTCTTGGGTTGTGCATTCCTGATATTCCTGCTACTTACCAGATTTATTGTAAGTATTGACAAATTTCTAGTCTCTCAATCTGCCCTTTAGCCAATCTTTTCTGTTTTAGTCATTTAGCCCTCAAAGAACTTTCTTATCTGCAGGGCAAGAGAAACAAAAAGCTCTTCTGGTTGCCAGCTATAGCCCCCCTTATATCAGTTCTATTATCTACTTTGATAGTGTTTTTGACAAAAGCTGATAAGCATGGAGTGAAAATAGTAAAACACATCAAAGGGGGTCTAAATCCAAGTTCAGCTCATCAGTTACAACTAGGTGGCCCACATGTTGGACAAGCAGCCAAAGCAGGACTTATTTCTGCTGTTATTGCTCTTGCTGTGAGTTATCCTTTACTTTCACTATACATTTCTTCTTGATCAAGTTGTGGATTTTAATGATAATTTGAAGTTTCGATTTAATCAGGAGGCCATTGCTGTCGGTCGATCTTTCGCTTCCATCAAAGGGTACCATCTTGATGGGAACAAGGAAATGATAGCCATGGGATGCATGAACATTGCTGGATCTTTAACTTCTTGCTATGTGTCAACTGGTGAGTTATATTACTCCTACTTGTCAAAGGTGCAGTTCGAAAATCGGCATTAATTAGTAAAAAGCAATTGATTGGCTGTGGCTTCTGCAGGTTCATTTTCAAGAACAGCTGTAAATTTTAGTGCAGGGTGTGAAACTGTGGTATCAAATATAGTTATGGCCCTCACTGTAATTTTATCAGTGGAATTGCTTACTAGGCTCTTGTACTTCACTCCCATTGCCATCCTTGCTTCAATCATCCTATCAGCTCTTCCTGGACTTGTTGATATAACTGGAGCTTACCACATTTGGAAGGTTGACAAATTAGACTTCCTTGCTTGCATTGGTGCATTCTTTGGGGTCTTGTTTGCATCAGCAGAGATTGGTCTTCTTGTTGCGGTAACTTTTCACTCTTGTCACTTTAAAGTCCATCAATATGCATTAAATTCTATCTAGGATGGGAAGCTAACTAAAATTAACCAGACAAATTTTTATCTAACTTTTAATGGTAAAATGTATAGATAGAATACTGAGAGGTAATTTTCTGATATGTGAAGCTGAATTTAAACAAGAGGTAGGCTCCATCCATGATTGAGAGTGACAATGTAGTGGTGAGGATCTTGGTAGACTAGTGGATGCTTATCTTTAGTGTGAATTGGGCCTACCAGATGACCCAGGTAGAAGGATCAGGTCAATTCTTTTGGATATTTTTCACTTTTTTTTAATATAAAATATAGAATATATTGAGACTTACTGTTGATGAAAATCTAGCATGTAGCAATGTGGGGAATGAGATCATATTGCTCACTTTGCGAAATTTTATAGTAAGGTTGTCATATATGGACTCCTCATGTGTAGTCATATGATCATTTCATTAAACTAAAGTGAAGTTACTATTTAGATGAATCATGCGGCTAATATGAAAGTCCACATCTATGATCTATATATGACACTCTCACCATAAAAGACTTTGCTCACTATAATTCATGCAACATGAGATCTCATGAGCATCTTGTAAAGGCCCATATATGAATCCCATTGAGATTTGAATGATTTCAACATCCAATTGCAAGGAATCAAATCACCCTCAATTGACAAATCTAAAGTTTCCCATATGAGATTGTTATGCATGTGGGGCCATGTAGGACCCATTTTAGGGTGCATGTAGACTCTTACATAGTACCATTTCTCTTGTTACCCACTATATTTATCACTTGGCCATTAATAGCAGTAGTATATTGTTTGATGCTTCATTTTGTTATATGTACTGAGCCCACTATAGATGATGGAGGTTTTTTTCCTTCATGGATTGATTCTGGTGGAACCTATCAAAATGTCAATTATTATTGAATAGCTTGCAAGTATCAAGCCAAATTATTCACTAGGAATAAGATTATTGTGAGTTTTTGATGGACTGCAGGTCAGCATCTCCTTTGCAAAGATATTGGTGAATTCACTTAGACCTGGCATAGAAGTTCTAGGGAGACTTCCAAGAACAGACATCTTTTGTAACATCAATCAGTACCCTATGGCCACAAAAACTCCAAGCATCTTGATAATTGGCATCAACTCTTCTCTGCTTTGTTTTGCTAATGCTAACTCTGTGAGAGAAAGGTATGAGTTTAATCAATTAGATTGCCATGATCAAGGGCTCTTGAGGTGACATAATTAATTTCAACTTGCAAATAATTAATGCATTAGGGCTATGTTTATTTTAGGGTAATGACGTCGGTGATGAAAGAAGAGAATGAGACTGAAGATCAGAAAGAAAAGGGAAGAATTCAACATGTAATCCTTGACATGTCTAGTAAGTTCCTTCTATTTGTAGTTGTAAAGCTTGATAAAAATTTATTAATATGCGAAGCGGTTGTATATGTATTCTTTCTCTCATTTTTATCTATCGAGCAATGTTCATTTGATAAGATGATTGTGAAAGAATGACGTATATATTCCACCTCTCAATGAGGTATAAGTTTAAAATTTTGGCTGACTAATGTCAAATTTCTCTTATGATAGATGTGATAAATGTCGACACTTCGGGAATTCTTGCACTAGAAGAAATACACAAGAAGTTGTTTTCGTATGGCATAGAAGTAAGGCATCAGTTCAAATTATTATTATTATTATTATTTTGAAGTGTCTGATATATATGTAAACTTGTTATGGATTTCAATGATTTTGTTTATGTTTGATTGCAGTTAGCTATGGCCAACCCAAGATGGCAAGTGATTCACAGGCTAAAGGTGGCCAAATTGTTAGATAGAATTGGAGGGGAGAGGGTTTTCCTCACTGTTGGTGAAGCTGTAGATGCATGCCTCAATTCCAAAGTGGCAGGTGGGAGCAGCTGTTGATGGTTTGAGTGGCCTTATTGGATATTAATTACATAAAAAACCATGACTAAACCCTAAAAATATGCATAGCCTTATGTGCTGTGACTGTAAAGTAGGGAATTAAGTAAAGAGATGTTTGAGTATTTTCTTGTTTTGGCCATATACATGGAGGTTGGTTTAGTCATTAATGTTACAAAAGTGGGAAGGAAAATTGCAATCAACTTGTAACTCGAGTAGAGAAGAGTAGTTACTTATGCACTTAAAAAATGCATTAGTACTTGGATTAATAATTCTTTTTACCCTTTAAAAAAGTAGAAAAACATGATTTTCTTCAAAATTTGAGGAGAGCAAAGACACCATACAATCAAAAGAATTAGAAAATTGGTGTAAAATAAAAATCAGAACTGACCAACCCAAATTGCAAATCTAAGTAAACCGAATTGGCCTAAACCTATCCTATTGGGTTGCTTTACGATTTAGTTAAATCATTACAGACATGATTGGTGCCGTTTATAATTTAGGCGCTACACTGAACCGTGTCCAAGCCTAAAGGCTTGTTGTATTGTAGCTCATCCAAGATTTGTATCTTTTATCAATGGAGTTCTAGCCTAGTGGAAAATGACATTGACTTACAGACTTATTACCTTAAATTCGGACCTTAATAGCACATTGGCAATGTGTGTGAGAAAATGCCCTCTTCTTCCTAACTTAGACAACAACAAAAAATTGTATCTTCTTATCCCTAACTATGGAGGCTTAGTTAGTCGAACGACACGTCGTTCTCATTAAGTTCGCTCCAACGACACCGAATCAGGAAATTCCCCGCGTCAAAGAGTAACAATAAACTACTTAACGCCGTTATTTTCCGTAGTCTCAGACTCTCAGACCCTCTGTTTGGAAGGAAGAAAAATCCGAGAAAACGAAAGAGAAAAAAAAACAATGGGAGCAGAAGCGGAAGAGGTAGAAAATAAGCAAGGCGAGAATCCGAGGTCCATGACGAAGGCCCAGTTCCTCGCCTGGAAACGCCAGAAGGTTTTTTTTTCTTTTTCTTTTTGCAAAATTTCTCTTGCGTTAGATTTTTAGGGGCTAGGGTTTGTTTTTCTCTCATTCTTTCCCTTTCTGGTGTTGAATTGTATCTACATTACATAATTTGGAATTGGAAGCTTCATGTGTGATTAAATACCACTACTTTTTGGGTACAAATACAATATAAGATATTGCTTAGAATATGCAAATAGAGGAAGTTTTCTTTCTTTTATGTGTAATTTGTTTGTGATGGATTTCAAGGTTTGTATTGATTGGTAATTGTAGATTTAAGGACTTCCTTGGTGTGTAGAGTTAGTGTGTTTCTGCTAGCAGCATTGCAAGGTATAAATTGTCACGGTCTTCCCGGCCTTGTAGTAGATTTTAGGTACTGATCACTTGTTATTCTTAAGAATCTAATGTTGTCTTCTATGGTTATAGGCTCTTACCTGTGCCTCTTTCAGACTTGCAATATCTATAAAGATTGTATTCTCATATGTATACATGTTTTTTTGTAGGATGATGATGCATCTGCCAGAAGAGCTGAAGCAGCAAGGAAACGTGCAGAGGACATAGCTTCAGGAACAGTGCAACTGAATGGCCGAGAGCTTTTCGTGCATGAACCTTGGGTTTTTGATAACACTCTTTATTGAGGTTAGTTTTGTCAAGAGATGGATCTTGTTTTCTTTTTGTTGAATAATTAGAATTAGTGGCCTACTTTTAGAATGTATTAATACTATGTAATCTTGATTTCTGTTCTTGGGTGTTTTAAAATGAAAGTAGAGTGAGTAGACAGAACCAAGTTGAGATAATATCAAGGATCTATCCTTTGTCCTGATGCATCTTCTTTTCCTGGGTCTTGTTTGTAAACATTGGATATATTTGTATATCTTTTATTTGTCTACCGCACAATAATATGGCAAAGTCCATACCAACTAACTTTTGTATCTATTTTTAATTAGAATATTGTGCAAAAAATCTATGTACAGAAGTACAATAGCAGGCTAAAGAGTTGAAAGCCAGCCACAATTAACCAAATTTACATCTTTGCAGCAGAAAACCTTGGAAAACCGAGAAATAAAATCATTTAATTCTTGAAAGTAGAATCAGGAATAATCAAGTCTGTAAATTGAATATGAGTATCCCTAACAACAAACCAGACTACAGATACTTAACAGCACTCCTGTATTGAAGAAAACATTTGTTCTTCTGGTTTACATAACTTCCATGCCATCTGTTATTTCTTTGTTTCTACAAATTGTAAATCAAACCTCCCCAGGCAAGCTTGATTCTTGAGGATTATATGGATGATTGTTTGTATGAACCGATTTAAACCTGTTATTCGTTTGTTTCGCAAGGATCTGTGGTCTCACGTCAATTCTATCACTCACCTACCATGTTCATCCTGGCTCCTGCACAGGTTAGCTGTACCTTAATGCAGCAGCTTACTGTGGATAAAAGCCACTTCCCCAAATGAAACACTGCTATACCGCACTTCCCTTCCAATCAATCAGGTGTTAAAAGCCAAGAGGCAATTGTTTATTGATCTTCCTATTTTCATAACAAGGAATGTTGTACCAATTATCAGTACTTCTTAATGGAATTTAACCTTTTGGCACCTCCTCTTCCTTACATATGAGGGGATGATGTGTTCTTATTCAAGGGTTTTTTTCTTTTCTTCCTCATTCACATATTTATTACATTTTTTTATTCCATGGTTGCCATGCTTCTCCATTAAATTCTCAAGTCATGATTGTTATTATAGATTTTAAAGTAACATGAGAACTGGAACTAGATAGAAAATTTAAAATAAAAATATAAAAACATTTTATAAAATTCATGTAGGAATATGCCCTTAAACAGTTATGATGGACTGTAATGTCAGAGTTACACTGTCTATTTATTAGTTGACCTTAATACAGTAGGATATTATAGCAAGTGTTAACCCTTGCCAGACAAGTTAAAGGTGACCAAAACCCATTCTCTTCATTGGAGGAATTGCTTGCTTGCTTGAAACATTCGAAGATGGGGGTCAATAGGCTGGCCGATTGCCTCAAACGCTGGATCATAAAGACTATTTTTCACTTCCCTGAAACCATAAAAACTGTAATAAGTTGGAAGTTACTAAGAACAAGAAGAACATCATTCAATAAAATTTCGTAGACCTTGCATTAGCAGGAGAGAAAAGGTTAGACAACATATCCATTTCTTTTTCTTGAGATTCAAAAGTACTCCTGTTGACTTCTGTTCTACTAGAAGCTGCTGAATTCCTCTGCATTTGATCCGATCAGTAAAAGATGTTTTCATCAGTGATAGTACAATGTCAGTTCTGAAACTCTTGCCCGCAGTTAAGCCTTTGCAAAACCATGGGAAGTAATGCAAGGTAATACTGAAAAGTTAATACCTTGGAGCGTTTGGCCATCGACGATGACTCTCCTAATAGAAGTTGTTTGCCACGTCGTTTGACAACGTAGTCTTCTTGTTCTGGTGTCCCCTGCTACAACAATTTCCTTTTTCTTTCAGAAAACACTTATTTACAGAAGTTACACAAGAAAAAAGAAACTACCTATTGACAGGATTTTTGTCTAATGTGCATAGCAAAAATGTGCGACTAAGAATTCTTAAGTGAATAGGAGAGAGACCCCTAATTTACAAATGTAGAGTTCTAGCTATACATACCACTTTGAACTTTCGAAAATCATCGAGTGAGGAGAGGAAGACTCTTACTTGTTCAGTTTGGGAGTTTCGGAATTGAACACTCCTCTGAGAACTGCTATCACTTGGAATAGTAGATTGATTCAGTATGTCATCAAGTTGGACAGGAGAAAACCTACAAAAAGAATTCAGTACGAGCATGAAGATGAAAGCACCAAGAAAACTAAACCCCTTTACATAGGTCCACCAGAAAACTAAACCCTTATAGATAACTAGCATCTCAACTTGATCTTAAACATTGCACGAAAGCAAGTTAGTTTCTAACTTTTTTTCTTTCAAAAGGAAGCAGTTCCTTTTTTCCTTGAAAGAATATATAATATAAGCAAATGAGGATCATTTAGGTACCTAAATGGCATAGGAGCTCTTGAGAGCCCAGAGCTGTGATTCTGAGGATCAGCTATGTTAGATAGCACAGAAGGCCTTGACCTTATATCAGCTACAACATCAGGTATCATCTGCACATGGTCAGGGTTTTTCTGTTGACCACCCATTCCCTGAGGCCTGAGGAAGAAGAAGAAGGAAGAACCTTATTGGAATTCAATAAGCACATACATAGTTGTATGTTCTATAATATCATGGAAATTAAATTATGAAATTGAATAATTGTGTACCCAGATGCGATGATAGGTCCACTAACTATGGAGTTGTGTAGCTGTGGATAAGCTACATTAGATGCCCTTGAATCTTGGTTAGGTTGTTCCTGATGATCTGATACTTGCCCCAGCCTAATTAAATTCCAATAACCCATAATCATAAACATAATATTTGTTGTGCTTGCCATTTTTCCAAATGCTTAAGAAAGTATTTCTCTTTCATATATAGAAGACTTCAAGTTTCTATTTGCTCACCCAGACTGCATTAAAGGATCAGGTTTTATAGAATTAGAATGGTGTGGTGGCACCGCCTGGGTGTGATTATCTTGTGTTTCAGGCAAAGACTGGACCCTACATTCAAAATTAAGATTGAACTATATTACAATACTCTGCTCAATGTTATACAACTGTGGTTATCTATATTCAATATCTGTTCCAGTGAAGCATTATCAATGCTGTAGGAGCAAATGAAATTGGTAGCATATATATACTACCTTGCAGCAAACGAAGACTCCAGGATCCAGGGAGTCAGCACATTCTGGCTCTTGGTATGCTTAGGAGGCCTAAACTCAGAAGATATACAATAAGTTCATAGTCTTTGATCAACTGTTAACTTCCATTATCAAACTAATATAAAAGATTAAGAAAGATGAAAGCTGGATCAGATACCAAAGAGGTGCAGAAAGCCCTGCAGGTCGCCTAGGGTGATGACATTGTTGTGAACCAAAAGTATTTGGTGGCTGCACTTGGTTCAGCTGTTGTGGCTGGTTCAGTAATTGCTGTGGTCCTTGGGGCCTGAATCAGATACATAAATATAGAGAAGTTAACAATGTGTTCATAAACAATGATTCTGTGTTCACCTTGCAAAATTTGAATTTTGTGTACCCTGTCTGTACAGCTCCATAGGGTATGCAGTTGGTCCATTGTTGGTTACACGCTCCATTAGCTGGCATAACTTGATTATTTTGGGTCCTAAATTCAATTATCACATTGAAATTAAGCATGTCAATGCATAAGCATAACTGCATACTCGCATACTTGCATACTAAATGTTATAAGAGCAGTCAACTAAGATGGTGATTATGGCAGGTCATGTACCAGAACCCTGATGGGGTCCAAGGCCTTGGAGGATCATTGAGTTGCTGGGGGTACAAAGTGGCTTGCTGCTGGTTGCTCTGGGATGGCCTTTGATCTGCAACTCCTAGCCCGGCCATCATCTGCTTACAGCAAACAAGTGTACAACAGTATTGTGGTCAAATTGCTTGGTGAAATATCATGAAACTGATATCTTTTATTATTATTTTACAACAGGCTTTGAAGGGTCAAAACAGAAAACTTACTGTGTTTATGCCATATTGACTGTGACCCAAAGTTAGAGACCTGTGCATCAAGTAATTATGTTTGAAATCAGAATGTATGCGGTAGCAAGCTTTTGCAAATGAAAAGTTTCCAAAAGAGTAGTATTTTGACTTACAGAGGCACTTGCTCCATTTGGGGATGTGACTGAATTGCTACATTTGGTTCTGGTTCTGGTTCTGGATGGTGAGGCTCCACCACACCATCACGGATAGTTACTCCCATATGCATCTGCTCATGATCAAGATGTCAAAGATAGTCGTGGATAATTGTTAGCCGTAGGTGCATATGGATCACATAGTGAATCTTTCATGCTTTGGTAACGGTTTGATTTCTCTTTGCTTAATTTACACAAGTATAAGGCTAAATTGTAGCAATGGTCCTTGAATTGTATCCCAAAATTCATTTTTGTGTCTGAATCTTAATAATAGTTGGTGTTGTTTTTAAAATTAGGTTTCGCATTGCACTATGGGTCCTAATTTGAGGACGGCCAACTGTTATTGAAAATGAGGGACGAAAATACAACTCGAGATACACTTCAAGAACCATTACTAGAATGTAGCCCAAACATGATAAAAACCATGTTAATTCTAAATTGGAGGACAGTAAAATGCTTGAGGTATACATACCGGTCTTGGACGATGTGGCTGTATTGGCATGGGCAAATTGATGTAAAACGGTATTGTTTCCCTGTCGTTTTGAGCAAACATAAGTGGAGGGTTAGAGTACTGATAGCTTGTAAACCCTACAGCCGGCATGAAAATTTGGGTGGAATTTGCTTGATTTAGACTGAACCAGTTATTTCCAGCTGATGATCCGGGCTCGAGATAATCCTATGTAAGAAGGCAACAAGAATAATCATCAACATCAACTAAACAAAACCTGAAAACATAACAAAAACAATTTTTAGTCTTAGATTGCACAAAAGTGAACCTTATGTGCAATAACATAAACTCAAAGTGAGGTCCGAAAAATGTTCTTTTATCATATAGTCTAACATGTAATGTTGTTAGACTTGTAGTTAAAGTCAGTACGTTCAAATAAAAATTGACGTAATTAATGATTTAAACTGATAATCTGACCATGCATATCAGATTATAATATCTATATCAAATTACGTTTTAGTGTCTTACCATTCTTGGAGGATGCGGTTGTGATGCTCCTTCAAGTTCAGGATTAAAGGCTGTTTCAGGTGACGGAACGTTAGAAACTGAAGGGCCTGTCTTTTCCGGATTTGGTTGAGACTCATTACTTTGCAATGCGGGACTGAGTTCTTCAATCTGATCAACATCAATACAAAAAATATGACTAATACTCCCTTTGAAAAGTGACAAGCAATAACACAAACAAAAAAAATACAAAATGAAAGTTAAACGAGGCCAGCTGCATACTGTTATGTGACGGTGGCTTTGCGGCGTCTCAACTAATAATGGAGTTGAAGATGAAGCCCCCATTGATGCCAAGTTTGCAGGTTGTTCATGGAGAGGATCTGATAGTCCGCTAAAAGGAGTGAAGGCTGACACTGTTACGCTCTCCCTCGACCTGGCCCAATTCAAAGGCTGAGAGCTTCCACTACTTGATGATCCTAGATCAACATGTTCCTGCTACAAACATCACATATTATGTCGTAAAATAATTAAGCATTAGACGTACGAGAAAAATAAAACTATTTGAATCACATTTACTGATCATTGTTAGCAATATTTTTTTCGTAAAAATGAGATCCATCTAAGTGGCATTATTATCACTTACAAAATATGTCATATTTTTGTTGAAAAAATGTTAATTAAATTGAAAATGGTATAGTGTATAAGTTCACCGCAGCCTTATTCTTCTGGTTTGAAGGCATTTGCATGTTGTGATTGGTGACAAAGTGATCATCATCATCATCGTCGTCGCCAAAAGTGAAGTTAAACTGATCAAAAGGAGCTCCTCCTTCGCCAGCCGACGACTCATTCTCCATCTGAATCTTTCTGATCACAATTTATATATGCTACAAATTAATCAATTTCATAATTTATATTTTTAGAAATACAAGACTTGTTAAAGACAAGTCATCAAATTATAAATTTCGTGGCATTTATGGGACTAAATAAATTTTCTATAAAAAAAATTATAAAAAATGATTTAAATATATATATATAACCTATTTAAATACAAAAACAATTAATGAAAGGTCTGTCAATTTTGACTCTGCTCACTCCACAGACCAAAATAAAAAATAAAAATTTTCTTAAAAAATTTAAACCTTTTTAAAAATAAATTTAAACTTGAGATGAGTCCTAATATGGAACCCATTAAAAACATCTGACACACTTTTAATAGAGGAATAACTTGACTTTGCTCAAAGGGAAGCAAATTTAAGGTCAGTGGATACATGCAACAGCAGGGGCCGAAGGGCCAGATTTTCTTTCTAAAAACCCCCCATTTGATAAAACCAAAGAAAACATGAGTTTCCAGCAAAAAAAAATAAAAGAAAAGAAAACATGAGTCCGATAACTTAGCAAAATCTTTGGGCATGTCAAAAACTTGGCACAGCTATAATCAAATCACATAACTTTGAGCCAAAACTCATGCAAAATGAAAGTGCAACTCAAAGAACAAGAAGGACTAGAAATTAAATTGGTGCAACCAGGATTGTGAAAAGTTCATGCAAGAGTGACCAAAACTTGAAAAGTTCTTGTTTGGCTTTCTTGGTTTTAGCTTTAATCTTCTATATAATTTTTTTTTTCTTGTGAGTACAGAGAAATGATAAAATATTAAATTTAGAGTGACTGTTTGGACATAAACGTTATATAAAAGAGAGATCCGAGACCCAAAAAAATGTGTAGATTAAATCAAACTTGCATAAGCCAAACCAAATCAAAGGGTACTCTTTTTCATATATAAATTCCAAATTAAGTTATTTTCTTTGATTTTCTAGGAGATTCTTGTGAATTACCTGTGAATATGCCTCCTCACACGCCACAGATTGCTAATAAGCAAGATAAATAAAAACCCTGTTACTCCTGTACATGATGAAAATGGACACAACAAAGTAGAAAGGGATTACAAAATGTTCTTTTCTGTGTAATTGGAAATGTGAAAACACAACAAAAATACAAAAAAAATAAAATAAAAGAGGGGGATGGGGGATGTGAAGAAAAAGGAGAAGGCTGAGGATGGGGAAGGAGAGTAAGGAAGTGAAAGGAAAGTAAATACCAATACCTCTAGTTGTTAATGGGATTGGAAGGGAGGCACGGAGTTACAAAAAGATAAAATTAACGAAGTTGTTTGTACCTTCAAATGGCTTAGGAGCTACAGCTTATTTATAGGCAAACAAACCAATATGTGTCACAAAGATAAAGGAGGTCAGCTGGTGAAAAAAAAAAGAAAAAAAGTAACAATTCCGTATTTGGGAAATGTTTTAAGCATTAGTGTAACCTTTTTTTTTATATTTCAAATTTTATTAATTATTTGGTAATTGGTGAGAGGCATATACATTAAGCTGCTTATAATTAGGCCAAAAAAGAGCCTCCTTTGTTTTGTTAAGCATAACAAAAGGGTTTAGTACATATTAATATGAGTGCATGTGTGTTCAAAATGGTGTGTTATTCGCGCACTTTATACCTCTCGTATATACACTCGGTGCAAGAATTGTCGGGAATCTGGGAGCAGAAATAACACTTTCCTTTGTGTTACTTCATCAAATGATTAATCAACTTCCAATACATACACGTGTGCGTAAAACATTTTGTGTATTAGCCAATCAATTAATATGAGTGCATGTGTGTTCAAAATGGTGTGTTATTCGCGCGCTTTCTACCTCTCATATATACACTCGGTGCAAGAATTGTCGGGAATATGGGAGCGGAAATAACACTTTCCTTTGTGTTACTTCATCAAATGATTAATCAACATCCAATACATACACGTGTGCGTAAAACATTTTGTGTATTAGCCAATCAATATATATCACATACTTCTAGTACTCATGCCAACGAATTTCCGCATAGATTCCTAGCTTCTTTGTCGGGATCAATTTCCATTACATATGAACAAATATTCTTATATGCCGATTGGGTCTCCAAGGTAGAAGGAAGACCTGTAATATAAATAAGGAGGGGTTTACTCGTGTGTCCGGCGGTTAACATTTTGTAACTCATCATTTTATCATTAGTATGCTTGAGTTTTGAATGGAAACTCCCTTTAAGTTTTCGATTCACACAATCTAAAATACAAAAGGATTGAATGATGCTTAAGGACATATTTTTCCAAATGAATCATGGTTAATGATATGAATAACCATATATAATTAAGGAATTCTTTTTTACATCACATAATATGTGTGTGTGTGTGTGTGTGTGAGGTTAAAAAAATGTTAATTAGTCTTCTGCTTCGATATTCAAATTAAGCTTCCCCCCCCAAGTTTTTCAAATTTTGAGTGAGCAATTCATGCTTATTTGAATTTGAATTTATAATAATTAATCAAATACAAATCAATATTTGTGTGGTAATATGCATGCATGTACATGTGTAATTTGGCTGCAGTTGAACTTGGCTGCAAAGTGTCGCTCATGAGCAAGAAGGTGAACCAAACACGATTATTTTCACACCTTCTTTTGTTTTACATTTGAAAGCAATTAAAATCATCAGATTTTCGTAACTGAAAGAACTCAGAGTCTCCTCGTTGGCTTTGCCACGCTACAGGTCCTGCCATTGGCCCATGGCCAAAGCTTAGTTGTATGCCTGCATGGAAATTTGTCTGCTAATTGTTCTGTTTTGCCACTTGTCGACCAAGTTGTAGGTGAAAAAGATGCCTTCTTCCGGTCAAGGTTATATAGTTCATAGAGATAAACATGAATGATGTCAGAGGTATATGGGACTTTTCTATATTTTTTTTTTGTGGTCTTTCGAAAATAATTTATTTCTGTTGTTTTTGTTTTTTTTTATAAATGAACTGCTGTACATGTTCTTTGGTTATTAATCTCTGAGAGAGAGAGAGAGAGAGAGAGAGAGAGAGAGAGGAGAGAGAGAGAGAGAGAGAGAGAGGCTGGTGGGGTGTGGTTCTGGCATATTCATTTTATCTTGTGTCTTAACACAATTTAAAAATGCCCCTTTCTTGTAAAATTCCTGGATCTGCTGAGGATTCAAAATCGTAATATATATGTCCTTAATTGAAACCATATATGGATGAAAATAGAATATCATTCAAACTAGACACACCTTCCAACAAACACTTAAACATCATAATCCAACCAGGCAACCAAAACAGAAAGAAAAAAATTATAAAACGCAAAAATTTGTGAGTTGTTTTAACAAGAGTTTCAGTGACAGCTCGTGAGCTGCTAGATTCTCCTACTTACATGTATTGCTACAAATTATAACAGCACGCTAAAGTTTTATATTTTATATATATATATATATATATATATATGTATTTATATGCTGCGGCATCACACATTAATGTCCATTAAGCTGAGGGACTTTGTTTTCATGATACTCTGCACCTTCATTGTAAGCTTGAACATTGGGGCTGCCCACTGGGATCTCCACCTGTTCGTGTGGCATTATTTCTGGCATGTTCGAGCCTACCATTGTATGCTGCTTCATTGCACCATCATTCAAATTAATTGACTCAATTAGAAAGCCAACCCAAGATTAGAAATAACAAATATATATTCATGGCTCATATACTACTAGAAAAACAGCCTAAAGCCACGGTGTTTAGGTCACGGCAGGAAAATGTTGGCCTTTTCTAGTCTCACAACCACAAACACTATCTTGTAGAACGGGGTAGTAAATTTTCTCTTGTCAAACACTCTAAATATGTTAAGATGTCAAACTGTGAATTTGAATAATTGATTAGGTAAAATTATGTCTGCACGCACAGTCCTGACTAACCTATAATGTGCTAGATATATGATAAGATCATCACACCTACTTTTGGCAAACCTTATTGACAATATTGAAAGATGAAATAGAGTGTATGTAGAATGAAGAAATGAACCTGAAATTGTGGCAACAAGCCTGAGGGCATGAGGGTGGAGGGGTGCCCAGAGGAATTAGTGTAAGCCTGAGGCCATGGTGGAAGCTCTCCATCACTGGCATTTGTGACACTCACATGACACTCTCCCATGCTACTTGGATCTGCATTTGAACTTGTTCCTTGTGAAAACGGATCATACAGTGTCGATGACAAGTTCCTACACATTAAGAAAAACTTAAGGTATTTCATTATAATTTAATTAATTAATTCACAAACCTTAATTCGATTAATTAGGTACCTAAGTTGATGATCCAAGGGAGCAGATGCATCGTAAATTTGGGCTTGGTTGTGGCCACCGCTAGACAACCAACCTGCAACCTCATTCTCGAAGGAGCCTGGCAACACTTGCTGTATATCCACAAAATTATGAAAAATGACTTAAATTGTTTATAATTTATGCAATTTCAAATGCGAAAAATCATGAAACCTTTATGCACTACGGTACATATTTAAGAATTCAATTAAAAAATTCAACAAATCATCGAAACCGATTAAAATTATATAAGACTGAATCGGATCCATCAGTTTAAGCTGGTTGCCTTGGATCTTGAAGGCCCCAAGATTACACTAGAGTATATATTCATAATAAAAGAGACATCTTATATTCAAAGATGACATGTAATTACCCCTTAAATACTCGTTTTTAAGCTTCAAGATGAAATTAAGCCGATCTTAACACCACAATGACTTTTCTTTAAACATCGATTTACTTACCGGCATTCCAGATGAATCATAGGAAGAAAGATGATTACTCAGCAAATATTCCTGCAAAATGAAAATAGAGATCATGATCAATTAAGTTATCTTCCTCATAAGAAACCAGAAAAACAAATTTAATTAAATGATGAAGGGGTGTCTCAACCTTTCTCTGCATAACACGCGTTAATGTGTCCATAAGGCTTTTTTCGCAGGATTCAAACTCCGCCATAGATGTGATTTTTAATGGGTCAGGCTCATATATCCTATATAAATTTATCAGCCAAAGAAATATAAATTTTATAGCTTAAGGAAGAAAAATTAAGATGAAATATGTTGGCAAAATGAAGAAAAAATAAATTATATATTTGCTTTTAGGTTTTTTATTTTATAATTTATACCTTATCTGCTCTTCGGCCATTTGAAGTTGTTGCTGTAGTCCTCCAATTTCCTGTTGAAGTTCCTATAATTAAAGAGGAATTAACCATGTCAAGGTCAAGAATCATAAGAAAAAAATAAACTTACTTTTTGTTTTCTTCTCAGAAATAAAAAATAAAATAAAAACATGTAAAGGTCAAAAATCATAAATAAAAAAAATAAAAAAAATAAAAAACAAAGTAACATAAGCTTACAAAAACAACCTCACACAAGCAGCAAAGTTTGTACCTCAATTTCAGAGCTTACAGCCGTGGGACTACTTCGATTCAAGCATTCAGAGTTGAGGCCACACAAGGGAAGAAACAAACAAAATCAATCAAGATATTTATAGAAAAACGTGAAACTATTCGGTGTGGCCGTAATGTTATCAATCGACCTATTATAACTCATATACATTTATTAATCTATATATATAAAGCAAAAGACCAAAAAATGCCTTTAGTTAATGCAAACACTAAGAATTGAAATTATTAATTAAATGAGGATAATATGGTAAATTTACACTTTTTCAAATTTTTAAAAATTAAAATTAAAAGAAAAATCAGATAATGTATTCTATTTTTATCGAACACAACTATCCATTATCTTTTTTAATTTTAAAATAAATTAAAATTTATTTTAAAAAAAAGCTTCTCGCAGGTGCAGAAGTGCGTGCGAAAAAGCTAGTATATTATAAAGTATAAACTCGATATCATCACGCGTTATAATTTTGGTGGATTTGTAATACCACCACGTGGTGATGTTACGGGCACACGCAAATATTTCTCATTTCTTCATTGCTTGTATTGAAAAAAAAAATTAAGAGCATGGAGAGGAGGGGACAAACTTGGCAAGTTGTAGAGCAATATCATTTTCACTTCTTAGTTGCTGAAGAGTCCTAAGCAAGTACTGCAAGAAAACAAACAATATGGTATATGTATATATTTATGTGGAGAAAAATGAATATATGTAAAACCACAAGAGAAAATACAATTGAGTACATTGCTAGATGTCATGTATCTGACCTCTTTGTTTTGAAGATCACTGCAAAAGGACAATAAAAGATTAAATTATATTCAACAAATTCAGACCCAAATAAAATATTCAATAAAACCAAAATATGACAAAAATGAAGAACTTTGAGACTATTAATTCTAGAGGAGAGAATGAGCATACGGATGTTTGCTGTGATCGGGAAAAATTATAGCACTGCAATAATTAACCAAAAAAACCATAATTAAATAATTTTAGCTGTCTAATTATAAAAAAAAAATTTAAAAAATTATGTGGTAATTTCTTTAGTTTCAAGAACACGTACTGCTCTCTTTCTTGGTCAGGAAGATTAATGTAGCGGGTGAATACATCCTCAATCCTGATTTCCACAGTAAATTCTTTATCAGAGCAGAACTTGGATGGAAATTTAACCACGAAACACAAGCCAAAAGAAAATTAAGAAATAAAACCATAAATATATATTAACTCTAGAGTTAAATACCAAAATGATCCCTGTAATTTAGACCATGTGTTATAGATTTGGTATTTGACCCTTAATTTTAGTTACATTAAGGAAAGAAACACCCGTACATGCATGTAAATTTAAAGTTAACTAGAAGTTGTACGGCTAGTCATATTTATGGAATAAAAAAGAAATTAATGCAAAATGATTGTTTTTGCATTACTTATCATCGTCAACATGCATAAACAACTAGTAATAATCATTCAAGTACGGGTGGACAACTGTCGTTAACATTCACTTTGTTCTTAATAAGGGGCGCAAATGATGTTCAACGTACTCTAGTCAGAGATCCTATTCTCAAGGCAAATACCAAAAAAAAAAAAAAAAATAATGAATCATGGTTTTCAAAATTATCCCCTTCTATCTCCAAAAACAATCACAGAGTAAAAGAATTGCTATCATAATCTGTAAAAGCTAAACAAAGTGGAATTTTTTTTTTTTAATAATAAAAATGTGATATTCTGAAGAAGTTCCCACACATGATCATCAAGTTTAACTATTTGAGAAGAACACAAGTCATGCTAATTATACATAAAACAAACTAATATGTTTAAGGTCAATATGGAAAGAAAAGAAACATATATCATTCTAAAAAGAACAAAAAAAGAACATACAAAAAGCATGCAAGAATAGTTACATATGACAAGTGAGAGATTTAGGATGGTAAAACCTTCGCTTGCCGGAAAAATGGCTGAGACGACCGGAGGGAGAGAACATGATAAGAGCAATGTCAATGTCACAAAGGATGGAAAGCTCATAGGCTTTCTTAATGAGTCCATTTCTACGCTTTGAAAATGTAACTTGTCGATTGGTGGTGTTTTCTATTCTCTTTATCTCCAGCTTAACACGACCCATCTTGATCTGTCAAGCTTCTAAATCTATGAGGGGAACAAAAAAAGAAAGAAAATCTAAGAGAGTTGTTTTAAGAAGGAAAATTTATGAAGTGTATCCTCTAATTCCTATATATGAACAATGCATGGAGAAGAAGAAGCTTAAAAGAAGGGTGGTTGGGTACGAGAGAGGGAGAGGGGGATTGGTTATAAATGGGTGGGAGAAGAGATAGGAGGAGGACATTCAGAGAGATCAAAGGATTGGATGGTCAATAAACTAATGGGATGATCATTGGTTAATTATGATTAATTCTTTGAATTGGGGCCCTTGCTGGCTTGTTGGATCTTGGGCCTATTTTAAATACACAGTCATGAGGATCAGCATCACTTTTTCCAATTGGACAAAGTCGCCCACAAAAGAGTTCCTTCTTTTTTTATTTTTTATTTTTATAAATTTATCGGAGAAGGGATTCAAACACAAGGCCTCGAGTGTTGAATAATTGCTATTAATTATTTGAGCTATAAGTACCTTACAATTTTTATTTTTGTTGAACACAAGAGTTTTCTGTCATATACACTAACTTATTAGTTAAAATTAATGATCACTATTTACAATAAATTTCCCACACTCTCCCTCATACACTTAAATATAATGCAACAGCAATTAGTTATTGGTTCATAGAATTTCTTTCTTTGTTAATGGGCCTAGCCTAGTGGAAAAAGGGTCTTGACTTGCAGACCAGTAGTCTCAGGTTGGAACTCGACCGCCCATAGCACAATAATTGTATGTGTGTGAGAAAACCCCCTCCCCCATTCTAATTTTGACACAACCAACAAAAATCCTCATAAAAAAAACATAAGAGATGCAAGAAGATTATTTTAAAGTGTAAAAAGCATGCATCTCCTATTCAAAAACATTAAATCTAAAAAACTTTACATGTTAGGGCATCTCCAACAGCCTCTTCAAAGGCTTTGGGACACTAAAATAGGTGAGTCGGCCACATCAGCAAAACCTTCTCCAACAACCTAGTCAAACCCACTCACCAAATCTGGGACTCCTCCTTCACTCTTCAGAACAGACAAGTGAACTTGACTTTTCAATGCATATATTAGAGGCCAAAGGAAATCGTAGACAACTTCAACTCAAAACTAATTTGCAATGAGGAAGTAGCACTCCTTGTAAACCTAGATTAAGTTTCTTAATTTTTCATGAGGGACACACATTCTCAATGGATGTTAATGCGAGTAACCCTGTTTTTGGGTCTGATTATTTCTAAATTATTTAGGATTCAAAAGGCCAACCAAGTTTTGTGTAAAAGACAAGGCAAATGAGCTAAGCCCATCGCTAGCTATTTGTAAAAGACTGAGTTTTTTGTTTTGTTTCAACGATTTAAGTGTTAGATGAATGTTGGCTGCTGCATGCCCTGCCGCTATGATTCGAATAGCAACTCTATACTAAGCTAACAGTTTCCAAGTTCAATGTGCTTTTGTTTGTTGTTGGCTGGGCCTTTTTAACTATTTGGCTTCCCAATTAATTAAAAAAGATTAATCCCTTTGAATTCCTTGGGACCATGCATTGCATTTTGTTGTTGTTGATATTTGCAGATAAATACCAAGTTCCAAATGTACATTTCTACACGTTCCATTGTCAGGATAATAGAAATATGCATGTGAATTTTGGAAAATAGGAGTATTTTGGACTGGTCGCCTAATAATCCTAATGCCACTCTAGGACGAAATAAAAATCAATAGAATGTTGGGGCATCTCAGGCCAATTTATAGGAACTAGGAAATGAGGACTTCTTATCCACAGAAGAAAGCTGGCGTCTGGAGTTCAAAAAGCAAAAATGAAAAATTAGGTATTAGACATAAGAATCTTTACTAATGAGGATTTGATACCTAGAGTATTTCTGTTTTGGTTTTAATACATAGGAATCAAATTTTGTTTTGGATTTGGCCAAAGAGGAGGCCCAGATTCGTTGAGTCTGTCTATATTATAAAGGTAAAATACAATTTTATCCTTTTTGTTTAAAAGCCTTCCAAAATCAGATCTCATCCTTTCTTTCTTTCTCTATTGGACAAAGACGCAGGACATCGATTGTCTTAGATCATGGCTTCTCAGGCCATTGGCAATGACGATGACGATGACGATGACGATGATCTTGAGTTCCGTTTCACTCAGCCACCAAATTCACCTTCTTCTCTGTCCGGCAATGGTTTTAATTAGAGCGTTCCCCAGTCAAATTTGAGTTGAAAAACCCAGCATGGCTGGGAACCTCATATGTGTGATCGTGGCTATTGATGGCAGCAAGGAGAGCATGAACTCCTTAAGCTTGGCCCTCGACAACCTCAAGCTCTGATCCTCTGTGCCCGACTCTACAACTTCCGCAGGATTCGTCGTCCTACGATTCCTTGTTGTCGTCGTCTTGATCCGCCATTTGAAAACGAGCCACGACTTTTGAGTTTGTACCAGGTGGGAACTGTTAAGATTTCAGAGGGACGGACCCTTGGCCCACAACTAGCAACATCGATATTGTCCCCAACTTAAACACATGTTTAGCAGGTGTGAGGTTTTATACAAAAGGCCTCGATGTTATTAGGAGTGGAACCATTTATTATATGAGACTTTTTATTTTGTTAAGTTTCTGATGTGGGACTCGTGTATTCTTCAAAACTCCTTCTCACGGGGGACCACTTTTTAGTGGGTCACACGTGCAACCAATTCTACATCAGTCACTTTTTTATTTATTTATTTATTTTTTTTTATTTGGGTTTTGTTTGATGTTGATTCAATTTGGAGTTTTTGTTTGATTTGAGTTTGTTTGATTTGGGTTTAATTGGGCCTAGCCAACTTGGCTCTGATACCATGTTAAGATTTCAGAGGGACAGACCCTTGGCCCACAACTAGCAACATTGATATTGTCCCCAACTTAACCACATGTTTAGCAGGTGTGAGGTTTTATACAAAATGCATTGATGTTATTAGGAGTGGAACCATTTATTATATGAGACTTTTTATTTGTTAAGTTTCCAATGTGAGACTCATTTATTAGTGTATATTTTCTAGTACTTTCATCATGGTTTTGACTTTTAGTTCCTCACTTATTAGTAGGTGCATTTTTGCCCAAACTCGGTATTGTAGTTTCCGTTTCTGCGTTGCAGTTTCCATTTCCGTTGTAGTACTTCAATCATGTTTATTTTTTCCCATACTCTGTAGTGCAATTTTTGCTTCTATAAAATTAATTTTTGTTTTAGTTGTTGTTTTTGTTTTTGTTTGCAGTTTTTTTTACATAATTGATATCTACATTGTATTTTTGTTGCAGTTTCTTGTTTTATTTGCAGTTTTTGAGTGAATATGTGTTGAAATGAAATTTTTTTTTTAAAAAAAAATCGTTGATTGTTTACATAAATATTGTGTAACTGAATAAATATTACAAAAACAAGTTTGGTGTAGTGGTTTGTGAGTGAGCCCTCCTCCTTTAAGGGTCATGGTTCGAGTCCCTTCAATGACATAACCGACGACTGGATGGCAGTGGCGGTTATAGGTTAAGGGTCAGAAAAATTCTGAAAACCTTACATAACTAGCCGAATCAAACTAGCCCTAAAAACAAAAATGAGGGTTATAATCAAACTTTTAATATAGGTTAAGGGTAAGAAAAATTATGAAAAACTGACATACTAGTTTGATTAGGTTTTTAATTTTTTAATTTTTTAAAATGTGTTTTGGTAAAATAAACAGCCAACGCGGTTTAAACTTGACTTCAACGCTCCTGGAATTAGCAGAAATAGAATCAAATTGCTTTCGATCAGGCTAGATTATAACTTTCGATTGTTGGATCCTAATTGCCTCGGCGATGGGTATCGTCAACAAGGAGGACAGTACCAAGCTTAATACATCCATCGACTTCCTATGCACTAGTAGTGCTTACCAACATATTAGGGTGAGCACCGTTCGATTCGGCCTGGTTCCACCCCTAAATCGCCACTCAACCACACTTTTGGTGTGGTCCATATCAATTCTAGATAAATAATAGAGAAATCTGAACTAAACTGGGCTTAATTTGTCAGTTAATTTGGCATCCAGACTGTTTCAATTCGACCTTTGAGCTTTGGTCGACTTTTTTGTGACCTTTTTTCTTGTTAGTGGATTTTGTCTTTTCATTGTTCTGTTTCTCCCCATGGGCTTTTTCCCTCTTTATTTTCTAAGTGGGTTGTCTTGTGCTGTTTTCCTTTGCCTTTGGGTTTCATGAAGGTTTCCATTCAGTGGCGAAACCAAGTTAAAGGCTAACCTGGGATGTAGTCCAGTAAAATAGGTATACTTTCAATTTCGTTGTTGAACACATTTTTATTTTGATAATATCAGTTTTCTTGTTGCATTTAATATGTATTTGTTTTATGTTAAAGTTTATTAAAATTAGTCAATAATGAAGGTATGAATTAGTGTTATTTATATGATTTATTTTTATTTCTAAAGAGGCTATAAAAACTGTAAATACCAACAAAAAAAATGTTCATTAGATTTTACCCTAAACACTTTAGCTAACCCACATGTCGAAAAATTCCTAATTCCGCTCTTGTTTCCATTGCCCAAACAATTCTTTAAAAAAATCATATTTATAACCTAGGTAGGATATATACACTTAAATTCACACAGGAAAACATAGTCAATGTACAAATACTATAATGTAACCAATAAGAAATTATAGAGTAGTACGATATCACCACATCAGCTGGTGATGGTACATGTATAGATACTGTCTTTGTAATGACGACATAGTCAAGAGTAGGTTTCAAAACAAAACAAAAATGGAGTAGGTTTGAAAATTATTTATTTATTTCTAGTACATAATGAATTAAGTTTTGTTGTTAGGAAAGTTGTGAACCAAGGTGGCACCATATATACTTTGGAATCTCAATTTCTGTTTTGCTCATCCTGCCTGCCTTCAATAAAAAGGCAAAATCGCTTTCATTTCATGAGCTATCTACCTATCAATTCATAGAGTCGTCGACAGACGACGGCTCCTAACATTATAATGCGTTCTCCATAATATATTATTTCTAATTAAAATATGTAAATTACCAAACTTTCCTAGATCTCCCTAGGATTAATTATTGAGATTTATTTCAATAATTTCTTTCTTCTACGTAAACTTTAATTATTTATTATTATTGCCCTTCAGATTGATTAAGAGAGACAATCAATTTCTTGCCAGTGCCAAAGTAGGAACACTACTTGAGAAAAGCCCCACGTCACGTACCAACATATAATAAATTTAGGTTAGATTTTAGATATGAGTAGCTGTCTCATAACAACTCACATTAACACCATTGGATCTCAATTCCACAATAACTCATCTATTGGCATTGAAGTCATGCAAATTATTCTTCAATTTCGATCACCAAATTATGTGATATATATATATATATATATATTTAAATGAGGTTTGAAGTGTGTTTAAAATACAAATAAATAAAACACTGTCACATCATTTGAGATTTAAACGTTTTGAAATTTGATTTTGCATTGATGTCACTAGCATTACTCTTTGTGACTATTAAAAGCCTACACGCTAAATGATATTTGTGTAAACTCCCATTCCTCAATCACTTATCTAAAAAAACAAAAAAGAGAGAATGATTTTCTCCATGATCAAAACTCTATCTACGAAAACCCTTGTAACATTATCCCATACACCGTACAATTAATTCACTAATTCCACTATGTATGCACAAAATTAAACAACATGTGACATGTTCCTTTTTCGTATATTTATGTTGCACAACTGTAAAATATACACAACTGTGAACCCGGGTCAAAAATACAAGAATCAACATAATTGAAGGACCAGATTCACAGATCTTGCATGATCAAACTCCATGAACAAAAGCCATGTATATATCAACCCCGCATACCACACTAATTCTTTAGTTAATTCCACTATATATATATAAAACAAAAATAAAAATCCACTACATGATAGAGCAGGCATTTGGGTTGTCATCGCTGAACATGATAGTGTAGCTCTCGTCCACAGCAGCGGTTGCAGTGTCGGGAACTTTCCTAACCATATTAGGAGGTGCCTTCTTGTCATAGGCCCCAGAAGCATATGGATGGGCTACCAGAGTGTATGGAACATAAGGCCACAACTCACACTTCTTCTTAGTCGACTGAGCTGCCTTCAACACCTTCTTTGCCTCTACGTTATATCCAGTTACAGTTGCCTTCTGCTGCTTCAAGTCGATGTCCACAGATTTTGCCCCTAGGGATCATCATCAAATTAAGTTAATTCCGACCGAAATCATTCATCAGGTTGATTCTTGTCGAAACATGATTATATGTATACACATGATTGGGTACTTTACATACAAAATATGGAAATTACCTTTTACGCCGGAGAGGACCTTCTTGACCTTGCGGGCACAACCCTCACAGTCCATCCTGATCTTGACTGCTACAGTTTGAATTTGCTTCCTCTTCTTCTTGCCTCTTCTGGCACTGCTTAGTAGATTTGACAAGTACTCCAAAGTGCCTTGAACTCCCATTTTCAGTTTCTTCCAAAAGCCCTAGCTAGCTAGAAAGAGTGATCAATTGTTATTGCCCTTGGACAAGCTTAAACAAATCTAAATGAGGAAGGCTTGAAGGTGTAAGAGCTTGAGGTTCCAAGAGCTAGCTAATTACTAGAGAAAAGCAAGAGATGGGTTTGAATATACTTGTTGATTAATTTGTTCCAAATGAATACACGAAAGGAAATTCATGAAGAGAGCTGTTGAGGAAATAAGGTGAATGAGTGAGTGACTAGAGAGAGGAAATTATACACCAGTATTGGTCTTGGTCTTGCTGGCTTCTAATCTACGGATTTTATAGTGTGAGAGATCAAAAAGATCATGGCTATCCAAGATAACTTAATAAAATAAAGCAAATTATTTAATAAATAAAAGAAAAGGTAGCCTAGCTAGCTAGCTGTGTTCTAGAAACTGTAGGAAGCTGACCCTCAAATCAAACCCCTGTGGATTCCCTTTTGAAACTGATCTGAAAGAGCACGAGAACTCAAAAGAAAATGGCTCTAAAGATGCTGTATAATTGGTGAGGCACTTTAGCTCCTATCTTTATCTGTACGTGTCGGATATTAGACCTTTCTTCTTATGCGGGCATTTTGTTATGTCCAAATAAAAAGGTAGCGGCCCTCTTTCAAAAAAACAACAAAAGACCAAGATACTTTATGTGTACCTTTGGTTATATTTGGTGCATATACTTTGATTAAGTAAACCAAGTCTTGCCTGGAAATTGAACCCAGATGCTTTTGAGTTTGGAAAAAGAGGGAGAGAGAGTTCAATGCTTAGGGCACACGAAAGGAGAAAAGTAAACAACGTAGTAAAGTCTGAGAGTAACGCTTGTCAAAACTTTGAATCTCTCTCTCTTTCTCTGCAACATGCATGAGTTTATAAATAAATGCACGACAACTAATCGCATCAGCAGCTGCCACGTTTCATAAGATGTGCATGAAATGTGGTCAACCTAGGCATCAATGGCTGATAAGAAGCCACGTGACAGAGTCACCGTCAAATGGAGCTGGTGGTTTTTCCTCTACTTGTTCACAAGCAATTGTCCACTTGTGAATTTGTATTGGGTGATTAATGCGGTATGTTTGGGCGGTGCGACTGTTGAAAAGAAAGGGAGTTTGATAAAGAAATATAAAACAAATATTTAAAGCCACAATGGGTCCCACTGCTTTGCCATGTGGCATCTAAGTTGGACTGTGAGTCCATGACTATGAAAGCACCATGCATCTTCTCGGGATTAAATTTAGGGTTTCTTAGCTCCCTCCATCTCCATGAAAACGAAGGCTTTGCTTTCTTTTCTTTTCTTTTTTTTTAATCTTTGACAGAGAGAAAATCTAAAGAGATTGGTTTGATACTTAATTAATTAGGAGTTTGCTCCTAAATCAAGCGAACATATTGGGATTAGACATATGCCCTCGGATTAAATTAAATTGGTCGGTTGCTCTCAGAAGTCTAGCCATTTTGAAAATGCAGGGAAAAAGAAAATATTTTGGGGAGATAAGGTAAAATATTGCATGGTCCATGTCTCTCATCCTCATTCAATGGAAGTCAAATTTGGTTATGAAATCAATAAACAAAGGTATTAGGTATACATACAGCATGTGTTGGACTTATTTCATATGAAAGACTAATGTTAGAGATATATTTTAAGATTTCTTTGCTGCTAAAAAAAAAAAAAAAAAAAAAAAAAAAAACCTACAGTGTGTTTTATGGGAGAATTAACGAGATGGGTTGAATAATCTAACTTTTTATTTTAATTCCGATTACAAATTAGTAAACATGTCATTAGTGTATTTTTTTTAACCATAATTATACTATAAGAGAAATTCTGTTAAAATTTTGAATTTTTACATTGCTTTTAATTATCCCCTAAAACAATTTAACATATATTGAAAAATTTTGAGTTCCTTTTTAAGAAAAATCACTAGGGTGTGTCCGTCTCCTATGGCGACAGAGGGCTACAAACATGGGGCCCCTGCCTATTAAAGTACCAAATAGTACTATACATAATATGCCTAAAACCTGTCCCATAACCCTAATCCCTAATGAAAATGTGTGTCAAATGGTCCCTAATGAACATCTGGTGCACTATGTTAGCAATGCTGGATATGCTCGGTTGATATATATATATATATATATATAGTTACTATGGAACATCTGGTGCACTATGTTAGCAATACTGTATATATATATATATATATATATATATATCAGAATTCTTACTATGGAGAAGCTCATCTTTATGGTATAAATGCAAAAGAATCCGCCCTACTTTTAAAACTTTTTTTTTCTTCGTTTTGTTTTGTTTTTGTTGGCTTCATAATTGGTGCTTGGATTGGATTGCATGCATGCATGGCTTAACATTCACAAAAATGCAGTCAAATCAGCTTGACACGAGTCGTGATGATATGCCTCCCAAGAGAGAGTATATTTTTATGGGAGTTTCACTAAAACACCCAAAATGGAGGTTGAAATTATAAAAAAACCCAACACCCAAAACACTTTATAAACACACCCAAAACCCATCATTACACACACTCAAAACCCATTTATAAACACACCCAAAAAGTTGACTTTGGGGTTGATTTTGGGTGTGTTTCTATGTTTAAATAGTGCTTGGGTTTTTTTATAAATACATGTGTAGGATTGGGTTTATTTATAAATTTGTATATTTTTATTGCCTCTTTAACAAAGTTGATCGTGGAGCATGGCTTTTTAGGCCCTGTGGAAGATGCACAATCTGAAAGTGGCTAGGCCCCCACTCAACAACGACGCACCATTTATATAAAGTATGAACAGTGTGTGGCAACTTCAATAATTTGAGCACAAGAAACAGGCTAGGCTTCTTTCTAGGTGCAGTGCCACCTGCCTGCCTTAGTCAAAAACCAAAGTTTCGTGAAAATCTAAACACAGATATCTGCTTGCAATTTGCAGAGCCGTTAATTCAAGTGAGTCTCGGGATACATAAAATCTGTCAGGTGGGTGATCAGGTCACATAAGTGTTGTAGAATGGACTAGAATAGCAGGCCTCATCCATCTGATCATCTTTTTCCTTGGGCAGAAATTATCAATTTACCTTATCCATGACAATGAGCCCTCCGGATGAAGACCCTTCTCCTTTCCGAGAGGGGCACGTGTGATCATCATAATATGCCTTATCCTCGAACAACCTATATTAAAAGCAGCATCCACATTCCACCATGCCATGGGATTGAATTCCGACAAACTATATTAAAAACTACGATGTCTCCGTCAATTTTCCAATCTGGATATCTTTTTCATTGGAAATTAGGTCTTTGAATCTCCTAAATATTTGCTGGATCTAATCAGTCCGTTGGAAAATTTGTCAACAATATGACAATAAGTTGAAAATAAACAAAGACAGAATCAAATCTAAGGAGATCATAATTCATAAACAATTACGTGGTCCATTTAGCAACATTACAAAAAAGGCACACAGTACAGAAACAGGATATCTATGACCTGAAAGTAGATACACCAAAACTATAAAGAATTTTATTTACATGTTCCGGAGGTTCAACAAGATAAGATTAATAGACGCATTAGCAATAGTAATGAACTTGTCAAACAGAGCAGGAGGGGGATTTGCCTGGATTCTGCTACAGAGGATTTGGAGGGTGCGTTCCTCGCCGTGGCAGGTGCAACGGCATGAGTGTTAGGGATGCTCTGTTGCTCACTGGTTGGCAGTTGGCTTGTTGACCCGTTATTTGGCGGTGTGTGATTAACTCTTTTACTATTACCGTTATCTTCACCTGCAGAATCAAAGAGTGACTACAATGTTAATGCAGGTCATTAAAGAGGGGGTTTGATCACAGTTGATGTTAAGAACCTTGGTGGAAATTTTTCTAGCATCAACTGATTCAAAAACACCATATAGACAAGACTCCCCCATTATCGTTGTACAGGTGTGAGGGAGCAAAAGACTTGATAGGTAGCGCTAGGTTTAATATGTCTTAAAGAAGGTGATCTAAACATGAAAGCCCCAATCCAAGTGTTGATTTCAAATAATAATGGAGTGCAAAAGCTTCAATCAGAGGTTATATGGAAATCACATTAACATAATGAGGCGAAATCAGATTGGTGGACCATATTAGATAACAGAAATGTCAATAGCATCAGACCACTGACAGGTTTTGAACAGAAAATGAGGGAAAATCCTGCCTAAACTTGAACAGAAATGTGAATTTTCATGAGCAGCTTAACACATAATATTAAGCTGTTCCACAATTTGAGGATCATCCACAGAATTCTGTCAATTTGCTACTTTAGATTAAGTTAAATACTGTGTACTATCATATCCAAAGAGTTCTTTAAATGAATCTGCAGATTCTGCATGTTGAAAACAGCAGTTGATGTAGATGAGAAGCAAAGTGTGTAGATTAAGGAATTAAAACTTCCAGTGAGCAGAGCAGTGAACTTTAGGTACTTACAATTGGCATTGGACCAACCCAGCTTCAGATTTTCCCTGTCAAAAACCATGCGGTAACCCACCATGAAGTTCTCTGCGACAGAAATGTAATTCAGGTCATCAAACTATAATGCGTGTATCAGAGAGAGAGAGAGAGAGAGAGAGAAGAGTGGTTCCAGTATACAGGAACAGGCATAGAGATCTACTCACGTCCGATGACACCATAGTCATCATCTGTCCGCAGTAAAGTTAAACAGAATATTGTGTATTTCTGCACCAAAAATTCCAATATATTTATTATAAGCACATCCTAGATTATAAGCGATCTTTGCACAGAATAAAGCCTAGAAAACAAAATTTACAAAATCTGACCAGTTCTTATCTAAACCAAGTTCTACATATTAACATTTAGTATTTGTCATCAACTGAACGAAATGCCTTGAAAATTTTGTAGGCTCAAGTAGAGAATTACTTGCCTGATTGAGAGACTCGGAAAATACTGGCTTATGGACTAGAAAGCTTTGGTTTAAAGGGAACATGAGTTTGATGGTAGGAATGCTAAGCAACTCCCATGAACTTTGCATCACAAGAAAACAACAGGCATTCAGTTTGGCAGGATTGGAAAAAAAGCTTTAAGAATTTCTCCTCAGGTAAAATATGTACCTCACATTGTAGCAGTACTTCCAAGAGGACTGTTGGAGGTTAATTCTAGTAGCATTCACTTGTTTGTCAAACTGTAATCATCAAACATTCATTTTTTAGGCCACTGAATAATAAAGCTTATATTTATAAAATCGAAAAATAATTAAACAGCACCTCAAATACAACTTTTTTATAAACTTCAGTTGGAACATATGTAAAAGATGAGCCACTGTCGACCAGAGCTTGGAATCCAGTTTGCTTGATACAGGAACTCCCAACACAAAAGCGCTCTACTCCAACAGAATAAGTAACACTGAAACAATTAACAGAAAAATTATTTATAAAAGAAAAGTACCAACGAAGCTAGAGCATCTCTAGGGTTACTTAGCTCATACAACCAACAGCAATTGAAGGTTCACATACTATTTTCCCTCTGTAGGCAAGAAAGGAGTAGAGTGTTGGGCAAGATTCCCTTGGTCACCAAAGAGAATTCTCCCGGAACCATTGTCATCAAAACAAAGTGAAAATGAATTCTGAATCATTCCTGCTTTTGCAAGTACACTCGGAACTGAAATCTCCCCAGGTCCCAAACCCATTACACCATCAGGAGCAGCTCCTTCCAAATAGCCACCACTTTGCTTCCTACCACAGCTGCATTGTTCACAAAACAGAGAAAAGAAACATCAAATATTAGTAACAACAGCATGATTTATGATATTCCTGCGTATCAGATCCCCAACTCCCAATATTTACAAGCAGAGCAGCAAAACGAAAACACACCCAAAAACGACCGAAGCCTGCACAGAACTTGGTGTTGAATTTTTGCTGGCTGATGTCAAATGCAAAACATCCTCAATCAGAAACCCAGAACTTGCAGTGTCATCTGACTTGTACTGAACAATGTACGGGCAAGGCTCCTCTGGACCTTTACAATTGGTGGTCGACTTGCATAACTGGTGACTGCAACTTAGTTGTTTGCCGGTCCTTGATAAAGACGGGCTATACTCATTTAGGTCCCTATCCTGCACCATAGATGCTCCGAAAATGGGGGAGCACCTGCCAATCAATCATTGGAATTAACTGCTAAACCCGTTACCATTCCTAGATGTAATGTCTACAATTTCATTCCACAATATTTTAGCTATTACATTGTTTCCCATAATCCCATTTCTATCTTTTCTGTCTTTCTGTGATATGGGATTTCCATAACAATTTAATTATACAGGTTCAAATCAAAATCTATGAACTTGGGGTAGCTAAGCAGTCAAAACGATACTAGAAGTCTAGATTTTAACTATTCCATTATTTCTTACCAGACTTAAACAGAGAAGAAGAAACCAGCTATTTCATAGACCAAATAATAATCAAGAAGAAAGATACAGTTAATTGGTGGAATTTAATAAAGATATCAAAATTGAAAATGCCAAGTAGGAAATTAGAACGTAATTAGTGGACAAAAAATAGATACAGTTATAATGGGACCCAAAAAATTAGAGAAGGTAAAGGTACCAAAGTATCATAATAGGAGGCAGACAAAGGAGCACATTGTATGCAATCACATGGGACCCAAAGCAAATCGCTCCCAGCATCCAATGCAACCATAAACGAAACATTCGGTGTACCTATGTCAATCCACGTATAATGTAACCTGAAAAATAAAAATAATAAATAACGAAATTACCATAATCAGCGGCCGCCATAAAAATTAATTAATTTTCAGGAAAAATACAATTTTATTTTGTTTCCTCCACTTTTTTATTTTCCTTTGTTTTCTGAGGAACCAAACAGGGGTGAAGTCCACTCACCAATCAAGCTCATTCCCGAAGAACAAGGTCTGGCTTCCTTCAGACGGAAATAGATGCTCGTACTTGGAGCCGAGCTTCAGTTTCTGCCGCTTCAGATCGCTTTGCAGAAGAAGCTGGAAGTAATTCAAGCTGTTCCTCTTCGGCCATGGCTTCAAGGACGCGTTATCGCCACCTCTCGACTCCCATACCGCCATGGCTTCCTCAGAGAAGCGGTGCACGAGCTTAGACGATAATGTGAGCGAAAGAGAACCGTTTACGAAGAGGCAAGCCCACACAAGGAATAGAATGGCGCGAACCGCCATGAGATGCCGCAGCGGAAACCCTAGGCTTTGAAATGTGGAAAGTAATTGGAGGAAGAAGAAGGAGATGGAAGAAAGTTTGAGGCTTTCGGAGTTGAGAGAGTAGTGAACTGCTCAGAGACGAAAGCAGAGAGGTTTGCTAAAGTGCGCGATGGTGCACAGTACGTACTAGCTTCAATAATATTCCCGTGAATTGTTATTGAAAACAAAAAACACGTTTGCCGCTAGTGGGCTTTATCGTCTAGGCCCATTTAACTTGCGGCCCACGAAAAAGAAAACCTAAGTCAGTCACGTGAGTGGCACGTGCAAGACCATCTCTCAGCGGCATAAAATACTAAACCCTAGCAGCAAACGGGTCTTCATCTCCTCTAGTTTTGGTTTTCCAGCCGCAGAGCGAGAGATCATTTCGAGGGCTAAAAGCGAAGAATCTCAGAAGCTTCAAAAATGGTGGTGCCGAAGAAGACGAAGAAGACCCATGAGAGCATCAACACCAGGCTCGCTCTGGTGATGAAGAGTGGCAAGTACACTCTGGGGTACAAGACAGTCATCGACTCTCTTCGTAACTCCAAAGGTACGATTTAATATCTTTTGGGATTTTCAAATCTTTCTTTTGTATCCATTTCACTATGATTTGGTTTATTTTTATTGGGTTAGTTTCTGATTTTTGAATATGGATTTGTTATGTTTTGGGGGAAATTTTTTGCAGGGAAGTTGATTATAATTTCTAACAACTGCCCTCCTCTGCGAAAGTCTGAAATCGAATACTACGCTATGCTCGCCAAGGTTGGAGTTCACCACTACAATGGAAGTAAGTGCTCTATTGCCATGTTATTTGGGTTTGCATCAGATTTGTTATGTATTTAGTATGAAAGTTTGGAATGCTTTTTAGATTTTACCTGTTTGTGCAATTGGAGGAGTTAGTTTTTGTATGTAGTAACGTGATTGAAAAAAAAATTTTAAATTTTTGTTGTAATCTTGGATGGGAAGTGTTCAGCTGAAGTTTAATGGAAGCTTTGATTAAAATGGCTGATGTTTAGGAAGTGCTAGTTAATGGGATATTTATTGGCTCTTAGATGTGGGAACTTGTCTCAGCGTGTAGGTTAAACCATCGTGCAAGATTGCCTTAGTCTTAGTTCTTAATCATTTGCTAACATACTTTGTATTGTTGATCCTGCTCTTTGCGTGATCTTGCCGGTTGGATTTTTCATATTAAATGATGCTTCTATATTAGGATTCTCCATGTTCGGCACATGCATGAAATTCCTTATTGTTCATCCCTATTTTAAGCGGAAGAGGAATGCCATTTTCACATCTTTTATTTAGGACTTATGTGCGGGGAAGGACGCTGGGTACTACCGTACTTATATTCATGTACTGATGATAAAATTTGTCAACAAAGGAAATATTTATCTTTACTATACTTCTACCTTTTCATTTGGCTGACCATTTTTTCTGTTATCAGACAATGTTGATCTGGGTACAGCATGTGGAAAGTATTTCCGAGTTTCATGCCTTAGCATCATTGATGCAGGTACTCCATAGTTCTATTATCATTTCAAGCGATCTGTTTATGCCCTAATTCATACGAGAAACTGACTTGTCACTTGTTTTGATAATGCGCAGGTGATTCGGATATTATCAAGACGCTGCCTGGTGGTCAGTGAGCGACTGTAGTTTATCCTCTCTAAATCGAAAGTAGTATTGTTTTTCAAAGATTTTCCTCTCTTTTCACCACCAATGAAGTACTCTTTTTAATTCTATGACGATGCTGTCTTTGTTATCTGTGTAGTGACATGATGCATGGTGTTTTGAGAATCATTTAAAGTTCATTTTTGTTGTACTAGAGAATTCACATTTTGGGGGGTTTCCTTCAGTTTTTTCGTATTATTATTCATCGTCTCCAAACCTTTAATTGAAATGGGTGCGTATTGCTCAATCTCCTCCATTAAATTGTCATCACACATTCAGTATGAAACGCTAAACCCATGCAATGGATTTGAATTTACAGTAGGATTTTGTGTGTGATTCTATATGGTTATAATGAGGTGGCCTTTAATAGCCATCTGATCAATGAAAATGTTACTTTCGCATGGCTAGATTGAACTCCTTCCTTAACACGCCCTTCGTTATAGATGCTCCCCTGACTTGCTGCAACAATGGCTGTCCTACACTTCACTGGCTAACTTTTGCCCTCAAAAGGCACAGTGCTCATGAGCCTATTTGGGCTGGGCTTAACTCTCCCTGACTTGTTGCAACAATGGCTGCCCTACACTTCACTGGCTTACTTCTGCCCTCGAAAGGCACAATGCTCATGAGCCCATTTAGGCTTAACTCTAAGTCTGTAACTTTCCTACCCAGGTTGGTTTAGCCCTCTTGATCCGACGGTGCAATTTTGGATTTTGCATATGAGTCTTGGTCAGCTTTGTGGGTTGGCCGTTTGTGCCTTTGTTGTTTTGCATGAGTTGACTCGTTTTATGGCAATGAATCCTAACCCTTCATCTTTGTAATGACCGAAACCAACTTTGATCACTACCGAAACCACAATTCCACATTAAATTTCATTCTCGTCCAAGATAACACATTATAGACCAAAGACGACATTATAAATTGTAAATGACAATTAAAACCATTGGATAAATTCATGCATAGTATAAATTATTTTAATTATTTTTAGAAAAACTTAATTGGGGTTTCTTTTGCTTTTTTTTTTTTCTTTTTTTTTTTTTTTTTTTTCTGTTTTTAGTTTTATATTCATTATCTAGGATATTATAACAACCATGCATGCCAATCTCCTCGATATTGTTTCAATTTTATCGAACATCTCAAAAAGACGTCAGCCATAAACAGCTTGCAAAATTCGTAGCGTGCCAAGCAACATGTACAAAAACTTTAATCCAAACACCATAAATGCCAATCGGTAGTATTTAACTAGAAATTTAATCCTTTACTATTAAAAAAAATGTAATTTAATCCTTGACATTGAAAAATAAAGGTCTAAATTAGCAGAACATTGAGGTCATCGAAATAATCTTTTATGTGTCATGTCATGTGTGCCCAAATGTGGCATTTGCCAGATGAGTTTTAGGAACCAACCATTTTAATTTCTGGAAATTTTTGAAATGTTAAAGTTGTGAAGGAAGATACGGGCGTAGCTAATTTGGCTAGAATATATGTGCTTCTCACTTTGTATTCGAGTTCGAATCCTCCTTTTCATAATCTAGATTAGATTGAATTATATTATCGCTTGAAAACAAAAAATTGTGAAGATAATAACTTTTAAAGTTGATGAAAAAAAAAGAATTATATCATTAAAAAAAAAACCATCTAAATTTGAGTGGGAAAAATAATAATATGCCGAGTCGTATTCGGTTATCACGGTAATCCCCAAAACGCTGCCTATTTTTAGAACACATCACACATCCTTCTCATTAGACAGAGAAGATAGACTAGGCTAACAAACAAACTCAAACAAACTAGCAAACAAACATTAAAACTACGTGTAAAATAAATAATAATAAAACCCAAAAACGACGACACTTTATCTCCCAAATTTTATGAAGTCTTTGTATTAAGCCAAAAAACAATACAATCTCTTTTGGTGACGGTGCCTCTATCTCTCTCCCCTGATCATTATGAGTAGTGTGCTTCGTACCCTCTTCTTCTCCACCTTGTATATCATCCCTTTTGTGACAACAAACCCACTGATCATCATCATCTCCACCTTTATTCCTTTTCCTCCTGTAAGTTTCAAGTGTTTGTTTCGTTGAATGAAATTAACGATTCGTGTTCATTCTTATTTTCAATAAATTATATGAGATCGAACTCTCGACCTATCCTAATTCTGAAAACTTTTATTCTTTTCTTTTAGAGGTTTTATGTTTTATTCTTTAGTGGGTTGCGCTTTGTTTGTCAAATCATTGAATAGTTGCTCACTAATTCATTTCTTTGTAATTGTAATCTTTTGAATATTAATTTCCTTTCTGGGTTATACTTGCTTCTCTCACATTGCCTGAATTCAGTGTTTTTGTGTGGATTTAGTTTCTCCTTTTTCTCTTTTAATAAAGATCACAACTCAATGCTTAAAGGTCACATTATTTTTAATATTATTACCATCTCTTTCAGCTTAGCACTATCAAAAGAAAAGAAAAAAATTACAGTTGTCAAAGATTCATGGCTCCCATGAGTCTTCATCTCCGTCTTAAATTCGGGGTCTGACATTAACATGATATTTAATTTATTTATTTGTTTAATGATTTTGTTTAGTTATATGCAAATTATGATTGAAGCAAAGGATGAAATTAAGAAACAGAAAAATAGGGTTGAAATTCTGGTTTCCAGGTTTGCATGCTGATACGTTTCCTTTTGTACTTCTCCAATTTTTGATTTTTTTTTCTTCTTCTTGTTTTTATTTACATATTATCATATTCTTCTCGTCGGATAGCGAACAGTAATGCATTTGGACCGTTGATCATGATGATATTAAGTAATTCCATCATCTCAACGGTGTACAGCATTCAATTTTTGTGGGGTCCCCATACAAGCAACAGTATGGATACATATATACATATATAAATGCATGACATGAAAACAACACGTGGTGCCATCTACCAACCCACGTGTAAGCCTAAAGCCACGGTTTATATTGTGAGATCCTAAATTATTGACATAAATGTTAATGTGTGGTGTAAATTGACAATCTGATATGTCATGTACGAATGTTTAAATAACGTGAATTATAGTCTATAATAGCGAAATTTAAATGTGTAATTCAAATTCACAGCCACTTAATTTGTTGTTATCATTGTAGGTTATTATTTATTTATTTTTTTCCTTATTTGAGCTATTAGCAATATATACCAAATATTCATAGGCCTAACACATTTTGATTTGGTTTCTTGTTTTGAAATTTTCCAGGCAAGTCACAGTGCTGTACAGCAATATTTACCAGGTTTCTGCCTCCTGAATTAACCCAAATATATTGACATCACAAATCTTAGCTGGCTCTGCTCATCTTTCTCTCCACCCAACACACTCAACTCTGTGATTTCCAAACCTTCATTGAGACACACCAAGCCACAGACAGGCCACTGTCACACTATGCAGCTATATAACTCTATGCATCTCCCCAGTGAGCCTCACCCATGCCAAGCTCAAGCCCCTCTAGAATTTGGTCTCAAGGCCTTAAATCTTGACCCCCCAAAAAAACACTCCTCACAAAAACTGCTCCATGATGCTGTCTGATCTTCTCTCTCCAACTTCTTCATCTCTCTTGTCTGGAGACTATATTGGAATGGAGAGCTCTGTGGATGTGCAGAAAGACTGTGAGGAGGACCAGGTGGTGCAAAATGATGATGATGAGGAGGAGGAGGGTCAAGGTGGTAATTTCAGGCAGAGGCTGATGGGTAGGAGGGAGCAAAAATGGGCAATGAGGAACAAGGAGTTTCCTCCTCCTATACCTTTGTTGGCTCGCACTGAGAACTTGCCTTCTCATATGCCTTGGGTGTTGAAAAGGCATTATACAAGTGATGGGAGGTTGATTTTGACTGAGGAGAAGGTTAGGCACCATGAGTACTTCAGGGCTCATAGGTCTAATGGCAGGCTCACTTTGCAGCTTGTGCCTTTGGATGATGAAGTTTTGATTGCCCCAGTTGCTCGTGATGAGGGAAATAAAGATGGGAATGGGAATGATAATGAGTATGATGATCAGGACCCACAATGTGATGATCATGGTGATGATGATGATGAAGAATATGATGAGGATATTGATGGTGATGATGATGATGGTTATGGTGATGATGATGATCATGTGGTTGAAGATCAATCAATAAGTGGGAATATTGGCGGATCAGCAGCAGGGAAGTGCTTCAATTTCAACAGTGTGGGGAACAGGATCACCTTGCATCTTTGGAGTGCCAGTGCCGGCCATCAGGCAGGTTCACAGTTAAAATTTGTTTGATGGAGAATGCCACACAAAATTTATGTCAAATTCCACTCCATCACTTGAAATTTTTATTTTGTAGGTCATGTGGCTCATCTGTCCATGCTTCTTGTTCTTCTTCTATGTTAGATTTGTTAGTTGTGTCCCTTCAAATTCCATGTGGGCTATTCATGAGGATTCAGATTTCTTTTGTATAGGTTTTTGCAGCACTGTGGAGGAAATTTTATTTTATTTTTTCATTTCTTCAAATTGGTTTATTAGCAATTCTTGTCTGGAGATTGTGAAGAGGATTTTTTCATTCATGTTTCATTGCTGTTGGATTGGGATTGGGTAAGTTTTCCATTGTCCATAAAACCAGATGGGTGTTGCTAATCGATATTTGATTCTTTTATGGAGCCTCATATATCATCCTAGCATAGCATTACCCTTTTCACTATATATATTATACATCAATGATTTCAAACTGAATAGGAATGACCTGATATGGTTGCCCTTCCAAATGTTCTTTTTAGCTTGTCTATTATTTGGGAAGGAGAAATCCCAATTATCCTTAGCACAATCAAATTGGCTAGAATGCATTGTTTTCTATTTGACTAAAGAATCAGCTCTTTTTGGACAATACATTGTTTCACGATTTTTTTTTCTTTTTTGAAAATCTCATTCTTATATTCATATTTTAAGCGTTTTAAGATAAAGAACTTATTTATAATAGTTTGATGTATCAGTTGCGTCTCACGCGATGTGTATTGTACCTAGCAGATACATGATTTCGGTGTATGGAAGTTTTTATGAGAATAAATAATTCTCATTTCAATGTTTAAAAATGCTAAGATGGTATTCAAGAACTACATAATTTTAATTATATTTTTAAGTTTGGGTTCCTATATAGTAATAGGAATCAAAATATATTCTTTCTCTTCTTCTTTTTTTCATTTTTCCTTTATAGCTTTTCATTCTCATGTAAAAGGTAACACATTTCAAAACTGTAAACTGCCCACACACCAAATACGAGAATAGATTCTCATACCCATTTTCCAACCTTCATTTTCAAAAACCCAAACACTAATGTAAAGGATGACAGCTCAAGGTCAACAACTAGAGATGACCTTATTTAATTAGGGTTTGGCTCTTTTGAGATTACAGGCTTCTTCTCATCAATTAGTGGCTTCTTCTTCTCTGTTCACGCATTGCGGTGGTTCAGAGTGTGTAAAGAGCCAGCCAGCGTCCTAGGGTAACATCACATGCATTCAGAAGGTTAACGCATACTCGAAAAATATCCAGGTGGTAGGGGTGCATATATATATCTGCACTGCACTGGACTGCAGTATATAACAAGCTGACATGGTTCAATTTATGAGAAGGGCCGTATTCATATTCATAATTTTTGGATATTTGATACGATGATGTTATTGGGGAAGCCAAATGATTGAATGCAATAGATATCTCACAATCACAATACGGTTGTAGAGTGAAGTGAGTACAGCTACCTCCCAATATGATAATTCACAACTACAAGTATTGAATAATTGTCAGACATCATCATTGGCCTGTCCTTCATGGCTTGCACTTCCCCACTTACTGCATTATTCACAACCCACGCTAACTTCTGCCACCCTGCTGCTGCGTTTATCAATGCCTCTATTATAAGCTATGCCTATGGTTGGCTGTCACCCTCATTGAGATAGTAATATTTACAAGATAGTTCTATGATGTAGTAGTATTAATAAGATAGTTTTATGATATAGTATTAACAATCTACTTTTATGAAGAGTCCTTCGTTGGTTTTCGCAATTTTTTTATTTATAAATAAATTGTTTGGGTTTTTTTTTGGGTTTTTTGGGTTGAGTTTTTTTGTGTTGGCTTTTTTTAAAGTTAACTAGTGGCAATCATGTAATTTATAGGAACTTCAACACTCATTTCTTATGTAGTAAATTGTTTTTGGGTGTGTTTATAAAGTGCATTCCAAAAAAAAAAAAAAAAAAAAATTTATCTAGCCTTTTACTTTTGGGTATAATAGTGATAGCTCTCTTTAATTTTCACAGTTTAATTGTTTATTATTGATTTTGGGACGGTTTTATACAAAGTATATAAAATTAGACAACAAAACCCTTGTTTTATTTAATTTTGTTTTTCCTCACAAGGATAAACAAACTGTAAGGAAAATTTTCCAATAAGTATTTTAAGGATAAACAAACTGTAAAACATCCTAGATAAAGTCATACCATAGCACACACGTGAAATAAATTACAAGAAGGAAACATCTATGGAGAATCTTTCTAAACAGAAGACACAGGAAAAGTGAAATGTGCACAAGAAAGAAGCACATTCTTATTAGGTAGCCAACGGATCAAGAGCAAGCAATTCACCACATGTCATCATATGTATCGGCTTCGACAAATGCAACATCTGAGTTGAGAGGAAATGAGAAACTTGTTTCAATGTTGGACGAGATTTCGGGTTGGAATTCAAGCATGAAAATGCTATCCTCACAAGAGAGACCACTTCACTTGCAACTTGATGCGTAGGAGGGGAAATGCGATGGTCCAAAACATCCACAATTGGTATTTGATGGGCTGGTAATGGAGATGATGATGATGAAGAGGAGGATGAAGAGACTGATGAGAAAGATGAGAAAAGATCTCCAGGATGCTTTCCCATAATTATTTCCAATGTGACCACACCAAAGCTATAAACATCGCAGCTCTCATTCACTTCCATTGTGTAACCAAGCTCTGCTCAGAGAAAACCTCAGAGAAGTAGCATTATTAGTTTATAGACATAACTATTCAATGGAATTTTAACGAAACTATATCATGCATAAATTGACTTATTAGTTTATAGCTTAAGAGAAATGAAAATGTGTTTATTAGTATATTTTCTAAATCAAAGCAGTGAAAATGTGTTTATGTTAACCGCTCCTAATGATGAAAATGAAGCATTGGTCTAAAGGCAAAACCATGAAAAGTGATAAATACAGAGAACATGGAATCACAATATTACCTGGTGCCATGTAGCCATACGTGCCTGCAATGGCAGTCCAATTAGTTGAGTTTTCTTCTTACGGCAGCCCAAGCCCATTCGTCAGGCTGCTGGAACAAAAAGACCCCTACAAACAGCTGCAACGGTTTCTTTTTAGCCGAAAAACACAATTTGAAGACCCAGATTTCATTCAATCTGGTTTCCACTTGTAAGTTGTAACGGCTACATTAACCAAATGCCCAGATTTCTTTCCGCTTTTCCTTTTCAAATCGGACGGCCAGATCAGCTCCCACAAGCCAAAGGCTGCATTAACCCAAAAGGCCCAAACAAATTATATTAAAAACACAGACACAGACACAAATCATCGAATGGTCCAAAAAATTCGAAAACACATCTAAATATTCATGAAGTCACCTTTTTCTTTATAATCTAACGGTTCATATTGGATAAAATCATGCATTCTTGAAATTTTTAAACATTTCGGTCGATTTGTTTGGAAAAGCCAAATAAACATAACACAAAATAAAAACACACAAAAACAAACTCATATAAAAAAATTAAATTTATATCTTCAGATTACATCCACTCTATTTGAAGCAAAAACTACATTTACATCCCGAAGGTGCAAAATGTGATGTAAATGTGGCTCTACAGCCCCAAACTTACATATGTCCACCGAAGATGCTCTTAGGGCTAGTATTCATAAACTTTACGATCTTTTGTTTTTAGGGAAATGTTTTTTTTTATACAATATGTGCTATTTATAATGTTAGGAAATCATGTCCTTGACTTGTGAAACAAATAAGTGCATAACAACATAAACGTGACCATGAAGAACACAAAAATAAATCAATCACACACAACGACATAAGAATTTGACAAAGTTCACTCACTATAAATTATATCTCATAATTGTTAAAGATATTCATATTATTGAACAAGAATGAGAACAATTGCAAGCACCCAACAAGTTTGATGATACTAAGTGATCCAACCGCTAAGTGAATATCATTTATGGATATAAATGCTAAGTAATAGTTATATCACTAAAATTGTTAGTAGTGCATGTCCCCTATTTCCCAAGAAAAATCAATCTCTTCAAAGGTTTATTTATCTATATATATAAAGCAAAAGGCAGAGAATGGTGAAACATTCAAAATGCCAGAAAATGCCCTTAGTTAATTCAAACATTAAGAATTTAAATTATTAATTAAATGAGGATAATATGGTAAATTCACATTTTCTAATATTTAAATAATAATAATAATAATAATAATAATAATAATAAAATCATATAATAGGTCCTACTTTTATGGAACATAACTACCCATGTTATCTTTTCTTAATTCTTAAAAAAAAATTACAAAAAAATAAATAAATAAATAAGCCTCTCACAGGTGCGGAAGCGCGTGTGTAGAGGCTAATTTTTTTTTCTGTTGTACAAAAGAGGGCTCAAAGTCGAAACCGGGCTTTTTATTTTAAATGTGACTTTGTTTTCTACCCAATTGAATTGGGTTACAATAAATTATCTCACATTGAAAAAAACCTAGCCCATCTTCAAATGTACCAAGGCTACAAGAAAAATCAATCTTTTCGAGAAATACACTAAGCGATAGAAAATCTTTTAGAGGGACATCGATCAAGATTCAAAATTCAAAACCCCTTTTCAAGATGGCAAAGAAGGATAGGAATCCCTAACCTCTAGTCACTTCGTCTCCTCTGCCAAAGCCTCCTGTATCAACATTCCCTAACAATATAGAAGGATTTGAAGCTTGGTTGAAGGCATGAGTCGATCCTATTGTTGCAAGGGTGCCCCTTCCCCCGCTCCCACCTTCTCAGCCCAAACCTCCCTTTACATGGCTAAATCCATGACATTTGACTCTAGCAGAGCGTCCCCAACTTCTAGTGCCTCGTCCCCTCTGTTGAAGCCTCCCATATAATCTTTTCCTAACAATATAGAAGGATTTGAAGCTTGGCTGAAGGCATGAACCGATTGTCTTGCTGCCAGGGTGCCCCTTCCCCCCATCCACCTCCTTAATCCAAGCCTTCCTTTACATGGCTCAATCCGCGACATTTAACTCTAGCACAACATCCTCAACCTCTAGTGTCGTCGTCTCCTTCGCCGTAGCCTCCTGTATCATCTTTCCCTAACAATATAGAACTATTTGAAGCTTGGCTGAAGACAAGAGCAGATCTTATTGCTGCAAGGGTGTCCTTTCCCCCTCTCTCACCTCCTCAGTCCAAGCCTCTCCTTACATGGCTCAATCCGCAACATTTTGACTATAGTACAGCGTTCCCAACCTCCAATGCCATCATCTCCTCCGCCGAAACCTCTCTATCATATTTCCCTAACAATATAGGATTTGAAGCTTGGCTAAAGGCAGGAGCTGATCCTATTGATGTAAGGGTGCCCCTTCCCCCGCTCCCACCTCCTCAACCTAAGCCTCCTTTACATGGCGCAATCTGCGACATTTAACTCTAGCACAGCATCCCCAACCTCCAATGTTGTTGTCTCTTCCTTCGGTTTTTTCGTATTATTATTCATCGTCTCCAAACCTTTAACTGAAATGGATGCATATTGCTCAATCTCCTCCATTAAATTGTCATCACACATTCAGTATGAAACGCAAAACCCATGCAATGGATTTGAATTTACAGTAGGATTTTGTGTGTGATTCTATATGGTTATAATGAGGTGGCCTTTAATAGCCATCTGATCAATGAAAATGTTACTATCGCATGGCTAGATTGAACTCCTTCCTTAACACGCCCTTCGTTATAGATGCTCCCCTGACTTGTTGCAACAGTGGCTGTCATACACTTCACAGGCAAACTTTTGCCCTCAAAAGGCACAATGCTCATGAGCCTATTTGGGCTTAACTCTCCCTGACTTGTTGCAACAATGGCTGCCCTACACTTCACTGGCTAACTTCTGCCCTCGAAAGGCACAATGCTCATGAGCCCATTTGGGCTTAACTCTAAGCCTGTAACTTTCCTACCCAGGTTGGTTTAGCCCTCTTGATCCGACGGTGCAATTTTGGATTTTGCATATGAGCCTTGGTCAGCTTTGTGGGTTGGCCGTTTGTGCCTTTGTTGTTTTGCATGAGTTGACTCGTTTTATGGCAATGAATCCTAACCCTTCATCTTTGTAATGACCGAAACCAACTTTGATCACTACCGAAACCATAATTCCACATTAAATTTCATTCTCGTCCAAGATAACACATTATAGACCAAAGACGACATTATAAAATTGTAAATGACAATTAAAACCATTGGATAAATTCATTCATAGTATAAATTATTTTAATTATTTTTAGAAAAATAATTGGTTTCCTTCCTTTTTTTTTTTTTTTTTTTTTTTTTTTTTTTTTTTTTTTTTTTTTTTTTTTTGGTGGTTTATTTAATTTTATTATCATATTAGGAATAACAACCATGCATGCCAATCTCCTCGATATAGTTTCAATTTTATCGAACATCTCAAAAAGACGTCAGCCATAAACAGCTTGCAAAATTCGTAGCGTACGCCAAGCAACATATACAAAAACTTTAATCCAAACACCATATAAATGCCAATCGGTAGTATTTAACTAGAAATTTAATCCTTTACTATTAAAAAAAATGTAAATTAGCAGAATATTGAGGTCATCATAATAATCTTTTATGTGTCATGTCATGCGTGCCCAAATGTGGCATTTGCTGGATGAGTTTTAGGAACCATTTTAATTTCTGGAAACTTTTGAAATGTTAAAGTTGTAAATGCAGATATGGGCGTAACCAAGTTGGTTAGACCATATGTGCTTCCCACTCTACATCTGAGTTCAAATCATCCTCTCCGTAATCTTGATTAAATTGAAGTATATTATCGCTTGAAAACAAAAAATTGTGAAGATAATAACTTTTAAAGTTGATAAAAATAAAAGAATATATAATAAAAAAAAAAAAAAAAAAAAAAAAAAAAAAAAATTTGAGAGAGGAAAAATTATAATATGCCGAGTCGTATTCGGTTATCACGGTAATCCCTAAAACGCTGCCTATTTTTAGAACACATCACACATCCTTGGCCTTAGACAAAGAAGATAGACCAGGCTAACAAACAAACTCAAACAAACACTAATACTACGTGTAAAATAAATAATAATAAAATCAAATAAAATCCAAAAACGACAACACTTTAGCTCCCAAATTTTATGAAGTCTTTGTATTAAAACAAAAAAACAATACAATCTCTTTTGGTGACGGTGCCTCTATCTCTCTCCCTTGATCATTATGAGTAGTGTGCTTCATACCCTCTTCTTCTCCACCTTGTATATCATCCCTTTTGTGACAACAAACCCACTGATCATCATCTCCACCTTTATTCCTTTTCCTCCTGTAAGTTTCAAGTGTTTGTTTCGTTTTAACGATTCGTGTTCGTTCTTATTTTCAATAAATTAAATGAGATCAAACTCTTGACCTATTCTAATTCTGAAAACTTTTATTCTTTTCTTTTAGAGGTTTTATGTTTTATTCTTTAGTGGGTTGCGCTTTGTTTGTCAAATCATTGAATAGTTGCTCACTAATTCATTTCTTTGTAAACTGTAATCTTTTGAATATTAATTTCCTTTCTGGGTTATTCTTACTTCTCTCACATTAAGAAACAAAAAAATAGTATATATATCTGCACTGCACTGGACTGGACTGCAGTGTATAACAAGCTGACACGGTTCAATTTACGAGAAGGGCCGTATTCATATTCATAATTTTTGGATATTTGATATTGGGGAAGCCAAATGATTGAATGCAAAAGATATCACAATCGCAAAACGGTTGTAGAGTGAAGTGAGTACAGCTACCTCCCAATATGACAATTCACAAATATAAGTATTGAATGAATTGTCAGACATCATCATTGGCCCGTCCTTCATGGCTTGCACCTCCCCACTTACTGCATTATTCACAACTCACACTAATTTCTGCCACCCTGCTGCTGGGTTTATCAATTCCTCCGTTATAACCTATGCCTATGGTTGGCTGTCACCCTCATTTCCACTGGAAAAACTTATGTGAAACAGGAACTGCAAAACGGTACTATCTCATTTTGGAAGGTTTGATGATCCAAATTTAGTGAAAAATATTATTTTCCTTCATCGTCAAAACCCAATAACCAGTCCTGTTTGATTGACGTTGAATTGGATCCATTTGATTGATGTTGATGTTGAGATTGCAAAATTACTTAACCAACGTTGGATTGGATTGAATACATTTTTTGTCAAACTAATCCAATTGTTTCAAACCCATGAACATATTTACTAACTATGCTTCTATTCTATATATAACATATAAACCTCTATATGATAATAGTTAGTTAGAGCATCTCAATTGGTTAGGTGTAAAATCATGTGTAGTGCAATTGTTTCAGAAAAACACAAGTTTTTGATAGCTAGTTTGGTACATTATGCGATTAAGAACATAAATAATAGCAATAATATGTCATATTGTATCCATATTATTAGATTTTAAATTATTTGGCGAAATAACATTTTCACGCTCCAATCCGGAAATAAAGAATATTCCAAAATCAGGGTGCGTGAATGGAAAGAAATAAATAAAAAGACAGAAAAATTGGTTAAAATATATTACCAATACATATATAAAATTATTATAATCTTACAAGTATACAAGATATAAATAAAAGTTTATCACTCTAAACTAATCCAACTTCTCTAGTTTCGGCTTTGTCTTGCCCACTAATTGATCTGAAAAACAAAATAGGTGAGGGATGAGCAAACCACCGATCAGTGAGTAGAGTATATAATATGTCAATTAAGCAATGTCATTTTACACACTCTAGAAAAATATAACAAAAAGATACATGATCCAAATCATATCACATCATTACTTCATATCTTAATTATACTTCACAAATTGTACCCATTACGTGACCTTTATTGGCCTCATTGCCCTATGTCCCTGTCTGGTACACTTATCCTTCAGATACCTCCTCACTGAAGTTCTCATGTTCCATGAATAGTACACACTTCACAAAAACTCCAAATAATATATGTTGTGTGAAATATTGCACAAATTAGACATGCTTGACTTGAAAATAGAGATAGATTTGTAAATAGAATAAATCCATGATAATTCATGATGTTCACATTTATCACAAAATAAGAACTTTTAGAACACACTACATAACCCACTCCCCATGATAAATACGAAATATTGTAAGACAAACACACACGCTCTTCATCTCTCTCTCTCTCTCTCTCTCTCTCTCTCTCTCTCTCTCTTTAACACTACTGATGGTAGAAATCTATCTTAAGGGATTGTAATGAATGATTGAAGTAAGGAAGCATGATACTTATAGGAGAGGCTACAGATGCAAAAATGATGTCATCTTTCAACTAAAGGGATAATCTCATACTAGGCTTAAGATTTAATAATATATAAGTCCTCACAATAAATATTTAAATAAAAAATTTATATTAATAAAAAATTAATATGTAGTATGAATAATTATATATATATATATATATATTATAGGTTCTCACAAACATTTATATATATTTTTTATGTATTTTATGCACACAATTGTCAATGAACGAGATATATATTTTATAAATGGTAAAATGATTACTTAAAATTGAAATTTAACATAACCACAAATAAATAAATATTTGATTGTAAAAATCTAATGTTTTACTAACTACTTTTTCGAAACTTTGAATTATTCTATTATTTTTCCTGATTTTGGTCATACCTAATATTTTTATATTTTACTAATATATTTGGTTTTTTATTTATAGAAACAATTCACATGCTAGTTATTGGTGGAGTAATAGAGAAAAAATAGAAGAGAGATTAGTAAAAGAAAAATATGGAACATATTTTTTAATGCCTATTATTATTTAATATAAATATATTTAACTTTTTCTGTTTATTGTAATTTTCTTTTAATTTCTATTGGTTTTTTTAGTTAATTACATTCTTACTTTAAGTTTTCATATACATAAACATCAACCCAAAAGGGCAATTAATAAATAAAAACAATAGCCTACTATTCGTATAAATGCTTTTTGTACTTTTTTATATACCATGTTAAATAAAATATATATAAATATGTTTTTTGTCTTTTTATATAGCCAGCTTTTTTAGTTTGCTTTTATTAACAGCCATAGATTCAAAGTGATCTAACAGTTGAAATTTGACCGCATCGGTTCACTAGTGCAATGTAGAATCTTCCCCTCATATGTGCCAAGGCTACAAGAGAAGCCAGTCTAAGAAATATAGTGAGCGATTCAAAACTTTTTAGAGGGAAATTGATCAAGATTCAAAATTCAAACAATCAACTAATCAAGATCCCTTTCCAAGATGGCAGAGAAGGATAGGAATCCCCAACCTCCATTGTTGTCGTCTTCTCCATCGAAGTCTTTGGTATCATCCTTCCCTAACAATTTAGAAGGATTTGAAGCTTGGCTGAAGGCAGGAGCGAACCCTTTCCCACATCCTCAGCCCAAGTCTCCCCTTACATGGTGAAATTTAGCACACCGTCCGGTGCCATCTTCAGATATGCCGCGGCCACCGATGAGATCTTAGGCTCTAACTCAGCCTTTGGTGCCATCTTCACCTCTGCCACAGCCTCCATGATGGTCGCCTCAGCCAGAGGCTCAAGTTGGATCTTCGACTGCGCCACCGGCTCTGGCTCGATCTTCGGCTCCGCCAGTTGGATCTTCGGCTCATGCAAGGGCTCTTGCGCGATCTTCAACTCTGCCACCGCCATGGGCTTTGGCTCAATCTTGGGCCCTGCCACAGACTCCAAATGTATCTCGGCCTCCACGGCTGTCTCTGGTGCAATCTTCACCTTTGCCAAAAACTACACGATTGTTGTCGTCTTCTCCGTCGAAGCCTTCAATATTATCCTTCCTTAACAAGTTGGAAGGATTTGAAGCTTGGTTGAAGGCAGGAGTGGATCCTCTCCCACCTCATCAACCCAACCCTCTCCTTACATGGCGAAATTTAGCACATCGTCCAGCGCCATCTTCAGATATGTCGTGGCCACCGATGCGATCTTGGGTTCCAACGCAGCCTTTGGTGCCATCTTCACCTCCGCCACAGCCTCCACGATCGTCAGCTCCGCCAGAGGCTCAAATTGGATCTTCGGCTGCACCACCGGCTCTGGCGCGATCTTCAGCTCCACCAATTGGATCTTCGGTTCAAGCACGGGCTCTAGCGCGATTTTCGACTCTGCCACCGCCATGGGCTCTAGGGCAATTTTGGGCTCCGCCATAGACTCTATATGTATCTCGGGCTCCACGGCCGTCTCTGGTGCAATCTTCACCTTCGCCAAAAACTACACGATTGTTGTCGTCTTCTCCGTCGAAGCCTTCAGTATTATCTTTCCTTAACAATTTGGAAGGATTTGAAGCTTGGCTGAAGGTAAGAGCGGATCCTCTCCCATCTTCTTAGCCCAAGCCTCCTCTTACATGGCGAAATTCAGCACATCGTCCATCTTCATATATGCCGCGGCCACAGATGCGATCTTGGGCTCTAAAGTAGCCTTTGGTGTCATCTTCACCTCCGCCACAGCCTCAACGATCGTGGGCTCCGCTAGAGGCTCAAGTTGAATCTTCGGCTGTGCCACCAGCTCTGGCGCGATCTTTAGCTATGCCAGTTGGATCTTCTGCTCACGCACAGGCTCTAGCGCGATCTTCGACTCTGCCACCGTCATGGGCTCTGGGGCAATCTTGGGTTTCGTCACAGGCTCCAGATGTATCTAGGGCTCCACGGCCGACTCTGGTGCAATCTTCACCTTCGCCAAAAACTACACGATTGTTGTCGTCTTCTCCGCCGAAGCCTTCGATATCATCATTCCTTAACAATTTGAAGTTTGGTTGAAGGCAGGAGCGGATCCTCTCTCACCTCCTCAGCCCAAGCCTCCTCTTACATGGCGAAATTTAGCACACCGTCCGGTGCCATCTTCAGATATGTCGCTGCCACCGATGCGATCTTGGGCTCCAACGTAGCCTTTGGTGCCATCTTCACCTCCGCCACAACCTCCACGATTGTTGGCTCCGCTAGCAGCTCAAGTTGGATCTTCGGTTGCCCCACCGGCTCTGGCACGATCTTCGGCTCCGCCAGTTAGATCTTCGGCTCACGAACGGGCTCTAGCGCGATCTTCGACTCTACCACTGCCATGGGCTCTGGTGCAATCTTGGGCTCCGCCACAGACTCCAGATGTATCTTGGGCTCCACGGCAATCTCTGGTGCAATCTTCACCTTCGCCAAAAACTACGCGATCGTCGGCACGAGTCCTGGTGCAATCTTCGACTCTGCCATAAGCGTCACAACGGCGTTGTGTGCTTGATTGGCCTCCGTCTATGAAGGGGTTCAATGACTGGATAGAGGTAGAGGAGAATAACCATTTAGCCTCTAACCAAGATAATCGATCGGCAAGTGAACTTCTTGAATATGCTTATAATGCGTTTATGGCGGCACATTCCAAAAGCGACTCAAGTTTATCCGGTCTACAATTGAGGCGAACGAAGCAACCATAAAACAAAAATATGTCTCTACAGCTGTACTTGATGCAATAGAATATGCTGAAGCGGCGGTCATCCGGCGTAACAAAGCAATAGTCGAGCTGTTACGTTTGCGCAAGGCTGCCAGACGTCGATTTCTGGCGGTAAGGCTTGGTTTACCGATTTGTTTGTATAGGGTGGTGGAGTCTGATATCATTCGGTGCATCTTCTGGAACAATGTTGACAGCTTTGTGATTAACAATGAAAATATTCTTATTGAGTTTATCAAAGATGGTTATTTTGGCAATGTAAAAAGTTTGAAGGCATTCGAGAACAGCTTGTTAGTTCATGTGGGTATTTGTTTGAATTGAAACATTTTATTTATTTGGATTTATGTGGAGTTCTAATATTTGTGCAATAATTTTTTGTAAGGTTTTACTGCTGCTGGTACCATTTTCACGCACATTTTGGGAAATTCGTATGGGGGCATCCCGAATTGCTAAAGGAGATCAAACGTGCTGAACGGTAATTGCCTTCGCTTAAATTTCATGGTTTTTTAGGATATTGTCTTTGACAAAAAGATTGTAATGATGAACTGGTTTTGTACTTGTATATGAAAATTTGTTGTTCATCTCAACTAATCCCATACTCGTATGTATACCTATTATTTGTGAATGACTAGCTCAACAACCCTAATAACCACCTTAAAGAAAACCAGGATAGAAATTTTCTTTTGAACAGTATAAAGTGAAACATAAAACTGAAGTGAAAGAGATCATCCAGCACAACATGTCATCCGACATTTCCTTGAAACTGCCCCGTTTTTCACCAGGCTTACTCGATTGATGGACAACTTGGCCTTGTAAGAATCTGCCCCGTTTTCCAACGCAGCCTCTGGTGCCATCTTCACCTCCGCCACAACCTTCACGATCGTCGGCTCCGCCAGAAGCTCAAGTTAGATATTCGGCTGCGCCATTGGCTCTGGCTTGATCTTCAGCTCACGCACGGGCTCTAGCGCAATCTTCGACTCTGCCACCGCTATGGGCTCTGGCGTAATCTTGGGCTCCGCCACAGACTCCAGATGTATCTTGGGCTCCACGGCCGTCTCTAGTGCAATCTTCACCTTCGCCAAATACTACACAATTGTTGTCCTCTTCTACGTCGAAGCCTTCAGTATCATCATTCCTTAACAATTTAGAAGGATTTAAAGCTTGGCTGAAGGCAGGAGCGGATCCTCTCCCACCTCCTCAGCTCAAGCCTCCCCTTACATGGCGAAATTTAGCACACCGTCCGGTGCCATCTTCAGATATGCCGCTGCCACCGATAAATAACAAACAAAAAAAAAAAAAAAAAAAAAAAAAAAAAAAAAAAACCTTATTTTGAAATTATGCAAAACATGAGGGAAAAATAAATATAGTTTATCACAGGTCATTCTTACTTGATCTTTGAAATACGCAACAGCCCTTAGAGCACATATTTTCCAAACTCTCACCATTGGGAACTTTTTCGTTCCCATATCTAACTGTTGTTTCCAGGTTTATTGAGACCCTGTAATTCCCCATACCTAAAAACAGAGTCCATGCCATATGGGTAAGTAGAGGAAATGGATAACAGCCAAGAAGAATAACTACATTCTTTCATTGAATCGCCAATCTGTTAAGACAGGAATGGATTGCTTTTTTGTGTCTTCACTAAAAATCCAACTCCATGCCCTTGCCTGTTCAGTTTCATTATGCAATATAACTTGCACCTACAGGCAAATTGATGGTTAACAGGCTGACAAATGAATACAAATTCAAATATGTGTCATATAAAATAAAAAAAACATCTGTCTCATCCAATGGAACACATTTAGGCCAAAACAGTAAAACCTGGGCACTAAGACATTAAAAACAGTTGTGATAATGCAACTCAAATTAAATAGTGTAAATTTTTGTATTCCCTTCTCCTACTTCTTTATTTAGGATATAGACAGATGTATTGTCTGCTTTACCCTACCAATTATAACAAATGGTATAAAACCAATTCAATTATAGTTGGACATCAATTTCCAGTTGCCACTATCATAAAGCCTCCAAAAATCCACTTAAGTTGTTTATACTAAAATTCGACAAAATCCTATACCCCAAATTACCTTTTTACGATGGTGTTGTGTCATGGAAAGCATGGCAGTCATCTGTAATCAGTGCAGTTGTATAGATCATGTCGACAGGTATGTTGCTGATTCTCTTGCCACCTTCAATTGCCTCTTCTACACCCTTCTTGCTCTGAGGGACATCAACACAGCCCGTGAACAAATTTTTGTATTCCCTTCTCCTACTTCTTTATTTAGGATATAGACAGATGTATTGTCTGCTTTACCCTGCCAATTATAACGAATGGTATAAAACCAATTCAATTATAGTTGGACATCAGTTTCCAGTTGCCACTATCATGAAGCCTCCAAAAAGCCACTTAAGTTGTTTATACTAAAATTCGACAAAATCCTATACCCCAAATTACCTTTTTAAGACGGTGCTGTGTCATGGAAAGCATGGCAGTCATCTGTGCAAGAATCAGTGCAGTTGTATAGATCATGTTGACAGGTATGTTGCTGATTCTCTTGCCACCTTCAATTGCCTCTTCTACACACTTCTTGCTCTGAGGGACATCAACACAGCCCATGAACAAGTATTTTTCGTTCCACAATGACTCGCCATGTGTTTCCCTCTTTTCAGCAGGGTGGCCGACGAAAGGAACTTTTGGTCCTTCTTCTTTTGGATGCAGGGCGTGCCACCACCAAGCCCCGAACTTGGGCTTGAATGGAATGTGAATAGATAAATGTGTTGCACTTCTAACTTCTGACCAGACGATTGATTGGCCAAGCAAGGAAAATCATCTTGGCCTAGATTCTTTCACTTATTCAGGCTTGAGGATGGTTAGGTTTCGTATGGATGTTTTTGTGGTTTTTATGGTTTAAGTAAAAATAATGCAATTAAACTAAATATGCGTATAAACGTAAAGACAAGAATTGAAGTGCGATAAAATAAATCAAAGCGATAAATAAAGCAAGAACGAAAGAAAAGCAATAAGAACGATAAAATAAACAAACTTGAAATTAAACGTAATTGAAGTGCGATAACAATGAAAATTAAAGTAATAGAAACAAACTTGAATTTAAATGACAAGAAATATAAATCGAAACAAGAATTTAAATGACAAGAAAAATATAAACTTACACTAGAAATATGAAGAACTCACTACACTAGGTGCTTGAAAAATAAAATCCTAAGTCTAGGAAAAGAAAAGTGCAAGACGAAAGATAAGTTTGTTTGTCTGATGTTGTGTGTCTTCTGCCTTCATTTGATGAAGTTTATATAAGGTGTCCGTTGGCCCATGGGCTGGCCATTGAATGGCAAAATGTCAAATCTTTTTAATACTCTTTCCTTTTGAAGCCCCTTGAATTCGTGGGATCACATTGGCGAAAATATTCTAATTGCTTGATTCTCTCATGTTTTGGAATATGTTGAACTATCATCAATCTCCTTGATTTGTTTCCTTGTGAGGCCTCCATCACATGCACATTAACCTCCGGAAATCTTGGGCATGAATCTGTGGCTTGGGCCTTGACATCCGAGATTTCATCTTGACATCTAGTGGAACCTCGTGCCCCTTGAGTTTTTAGAATTCTAGAGTTGGCTTACCATCTGTCGACCATCCGCCAAGATGGGTGGTATGGGAATTCCAAATGTTTGGATGTTGGGCTTGGCCCTACATTGGACTATATTTGAGTTCTCAAATATTCGAATATTGGGAATTCGGCGGACATACCTCCCGCTAAACTTCAACTCTCTTGGCCCGACTTTGCTTGCCCAAGTGTTGAGAGGAGGGCGCCAAGGTAAGTAAAGAGAAAATTTGCCCCGGCCCAGCTTTTTGTAAGAGGAGTGGCCGACCAAGGTATTTAAGGAGTGCCCGGCCCAACTTTTTGAGAAAGAAGCATTCGGCCACTTTTGCAAGGATACGCCCGGCTACTTTTGCAAGGATACGCCCGACTACTTTTACAAAGGAAAGCGTCTAACCATATTTTTGAGAAGGCACCACGACCTTTGAAGAAATCACCTCGGCCGCATTATTGAGAAGGCACCATGACCTTTGAAGAAAAGACCTCGGTAGCATTTTTGAGAAAGCACTTCGGCCGCCAGGAATTCCACCGCTAGGAATTCTTCGGCCGCTAGGAATTCTCGGCCGCTAGGAATTCTTCGACCGCTAGGAATTCTCGGCCACTAGGAAATCTCGGCCGCTAGGAAATCTTCGCCCGCTAGGAAATCTCGCCCGCTAGGAATTCTTCCCCCGCTAGGAATTCTTTGGTCACTAGGAATCCTTCGCCCGCTAGGAATCCTCGCATTCTAGGAATTCTCACCCGCTAAGAATTCTCTAATCGCTAGTAATTCTCAGCCACTAGGAATTCTTCTCCCTTTAGGAATCCTCGGTCGCTAGTAATTCTCATTTGCTAGGAATTCTTCGCCCGCTAGGAATCTTCTACCACTAGGAATTCTCGGCCGCTAGGAAATCTTCGCCCGCTAGCGACATATAATGACTTAGTTTTGTGCTGCACAAGCAAAGATTATCAACGTGATTGCTACATCTGCAATGCATGCACCATGCAATGGGTTGCTCTTCCTCCCACCCCAAGTCGATGTCACGAGTGGGATTCACCGACTTGGGTTGTATAGAGACTTGGGTAATGGTCTAATATAGGCCTCATCATTTGGCCCGCGGGCTCATGGGCCGATGGGGGCCCGCCCGGCCCATTGGAAAAAAGCCCGGCCCGGTCCATAGGCCCGACCCGATTAAGCCCAAGAAGGCCCGGCCCGGCCCACCCACAAAAGCCCGGCCCGTTAGGCCCGCATACATATATAATTATGTATAAATAAGAGTTTAGGATTAGGATTATATCACTTAAATCACATATATAATTTGTTTCATTTCATTTACTTTTCTTTACTCATTCCTAATTTATAATTGGATGATTAGCACATTAATTTGTGTCAATTATTAATACAACAATTATATATATATATATATATATAAATAAGATGAACAATATATCATATCACTAAATATAATCATATCACGAAACATAATCGTACTACTACCACCAAATATAATCATGTTTTTCTTGAACACATCACCAAACATTTACATATTTATTTATACCATCCTTTAAAAAAAATATCTTTTTGATACTTATTATTTTTTAAAATTATTTTTTAAAACGTATTACGGTCTAATTATGTAATAACCTCAAAAATAATACTTTGTTTTATTATTTTTGTGGAAAATCTTATTAAGTTGTGTGACTTTATTGGGTATTTTATGAATTTGGTTTGATGTGAAAATATTGGAATTAAGTGAGTTTAATCTCAAATTTAGACTAAAATGTCCTTATGATTAAGTTTATGATTTTTTTCAAATGAAGTAGGCCCGTTTCGGCCCGGCTTGTTGGGCTTAGCCCAGCCCGACCCAATGGGCTTTCTCAAGCCCGACCTATGGGTCGGGCTTGGGCTTTGAATTTTCTAAAAAAACCCGGCCCGGCCCGGCCCGATATTTTCTCTCTCCTCTTTAAAGCCCGGCCCGGCCCGACCCAAGCCCGTTAAATTTGGGCCGGGCTAGCCCGTTAAATTTGGGCCGGGCTAGCCCGGCCCGGCCCATTGACGAGCCCTAGTCTAATATATAAAGAGTATAGCCCTCGGCTACACTATTTATTTAAAAAAATTAAAAAAAAAAAAAAAAAAAAAAAAAAAAAAAAAAAAAACCGCAACCGCTTGCGCAAGCTATACTATTCTTAAATTTTTTTTTTTGGAAAAACCGAGTATAGCCAGTTGGCTAAACTATTGCTTTTAAACAAATTTGAAAAACCTTAGTATAGCCGATCGGAGATACTATTTTTTTTTAAAAAAATTAAGAAAAAACCGAGTATACGGGAAATTTGCATAAATACCACATGAACTTTTAGGTCAGTGGAAAATTACCACAAGAACTTTTAATTTTTACTATGAGCCACATGAACTTTATAGAGTGTTGCAATGTACCATCTAAATCCTAAACCCTTAAACTTTCAGTTAACTATAAGGGCATTGCTGTCAATTCGCTAGAACTTATAAATTAAAATTTTAAAACTAACATAATTATCACACCAAAATAAAAAAAACACTAACCTAATTATTGTTATCGCATGACCACCACCACCCCTTCCAACCCTCTCCCCCACCCTCTGCACAAGCTGCAACCTCTTGCACGCAATGATCCAAGATCCATGAAATCCATCTCTCTAAGTTTATCTTGACAAATTTTTTTTTTTATCTCAGGTTTATCAAAATTCAAAATAAATACATACTCTCTAGCAGGTGAAGCTTTCACTCAGATTTCAATTGTGCCAGCATTTAATTTGTTTATAGTTGCTCGCACTAGTCTTCGTTCATACTCAAAGGCTTGGCCTTCAATTCAATGAAAGCCTTCATATTCCTCCAATTGAATGAAACAAGAGAAACATTTTTCTTTCTCAACCAAACAATGCGGTGGAAAAGGCCTTTCTTTCAGCCAAATTAGGTTCCTAAGTCTTAGTTTTTCCATACAACTTAGAGTTTCACTGTGATCAACCACAAACCATATTGGCTTGCCATAACATATATGATATATATATGGGGGTGGATTCGTGGCACTACGTTTTTGACACAAGTTTTGACACAATTTTTGGGCCATTAGATTACTCCACTTTCGATGGTTGAGATTAAATATTACATGGCAAGTAGTTTTAATTTTTTTAAAATAGACAATCATTAATTTTATTTTCTCTCTCATAAAAATAAAAGAAAATTTTTCTCTCTCCAACCTTTTTGCTGGAAGACGTAATCTCTCTTGCCTCTTTAATCTCAAATTAATCTCTCTTACCATGTAAAACTATTTTTAAAAATTAATGATTGTCTATTAAAACTACTTACCATGTAAAACTATTTAAAAAAATTTCTTCCAGCCAAGTGCTTTCTTTGTTTTTGTCTTACAGCGCTTTTAAGAAGAAGCACCTCTCAAGTGCTTCTTCCAATACCACTCCAAGTGCTTTTGGATCTCACCCAAAGTGCTTTTGCAATTTTTGCCAAACATCATTTTTAAAAGACAGAAGCGCTTTTCGCTGCTCCAAAAGCACTCCCAAACGAGCCCTTAATCTCAACCATTGAAAGTGGAGTAATCTAATAGCCCAAAAATTGTGTCAAAACTTGTGTAAAAAACGTAGTGCCACGAATCTGCCCCTATATATATATATATATATATATATATATATAGTTTATTAATTGAGAGGTTGTGTCTGTCCAAATTCGTACGTTTTAGTTAACGAACCATATGTCGATTCCACGAAACATTTTTCTTACAGGCCATACAGTATGTGTATAATATATTTCATGGCGCAGGTGGATGGGATGCCACACTGCTACCAAAGTAAGGAAGAGAACCCAATTGTCTCTAGGATTGCCGACCTCTAGTAAGCTAAAAAGGTCAAAGATATCATTCTCAGCAGAAAGAAGACCATCAATTGATGATCTACCTGACATTGTATTGGTTGAAATCCTTTGCCGACTTCCATACAATAAATTTGTTTTTCAATGCAAGTCTGTGTCCAAGCGTTGGTGCACTCTCATTGCAGATGTTCATTTTATTGGCCGCTTTGTAAGTATCCAAAGTCATAAGAGAACTCCAAAGGTGCGCACTTTGATGAACAAAAGAGCTGTGGAATTCCCTCCAAAAGTGTCATTGTCATCTCCCAATCTACTAACTCAGGCGCTCGAAGGATTCATGTGTACTCATCCTCCTTTGGCTAATGATATCACAACACCACTTGTTACTAGTATACAAGGTGGCATGGCAATGATGATTAGAATAATGTGACTCATCCCCCATTGGCCAATGATATCACAACACCACTTGTTACTAACATGCAAGGTGACATGGTAATGATGATTTGATTAAAACCAATTACAAATCTCTACACGTGGAAAACAAGAATGATACCATCTTTCAACTAAATGAATAATCTCATACTAGGCTTAAGATTTAATAACATATAAGTTTTCACAATAAATATTTAAATAAGGAAAATTCATATTAATAAATAATTAATATGTAGTATGTATAATAATTTATATAGTTTATAAAAATAAAAAATAAATAAATAAGGGTTCTCACAATCTACCATCCTTAAAAAAAATTTCATCCTCGAAATTTACTGACATTAAATCACATTCCTTCCCCAGGGGTATCTAATCCCTGGGCTCTGATACCATTTGTCACGCCCTGATCTGAAAATAAAGAATATTCATAAATTAAGGTGCGTGAATTGAACAAAATAAAATAAAAATATTGAAAAATTGGTTAAAATACATTACCCTTATATAAAAATAATAATAGTAATCTTACAAGTGTACAAGATACAAATAAAACTTTATTACTCTAAACTAATCCAACTTCTCTGATTTCGTCTTTGTATGGCCCACTAATTAATCTGAGAAAAGAAAATAGGTGAGGGATGAGCAAACCACTGCTCAATTAGTAGATTATGTAATATGCAAGTCAAGCAATATCATTTTACACACTCTAGAAAATATAATACAAAGGTATACAATCCAAATCATGTCACATAATTACCTCATATCTTGGTTATCCTTCACAAATTGTACCCAGTACGTGACCCATATCGGCCTCATTGCCTGATGTCCCCGTCTGGTACATTTATCATTCGGATACCCCATCACTAAAGTTTTCATTTTCCATACCCCTAATATGTTCTGTTTTATGTTCAACTATTTTTTTTTTTCCATCTTACTTTTGTTATGGCGATATACGCAGGACTGTGAATTTAAGTCGTTTTGTATACGCCCTCTTAAAGTAGAAAATTTCAATAAATTTCTTGAGACTCATGAGCTTGATCTACCCAAAATTACCTTAATATGTAATCGAGTTTAACTCCGGTGCTCAAAAGATTCACATTTCACGGTTTGATGGGAAATTCAGTTGTGGTAGCGACATATAGTAACTTAGTTTTATGCTGCACAAGCAAGGATTATCAACATGATTACTACATCTGCAATGCATATACCATGCAATGGGTTGCTCTTCCTCCCACCCCAAGTCAATGTCACGAGAGGGTACGAGTGGGATTCATCTGCAATGCTCCTGACTATAAATGTGAGGAAGACTATTGGAAAGGAAACAACATCCATCTTAATGTTGAGTGTAGGTACACGGTTGTGAGAATTCTTCCAACTGTTGAATTTGCAAATCATGAATCAGATGATGAAGAGAAATGTGATACCTTCAAATTAAATGTGGAGATCTTCTCTTCTGACACTGGTAAGCTGAAAAAATTAGTTGTCTTGTCCCGACACCACTTCTATTTTCTTCGCCTCCGTGAGTCCTTTGCATGGCATGTTTATTAATCCGTAATCGGATTAGGAGGAATTGAATTGAGGAGGAGTTGAATTCCGGATTCCTATTGAAGTTGTTTACCAAACCATATGGATTGATGAGACTTAGATTCAAGATTCCAGATTCCTATTGAAGTTGTTTACTAAATCATATGGAATTGCGGTAGGAGTGGTGCTAATTACTAAAATGTTATCGTTGTTGGGTTAAAGTAGATGGAAATTTTAAAAAATTTAAAATTGTGTGAGGATATAATAGGTAAAAAAGATGAATTCCTAATGAGTTACTTCTCCATGAATTAAAATACCACATATCACCCAAGAATTGAATTCCTCAAAAATTAGCAATTCAATTCCTAATTTTGTGTGAGGCTCATTTACTTTTTAATTCCTTGATGTGAAGTAAACACACGAATCCTCCATAATTAAAATTCAATTCCTAATTAGTAAACACAACATCAATGAAATATTATATTGGCCAACACACTGCGACCTTATTATTATTGGTTTGGATCCAGTCTACGACAATGATGGAACTAGTAGCAACAGCAGCATTAATGGTGATGATAATATTGACCAGAAACTGGGAGAAGCCTAGGAGAGAGGTCTTACGATTGACTATGTAGGTGTGTGGGGAGGATATGTGCGAATATGCGGCTTCATTTACAAAAAAGGAAAAAAAGAAAAGAAAAAAAAAGATATTTAGTTATATATCAATTCTTAGCACTAGTGATATAGATAAACCCTATACAATTTAATTTCTATAAACAAATAAAAAAAAACCCCCCAAAAGAACAGCTGGTCATATTGAATTTAATTTTAATTATTAAATTATTTTGATACCATATTGAGTGTTTTGAGTTTTGTTATGAGGTTTTGAGGTTGAGCTTATTTTAAGAAATCAATGACAGTTTTGTAATTTATATGAAGTTCAAAGCCTCTTTGTTATGTTGTAAATGGGTTTTGAGTATGTTTCTAAAGTCCATTTCATGTGGGTTATTTTATTTTATTTTTATATTTATAAAATTTAAATTTGGACCCCTATATTGAGTACAATAGTGAATCTCCCAAAAAGAAAATATATATATATGTGCTATGATAAATTGCAACTATAGTTGACTTCATTTTCAAACATGAGAAGAGTATCTTACTTTCCTTTCCTTTTTCCTTGGTGACCAAGCAAGCATACACATAGACCAAACCTTCCAACCAGAAGCAGCAGCCAGCCACCAATTTTTCATTTGCCTTAGAACTTCAAAAGTCCAAGAGAAGTTATTTTGTCAACATTGCCACATCATCTTTGTGCGCGCTGCAAGTCTGCATGCTTGCTTCCCAAGCCAGCACAAATGTTATAAGAAACTACTCATCGCCCTCTCAATGCCCCATCAATTACAATACCACATTTCTTCTTTAAAATTGAACACCAAAAATAATCACTTGCTTATTTTGTTTTTTACAAAAAATAAAAATAAAAGGCCATGTCCACTGCTGGTTATGATCTTGCTGAAGCACATGTGCTGAGAGACCTCCACAAGAAGAAGATGAAGATGGAAGAAGAAGAAGAAAGAGGCAAGTTGGGCACAGCTAAAGGCGAAACGGTTCGCTCAAGTACTAGTTGTTTCTTCTGGATGTACTTGAAGAAGAAAGTGCATTCAAGAAACGCTCAGAGTCGGGGAACTTGTTCAGCTCAAACTTCAGAAGTTGAGATTTTGGACCGTAAAGTTTGACTCTGCTCAAGTTCATGCTAATTATCAGCTGTTGCTTTTATTATTTTCCATTGTTCTGTTCTAGCTGTTTGACATGTCTGAAGACATTTGTTTTTGACTGAATGTCTGAAGACATTGATACAAGTTGTAAAAGTTGTGGCAATGAAGTTGTTCTACATGGGCTAACATTTCTATATTGGATGAGGCTTCAAGAAGGTTAAACAATATTTTTTAACTGAAATTATTTGGTGCTCAGCATGGGCATATATAGAGGACCCATGGCCTTTGTTAGGAAAATTCAGTCGGTAATAAGATTTGGATACTTCTTCAACCTGCAAATCACGGTTTAACATATGTGCAAAAATAATTTGTCAAAAACACACACACACAAAAAAAAATTTCTATATACACATGTCAAAATGTCATTGTTAGAAATGTAGGAGTGACTACTTATAGAGGAATGAGGGAACTATTTTCCATGAGATTTATTGAACGCAAAAATTAATGTAATTCACACTATTTAACCCAAAAAAGAAGAAGTAATGATACAACAAATTTGAAAAGAACGATAGGAAATCAAAATCACCAACTTGGTTTGTATGGAGACTTGGGTAATGGTGTAATATATAAAGATTATAGCTGCTCGGTTACACTAATTATTAAAAAGAGCCGCGAGTAAAGGCCGGCGGCCATACTATTTTTTAAAAAAACTAGAAAAAAAACCTATGGCCGCCAAGCTGTACTATTTTTCAACAAATTTTTAAAAACCGAGTTTAGCCGCCCGGCTATACTATTTTTTATATATATATAAAGAAATTAAAAAAGGGGTATTACAGAGCGGCTATACAATTTAAAAAAAAAAATTAAAACCAGAGTGTGGCCGGCCGGCTATACTATTTCTTTAAAAAAATTAGAAAAACCGAGTATACTGCTACCAAAGTAAGGAAGAGAACCCAACTGTCTTTAGGATTGCCCCACTCACCAATTGTGTCGATCACAACCAGTTTTACCGTACAACTTAGAGTTTCACTGTGATCAACCACAAACCATATTGGCTTGCCATAACATATATGATATATATATATATATATATATATGTAGTTTATTAATTGAGAGGTTGCGTCTGTCTAAATTCGTACGTTTTAGTTAACGAACCATATGTCGATTCCACGAAACATTTTTCTTAGAGGCCATACAGTATGTGTATAATAATATATTTCATGGCGCAGGTGGATGGGATGCCATACTGCTACCAAAGTAAGGAAGAGAACCCAATTGTCTCTAGGATTGCCGACCTCTAGTAAGCTAAAAAGATCAAAGATATCATCCTCAGCAGAAAGAAAACCATCAATTGATGGTCTACCTGACGTTGTATTGGTTGAAATCCTTTGCCGACTTCCATGCAATAAATTTAAAACTAAAAAAATAAGATAAAATCACATAAACTAAAATTTTAAAAACCAGAGATGCAACGTTACTTTCCCTCCCCACTCTTATCCCCGGGGCGCAGCCCCTACCAACCCTAACACACCCAAGCAGACATAACACCACCATCTCTCTCCACACACACCCCAACACAACACCACCCAAGCCGCTACACATACCATTCACCATCTCTCTCTCTGTATTGCTCGCAACCCCCTTAACTACCCCTCACCTTTCAAAAAACCTATATTCCTCCCCCTCACCTTCCCTGGAAAGGGCGGAGTGGATTTTTTATATTTATTTATGTTTTTTTGTTTAAACAATTAAATAATTGTTAAATTTAAATAATTTTATGATGAAAAGGAAAATTAAATATTTATGTTGTTAATATGTTATCTCTTTAAACGGTTAGATTATTAGAATTGTCAAGATTTTGCCAACTGCGGATAAATATGTAAACTGTAAATGCAGAGGCTTAAAGAATCAAAGAAGGGAGGCTTAAAGAAGGTAAAAAAAAAATTAACTAAAATTATTTGGTGCTGACAAAGAAGGGGATGCAGCATGGGCATATAGAGGAATCGCAGATAGAACTCGGTGAACTTCACTCTCTCTGGCAGATAGAACCTAACTTTTTTTTTTTTTTTTTTTTTTTTTTTTTTTTTTTTTTAATAATAAATTATAATAAAGAAAATCAGATAGAGACATAGAAACCTAAATTACTAAGGATTCCGAATTGCTTCTACCGTGTGTCAAGGATTTATTGATTTGTTTTTTTCAAACACAAACTTATCTCTCGGTAGTTCTTCTCTTATGGCTGAACTGGAAAACCCACTCCTCAATGAACTCTGTGCTGCCGAAACTGGCGCCTCCGCGCAGTCCAAGCGGGCTCCGCATCCGCTTCAAGGGCCCGAAGCCCCCTTCTGTGCCAGCCCCCAACTCTGACCAATGCTCGAAACGGACCCTTAATGCTTGTAAAAGCTTCAACCGGAACAGATTTGCAGACAACGGTAAGAAACTTGTTAACTTCTCCAATTTTTGCGGAATTTAGGTGCCCTTTTGAATCTGGTTTCATGATCATATGTTAATGAGGCTTATTGGAAATAAGTCTTGATCACTAATAAGTCTTGATCACTCTCTTGGTAAACCCTTGACCGGTTCAATGTTGTTCATCATCTCACTTTCCCTTTAAACAAATATACAAAATCTTGCAGGAATTCAGAAATCTGGTGATGATAAATGTGTTGCCGGATCTGCAAAGATACCAGAGATGACCTCTAAGGGTTCCATGAAGCTTCCATCTGGATTTGTTGAGCAGAAGAAATTCAAGGCGAACACTCTTTGCAGGTTTCTTTCTAAAGCACACAATTTATATTCCAAAAGTTGAAAACAGATTCGAATTCTCAATTCTCTATGGCTTCTAGGGATATGTATATTTTTTGTAGCAGACCCAGGTTTCCAACATTAAGATTAATTAGGTTGTTGGTTGGAAGCTAGCTAGTGTATTTGTTGAAAACAATGGTAAGCTTTACTGTCATCCACAGTTCCTTAATTACCTTGCAGTCTCCAATATACTTTCTCATTTTGTAAAAACGGCTAAAACTTTTCGAAAACTTCAAAGGATGAGAAAACAGTCTTTTAGTGAACAAGGATGCATCAACCCGGAAAACCATGACACCCCATGGTAGTTGGCTTTCGATAAGCTAACATCATCACCATATCTAGAAACAAGGATAAACATGTCTTACCTCTCTTTTCTTTCTTAAGCAAACAGCGGTGGAAAAGGCATTTCTTTCTGGCACATTAGGTTCTTAATCTTAGTTTTGCCATGCAACTTATTATGTCGTGTTTGTACAGTATGTATAATATATTGCCAGGCGCAGGTGGATTGGATGCCATACTGCTACCAAAGTAAGGAAGAGAACCCATTTGTCTCTTGGATTGCCGACCTCTAGTAAGTTAAAAAGATCAAAGAGATCGTCATCAGCAGAAAGAAGACCATCAATTGATGATCTACCTGACCTTGTATTGGTTGAAATCCTATGCCGACTTCCATGCAACAAATTTGTTTTTCAATGCAAGTCTGTGTCCAAGCGTTGGTGCACCCTCATCGCAGATCCTTATTTTATTGGCCGCTTTGTAAGTATCAAAAGTTATAAGAGAACTCCAAAGATATGCACTTTGATAACCAAAATTGCAGTGGAATTCCCTCTTTTAGTGTCGTCCCCACCCATTAATCTACTAACTCCGGCGCTCAAAGGATTCCCGGGTGTCCACAGTTTGATGGAAAAGCCAGTTGTGGTAGCAATATATAATGACTTAGTTTTGTGCTGCATAACCGAGGATTATCAACGCGATTACTACATTTGCAATGCATACACCATGCAATATGCTGAACTTACTCCCACCCCAAGTCAATGTCACAAGAGTGTGCGGGTAGGAATCATCTGCAATGTTCCTGACTATAAATTTGAGGAAGATGATTGGAAAGGAAACAACATCCATCTTAATGTTGAGTGTAGGTTCACGGTTGTGAGAATTCTTCCTCCTGTTGAATATGCAAACGATGAGAAGAAAGGTGATATGTTCAAATTAAACGTGGAGATCTTCTCCTCTGCCACTGGTGAGTGGAGAGAATCAGTCGTCTCGTCCCCACGACATTTCAATTTTGGTGACCTCAATGTGTTCTCCTTTGCATACAATGGAATGTTATATTGGCCAACAGACCGCGGCCTTAGTGTTATTGTTGGTTTGGGTCCATTCTACGACAATGATGGAACTAGTAGCAGCAGCAGTAATAATGGTGATCATAAACTGCGCTTCACCGTATTTGAGGAGACTCTAGACTTTGGTTTTACGGTTCAGTACTTAGGTGTGTGCGGAGGATATATGTGCTAATGTGCAACATGAACAGGACGACCCGAAGTCTGTATTTATATGAGTTGAAACAAACACAAGATGGAGCTGCTGCTGGCAAAACCTTGTGTTTGAGTAAACGCGGGGTTTATTCCTTCGATCCTGAAATGATTCCGATCAACGCGTATTGCGTAATGATTGCTTTTGATCCAAATAATAAGGATATTTTTTATCTGCATGTGCGGAGAGATATTATCAAGTGGAACATTCGCACAGGAGAGTGGTCAAAGTTATTTAAACACTGGGCAACACATCGTTACTATTACACAGTTGTGCTCCCGTGGTGGCCGACGCCAGTTCCTAGACTAGCGCAGCAGCATGCGCATCGATCCGTGGCGGAGGAAGTAGCAGCAGCTAGTAGATAGCAAGAACTAGAGTAGTAAACTTTTATTTGTATTTGATTTTTAATTCAATGTTGCAATGAAGGCCAAATTACCCATACAATTTCAATGAAGACATGCCGACGCCGACAGAAATTAGAATGGATATATAGTCTGAAATTAATAGAGATTTTTCTTGCAAAAAATAAACAAAGAAAAATAAAGAAAGATTGAGATTTGTAATCCATTGACCAGAATACCCTCACTTATAAATGATTATTAGTAAACACGTCTCTCATGTACATACTTTTTATCGTCATTTTTGTTTCTCTACAAATTTGGCTCGGAGAATTTGGTTGTTGTTTTAGGGCCAAATTTGGCAATTGGTGTGTGGCATAATGTTTAATTGAGAAATTTTTTGGCGTCATTGTTATACCGTCGCGTGGTGTTATAGTCCACTCATGATACAATATGCTCATTAGTAATATATGCTAGATTGAGAAAGTATCAATCATGTCACCCATCTATATTAACATGTGGGATAAGGGATATGAAACGGTTGTGATGGTTGCGCTCAAGAATTGTCGCAACTGGAGATAGTTGGCTTTGCTATTTTTAATTGTTTTTCAAATTTAAAAAAAATTTATAAATAATAGGGAAGACCAGCCTATCGCGATATAATATTATTTTGAAATTTGCTAGCAATTGGAAATCCAGTGACCACAATATACCCTTAATGATAATGATTATGTAGTACACACATCCTTTTCTATACATTACTTACACGTGTGAGGCATGTGCGCAATTTGATGGACGCAACGACTGAGATTTAAAGTCGATCTCCATTTGACTTTCACCTTATTTTCTCAACTACTCGATGCGAAAGAAAGAGAGAAAGAAGATCCCCATTTTGCTCTGACCTCATTTGCTCAACGACTCGATGCGAGAAAGAGAGAAACTCTAATTGATGACACAAAACTCGTTCAGCCATCAAATGCAAAAGAAGAGCCCTAAATTCTCCCTTGCAAACCCCCTACTATATACAGGTATTGCCCTTGCAATTTACACAATCTGCTTTTGTAGGGTTTCTGTGTAAGAGACTCATATGATTTTGTATTAGTATTTGGGGTTTTCCTTTTTTCTAGTTGATTTCTTTCGCTTGTATTAACGTTTTTTTTTCTTGTCTTAATTTGAAACTTAAAAACACTAGAATGAAAAGACAAGAAAACCAAAAGCAAGTTGCAAGACTTGGTCTCAGTTGAGAGTTTGCTTTCTTTGCAGGAGGAACGTTGCAAAATAGGGGACATGAAAAGGGAGAGATCTCTTTTACCCAGTGCTAAACGAAGGTGTGCAAGCCAAAGAATTTGATGTGCATATGGCGATTTTCTTTTTCATCCGGGTGATCAGGTAACCGGATCGGGTTAGGATTAGGCCTAAAAATTGAAGGGGACTAGGTTTAGAATTAATGAGTAATGTTGTTTTTCTTTTTCAGCGATATGAGAATTGCTAAATCTAAATGAACCCTTTTTTTAGGGAGTTTCACTATTAAATAATGCTACTCTTACCACATTTATATACCACATTCTCATACCACCTTATGTGACAGATGAGGTGGACAACACATCAATTAAAATTAATTTAAAGTTTTCTTATCTTTTATGAAATAGACTTTATAAATTAAAAAGCCCAAATTATAGAAGCCCAAATTATTTATAAATTAAAAACCCTATATGAAATAGACTTTAGAAAGATACCCAGAGGCTTCTAACTTCTTATAAATTACAAAACTGTCATTGATTTCTTAAAACAAGCCCAACCCCAAAACCTCATTAAAAAAACTCAAAACACTCAATAAGGCATCAAAGTAAGTATGGTTGATCTATATCATTAGTGCTAAGAATTAGTATATGACTAAATTTCTTTTTTCTTTTTTTTTATGAGGACTTTTTGAATTGAGAAGTGCGATAATATACTAAACTCACAGACACTAGTCGGATATTAGGACTCGAAACCATGACCATTCAAACGGGAGTAAATGTTCCAAACTATTGCACTAGCGAGTCCTATGTAAAATGAACTGTACTTTAAAACCACATTATGTAACCAATAATTTATCACTTGGTCATAATAATTGATATGTAACATTCGAACAATTACATTGTTTCACTAAAAAAAAAGGTGTGAAAATTGTGGCATTCGACATTAACTACTTGTTTGGAACATCTCTTCAAAAATAAGCCAAATGAAAACTGCTTAACAATTTGATCATTATTGTGAATATTTTCATTGTACATAAAAAATATCGTATTCATCTTTTTATTCTATCACCATTAGACAACTCAATGTTGTCTAATTTGACTAATTTCTTGTAACGCTTATTGTTAAGTGTTGACTTAGAAGAGTAACGGTTCTTATCATGAAATGACATTGTAGAATGAACCAGAGATACAATTTATATGTCACACGAGAGTTACAACTTACATGAATTCATGGAAGCCAGAGATACAACACCAGACAAGGCCTCTCTCTCTCTCTCTCTCTCTCTCTCTCTCTACGTGTCTAATAAGCTGGCTGCTGAACAAGAAAGGAGCAGATCTGGCATCAAAAATGGAAGCCAGAGAATACCAAACCAGACAAATTCAGTTCATCCATGCCCCACTCCATGATCAAATGTGCAACCCCCTCCCTGCTATCACCAAGCCCCCACCAATCACATTCTACGCGACATTGGGATCAGACTCAAAACGCGCCACTTCTGGCGCCGGTTACAGCAATCGCAGGCCATGCCGGTTCCAGACGAGCCAAGCCCCCCGCCGATCCCGCAAAAAATGCAGCCGTTTCTTGGTGAGTGTGAAGTGACGTTTGTGACCTTTAATATTGCGTGTGTGTGTCACGGTGCCAGGAGGGTCCTCTCTGTGCAATTAAGGTAATCCAGCTCAGTTAAGGTTTTTCCTATATATAAAGGGTTTAGCAAAAACACTCGAGAGATGGTTTCTCTCTCTCTTCTCATTTGGTCTCTCTGTCCACTGTTTCTTCTCTCTTTCTCTGCCACAGGGAAAATGTACTAAATATAATGCACCAGTGCCATTGATAAAGTAAGTAAAAAATTATTATGTTTTCTCTCTCATATATATATATATATATATCATGTAATCTGCATTTGAATTTGTGTTTTGATTAGCTTGTTAATTTCACCAATTTGAATCTCTTAATTGTGTTTTATATATCGATCTATATATGCTAAATGTTTTTGCTTTCTATAGGCTAGATATATATTTGTTCGACTTGATCTGTTTTGTTTTTGTTTATATATATATATATATATATATATATAATGTATATTTGAAATCTCAATGGTACGAGGGAAGGGAAAATAGTTGTATTTGAACTAGTCTTGATCCACTTGAAGCCAAATTTTCAGACTGATGAGCAAACTCACCTCATACTGTTATTGTTTCAAGGATTGTGCATTCATCACTAGACACAATTGTTTCTTTCTTTTTTCTTTAACTTAATTGTCCTAAATTATTGGCTTAATTTATAGAAATGAATGAGAATTTGATTTATGGTCTATTGTTGCATACATAGTAAACGGCATATATTTTTGGCAATAGAATCTTCATAATCTCCACTTATTTATTTACGCCCTTACAAAATCAGCACGAGATGATGTGATTTTGTTTCCTCCATGGATTCGGACTGTATTTTTATTCTATTAAATTTTTTGTTTATGCAAATAATATTAGAATTCCTCATCCAGCCTCTTGCATTCAAAATTAATTATTTTTTTTTCTATATATGTATATATTTTAAGTTATATTTCTTAATTAACCATCTTAAGATTAACAGGAAGAGAAAAATCCAACCAGATAGAGAGAGAGGGAGAGAGAGAGAGAGAGAGAGAGAGAGAGAGAGGAACGTTTGATGAAAGCAGACAAAATGCAGTTAGGTGAAAGCAATTGATTCCACCAAAAGAGTTTGTTCTTATCCAATTGGATAAAACTTCATATATAATAATTAAAATACCCGATTTGTTATTATAGCCACATTATTCTGATATCTTCTTCTTTAATTACTTGCAGGTTATGATGGGGGTTGGGGTTTTTTTTTTTTTTTTTTTTTTTTTGAAAAGAAGGGGTGGTGGTGTAGTAAATTTATTTATCTACTAACAACCAGAAACCTACATAAGCTGGCCATTAAAGGCCTAGCTAGCTAGCCCTTTTCTTATCTTGACTGTGGAACCATGGATTCTTTGAGTAGTGATCCAAGCTATTTTGGTAGAGCTAAATCCATAATTTCCTCCCTTTTTGGGATTTTCCTGTGGGCAACCAGGTTACCATTTGCCATGCAAATGGTTAAAAGCATTCCCAACCCATCATCATCTTGAACTAGGGCTCAAAACCCTAAATTTTTCGGAAGCAGCTAGAAACTCTCAAAATTTAGATCATCACCACCCCCACATTATTCACAACCATAAGGTTTCACCAGCACCATCATCATCATCATCATCCGGATCGTCTTCACTCACTTCTTCTTGTATGTTGGATAGCTCTTTATCTTGGTCGGCCTCTGCTATGGACGACCTGATTGGTACGGAGAGCGGCGTCCCAATCATGCTAACCGAGGAACAAGAGAAATTAGGATTTTTGAAAAATACAGTAGAATTTAGCATGAGTCGTAGGAATGAAGCTAAGAGCACCCGGAGTACTACTACTCAGAGGAGTGAAAAGATCAAGAGAGAATATCCACCACCAATACCATTGCTTGCACAGACTGGGAACTTGCAAGGTCGTATGCCCTGGATTTTGACCAAGCATTATGATCACTCTAATGGAAGGCTTGTCCTTAAAGGAGAGAGAGTGAAGCACCATGAGTACTTCGAAGCCCACCGGGAGGACGGTCGCCTTATTTTGAACCTTGTACCTCTGGACAATGCCCTAGCATGTTTTGACAGTGCCCTAACATGTTGTGATGAAGAAAATGAAGAAGAGCTTGAAATGGACGAAGACCTCCAAACCGTCGATGAAGAAAACGGAGATGATGAGGAGGATGTTGGCGAGGCTGAGGAGGATGACGATGATGAATGTGATCGGAACAAGGTGAATGAGACTCACCAGGATGTGGAGAAGAAAGCAATGGATGTGATATCGGGTAATAATTCGGTGCCTCAATCACATTTGAAGATGAGTATATTTGAAAGGTATCGAATTCGAAGTCTACCCAATTTGAAAAACGCAGGTGAGAACAATATGGTGGAGTTTGGTTCAACTTCATTTTATGATGTTGCTCAAAATATCCATGAGCACCCGCAGAGCTGCTTAGGCCACCCTGCTTCAGCTCCTCTTCGTCCAATGACTCCTGTCATGTAAGCTTTGGGTGTTGTAAGCAATATATAGGTGCCTGGAGTTAGCAGTATATGTAGTCATAGAGAGCACATTAGTACACAGTAACTAGGAAAACTTTCAATTATATATGATGCTATGTATGTAACCCAAGTAGAGGAAAACTTTCGTGCAAAGCTTTCCTTCCAAAATTAAAAGCGTAGCATCTTTTGCTATTTGTTGGTTCTTTTGTTTTTTTTTCCCCCAAATTATAGAATATTTAAAGATATACTATACCACGGGTCAATGCATTCATAACAAAAATAATATTTACGTAATGCATTGGGACAAGTCACAACCAAGTATCAAACTCATGACAAGTACATATACTTGAATACCATATGCTGTCATCTTTTTCTTTTTCTTTTTTTCTTTTTTTGAAGGACACAACAATAGAGGATATAGATTTCTCAGGAGAATATTAATGTGTGATCAATGCTATGAATATATAGGCAAATACATAACATAATCATAGTAATCAATATATAGGTAGATTGTAATTCTATTTTTCCAAAATATTATGTATTTTTGTTTCGCAGATATACAACATAATGAAGGTCCCCCGATTTTTTAGGTAATTTCCTATGTATAGCCTCATTCTGAAGCAAACCACACCAAATTAAAACTCTTGATATAGGAACTAGTATGTTAATAACTAATTATGACGGCCACGATATCCGGGGGATTGTATATATCTTATTTCTGCATAAATGGTGTAATTAAGGATAAAGATTTATATTTCATATAGAGTGCTGCCATTTTCATCATCAATCCTATTTCCTCACCCACCTTATCTTTTCACCCTCCATATAAATTTGAAAAATACAATCTTATTTTTCCACCCAAGGGCGGCCCTGAGATAGTGCAAGTGGCACTATCACACAAGACCTCCGAAAATGTTTTACTTGTATATTATATATATTTTATATATATTTCAGCGTGTAGCAAATTGATTGGCTTATTTGGTTTCAATCGCATTTCTCTTCATTTTGGGCCTTGGTTCGAGTAGAAATAAAGTCTTTGGATGTGAATTTTTATTGTTTAAGTTTTACACAAAGCCCTTAAAATCTCAAGACCAACCCCTCCATGAAATATCAAAGATTCATAATATTCCTTCAGAAGTTACCTGTAAATTATCCCCAAAAAACACTAAGTTTATCTGTCTAAACTAAAAACCAAAGGAAGCCCAAAAAAAAACCAAACACCAAGGGAAGCCTCTTGGAGACTTCCAACAAGCACGTGCTGTATAACATGCACGATGCATCACGGATCAACGAGTGCCACGCAGCCGTGGTATTTTGATTTTTTTTCTTCTTCCTTCTTCATGAAGGATTAATATATCCTTTTAAATCCCTTGGGAGTTGAATGAATTACAACTTTCATAAGATATTATTTTCCGACATTAGATCATATTTTCCATCCACCTCACTTTTTGAAAAAAATATGTCAAGTTGGACACCGTCGTTATGTGATGTTATCAATTCATTTATATTATAATAAAATTATGATACGATTTTACATTATAATAAAACCATTATCATGTTAGTTTACTGGTCCTTCCCCCCCACCCCAATTGCTAGTTTACATTCTAAATTCTGGTCTTCCAAATAATGAAGTGACGTTTCATTTGTTTAGATCCAGCGCATCATGTGTACATTATTTAATGAGTTAAAGTGTTGGTGGTTGAATTTTTACGAAGCTTACTATTATTTTCTCTTTCGAAAGCGACTATTTAACCTCATTATGTATTGTATTCTATACTCCTTTGGGCCCGAAAATAAAAATATTAAATATAAAGGAAACAATAAAAAATTATACTTGGACAATGTGATAAATAACAACACAACACGTGTTGTTATCCAGTAAACTCCAATCGTCTTCCTTTTTCAGAGACACCGCACCGTTTCGTTGCCATAATTGCATGAAGCAGATCAAGCTTCGATAAAAAGAAGCATCTTCATTCTCAAATCTACTTGTACTTGGATTTTTACCTACCAAATCTAAGGGCTTCGCACTGTTTCCTCTGAACAGGTACAAACTGGCACATACCCAATTTCTCTTTTGCTTTTGTTTTGGCTGAAAAACTCAAGGATTTACTTTACTCTCTAATCTTAGAAGTTAGAACTATGTACGTGTGCTCAGAATTTTGCTGCAATTTGGTGGTTCCGGTGGAAAATTTAATTTTAAAAAAAAATTTATTGCTCTGTTTTGTGATTTTGATTGTGGGGTTTTCCAGTTTCTTTGGTTATCAAGTTTTAGAAGCTGGATTATATGTAATTTCCTTTTCAATTATTCGAGTTTGAAATTCCTGATGTTTAATTTTTGCTGGGTTTTTGAGTAGCTTGTTGGTGAGCTGTTAAAAATTGAATTTTGCTATAAATATTGGTGATCATTTTTTGTGGAGATGAAAATGAAGTTTATGATCTGTTTGTTGAGGAGAGAGAAGGTAATCTTTGGGAAGAGGGGTGTATGTGTGTGTGTGTGTGTTCATTTAGCTTTTGCATCGATGAACTGAAAGTAGAATGAATAATTTTGCAGCACTTGGACTAAAGCATTTAGCTTTTGCATTGATGAACTGAAGGTAGAATGAATAATTTTGCAGCACTTGGACTAAAGCAAAAAATGGTGTCAATTTTTCAGTTTGGCTGGTCCAAGTCGGCTGCTGTGTGTGTGGTCAAATTAGCTTTGGCATTGATGAACTGAAAGTAGAATGAATAGTTATGCAGCCCTGGGGCTAAATTCAAATATGGGGTTGTTTTTTAGTTTGACTGGTTCCAAGTCTGGGACTAACAAGTTTCATGATGTCTCTCAGATTTACTTAACTTTCTGGTTTCTCAATGGGGGGTATTTTGAGTTTGGTTGGTCCCAGATCTCGGACAAATGAGTACCATGAAGTCTCTCCGAATGATACCTGTAAGAGGCAAAGATTGTCATCATGTACTTTCGAGGAGAGACAAAGATTAATTCCCAATCTTCCTGATGAGATATCAATCCAAATTATTGCTAGACTTCCTAGAATTTGCTACTTTGATATCAGGCTGGTTTCACGGAAGTGGAAGGAAACTGTTAGGAGCTCTGAACTATTTAAATTGCGAAAAGAACTTGGTAGAACTGAAGAATGGCTATACATGTTGACTAAAATTGAAGAGGATAAACTTTCCTGGCATGCTTTTGACCCCCTGTCAACAAAGTGGCTGAGGCTACCTCAGATGCCCAATGTAGTTTATGAAGAAGAATCTAGTAAGGGTTTGTCTTGGTTTTGGATGTTGAATATGGTGGGCCCAACCATCAAAATTGCTGATACTATTAGAGGCTGGCTAGGGAGAAAGAATTCATTTGATCAAATGCCATTTTGTGGTTGTGCCATTGGTGCTGTTGATGGATGCCTCTATGTTCTAGGTGGATTTTATAGATCTACGACCATGAGGTGCGTCTGGAGATTTGATCCTATTCAGAACGCATGGAGCGAAGTGAGAGCCATGTCCGCAAGTAGGGCCTATTGTAAGACAGGCATTCTGAATAACAAGCTCTATGTTGTTGGAGGGGTTAGTCGAGGACGAGGTGGATTGATCCCTCTTCAGTCTGCCGAAGTTTTTGAGCCCTCCACTGGTACATGGTCCCAAGTACCAAGCATGCCATTCTCAAGAGCTCAAGCCATGCCCACTGCCTTTTTGACTGACATGCTAAGGCCAATTGCCACTGGGTTGACTTCATACATGGGAAGGTTATGTGTATCCCAGAGTCTCTACTCATGGCCCTTTTTTGTTGATGTTGGGGGAGAAATTTATGATCCTGAGACAAATTCATGGGATGATATGCCAATTGGCATGGGAGAGGGTTGGCCTGCTCGGCAGGTGGGTACAAAGTTGAGCGTTGTGGTTGATGGTGAATTGTATGCATTTGATCCTTCGAGTTCTTTGGATAGTGGTAAGATCAAGGTGTATGATCAAGGAGAAGATGCTTGGAAAGTTGTTATAGGAAAAGTCCCTATTCATGACTTTGCTGGTTCAGAATCTCCATATTTACTTGCTGGTTTTCATGGAAAGCTTCATGTCATCACAAAAGATGTAAATCATGAAATCACAGTTCTGCGGGCTGACCTGTGCAGTAATTTGGGGCCTTTGTCACCAAGCTCACCTTCTCTCTTACCTGGCTTCTCACTTGATCATTCTGACTCAGTGGCAGAATCAGATGCAGTTGTGTGGAAGGCCATTGGCACTAGGGATTTTGGGTCAGTTGAATTGGTTGGTTGTCAAGTCATTGACGTTTAGCATAAGGCTGAGAATCCATGTTATTCAATGGGCTCTTTGAATCTATATGAGTGAGCTGTATGGCGCGGAGATTGATTTCATAGTTTAGAAGGAGCTCAGCACCTGGGAAACAGTTCTGGTAGGCTATAGTTATAGTATATATGCATAAGCAATTCTAAGAATAATGTAGCTTCAAGATTTGATTATCTTATTTAGATGTCCATTGGCGCGATCATATATCTCGGTTGAAAGGAAAGTTAATGTATCATGTAAGTGTGATTAAACATAGTTGTATTGTATACGTATTATTTGTAAAAATGAAAATCAAATAGACAGTTGCTGCACTTGCTTGGTGCATCACTTCTGAGCATATTTTCTATTTGTGATTTCTTTGTCTACCACTTCAGTACTAGTAATGAGCAACTATGTTTGCGAAATTAAAATTGAGTTTCTTCTGTTGAAAGAAAATGGGTTCACAAGAGGATATAATTGGTTCAATTTCAACAGGGGAACAGTGACTGGTTAAATAAAAATGGGAAAAAGAGAAGAAAAGGTTTTGGGGCAGCAAACCATGTGAGCAGATCATTTTCATCCTGTACCTATGCAATTATGCATAAGATTTGGTTCCCTGAGACTATAATGCAGAAATTGAATCTGGAAACAGATATTTTGAGCAGACATCAGCTTCCAATAAAATCACAGCGAATTGCTTTGTGATTAAAGCCAACGTACAAGTTGTCTGGTTGACATTTCATTTGTGAGGGTGATAATACTGATTCTACACAATATCATAAAATTGAGAGGTTGTGAAATTCAAGAGTCCGGACTCCATTGGTGAGCACTACTTCTTGTTCTTCTAATGCTTGATATCCGTACCACCTTCTTTTTGTGTCTCCTGTTTTCTTATCTCACTCCTCATCGTCACATTTGTGCTTATCTCACTCCTTTGTGCATGTCTTACCTCTCATAGGAGGAATGAGATAGACACAGAAGTTATTCCCTTAGTATTTCACCACATGAAGAATGAGATAGGCACGAGGATGCGTTGTATGTGTAACATGAAAGTTATTTCCTTGAGCATTACACCTTTTTTAGTGCTAGCGCTAACTGCAATCAAATCAGTTGGATATGAACATTGTCCTGCTAGCAATATAGCCTAGGATGAGAAGATTCCAAGCAAATCCTAAACAGAAAAAGTAATTACAGATTGTATCAAATGATCTGATCCCTCCCTCCTTTTAAATTTGTGGCTGCGACAAATTTCAAAGAAATATCTATTGAACACGGTATGGAACACGGATTAGATTGACGACTTCTTCATGTGGGATTAGTCATATTAACTATCAATTTCAAGTCCTAATCATTTGTTACCTTAATTTTGAATGTTTCAAAATGAGCTGCCCTAGAAAACTAATCTCTTTTTTTTCTCTTTCTTCTCTTTTTTGGGTGGTGGATGTTTTTGTTTGTTACAAATTAATCCTGGTGGTTGCCTTCCATGACTTTGATTCGATCGGTACAGTAGTGTGACTAATTCAAAAACAACACGACAAAAAAGGTGTAGGAAAATTAAATTAGATGCTTCCATTAACCAAGTCATATCCAGAAAATTCTATGCTTATTATTTTCTTCAAAAGTATGCATGATTCTAATTCCCCATTATCAAAAATTACCATCATCTCCTTTTTTATATTATATTATATATAATTAAAAGTGGAGGCAGATTCACCTACATCAAATTAATGAAATGAGGAATCATAGTTTCTTAAAACATGTTTAAAAAAGATGGTGCCATGCCAAGTTGCCAACCCATAGAGTTAATTATGTTTAAAAACAGACTTGGGCACACACTAACATCCAAACCAACCAGACAAACCATGCTCAGCAGAAGCAAGTGGCCTGCTTTTGTACCACCACCACCACCACTTCAACTTACAAATAAATATACACCTAATAAAAGGACATTAAAGGAAAAAAAAAAACTATAACAGGATTAATAAAAAAGATATTTAGTCATATATCCATTATTAGCACTAATGATATAAATAAACCATACATCATTAATTTCTATAAACAAATCCAAAAAATGACAGATGACCTTATTGAATTTAATTTTGATTATTAAATTACTTTGATGCCTTATTGAGTGTTTTGAGTTTTTTTTATGAGGTTTTGGGATTGAGCTTGTTTTGAGAAATTGATGGCAGGTTTGTAATTTATAAGAAGTTAGAAGTCTCTTTGTTATGTTGTAAATGAAATTTGAATGTGTTTCTAAAGTCTATTTCATATATGTTTTTTTTATAATAATTCGGGCCCCTATATTGAGTATAATAGTGAATCTCCCTTAATAAAATTCCAAACTTGACATGCAGGCATTATATTTCTCATTAATCTAAGAAATTCTTAAACTTTCTATTATTTTATTTCTCATTAATCTAAGTATGCATAGCAATTCTTAAACTTTCTAATGGCTAAGGAGAAGAATCTACACTTTTGGGTGTATCTAGCCAGGAAAAAAATATGGGTGGTGATTTTCCCACTTCCCTTTTATCCACCTACACTCCTTTTTGTTTTTTTTAATACTTTTTACTATAAGATAAAAAGGAGTGTAAGTGAACAAAAAATGAGTGAGAACATATAATTTTAAAAAAATGAAGTGTAAGTGGATAAAAATGGAGTGAAAAAATCAGTACCCTTTTATATTGGTGGAAAGGCAAATGCATTATTTTCTTAGGTATCATCCTTATCATTCAATATGTTAATAATAAATCTAAAGTTGAACATCTTAATTAATTTATGGTTATAATATTGGAAAATGTTCTAAATTCGAATCAAGTCGTTAACAAAAAGAAGTTTAAAAAATCTTAAGATCTGATTATTTTGAAGTTTTTTTTTTTTCCAAATGAGTACTCTGCTAGTTTAACTTCATAATTACATATTTGTCCAAAAAAAAACTTCATAATTACATAATTCTTACATCATATTAGCCATCTTATTGTCCTTTCTTCTAGGTCATGACAACTATTATTTGCCAAAAGCCAAAGATAAGTCCTAAAAATGTCTTTGTAATTTCGTTAATATGATTATAGGCCATGGGCAATTATGTAATCACATTCTTTACGGCTGGAAATTTCTGTTAATTCAGGTGAAAAATCTCACTCAGATCGTTTTGGGTACACTTTTTCTACTTTCTTAATTTCTACATCAAGCAATAAAAAGGAGCTGTCCTCTTCTCTCCTTGGATTGTCTTCTTCTCTCTTTGGATTGATTTCATAGATTTATAAGCAGTCACTGTTTTTTGGGTTTCCATTACAAGACTTTGGATCTTTTTCAGTGTAAACTCCAAATTCAATACAAACCTTTTGGATAGAGCTTGATTCTTTCATGGGTATCCGAGCTCTTTGCTCTTCTGGGTTCCAAATTTGAATCTTTACCAGATTTCATCTGGGTTTTATTTGGTTTTCTCTGTTGTGGAACTCAATCTGATTTTTGGAGAGTGTTATGCGAATTTGAGGTGGGTTTTTGCTGGAAGGTTCATCAATGGCAGCAGGTCAAGATTTGATTGAGCTCAAATTCAGGCTATCTGATGGCACCGACATAGGTCCACACAAGTATAGCCCATCTACCACTGTACAATCACTTAAAGAGAAAATACTTGCACAATGGCCTAAAGGTTTTATTTCTTTTCAGCTTACTCTTCTGTTAAAGTTCTGTTTTTTTTTTCTCGTCATATTTTTGCAAAACTTATATATGTTATTGAGGTTCTTTTGCTTTTTATATGATTAGGTTGGCTTCTTGAGAGCTTTTTGCATCAAGCTTTCTCATTAAGCTTATCACAACTTTAGGTGGTGTTGTGTACTTTGAATCTTCTTAGACCATTTTAGCAATTTTGATTGGAAACAATGTATTGGACACTGTACGAATTGAAGTCCAAATATATGGGTTTGAGTATTGAAAATTCTGTTAGTAAATTTTTCGTTGCTCTTATCATTATCTGTAGTACCTTGTCCAAGTAAGTTGAGGCTCCCACTCTGTCCTTCATTGTAGATATAGTCTGAAATGAATTATGACACAGTTCTGAGTCATTCTCGACAAGTGTATGCTCAAGTTAGTCACACATTTAGGAATAATGTTATCAATGTAGTTGTTTATGGTACTGCATTAGAACCCTTGTTTCATATGTGTTGCTGATGTTGGCACCAATCTAAACAGAATATTGAAAGAGGACAAAGCCTATATTTTGACGAAAATAATGATGCTTAGTTTGCTCCATGATCACACCATTGTGCTTTGGTTTGAAATTGACTCATGTTTTCTCATGCTATGCAATATCTATTTGATAGAGAAAGAAAATGGTCCAAGGACAATAAATGATTTGAAGCTTATTAATGCGGGAAAGATACTGGAAAACAACAGGACCCTAGCTGATTCCAGACTTCCAGTCGGTGAACTACCAGGAGGTCTCATCACTATGCATGTGGTTGTGCGTCCTCCTATTGCAGACAAAAAGAATGGTAATTATGTTTCTATTTACTAGACATATGTTGCATATATCTTATAGAACAACATGCTCTTTGGCGAATTCGTTGTTTTTATTAGTCTCTACCCCGAGGTATTTAACATCTTTGGCTCTTTTGATGAACCTTTGCCCCTGAATTCCAAATATATTTTAGTTAAGAGGCATGGTTCTTATGCATCAATCTCTTATGATTCCATCTCCTTCTGAGCAATAAGCATCAAGGTCTTCTTGCTTCTGATTGCCTTGCCATATCTTGACCCTCAGCACGCATGCTAAAAATCTGGATTCAGTGTTGAGCCAAAATTAATCTTCCATGCTAGTTCTCAGAAGTACAACTTTTAATAACATTGCAATATAATAGGGAGCTGAAAGCATTAGATCAAGTCTTTTGTAATAGCTTCATCCTGTAAAGCATAAGAGGTTCTTATTTATTTTTTCTATATTTGTATATTTATTTTGTATGCTTGTTCCTTATCTGAATTTCCTGTCCTTCTCTCCTTTGAAATTGGCTTTGTATATAGTCCATTCTTAAGTTTTCCCTGTGTTCTATATCATTCTTTCGTTAGAAGCTCTGACTTTCAAAGAAAACTATATTGTCCCTTCTTTTCAATCATTATTAGGAGATGACATTATGGAACTTGAAATTCTGGTTAGCAAAAAAACTATGAAAGTCACAATATAAGACACTTTCACATTTACGTTATATAATGCTTATGTTAAAGTTATGTTACCCAAACAGAGGAAAGCAGTTTCAGACACAAGGAACTAATGGTTGCATTTTCCACAGATAAATTGCTGAATGATTCTCCAGAGAAGCCTCGATGTTCATGTTCAATATTGTAGCTTCTCTTAACAAGCTTGAGAAAGCTTCCTCAGTCTGTTAGTGTCATTCTGTGTCTTTTCATTTGTTGCCGACGATGAGATGCTGTTAACAATCTAAGTTCCCTTTCACAAGTGGCAGCAAGAAGTTCATGGATCCATCAGCCAGACTTTTGTTACTTTGAATCTTGTTGTCTCCCTCCGTATGTAAAACAGCTTATAGTTCCTTATTGCATATGATTTGTTAATGAGAAAAGGACCACATTGTTGCGTTGGGAGCCTCTGATTTATTTTCATGAATGAATACAAGTGTAAAAGAAAAAACATCAAACGACCTTAATTAATTTGATTGATTTGCGAGTTTATTGTAAGCAGAATTTCTCTTTCTTTATTATTATTATTATTTAAATTGGTAGAAGAATACGCGTATATTATTACTGTATGTTTTCTTGGTCTGCATATTATTGCAAGCGCCCAATTACACCCGAGGCCTTTTAAACCATAAAATGATGAAACCCTTGTTGAGCACAGGGCTTGGACAAACCTTTCCAACACCCAAGCACCAGGAGAACAAGATGAAATTGCCAAATTCCACCCAACTGAAATTGGAAGTTAGAAGGGATGTATGGGAAGAAGTTATATATTTTTTTCCTTGAGGATATTAAATATAAATTACAAAAAAGAATTTGATTTACTATACAGCAGAATAGCTTACAACAATTCACCCCCGCCCCCCTCAACCCCCGAAAAAGGGTCAATTATGTACTTGTGAAACTATTGACCAGAGAGCTTATATACACTGCTGCAGCTTAGCTTTTGATACCGCATTCCAGCATTGTAAAGTTTCACCACTAACAGCTAAGTGGCCCATGCATAATCCACCTTGGACATACATGATGACATGAGGCAGCATGGCAGTTGGACCATCAATTTCTTAACCTGGTAAATGGCTATTTCTTCATCTTCACGCACAAGATAGGATGGCTTGGTGACTATTATGAAGGGTCCAGAAATGGGGATGTTGAGGAGTGATTTAAGTATAGGGATTTCTTTGACGCTCGAACATTCTTGAGAGTCATCATTAGCTTTTGTCTCTCTCCTTCAACCTCTGCAAATTGAAGGCTTAACTGAGAGTAACGATCATGCATCTCTTTCAGTTCTGTTTCCACAGTAGCATATCTTCCTTAAGGTCCAGCATGTCTTTAATTAGCTCATTGATGTCTCTAAAGCTGTGAAACACTGCTTCCTCATCACTGTGTTGTTTCACGAAAGAACTGGAACACAGGAGGATTTCAAGTTAATTGTTAACCTCATAAGAAATTGGTTGTTCTGCTAATTTTTAAAGTGAACCACCCGTTTCCCCTAAAAGTAACACATTTTAAAATTACCGCAGCCAAGTTTCAGGAGGAGAGATAAAAAGAGACAATATGATGTCTTCTCCCAAGAATTGCCACATAATGCCGTTTGGAAGGGTCAGTCAGAGTTGTATAAGATGTACCTCTGAAACTGGAAAGTTGATTTCTTCTTTGCCTGCAATGCTTCAGCAAGTTCAACTTCCAACGCGAGCACCCTCTCTAGTGCATTGCCACTGCAAGAAAATTCGTTGAATAAGGGAAATATACTTCCCAATTCTTCATTTACCTAATCAAAAAGCCAAATATGATGTCAGTTCAAGGACATGCTTATAATGTAAAGTGCAAGCATCATAAAGTTATTTACCTTATTTAATTGCATCAGCTCTCTTTGTACACCAGAAAATTTTGGGTCAAAATGATGATCATCTAGGGGAAGAAGCAATTTTCATGTTTCATCCTTTCCAACTGCAAGAAGATAACACGGGTTAGAAAAGATCTGTCATGAAAAAAAATAAGTTTATGTCAGGACCTAGATTCTGTAACTGACGATGATGATAACTTTTAATCCATAGTCCCTGCTCCCCAACCATAGATAATGATACTGTAGCAATACCAAAGAATCTGCTCACTTGTCTATATATGAAATACATACCTCCTTATTTAAGTTGTCCATGCTAGACTTTAAGCTTTGGGCCTTAAAATGCTCATTGGCAAGAACCAAATGCTCATGTCCTATTAAGAACATCCTTTTGTTTTGAAGGTACAACACTAGGATACCATTTACACCTCTGGATACAAGATCATCCTGTCCAATGAAGCACATTGATTGTCAGATACCAAAATTTCAAGATAGATAATAAAAGAGTACATACCTTGGAAAAATGAAATAAAGTAAACCTTTTCTTTGACAATTGTGAACAATCATATTCCTCTGCTAAAGGAATAGGATGAACTTTCAAGTTTTGAAAATACAAGCTACAAAAGATAACGCATTCACCACCACTTGTGTGGTCATACTCCATAGATCAAACTTATATTATTTTGATTGACTTATTATAGGATTTCTTCTGTACTTAATTTCAGCAGTTTTTCATGGAAAAGTTGACAACATTAATGGTGATCAAGGAGTTTAAACCCCAATAACTGGTAGTACCAACCAAATATATTAGCCCCTGTCTACTTCACTCTAGTGGTGGTACTTCCCAGGAAACTTGTTTAACGTGATAGCAGGGGGGTCGGTATTGCGCAAGCAAAGGCTAGCACTACGAAATAGATATGCTAATAAGTTTGGTAATATTTGGAGCAGCAACTCACTAAGGTACTGTCAAGTTGTCAACTAGTATTAGTAGGAATTATACTCTTTAGGAGCACCATCAAACTCTCTATGATGGAAAAAAGCAGATAAGTATAGCAAACTAAAAGCATCTTTTTAGCTGAGGGCAGTATGAAAAAGGAATTCTTGTTCACTTTTCCAGAATCTTAATGGAGAAGAGTGAAATATCCAGAACGTGTATAAGCTAACATAAGCATGCTGATGCTACATAGTTGCACAAATTAGAGTATCAATGGAGTAACTTTCTCTATATAGAGATTAAAACAGTTAAGTACCTGCTCAGAGTGTATATTGATGAGTCCATTTGATTGGTCTACTTCATCAATGGAATTCAAGCATTCAGGATCAGCTGCTTCACAATTCGCTAAATCTAGCTCAGAAAACTTAGCTAACGGGTCCTCTCTTACTATGCTGCTTTGCACGCCAGATGTCAATTTCTTGTGGCGAACTTTTTCAACAACCGGATCATCAGACATGTAATCTGCTTTGTGTAAACTGCCATTGCCTTCCCTCTGATTATTTATAGAAGCTGAAGAACTCTCAAGCAAATCCTTCGTTGAGGTGAGTTCTAAAGCAATTTTAGCCATTTCCTCATTGCACTTTTGCAAAGACGCTTCAAGTTGTTGTTTTTCTTCCTTACAGCACTCAAGGCTTATTAATGAGCATTCCTTTTCAGCCTTCATCAAGTCATAGGCTTTCATTATTTCACGCTTTTCAGAAAGCGCTGAATGTAGGTCAGACTCCAATTCCAAGATCCTCATTCCTAGCTCTTCATTTCTCTTTACATGAGTAGCTTCAGATCTCTTCCTGTTCTCAACTTCGTTGATTGCATCTTGTAATTTCATGAGCATCTCCTCACTATGCTTCTTGCACATAGCAAGCTGTTGTTTCAGTTCTTGCAGCTTGGTTTCATACTGCTCTTTGATGAATGCAATTCTTAAGGACTCTTGCATGGCAACTGGCGGCCCTTCTGGTTCTCTTTTATCATGTGCATGGAGACCCTCAGCATAAGCCTTGTCTTTAAGCTCCTTAAAATGGATGGACAAGTTCTTAAACTCTTCTGTCTTCAAAACCTGTTCAGCAAGCCTCTGTGTAAGCTCACTACATTTATTGCGCAACATTATCAATTCATCTTTATATCCTTCCAGCAAGGTTATCTGAGCGCACTGTTCGTCCAACTTGGCTTTGAGTACTAAAACTCTGACTTCTAGTGCTTCCTTGGAGAATATCAGGTTATCAATCTCTTCTTCAGAAGTCATCAAAGTATACTCCAGCCTTTCGATCTCAAGAGCAGACTGACTATTATCCACGTGGACAACACCCTCCACATTTTCTGCTCTTTTCTTGTATTCCTCAAGTTCAGTCCTCATGGCACTGTTTGTATCAAGAAGTATCCTATTTTGAGCACTGGCGGCTTCCAACTCAGATTTAAGGGAACTGAGACTTGCCATCAATTTGGTGTTCTCTTCAAGGTAATGCCTTTCGCTAGCAAGACATTTATTAAGCATATTCTCTACATTGAGGTGATCGTTATGAAGCTCGGAAACATGGCTATCTGAAAACTGAAGTTTCTGATCAAGCTCTTCGATCATGGCCTTATATTGAGTCTTTGCAAAAGTGAGTCCAACATCAGTAGCTATTGAAATTTCATGCATTTCAGATAACTGAGCTTCCAAAGCTGATATGGAAGAGCATTCTTCACGAACATCTTTCAGACATTCCTCAGAATCCAACAGAAGACGGAGAACTCTGGATTTCTCAAGCTCTAGGTCTGATACCAATTGTTTGAGGTGGACAAGCTCAGCCTTCTGGTGATCAAAATCTAGTAACTGGTTGTTCTTCTCGTTCAATTGGTAAGTGAGATCTGTAATTGTACCCTCTAACTTATCTCTGAGATTTCTCTCAATTTGCAACTCGTCATGCAAAGAGAACAAACTTCCTTGCAAACTATTAAGCTTCAGAACAAGCTTGGAAGATTCTTCAGTTTTATCATGTAAGGACACCATCAAAGCTTCTTTCTCCTCTGACAATGCTGCTATGGTCAGGTTACACCTTCCTAGTTCTTCAATCTTGGTCTCAAATTGAGTTTTTGTGAAAGTGAGTCCAACATCAGCAGCTATTGAAAACTCATGCATTTCAGACAATTGAGCTTCCAGAGCAGATATGAAGGAACATTCTTGACGGACATCTTTTAGACATTCCTCAGAGTCAAACAAGAGACGGGAAACTCTTGATTTCTCTAGTTCTAGATTGGATACCAATTGTTTGAGACAGACAAGCTCAGCCTTTTGCTGATCAAAACCAAGCAGCTGGCAATGCTTCTCGTTCAATTGGGAAGTGAGATCTGTAATTGCACTCTCTAACTTATCTCTGAGATTTCTCTCAATTTGCAACTCATCATGCAAAGAGAGCAAACTTCCTTGCAAATATTTAAGCTCCTGAGCAAGCTTGGAAGATTCTTCAGTTTTATCCTGTAAGGAGGTCATCAAAGCTTCTTTTTCCTCTGACAATGCTGCTATGGTCAGGTTATACCTTCCTATTTCTTCAATCCTGGTCTCATATTGAGTTTTTGTGAAAGTAAGTCCAACATCAGCAGCTATTGAAAATTCATGCATTTCAGACAATTGAGCTTCCAAAGCAGATACGGAAGAACATTCTTCATGGACATCTTTTAGACATTCTTCAGAGTCCAACAAGAGACCGGAAACTCTTGATTTCTCTAGTTCTAGATCAGATAACAATTGTTTGAGATAGACAACCTCAGCCTTCTGCCCATCAAAACCTAGCAACTGGCAATGCTTCTCGTTCAACTGGGAAGTGATATCTGTAATTGTACTCTCTAACTTATCTCTGAGATTTCTCTCAGTTTGCAAATCATCATGCAAGGAGAGCAAACTTCCTTGCAAACTATTAAGCTCCTGAGCAAGCTTGGAAGATTCTTCAGTTTTGTCCTGTAAGGAAATTATCAAAGCTTCTTTTTCCTCTGACATTGCTGCCATGGACAGGTTACACCTTCTCAGTTCTTCGGTTACCTTCTCAAACTCCATAATTTGACCAGCAAGGTCCTGGTTTTTAGAAGTAAGTTGCTGCAGCTCCATTTCTAACTGATTAAGATCAGAAAAAAGTTCTCTGTGCTGTTGTGCATAATTCTCTTCGGCTACAGAATTAATCTCCGGTCTGTTTGCAAGGGCCTCAACTTGTAACTGGAGCTTTCGCACCAGGGCGTTTGAAAGTTCTAGTGTATCCATTATACCTCGTAGATCATGTTCAAATTGCCGTTTTATGATCAGATTATCAGATTCTGCTGCGCTTAAAGACTCCCGAGCTATATCTCTTTCTTGTGCTATGTCTTTCTTCTCCTCCATAAGCTGGACAATCTTCTCATATGCATTGTGCTGAAGCTCTTCTATTTGCAACACTACACCTGTTAAATCTTTGGATTCCAAGTCCTGACTGACACATCCAATGCAGAGATCCGTGCCTTTATACTTTTGGTCATAAGATGCCAACAGATTCGATAACTTACCCTGTAGAAAGTTCACAATATTCTGCAGATTTTCCTTCACATAAGTCAGTTCATCAAAGTCAGTTCTGACATATTTCAACTCTTCCTGCAAAGATGAAATTCTATTTTGAAGAGTGTCATTTTCAAGGGTTTCCTTTTTCAACAAATTTTCCAGCTGTAATTTTTCAGTAGTGCAGGCTTTGTATTTGCTCTCATAAGTTTCGTATTCTTTTATTATATCCTTCCATTCAGCAATCTTCTGGACAAGAAGATCATTTTCACTAGTGGCGTTTTGTAAATCTGCTTCCAAAACTTGGTTCCTCAGAGCCAAGTCATTGCAGTTTGAATTGCAAGTATCCTTGTACTCATTCAGGAAGCGAATCTCATCCAATGCAGTCTGCAGCCTCGGCATCAATAACTCATTGGACTCAGTTGAAAGCTCCAGCTGTTGTGAAAGGTCATGCACTTTCTCTTTAGTCAATCCAAAGTCAGCACTAGCTTCAACCAAAGTAACCTGTAAAGCCTTTGAGAAGACATCCAAATACACATTCACCAGATGCACTTCATAAAGTTCTTCTTCAACCTTTTGGTAAAGCCCCTTCTGAAAGAGGAGAGATTTTCTCAAATCCTCTGATAATATATTCCCATCTAAATGCTGTTTGTTTATCCCAGAGCACTGATTCTGACACTGCAAGTGTTCTGCAGAATGAGATTCCTCTGAATCCAACTTCTGATTCTGCAGGTTTTCTTCACACGCAGGTAAGCTTGGAAGCAAAGAATCTGCAAAAGCCTGTTTAATGAGGTTCTCATTATTCTCATACATGGACTGAACCTGAAAAGAAAGCAATTCAAGGTCCTTCTGTAACTGGTTCACAGCAATGGAGTAATTCATGCGTGCCCTTTTAAGTGCTGCTTCTGCTGTAGTAGCCCTTCTTTCAAGCTCCTTGTTCAGAGAATCAAAATCACGCTTTTCTTTGGAAAATATTATTCTCTCATTGTTCATGTCTTGCTGGATTCTCTCCATCTCAGCTTTAGCGGATGAAATTGTGTACAGGCAAGTAGAATGCTCATTTCTGAGATTCTGCAATTCTCCCATCATCTGTCTCTGGTTTTCCTCAAGTTCCTGAATGAGAGCTTCATAGTAGCACTCCATCTGGTCTGCTTTCTTTGCAAGGCTTTCTCGTTCAGCTTTCAACTCATTCACCTCTCTTAAAAGCTCAAAGACTTCTCCTTTCATTGCATTGGCAGCATCTACAGAATCAAAGTCTTGCGACACTGGGCCAGGTATGCTTAGACAATGAAGCGCACCTTCTGGTTGATAAAAATCTGCATCAAACCTGGTTCCTATTACTAATTGCTCACGTTTATGTAAACTCATTTCATCGGCCTGCTTTATGCTTGTCAAGTTCAGCCCTGAACTTGCCTGTCCAGTTTCTTGTTTGAGAACTTGCAGAACACCAAGCAATCCCTCGAAATCCGAAAGAAAGGACGCGAAGTCCCTTTCATGTATTCCAAAGCATGCCTTTCTCTGAAGCTCTCTTATTTTATCATCCATATCTGAAAGCCCTTTAAACCACCTGAGCTGTAACTCATGAAAAAGGTAATCCTGGCCTATCTCAATAGTTTCTCTGCTTAATTTGGAACTCTTTTGCTCCTCAAGATCTTCTTTCAACTTTGAACATTCTGATCTCAGTATGGAAACTTCTTTTGCTAATCGTTCTCCAGAAGCAATTTCAGCATCAAGTTGAACAGAAAATTTTTGTGCTTCAATGCCTATTTCATCAGCATGACTCTGTAGAGTGCTCACCTCCTGCTTAAGCTCAAGAATAGATGATTCAGCTGCTTCCAAGCTTCCTCTAAGTCTACTATTTTCCTCATAAGAATTTGGCAGGCCAGCATCTGCAGAAAAGTCAGAACCCCAGCCATGAGCCCACTCATTGGTCCCCTGTGCCAAGAACTGCTGATCAGAGGGGTCTCCTTTCTCTTGTCCAGGACTTTGACTAAGGGGACAATCCACCTAAATCACCAGAGGTAGTACTCTTAAGACTATCAATCTCATGGGTGCTGGACGTATCATGTTTCTCAGCATATAAACTTTCTGAAGTATTGGAAGAACCATCAAATCCAACAGTTGAATCTGCATACTCTTCATTCAGCCCAGCCTCCTCTTCAAGGGGAGAGAGTTCTTTAAATTTCACTCTCGCATTCATCTGTAAAAAGAAGAAAAAATTTATTGGAAACATATATTATGACAACAGATCAGAACGCCTATCACAAAGATAATAACTCCATCCAGTAAAGAACTCATATAATGGAAAGTTTTTAAATTTGTACAACAAAACGCAACATTACAAGTACAAGAAAACGCAAGGGTTATCACTCTCAGAATTTGTGAGAGACGTCAAGTTTCTCAGTAACTGACTCATGGAAATTGTTCAAAGGGGATGGATATACCCATAAACTCTGCAAAAGCAGGCCTATCTTTCTCATCAGATACAGAAGTATACTATATTTCAAAGTGAATTAGAATCCCTTGCTTCATCTTTATGTCTTTAAAATCATAGCAGCAACAGTGAGCCTAATTTCATCTTTGATAGCCCAAACGTGTTCTGAGAAAGGTGTTTGTTTTGTCTGAATCTATATTTATCTTCCATACATGCCAGACACGCCTCAGAGGATTATAAGTTTTAATTTAGATCATGTCATAAAAACACATGCGACCAGCATCTACCAGACAATAGAGATAGAGATAGATCATCGATGTGCTATCAATAAGAAAAACTGATTGAAATCATATTTATCGTACAGGCACATCCCCTATTGTATTGTGTGCTCTGAAGTTTCGGGATGTCCCATTTAGCAATATTTATCTTGATTTGTCTGAAATGTTGTATTGAGTGTGGTTTTCCTTGTATTATGTTTTAGTTGTTATTGCCTAGGTGGACTGCTTGTCCATCTCCTATTGCATGTTTTGCTCCTTTTCCCAATAAACTTTTATTTCGTATTTAAACAAAACAAATAAAAGAGTGAAATAATAAAATAGAAATGGTTTATGCAAAGATGGACAAAATTCTGAAATATTTGTTTCAAGGAGCTTATGTCTTTCAAAAAGTTCAATAGAAATATAAATTCAGAATCCAAGACAGTGAACCATCATATACTCTATGGAACAAACAGAGACAGAAGAAAAAGACTGACCTTATCCATCTGATCATTCACTGTATCTTCAGAAGATGATATTCTTCTAGCTGTGGATACATCATTTCTATTCTGGTCAGAGGTTGTCCGTAGACCACTCTCTCTGAGCTCCCTCTGCTGCTCAAACTCTCTGAAAGGAAAAGAAGTACAGATTAACTACTGAAATTAGATAAAGAAGAGATTAACATGTTTTAATGCTTACCTGAAGCCAGTTTTAGAAGTTAGCAGCTGTACAGTAACCTGATGTGGATTAAGACAAAAAACAATTGAACAGAAGTAAATTATAGTTAATAACCAGCACTGAAGAACAACTAACAGTGTTTACTGGAAGTTAAAAAAAGAAGAAAACTAGCTTTCTTGGGAACATTTTGTCTAAATAATTTGAACTTCAGAGATTCTCACATGTAAAACAGTTCCAGAATCACACCCGTGGAGAGGCAGTGCAACAGAAGAAGGCTTTGACGCATCAGCATAATCAGCAAGGTTGATATTAGCCTCACCCAGGACACTAGACCGTGAAGAACCCTGATGTCAGTTAGATTTAGGCCAAAAACAAAGTTAAACTCAGTTTAAAAAAGGTAATGGCTGCAGTCTGCAGTCAGCTGCTCTGATAGTGATTAGGGACTAGAGAAAAGTTAGTTCATGAATCAACCAAATTTTAAATCAGAAACATTATTTTAATGAATAAGACTTCTGAAGGAATACTACCATGGTTACCACGAGTTTGTAAAGCTTCTCATCATATTGTTTTGTTTTAGTGTCTTGTAAAAGTCTTGTAGTTTCATAGATAGGATCTCCCCATTTGCAGGTCCCATTCCTCACATTTGCCTTGGTTGTTTTTGCAGTTGCCTTTCCAGAATCAGCAGGTATAAAAGATATAAACAACTTATCCCATCCGGTTTGTGGAACCTGGACCATGCAGAAAGAAACATTGTATTCAGTCGTAGCATAGATTGTAGCTGCTACATATAACACCATGTTTTCCAATCATGCTATAGAAAAAAATGCATAATTAAAAGGAGTTCAGGTGCACCAAGCATCTACAATGGGCTCCCTTAACCACCTCCTTAAACAAAATTTAGGGATGAACTGAAAAAACACAACTCCAACCATGCTCCCTATCCACCTCCTAATATAGGGAGACCTCTAGGAGCTCCTAAATGTGAGGGGAGAGAAAAGACTCCTAGTGGCTCCCCATAATAAATCTTGCTTTACTTTAATAATATTTAAAACTTTTATTAATGTTGACTATTTTTGTTATTATTTTATAAAGAGAGAGAGCATTTATGCTCAATTAGAAAAGAATGAAAACATTTATGACTCCTAACCTATGGAGTATGATTGGAGTTGAAATTTATAGAGAGATCCTAAAACAGTTTTCTAGTGTTTTTAGCTAAATTTTAACTAAAAGACAGGGAGCAAGATTGTAGATGCTCTAAGCCATTAGCCATAAGAAACTAGAATTAAATAACACGTAAACTAATGGGAGCTACAGGGCCACATTACTTACATTAAGTTTACAGTCCATTTTAGATTGTCTTACACATCATATGACACAATAGAATACCAGATTCAGGGAATTACCAGGAAAATGTTAGTAGTGATATGGAAGCAGCAAACATAAAAGTCACAAGACAAAGCCTATTTTCCACAAACTGGTGAATCTAAATTGGCAGCTTAGAAGATTTATTCAACACTGATTTTTGCATCAACAACAGTTACAGGCCAGAAGTTTATGCATGGGTTTCATAAGAAGTGAATACAAATGGGAATGTATTAAAATTATCAACAGAAAACAAAACAAAAAATATTGATCCTCTGAAAAGCCAATTGAGGAATCTAAAAAACAAATTTACAATAAAATTAATAAGATAGAATTTCAGCAGTAAATTCTAAGAAGTTACAACTTACATGTGTAGCATGGAATTGTAGCCTGAAAACCACTTTTACTTTTGTCTTCTCAAGCTTCCACTTAGTGATCCTCGACATTACTGGATAGTCTATCTATAGTCAACTGTGTAACATCAAGGTTCCAAATCCATTCTCCTGCACCATTGTAAATCAATTAAGAGTGATTGCATTATTTCCACAACAAATGGAATGAAATTTGAGACTGCTCATGCAAATTAGAAGTTACATCTCTTGGATGATAAACAATATGCCAGAAAAGCAAAGACATATTTAGTCCTCACAAATGCTTATAAACCATGTAGGAAAAAGAAGAAGTTAGAGAGAAGGATCCCCTTTCCCCCTTCCAAAATGAAATGGGTATATAAACAAGTTGGCTCAAAATGCAGATACAAGTCAGATGGGTCAGATCACGCTGCACTACGAAATACTCTAGTGCGTCCATATAGAAAAACATGACATTATTTTGAACATTAACTTAAAATTCAAAGTAAAACTAAAACCAACACTCATACAAGCCTAACATTACTATTTGGTCTGATCAGATTTAGCTACATCCATCTATATAATCCAAGATTTTCTTTTCCAATCAGTTTTCTCCGTAATTCTCAGCAGCCAAACGGAAGGTAATGTAAGAAAGTTAAAAGGGAACCAGTTTGGGAAGATAAGCAAATCTAAATTGGAGCACAAACCTTGTAGGACTAGGCACAGACTTGCCCAAAAGGGAAAACCCAGAAACAAATTCAAAATCCCAGTTGAAGATACGCCGGATCCAAGCTCGGGAAAAAAGCAGAGGATTCAGATGCCAGCTCCAGCAAACCGACAAAAGCAAGACCCAGAAGAAGAAGAACCTCAGAAAACAAACGCAAGGCCGCTGCTGCTACAAGACTGACAAAATAGCCAATACGACTGTGTTAGAGACAAATCCAACTTCCCAGACCGGAAATGCCTAGCCAAATGTGGAAACTTCAAAAACCCAAATCACTGTTTGTCTAGAACACATCGTCAAAAACCCATTATTTGGAATAACAAATAAATACCACATGCAGCAAACAACAGTCCAATGTCCCAAAATTCAAACCCAATTATCAGAAACGCCAAAAGAATCCAATGGCACCACACAGCTTCACAAATACAAAGGCTACAAATGCTGTGCTGGTGTGAAGGGAATAGGGGCAGCAGTAAAACTAGTAAAGTTGACACCTTGACACTCAAAATTCAAAACCCATAAATAAAATATAAATTATATAATGTGTATAGTTATAAAAAATTAGACTTTGTTGTCTATTATTATAATGGCAATGAGGATGATGCAGTGCGGGTAGGTACCTAGCTGTGGATCTGTACGTGCTTAAGGTGGAAGGAACAGCAAGTAATCTTGGGCAAGAAGGTTCTAAGAGAGAGAGAGAGAGAGAGTGCTACTGTTTGTCTCTGTGTATGTGTGGTTATGGGTGGGTGGCGTAAATAAGCAGTAAATGGAAGGGTTAAGAGCATTAATAAGGTAAGATAGAGCTGGGTTTTCAGCTCAAATATCAACTTCAGATTCTGGAAACCCGCCAAAGCCTGCATTTGTCTGTGTCTCTTAAATCTTTTTTATTTTTGTATTTATTATTTATTTTGTTTTCTACTTTTTTCTTATAATGGGTGGTGTGCGTGGTGATGTCATTGTCTGTTTGTCTGTGACTCTGGGTTTTGCCTTTCACTTCTCATTGGAGTGGTTGGAACTTTACTGCAATACCCCTCCCTTGTTTTTTCACCACTTTGGCACTAATTTGGCCCTTAATGATGGGTGCTAAATTGGTAGTATTTTTAATTGTTTAGAAGTGAATAAGATTAAAGAATTATATGAAATATGAATAAAATATTATAATTTAGAATTATGGATTTCATTATAATTTGGGTAGATTACTGGGGCTAATAATTCAAACCTGGAAATCATAAATCATGCTTTTTTGCTTGCAAGTTACAAAGTCACTTGTACTCCTTCAAGAGTGAAAAGGAAATGAAGACATACCACAATCACCTAATCAAAACTCGCGATAAACCTATGGGAAAATTTGTTTGTCAAAAAGTGCATATTGGAAGTAGCATTCACAAATTGAAAATTATAAAGACTTTGAACAATATCTTCTCTTGACATTGTGCTGTTAGATTGTAAATTTTGAACCACGCATTTAAACAAGAGTCAATGTGATTAACACTTTCAATTCACCGTCGGACATATTGTCAAACTTTATGACAAAATAACATTTCTTAAACCCTAAAGAATTTTTATCCAACAAACTAAGCATTTTTGTAGGGCTCAATTACAACTATCAAACAAATTGGTGACTATAATACATTTTTGGAAATATTTTTACTCGTCACTTTAGCCCAAGTTGCATGAACACCATCATTTTTAATATTTGAAACGTGTTAATAGGCATAATCATGGTTAACTTTTTACTTTAATTTATGTAGCCATAATCACTGGCGGACCCAGAAATTTTTTAGCGGAGGTGCAATATTGACTAAGTATGAAAAATGGTTTTTTCGGAATAATCATTTTCTCAAGATAATTTTTGGCGGCTTTTATTCCTTACACATCAAATAAGAAAACTTGATTTTATGGGATTTTAGTATGAAGTATATATGACTTAATGAGCCATCATTTTTAGCCTAAATCATATTTTGCACTAAAACCGAATTTTCATATTTCGATTTGGTGGGAATTTGATTTTCTAGTATTTTTATTTGAATACAAATAGGGGGTACTTCCTTATTTACATTGTAAACTTAAGTAAATAGAGTAATATAAAAATAAATAAAAGTAAAAGGATAAAGACATTTACAATGGTTGAAGATGAAAATAAGGTAATCTGTACAACAGTTGAGCAAAGGGGCAATTTGAAGCACTTACAATGGTTTTTCTGCCTTACTAGATCCGCCAGTGGCCATAATTATAATTATAGACACGTGTCAAATGTTAAAATGGATAGTGAACATACACGTTGAATTAAAATGGTGAGCAAAATTGTTTCATAAACAATAAGAATGAAACAATGGCAGCATCTAAGTTAGATTTTGCCAAATTTACAATTTACAGAAATCAAAAGTACACTGGGAGAACACAAAAGGACACTAATACACAGCCAAGACACATAAAAAAGTGGAGCTGCTATATGATGATTGATCTTGAATTCTGAGGTCCAGGAACGAAGAAGAACCCATGAATTTTGGGCTTGCAGGAATGGGAATGGGAACCGTGGGACCATCACCACCACTACTGACCATGCACATGGGTTTGGTGCGGTAGGGCACTATTTTTTTTTCTTTCAAATGCCAAAAAAAGAAAGATAAAAAAAAAAGTCGAGAGATGTGTGAGATATATCTTCACAGCCAAGCCCAAGTTAATCACGTGACAACACGTGTGCATCTTGCACGTGATACTATCAGGAAACACGTGCACCTGGAGCACCTTTTCCTTTTTATGTTGAGATGATTTTTGCAAATTTAATTATAATTTAATGAATATCATGAGTGGACGGGAAATTAGTAAAAAGTGAAAAAGTGGTTTTGCATAATGCATGTGATTTGATTTTACATGAGATAATGACATCTTTTACGTTCTACTAATTTTAGTAATATACTTAATTAATCAAATAGTAATCAATCAATGTGTGTGCAAAAGTCAATTTGATGATGCCATTCCAAATTCATGAGCATATAAATCACTAATTACAAATACAAAACTATCTTGACCCACAAGCTCAAAAGTCACACAAAGGCTATAGGCCTCAGTCTTCTAGTTATTCTTAGAAGTGACTAAGAGAGATTGTGAGAATAATTTTATGCTTAATTATTGATATAGTTGTATAGATATGATCCTTAAAATTCCGTTTCATTTTCAGTCTCATTTCGCCCTCTTACATTCAATTTGTCTTATTAATCCTCCAAACTTGAATTTAGTGTCTCATTTTGCATTAACTCTTGTCAAAAAATTTAATAAATATTCCGACGTGACATGAGTACAGTCCGAGGCATATCAATAATTAAGCCCTAGATGTTACTTGTTTGACAAACAAGAACAAAAGGTGGAGGATCAAAATGAGATTTTCTCACTATATAAGATAAGGCCTAGTTATTGGGTCCCACATTGGGGGCAGATAAGTGTGCATTATGCCTATATCAACATCATTATGGATGTAGGTTGGCTTTGAAAAACCACATTAAATCGTTCGTGTTCTTGAAAAAGTCTTCATTGAACCAATTTTTGGGCCATCAACAAAACAAAGTTAAATGTGTAATGAGTATGCTTAAGTGCATCAAAATAAATTATAATGATAATATAAACAAATAAAAAAACAATTGCTGTCATAATAATACAAACTGGGCCTGGAATTTGGACTAAAACCAATAGATCCAACCCATTAAAAAGTCCTAAGCTAGAAGGATGACTCAGCCCAAACAGATACTTTTTCAGAACAATTTTTTTTTATGCACAACCCATTTCACAGAAAGCAGCTACAAATGTCATGAGCCTGAGCTCTATCTAACTTTCTGGTTCAAAGCCCCAACTTCTCCAGTTTCTTTTGTTTCAGCTGAACAAGCCCTTTGACTCTGAGCATTGCTTGGATGGACTTTCTTCATCACCCGAAACAAACAACCACTAGGCTGACCAAGTTCAGATTCAGCTCTGCCCAGCTTGGCTCTTTCTTCTTCTTGCTCCATCTTCAGCTTCTTCTTGTGGAGGCCTCTGAGCACATATGCTTCAGCAAAACCATAACCTACCGTCGACATGGCCTAAAATATATAGGTTTTTTTGGTGTTCAAGTGAAGGAAGAAATGGGGTTTTTTCTAATTTGATGTGGTTTGGGGCTTGAGAAGTGAAGCATTTGGGTTTTCAGAGGGTGATGAGTGGTATTTATAAAGGTTTGGGTTGCCTTGGGGAGCAAGCAGACACGCTTTGCTTATGCCGGAAGGAAAGCTAACGTGATGTGACGAATATTGACAGTTTAGGTTTCTTTCTCGGTTGATCGTTGAATTTTGTCTGTTTGTTTGGTGAGGCCTTTGGACTCTGTGGAGGCAAAGAAAAAATTGGTTTTTGGGCGGCAGGGGTATGACGTAGATGCGTGCGTGGTCAATTCCTTGTTAAATGCGTGTGTGTCGTATAGCCGCGCGGCTATACTATTTTTATTATATAAAAAATCCTGGTATAGCCGCCCGCTGTACTATTTACTCGCGTACACAACAGTATAGCCGCGCGGCTATACTATTTTTATAAGTAAAAAAAAGACAACCCACCTGTCCCATCGCCACATGTCCCAGAAAGTATAGCCGGGCGGCTATACTATTTACAAATAAAAAAAGAGGAACGCCTGCACCCATTGTAAAACAAATCGTATAGCCGTGCGGGACCACCGCTTGGGCCCTAGGGCCGGCTTCGCCGGAGGGGATCCGATGTCCCTATTTTTCATGTCCCTTGTATAATTTGTTGACACGTGTCCATTCACTTAACTCTAATAGTAGAGTTGTTAACTTTCAATAAAATAAAAATTAAAAGAAATTAAAACCTTGGCAAAACAAACAGCCGTCACAAAGTTCCCCAGCCAAGTATCCAACCTCGACAGCCCAAACCTCGCTGGTTGCAGCCCCTTCACCTAAGCCACACACAACCTCCACCCTGTTGGCCCCTTATCTTCCATTACCACCTCCTCCTCTTCTTCCCGATCTCCCCTCAAATTTGGGTTTCATAATTGGAAGGGTTTCAATTTTGATGTCTTTCAATTGTGCTTCTGGGACTCATGCAAAAAAAAAAAAAAAAAAAAAAAAAAAAAAAAAAACTGGTTAATTGAATCGGTATTTATTGATGATGGGTATTGAAGGGTAGTTTGCATTCTGAGGGAATTTCAAGGAACGGGAAGAGGTGTGGTGCTGCTGCGTAGGGAGGAGGTCAGCGAAGGGGAAGAAAGATATATTGGGTTTCTGGGATTTTTATTATAAAAAAATCCGAGCATAGTGGCGCGGCGATGCTATTTTTATTATAAAAAAATCCAGGTATAGCCCAAGTTAATCACGTGACATCACGTGCATCTTGCACGTGATATATCAGGAAACACGAGCACCTGGAGTACCTTTCCTTTTAATGTTGAGATGATTTTTGTGAATTTAATTATAATTTGATGAATATCATGAGCGGATGGGAAATTAGTAAAAAGTGAAAAAGTGGTTTTGCATAATGCATGTGATTTGATTTTACATGAGAAAATGACATCTTTTAGGTCCTACTAATTTTAGTAATATACTTAATTAATCAAATAGTAATCAATCAATGTGTGTGTGCACAAGTCAATTTAATTACATCAAGAGTCACACACATAGGCTATAGGCCTCAGTCTCCTAGTTCTTCTTAGAAGTGACTGAGAGAGATTGTGAGAATAATTTTAGGTTAATTATTGATATAGTTGTATAAATATGACCTTTAAAATTTCGTTTTATTTTCAGTCTCATTTCATCCTCTAAAATTCAATTTGTCTTATTTAATCCTCCAAATTTGAATTTAGTGTCTCATTTTGTATTAAATCTTATTTAAAAATCTAATAAGTATTCTTACATGACATGAATACAGTCCGAGGCATGTTAATAATTAAGCCCCATATGTTACTTGATTGACAAACAAGAACAAAAGGTGGAAGATCCAAATGATATTTTCTCACTATATATGATAAGGCCTAGTCATTGGGTCCCACATTGGGGGGCAGATAAGTGTGCATTATGCCTATATCAACATCATCATTATGTATGTAGGCTGGCTTTGAAACCACATTAAATCGTTCGTGTTCTTGAAAGTCTTCATTGAACCAATTTTTGGGCCATCAACAAAACAAAGTTAAATGTGTAATGAGTATGCTTAAGTGCATCAAAATAAAAAGTCTTAGGCTAAAAGCATGACTCAGCCCAAACATATACTTTTTCAGAACAATTTTTTTTTAAGCACAACCCATTTTACTGAAAGCAGCTACAAATGTCATGAGCCTGAGCTCTATCTAACTTTCTGGTTCAAAGCCCCAACTTCTCCAGTTTCTTCTGTTTTAGCTGAACAAGCCCTTTGACTCTGAGCATTGCTTGGATGGACTTTCTTCATCACCCAAAACAAACAACCACTAGGCTGAGCCATTTCAGATTCAGCTCCGCCCAGCTTGGCTCTTTCTTCTTCTTGCTCCATCTTCAGCTTCTTCTTGTGGAGGCCTCTGAGCACATACGCTTCAGCAAAACCATAACCTACCGTCGACATGGCCTAAAATATATATATGTTTTTTGGTGTTCAAGTGAAGGAAGAAATGGGGTTTTTTCTAATTTGATGTGGTTTGGGGCTTGAGAAGTGAAGCATTTGGGTTTTCAGAGGGTGATGAGTGGTATTTATAAAGGTTTGGGTGGGCTTGGGGAGCAAGCAGACACGCTCTGCTTAAGCCGGAAGGAAAGCTAACGTGATGTGACGAATATTGACAGTTTAGGTTTCTTTTTCGGTTGATCGTTGAATTTTATCTATTCGTTTGGTGAGGCCTTTGGAGTTTGTGGAGGACAAGAAAAAATTGGTTTCTGGGCGGCAGAGGTATGACGTAGATGCGTGAGTGGTCAATTCCTTGTTAATTCCTGAGAGTTGGATGCGTGCCGGCTATACTATTTTTATTATAAAAAAATCCAAGTATAGCCGCGCGGCTATTTACTATTTATAAAAAGGACCCGTCCGCGCCCATTTTGCCACGTTTAAAAATCCTATAGACGTGCAGCTATACTATTTTTATAAAATCCTGATTATAGCCGCCCGGCTATACTAAAAAAACCCGCACAACTCCTGGGGCCCACATGTCCAAAATAGTATAGCCGCTCGGTTATATATATATATCAATTGGGTTTCCGGAATCAATTATATACTGGTTTTTCAATTGGGTTTCTGGGATTCTTAAATTGGGTTTCTCACTTGAGAGTACTGGTATATGGCGATCTTGTTAATTCTAGTATAGCCGCGCGGCTATACTGTTTTTATTATAAAAAAAACCAAGCATAGCCGTGTGGCGATATTATTTTTATTATAAAAAATCCAGGTATAGCCCAAGTTAATCACGTGACATCACGTGCATCTTGCACATGATATATCAGGAAACACAAGCACCTAGAGTACCTTTTCTTTTAATGTTGAGATGATTTTTGTGAATTTAATTATAATTTGATGAATATCATGCGCGGATGGGAAATTAGTAAAAAGTGAAAAAGTGGTTTTGCATAATGCATGTGATTTGATTTTACATGAGAAAATGACATCTTTTAGGTCCTACTAACTTTAGTAATATACTTAATTAATCAAATAGTAATCAATCAATCTGTGTGCAAAAGTCAATTTGATGATGCCATTCCAAATTCATGAGCATATAAATCACTAATTACAAATACATTACTATCTTGACCCACAAGCTCAAGAGTCACACATAGGCTATAGGCCTCAGTATCCTAGTTCTTCTTAGAAGTGACTGAGAGAGATTGTGAGAATAATTTTAGGTTAATTATTGATATAGTCGTATAGATATGACCTTTAAAATTTCGTTTCATTTTCAGTCTCATTTCATCCTCTAAAATTCAATTTGTCTTATTTAATCCTCCAAACTTGAATTTAGTGTCATTTTACATGAACTCTTATTTAAAAAATCTAATAAGTATTCTGACATGACATGAATACAGTCCGAGGCATGTTAATAATTAAGCCCCATATGTTACTTGATTGACAAACAAGAACAAAAGGTGGAAGATCCAAATGATATTTTCTCACTATATATGATAAGGCCTAGTCATTGGGTCCCACATTGGGGGCAGATAAGTGTGCATTATGCCTATATCAACATCATCATTATGTATGTAGGCTGGCTTTGAAACCACATTAAATCGTTCGTGTTCTTGAAAGTCTTCATTGAACCAATTTTTGGGCCATCAACAAAATAAAGTTAAATGTGTAATGAGTATGCTTAAGTGCATCAAAATAAAAAGTCTTAGGCTAAAAGCATGACTCAGCCCAAACATATACTTTTTCAGAACAATTTTTTGTTATGCACAACCCATTTTACTGAAAGCAACCACAAATGTCATGAGCCTGAGCTCTATCTAACTTTGTGGTTCAAAGCCCCAACTTCTCCAGTTTCTTCTGCTTCAGCTAAACAAGCCCTTTGACTCTGAGCATTGCTTGGATGGACTTTCTTCATCACCCGAAACAAACATCCACTAGGCTGACCAATTTCAGATTCAGCTCCGCCCAGCTTGGCTCTTTCTTCTTCTTGCTCCATCTTCAGCTTCTTCTCCTCTGAGCACATATGCTTCAGCAAAACCATAACCTACCGTCGACATGGCCTAACATATATAGGTTTTTTTGGTGTTCAAGTGAAGGAAGAAATGGGGTTTTTTGGTAATTTGATGTGGTTTGGGGCTTGAGAAGTGAAGCGTTTGGGTTTTCAGAGGGTGATGAGTGGTATTTATAAAGGTTTGGGTTGGCTTGGGGAGCAAGCAGACGCGCTTTGCTTATGCCGGAAGGAAAGCTAACGTGATGTGACGAATATTGACAGTTTAGGTTTCTTTCTCGGTTGATCGTTGAATTTTATCTGTTTGTTTGGTGAGGCCTTTGGACTCTGTGGAGGCAAAGAAAAAATTGGTTTCTGGGCGGTAGAGGTATGACGTAGATGCGTGCATGGTTAACTCCTTGTTAATTCGCGACGTATTATAGCCGCGCGCCTATACTATTTTATTATAACAAATTGCGTATAGTATAAAAAAAAAAAAAAAAAAAAAAAAAAAGAAAAAAAAAAGTCTGTCTGCGGCATTTTGCCACGTGTCAAAAAACGTATAGCCGGGCGGCTATACGTTTTATATATTAAAAAGGGACAACATGCTGGCCCGTATTGCCCGCTTCGCCACATGTCAAAAATAGTATAGCCGCATGCGTATACTAATTTTTTATAACAAAAACTAGGGGTGGGCATCGGGACCGGAAAACAAGAACACAAAATTGAATAGGTGAAAAAAAACCGAAAAAAAAACCGGTTGACCAAAAGAGTCAACAAACCGGACCAAAATCGGATCAAAACGGTTCCAACTGGTTCCGATTCTGGTTTTACACCGCACCGCACAGAACCGGTCATATTTTTTTTTATTTTTTTTTTACAAAATTTTAAAATCTAATGCCATATTTTAAATTTTATAATCACTATTTTTCCAAGTTCAACTTCAAAAAATTTCTAAAGGTATGAATTGGATTATTTGTTAATTTTTAAGCCAAAAAATAAAAAGTTATTTATTATAATTTTTTTTTGGAAAAAAATTAATAATCCGGTTTTGAATTTTTTTTTGCCTAAATCGGACCGATTAAATAGTACCAGTTTCGGTTCCGGTTTGAGGTGAGAACTGGGCCGCGCCCACCCCTAACAAAAACCATAGACTAACAGGCCGGCTATTATTTTTATTATAAAAAATCTAAGTATAGCCACCCGGCTATACAATTTATAAATAAAAAAAGAGGACCGCCTACGCCCATTTCGCACCTCGAGCATAGCCGCACGGCTACACTATTTATAATTAGAAAAGGACCACCCGCTTGGCCCCTAGCAACGCTTCGCCATGTGTCAAAAATAGTATAGCCGCATGAATATACTCTTACAAAAACCCACATGCCGCTAGTTTCGCCACGTGTCAAAAAAATATAGTCGTGCGGCTATACGGTTTTTTTTTTATTTTTTTTTAAACGTAGCATAGCGACTATTTACAAAAAATGAAGAGGACCGGGCTAAAAATAATATAGCCCCTAAACAAGTAAGAATGATACAAAACAAGTAAGAATGATACAACTATTTAACTATGTAATTATTTTCTACGGAAAGCAAGTAAGAATGATACAAAACAAAATCAAAAGGTAGCACCCTAAACAGCCCATTTCTTATAGTACTGTTTAAGGTCAACAATTATATGAAACATCATGATATACCTTCCTTGATTCATCATCACATAACAGAGCAAGCATTTACGTGGAGCCTCTGGATACAGGGACTATCGAAACAAATTACTTAGAATCATGCAAAAATCATAAATGTCCATTTTGATAAAAACGTTCAAAAATAGCAAAAAACTCGTGTAAATAGACTCAAATGCCCTCAAAACTCAAACCCACACAAACCTAAAAAGCAAAATCCTATTCTAACAATTGTTTGGCAGACCTCTACCCTTCATGCGTGCAACAGATTCACAAGAAGACAAGCACACCAAGTTACTTGCAGCAGGACTCCTCATTGTAAAGCTTCAAATATTTGAATTCTTTTTGTGACTGTGCATCACTGTTGCATACTCTTGGTTGCCAAACATTAATTAAAGTTATAGTTGTTGATTTTATATATGGATTTCATAAATAAACATTCAAGTAAAGGGAATTAAATTTTACTAGAAAGAAAAAAAAAAAAAAAAAAAAAAAAAAAAACAAGCAGAACAAATTAAAACGAAAATTTTTCGAATTTTTATTTATTTATTTTAGTAGTTGCATAGTTCTTCACTTTGTAGCTATACTTTCTTCGTTGGTCTGATACCTTGACTTCGGTTTGTTGTACTATGGGTGCCCTTGCATTATTGCAGGGCTTTCTTTGTTTGTAATTGTTTGGGGGATCCCCCTTTTGTTGGCTCCTTCAAACGTTGGTTTTGCTTCATGTAGCTTTGGTTTTCTTAAATGATTTTATTTTAAAAAATTTTATTTTGGAATATCCTCTTCAGATTTTGAGTTTCTTTTGCTTGTTAGGTTTATGTGGGTTTAAGTTTTAAGGGCATTTGAGTCTATTTACGTGAGTTTTTGGCTATTTTTGAAAGTTTTTATCAAAACGGACATTTATGAAAGTATAGGGTAATTTTTAGCTATTTTTGATAAAAACTCGTTAGTATTTCTGTCAATTTCTTTCACAGTGTAAGGGGCACTTTCGTCAACTCAAAATCTTTGAGCATAAAAGCTTGTCTGAAACTCCCCTAATTTCATATTCGGGCTTGAAATTGGTCATTTGGGTTTAGCGTTCTTCAAAAATTAGGATTAATGGTTGAATTTCTAGCCCTAATATGAAATAGGGAAAATTTTAGACAAGCTTTTATGCTAAAGGGTTTGGGGTTGATGAAATTACCACTTGCATCATTAAAGAAATTGACAAGAATACTAACATATCCTTGAATTGCTACAAATACAAAATTACAATGGCAAAATTGACGGAATTGAAACTATAGTGTCAAAAGTGGTTGAAGTGCCAAATTACAATTATCAAAAGTGACTTTTGACCTTTTTTTAAAGCTTTATTTATTTATTATTTTATGTTATTTTATTATATATATATTTTAAAGGATTGGTTAGGGGTGGCCATGTCATCAATTAATGTCTGACCAAACGATCAATTTAACGGAAGACTTAAATTGGTCATATTTGAAAATATGGGGCTTGAAACCCCATGGACCATATTGAGAATGAACTCAAACCTTCAGCGGGTTTTTGTTCGTTAGCCCTATATATTTTTCAAAGTATATTTGAGGGACACCTTTTAAGGTCCACTACCAAAAAAAAATTTCCAACGATCCAAGTTGTTTATTTTTCAAGTCTCAATTCATTGATAATCTTTGGAAAAAATCATGAAAATTGAAAATCATTAAGGCTTCTATTTGGGACTAACAAAATAGACGAAATGGTGCTTCAAGAAAAGGTTATAATAACAACCATCTAATTGAGTAGTCATATGGTTTCGAATTCAAGTGATTTTTTGCAAAAATTATCTGTGAGAAATGATCATTGAGGAAATATCTGAAAGATAGATTGTTCAGATCATTGAAATACAATGTATGTTGGGCCCTACATTTGTGTCCCTCAACTAAAGCTATCTTTATATATATATATATATATATATATATATATATAGAGGCTTACTTACACTAATGCCTTTTGAAACTATTGTCAAATATCACATTACCCCCTCAAACTTAAAGTAGCCCACTTACCTCGCTTGACCGTGGTTTAGTGACCCACTTTGTCTCATGCTGTCAACTCAATCCAAAAGTATGTTAAATATGATGACATGACAGGGATGTTTAAGTAATTTAGTACACATGGGCTTTTTTATGCTGATGTGGACTCCACATAAGCGATAAACTAATTAAAAAAAGGGAGTTTCACTAAAATATCCAAAATGGAGGCTAAAATTATAAAAAAACCCAACACCCAAAACACTTTATAAACACACCCAAAACCCATCATTACACACACTCAAAATCCATTTATAAATACACCCAAAAAATATACAATTGTTGATTTCATGATTAATTTTGGTTGTGTTTCTATGTTTAAATAGTGCTTGGGTTTTTTTATAAATACATGTCTAGAATTGGGTTTATTTATAAATTTGTATTAAAAAAATAAAAGTAAAAATAAAAATTCAAAAAGCCAACAGAACAAGAAAAAGAAAAAGAAAATATATGCATCGCAGCCCCCATCTAGTTCTCCAGAGCCCTGACCCTCTTCCCTACAGCCACCATCTCCACCAATCTTTCCCAAGCAACCCACGCCACCCTAAAGTTGAACTTCATCCCCACCCGCAACCCGCCCATTGTAGACCACACTTCCCCCTACAAACCTAGCAACCGCCATCCCCCCACTAGATCCAATCATTCACAACCCATGCCCCAACACCCAACCAATAGGAGATTGAGAGGTTGTGAAGAAAAGTAAAAAAAGGGATAGATTGAGGGGTGGCAGATCTGGGAGGGGGCTAAGAACAATGTGGATGTTGTTGGCATCTGACCTTTCAGATCGTTGAAAGAAAACATTGTCTTTGTTTCGAAAACGTGAGATGTATTGATTGTTTGGGTATCAGTTTGTTTGGTTTCCAAGAAGATCTCTGTTTAAGAATTGCAGAGTTTTGAGAAAGAAAGAGACGGAGAGAGAAGAAGAGACACAGAGAGGGGGTTGGAGTCGCTGGAGTGGCTGAGCTGGGGATGGGTGAGAAAGGAAAGCTCTGGAGGCAAAGCTGCGAGGAATAGGAGTCAACTTCCTTTTGTCCTTTTTTTGGGTCTTGTTTTTGTTTTTCTTCAATTTTTCTCCACAAATAAATTATTTTTAATGATTTAACAGCAAATTGGATGAAACTACCAAAAAGCCCATGCCATGTCATCATATCTAATGGCCATATATATGACCTTCACTATAGAATTCTTGTCTTACTTAGATCTAATTTTATAAAGTTAAAAATAATTTTAAATTCAAAGCCCAAAACACCCGATTGATAGGCTTATTTTTAAAAATCCAAACTCAAAAGCGCTACACTAGCCCACTATTATTTCAAATAAAATTTATAAAAATGAGAAATTAAAAAAAGTGAGAAAGCAAAAACCCAACAGCCAACTCCAACAGCTGCCCTTCACAACAGTCCCATCCCTCTCTCTCTCTCTGTGATACAAAGACTGGTTAAAACAGAGTATTTAATTTTCATGTCCAGACATAAAAAACAAAAAAAGGGATCAAACTCTTTTGTTGGCGCTGTTGATTCTAAGCAATGACGAGAAAAGAAGAGTAAAATTTGTAATTAAAAAAGATCTTCAAACGGAACCACACAACTTTCTAACCAAACTACCGAATCAAATTCAACTTTCAAAAATTTCCCAGTGTCGTCAAGGAGATGGGGTCGGTTGGTTAGAAGGATTTCGATTTGGTGAGGAATCAGAAGTGCTTAATAATTTGTGACATTCACCCACTTGAGTATCAAATGAATACAACGTGACAATGAATAGAACTAAAATAACAGTGATCACTTAGTCCAACTTAAGCTAGGATGAGCACCTTGTAACAACTGTCCAAACAGGTCAAAATGCAGAACTACAAAAAACAAATTCTACTGCATCTGCACTCTATAATCACACATTCAGAAACTCCCAAAACAATATCCACAGGGAAAAAATGGCAGCCAGTCGAACAAAGACATAATTAAACATTTACCTAGAAACTCCTTTAATGCACAATATAATACAAGAATCATCTACCATGAATTCAAAGAAATTCCGAAAATAATTAATACCATTTATCATTATTTTCCCCTTCAAAGCTTCTTATCACGCCCTCCAACTTGTCTGAAAAATCATCCATCTTCCCATCAATTTGATTAATCTTCTCTTCAATAACGCCAACCTTTTCCTGCAGTGATTTGATTTCTGGTTCTTGATTCCTTTCTCGAACAATTGTTCCAAGCAAATCTGTTCGACCCATTTTGAAACGATCGTGTCTGTATTCAAGCTTAGAAAGCTTCACAAAACCCTGTTAAGAAATTAAGTTAGAAAATATTTTGCAAAATTAAGTGAAGTTTCTTAAGTAGCCAGCTTTGAAAATTTTAGAAACTTCACTTAATTTTGCAAAATATTTTCTAACCTAATTTCTTAACAGGGTTTTGTGAAGCTTTCTAAGCTTGAATTCAGACACGATCGTTTCAAAATGGGTCGAACAGATCTGCTGGAAACAATTGTTCGAGAAAGGAATCAAGAATCAGAAATCAAATCACTGCAGGAAAATGTTGGCGTTATTGAAGAGAAGATTAATCAAATTGATGGGAAAATGGATGATTTTTCAGACAAGTTGGAGGGTGTGATAAGAAGCTTTGAAGGGGAAAATAATGATAAATGGTATTTAATTATTTTCGGAATTTCTTTGAATTCATGGTAGATGATTCTTGTATGAGTTTCTAGGTAAATGTTTAATTATGCATTATGTGTTTGTTCGACTGGCTGCCATTTTTCAAAGCTTTTCAAATCTTGAAATTATGGCGTTTTAAAGTCACAAAGTAGCCAGCTTTGAAAAGCTTTCGTAGTTCTGATTTTCATCCTATTAAGAAAGATCGATCTGTCGTCCAATGAATACCTGAAAGATTCACATTGTCCACAGCTGCATACAGGCTTTTGATGAATCCACGGCCATGGGTGAATGCTCTCCGCCTCGCGACTTGAATTTTAGCCTTTACCTCTAGGTCGATCAGACGACCGCCCACGTTGGCAAGCACAGGATGCTGAGAAAGAATGCCGGTGAGCGCGAGCCGGTAGGCGTGTTCTGCGACTGCGATTTTTGCGTCAAACACAGCGTCGGCATCTGCGGCGGAGGCTGTTGCATCAATTTCAACGGCGGCGGCTGTTGCGGCGCAATTGACGGCTGCTGTTTCGGTATTAATTTCGACGGCGGCGGTTGTTGCGGTGTCAATTTTGACGGCCGCAGGCGAAGAAGGCCCAGATCGATCACGCCGTTCACGTTGCTTCGCCTGAAACTCGTTAAATTCATCGAGGGGTCAGCCATTATCAGAAGAATCTATTGGTCGATTAGGGTTGGGTGTGTTTGGACGATCGAATTTTGAATTGGGTGTTTTGGCGATTGGTTGGGTGCGTCTGGACGATCTTCAATTTTGAAAATGAGTTTTTGGACTTTGGGAGACTAGGGTACGATCTCGAATTATGATTGGGTATGTTTGGACGATCGAAATTTGAATTGGGGGTTTTGGCGATTAGGGCGTGTGGACGATTTTGAAGTTTGAATTTGCGTTTTGGGGTTTTGGCGATTACGGCTGAGGAGTATATTTTTCAAACCCTTCTTTTTGACCTTCTTTTAATTTCCTTACCCTTATTAAATGTATGTTTCCTTCATTCATCTTCTTTTTTTAACTATTTTACCACCTTGTTAAAAAAATTAAATAACAAAAAAAAACCGTCAGGTTTTTTATATTAGAACAAATGTGTGTTTTTCTTTTCAAGAGAGCACATTGTAGTTTAAACACAAAAATAATTTAACCACTATTGATTGATACTGCTTGAAGGATAATTCTTTTGCACTAATGGTAGGGACAGAAATTAAAGATTGCTCTTGAATTGCTAAAATTGAAAATTAGAGAGATAAAATTGATCAAATTGAAACGACATAGACCAAAATAGTAAAAGTAGCAAACTACAAAGACCAAAAGTGACTTTTTGCATAAAGATTTTTGTCATTAATACCTAAATTTTATTATTATTTAATATGATGTTGTTATTATCTTCTATATTTTCTCAATATAATGTGATTGGGATAAAACTAGTCCATCAGATGTTCTAGAAATTTTAATCCCTAGAATCACATCTACTACTCCCAAATCTTTCATGTCAATATTTTATTGGTAGATTTAATCATCCTAATATTGCTACTGATAATTAACATATCATCAACATAAAGACAAACAATGACAAAACCATCTTGAGTGTTTTTCATATAAACACATTTATCACACTCATTGATCTTGAAACCATTTGACATTAGTGCATGGGGGTCAACTTTCAGATGCCATTGCTTTGGTGCTTGCTTTAAGACTTAACAAGCTTATAGACTTTCTTTTATTGTTTAGGAACAATAAACCCTTCAGGTTGTTCCATATAAATTTTCTCATCTAAACTACTATTTAGAAATGCTGTTTTCACATCCATTTGATGTATCTCAAGATTTTGCAATGCTGCAATTGCAATTAACATTCTTATTGATGTTATTCTCGTAACTGGTGAATATGTGTCAAATTAATCCAATCATTCTCTTTGCTTATAATCTTTGACAACAAGCCTTGCCTTGTATTTGTCAATTGATCCATTAGCTTTCATTTTCTTCTTAAAAATCCATTTATAATCCAATGGATTATTTCCGGGAGGAAGATCCACAAGTTCTCAAGTGTGATTCTGCATGATGAATTTAGCTTCGGCATTAATAGTCTATTTCAATAAAGGAGCTTCAGGAGAAGTTATGGCTTCTTTGTAAGTTTGAGGCTCATTTTCTAACAAATAAGTTAGAAACTCAGGACCAAAGGATTTCGTTGTCTTAGCTCTCTTATTGCGCTTGGGTTCACGTTCAGGTTTCTAGTTATGCAATCTCTTAGTCTATATTTTCTTGATGACTTTCTTGGCTATCGCTATTAACAATATCATAGGTTCTTTTAAGTGTATTTCTTTCTTGTGCATCCTTATAAGTAAATACATTTTCTAAGAAAGATGCATTCCTTGATTCAATAATCATATTCACATGTACATTTAATATATCAAATTTGTGTACAAGGAAACGATATGCACTATTGTTAATGGCATAACCGATAAAGATACACTCAATAGTTTTGGGTCCTATCTTAACCTTTTTAGGGTTTGGAACCACAACTTTAGCTAGACACTGCCACACTTTCAAGTATTTATAGGAAGGCTTGTGACCTTTCCTTAACTCATAAGGCGTATTGTCTAACTTTTTATGAGGCAATTTGTTGAGAATGTAATTAGCAGAAAGTAAAGCTTCCTCCCACAAATTATGGGGTGCTCTAGAACTTACTAGCAAAGCATTCATCATTTCTTTTAAAGTACGATTTTTGCGTTCAACAATACCACTTTGCTGAGGTGAGTATGGAGCAGTAGTTTGATGAATAATTCTGTGTTGTGAACAAAATTCACCAAAAGGTGATTCATATTCCCCACCTCTATCACTTCTTAATATATATATTTATTTTATCAACTTCACTTTTATAATGTTTGAACATTTCTATGGCCTCATCTTTGCTTCTTAGCAAATATACTTGATAGTATCTTGTACAATCATCAATAAAATTAACAAAATGCTTTTTATCACCTCTAGTTTGTACAAATTTCAAGTCACAAATATCACTGTGAATTATTTCTAAAGGTTTTGTACTTCTTTCTATAGACTGGAATGATGATCTAGTTAGTTTTGCTTCAACACAGGTTTCACATTTATTATGGAAATCAATATGAAACTTAGGTATTAGTTCCATGTTAATTAATTGACACAATTTATCATAATTAACATGCCCTAATCTTCCATGCCATAAATCATATGACTCAAGCATATAAGTAGAGCTTGGTATAAATATATGGGAATGTGGATGACCACCATAATAACCATTATCTCCACCTTTTGATATTTGTAACATATGCTCTTATTGATATAATTAGTAGCTATAATTTGTGAGTTAAATACCTATAATTGTAAGCCTATAAATAGATGCTTATCAAAGATGAATGAAAAGAAGTTTTAGAGACTAATTTCTATTGTCTTCCTCTACTCCTCATTTCTCTCTAAAATTTCCTTTAGTTATATAACACGTTATGAGCACAAATTCTCTTCCAAAATCCAGTTGGGTGCCCCGATCAAATCCCTCTACCTTACTCATCCTCTTCTTGAGGTTTTCTGGGCAATTTTGTTTTCATGATTTTCCTGTGTAAATACATACTCCCCTTGGTAGCATATTATGTTTACAGAAAACAAACCAACCAGAGAAGAAAATTAAAGATCATTCCAAGAGACACAAATCCAAAACAAGGACCGGTCTATCATGCTAGTCTTCACCAAAAGAAACCAGCTGAGGTGTTGAACTTCTTCGCATTCAGAGTGGGATATGAACACCCACCGTGAACCAAATGGTGCTCTTTGCACCCTTGGTGGTTGATTTTCATGCATAGCCAAAGTTTGAATACTTTTTTGTGGACATTTTGAAGAAGTTGGAGGAACTAAGCAATTTCCCCAGTACTTTGCTTTTAGCTTGGAGAAGAGTATAAAGCCAAGGCACATGGAGGTTGTGTAGAGTTGAGTGGAAGTGCCTTGCCATTGATACTCAAGAGCACTGACGATGAGTTTAGGGAGTTGTTGACAGAATTTGAGGGTGGATGAGATAGTATTGCCAAGTTTTCCTCTTTTTCCTCTTCTTACAAATCTTCTGACTCTCTACTCTAATTTTAATGTCAAAAGGTCATCTTCGATAAGATGTCTTAGATTGTGTATTTGCATCATGCCCTGTAGAAACTTGAAAGGTATAACAGCAGTTCGGATAATTTTAACAGCTGTTTATGTAATTTTGTTGGCCAAAGGTCCAAGTGGCAACTCGCTTTGCTATTTTACTTGAGCTTTGGCTTAAGAGATGAAAAGCCCTCCGTCCTCAACTAACTTTGCAAATATACGAAAAACACAAAAATAACAACGACAAAGCACCAACATGCATGTCGGTACAAAGCACCAACTCTTATATACTCTTCGCTTCCAGGACCAAATCCATTTCCTGGCATGGTCACTATGTCTGTCGTTTCAGAAAATTCATTGAATATATATGTTTCCTTATTTTAGGTTGGATAGGCTGATTGAAAGAAATTTTGGGTCCTTCTTTAATTGAGTGTTCAGGCATGCCACCACCAATTCACAAATTTGGCTTGAAGGGAATGTGAGTGGATGACTGGGATCTTTTCCTTCCTTTTGTAGGAGTATCACAATTAATCAACCTGAGCCATGCAATATATATTATACACATAATGTATGCCCTCTAAAAATATGCTGTGTGGAATTGACATATTAAGGAAAAAAAAATCAAACGGTCAAACTTGTTTAACCTTGTTTCTAGATATGGCGATGATGTTAGCTCATCAAGAGCCAAGTACCAAGGGATATAGGAAGGTATAATGATTAACGTGGTTTTCTTTCTTGATGCATCCTTGTTCACTAAAGTGATATACTATTTTCTCATCCCCTTCTGTTTTCGAAAAGTTTTAGCTGTTTTTTCAACAAAAATAAAGCTTCACCAAAAATACAACTGTGTTCAACAACTAGCTTCCGACAAAAAAAACCTAAATCTAAATGTTGGAAACCTGGGTCTGAAGAATTTTATAAATAAATGAGGCATCGATCAATATGAATGTTCGTAAAAATAATTATCCCTAGAAGCCATAGAAAACTGATCATTCTAATCTGTTTTCAATTCTAGGAATATAAATTGTGTAATTAGAAAGAAACCTGCATTGAATGTCCTCCTCGAATTGCTTCTGCTTAAGAAATCCAGATACAAGCTTCATGGAAGCCCCGGCGCAGTCAATTTCCTGCTCAGAGCTCATAAGAGTATTGGATGTTCTGTTCTTGTTGCTCAACTCTGATACCTTTGCAGATCCAGCAACACGTTTAGCATCATGAAATGTCTGAATTCCTGCAAGATTCATTTATCATCATAAAACAAGAGCCTAATTACCTTGGCCATCAAAATTTCAAAGTTTATGCATACATACCATGGCCATAACAATTAAAGCATCATCAATCTAAGGAAAAAAGCTCTTACTTTACTTTGTACATATGATTTTCAAGAGCAGCAGCAACTCATGTGATTATCAATAGCAGCAACAAACATATTAGTTCCAAAGACTGTTGCTTTCTGACCATAACTAGCTAATTTCCAATAAGACCCATTAACACATGATCATTCTATCATGTTAACCACTAACTCTAATCTCCAGTAACAAAATTACATAACGGTCATGAAACTAGATTCGAAAAAGGGATCTAAATTCCACAAATTGGAGAAATTAAAAAGTTCCTTACCATAGTCGGCAATTCTGTTCCGATTGAAGCTTGTGCAATCATTAAGAGTCGGTTTCAAGCATTGGTCAGCGATGGGGGCCGGCTCAGGAGGAGTTGACTGCGAGGCCCAGAATTCATTGAGGAGGGGGTTTTCCGAATCACCCATAAGAAAAGAAAGAAAGAAAAAAATACTGAGAGAGATAAAATTGAGTTTTAAAAGAAAAAAAAAACAGAAGGGAGTTTCTCTCGGCTGGAAGGGGCTTTTATAGTGGAGGAGGTGCTGTTGGCTCCTTTTGTCTTGTGTTTCCTTTTGGGTTTGGGAAACTGCAATTTTGCTCCCAAGATCGTTTCCCAAACAATAAGAAAAGAATTGAAGAGACTATCGTGTCAACTTGTTAAGCACCCAACTCAAAACACTTAATTTTCTCTTTGTGTTCGTAACATGAAATCATGCCAGAAAAATCTCAGTAAGTTCAGCAAACATAAATTGTAACTTTTGTACAAAACGAAAGAAGGCCAGAAGGTTCAAGGTGCCATGTTGAATGAGGACAAACACAATTATACAAGTCACAACCAATAATGGTCTGAGAAGAAACAAATCTTATGAAGAATGCAATGCAGTTCAATTAGATTTTTCCTTATCAGCACCAAATAATTGTCCAATCCTAATTCATCTCATGAACCAATAAAGTCCTCCAGGAAGATGGTCATTCTTGCTCAAAGTGGTCACCATGTCAACTGGGTTCAAATAATTATGAAATAATTTAAAGATTTTTTTTAGCCTTTTTGAAGCTTCCATTATGCTTTATCTGTGGGCAAAAGCACCAACTCTTATATACTCTTCACCTTCCAATATGCGTTAGTCATTCACGACGCGAAATTCTATAATGAAGAGGCCTCCATATATGGACTTTAGAGTTGGACTACACATCTCCACCACACATCTCCGAAAAATGTATTTGATAGGGAAAGAATTTGATAAATTGTATAAAGGGACTTGGACTTCGAAGTTTGCATACAAAGACCAAATTGGTGGCTGCTTGCATCAGGTTAGAAGGCTTGGTGTCTGGTTACCAAGGAAAAGGAAAGCAGGACACTCTTTTCATGTTTGAAAATGAAGTCCACTAGTGACAGTTTATCAAGAGTACATGTACTTTTTTTATTTATAAAAGATTATCTCAGTTGAAAAATCAATATTTGTGTTCCAGGAAAAAGAAAAAGGGAAAGTACTGATTTGAAAATATATGATCCTAAAATTTTATTATCTATTTCAACTGTACAAAATGAAATGACGTGGCATGAGCCCACAGTGAAACACAGTAATCGACGGTCAGTATGATGGAGCTCAGTATGTACCCTACGCAGAAAAGGCAATTATTTTTTTTTTTTTTTTTTTTTTTTTTTTTTTTTTTTTTTTTTTTTTTTTTTTTTTTTTTTTTTTTTTTTTTTTTTTTTTTTTTTTTTTTTTTTTTTTTTTTTTTTTTTTTTTTTTTTTTTTTTTTTTTTTTTTTTTTTTTTTTTTTTTTTTTTTTTTTTTTTTTTTTTTTTTTTTTTTTTTTTTTTTTTTTTTTTTTTTTTTTTTTTTTTTTTTTTTTTTTTTTTTTTTTTTTTTTTTTTTTTTTTTTTTTTTTTTTTTTTTTTTTTTTTTTTTTTTTTTTTTTTTTTTTTTTTTTTTTTTTTTTTTTTTTTTTTTTTTTTTTTTTTTTTTTTTTTTTTTTTTTTTTTTTTTTTTTTTTTTTTTTTTTTTTTTTTTTTTTTTTTTTTTTCCTCTCAAACATCCAAATGAAAAAACAACAAAGCCTCAACCATCCATGAACCCCAACTCCTGATTCTGAAAAAACCAATAGCTTCTCCACAGCTGGTGTTTCTTCCTCTGTTATAAATACTATCAGAAATGGGCTGTTTAGGGTGCTACCTTTTGATTTTGTTTTGTATCATTCTTACTTGCTTTCCGTATAAAATAATTATACATAGTTAAATATGAGTTTGTTTGCAAATAGTAAATTAAATAGTAATCAATCAATGTGTGTGCAAAAGTCAATTTGATGATGCCATTCCAAATTCACGAGCATGTAAATCACTATTTAGAAATACATTACTAACTTGACCCACAAGCTCAAAAGTCTCACATAGGCTGTAGGCCTCAGTCACCTAGTCCTTCTTAGAAGTGACTTGAGAGAGATTGTGAGAATAATTTTAGGCTTAATTATTGATATAGTTGTATAGATATGACCCTTAAAATTCCGTTTTATTTTCAATCTCATTTTGCCTTCTAACATTCAATCTGTCTTTATTTAATCCTCCAAACTTGAATTTAGTGTCTTATTTTGCATTAACTCTTGTAAAAAAATCTAATGAATAGTCCGACATGACATGAGCATAGTCCAAGATATATCAATAATTAAGCCCTAGATGTTACTTGTTTGAGAAACAAGAACAAAAAGTGGAGGATCAAAATGAGATTTTCTCACTATATATGATAAGGCCTAGCCATTGGGTCCCATGTCGGAGGCAGATAAGTGTGCATTACCACACTAAATCGTTCGTGTTTTTGGAAGTCTTCATTTAACCAACTTTGGGCCATCAACAAAACAAAGTTAAATGTGTAATGAGTATGCTCAAGTGCAACAAAATTAATTATAATGATCTACAAAATCCATTAAACAAATAAAAAAACAATTGCTGTCATAATAGTACAAACTGGGCCTGGAATTTGGACTGAAACCAAAAGATCCAACCCATTAAAAAGTCTTAAACTAAAAGAATGACTTAGCCCAAACATATACTTTTTCAGAACAATTTTTGAAATTAACAATTGGGCTTCATTAATATGCACGACCCATTTTACTGAAAGCAGTTACAAATATCACGAGCCTGAGCTCTATCAAATTTTCTGGTCCAAAGCCCTAACTTGTGCAGTTTCTTTTGTTTCAGCTGAACAAGCCCTTTGACTCTGAGCATTGCTTGGATGGACTTTCTTCATCACCCGAAACAAACAACCACTAGGCTGACCAAGTTCAGATTCAGCTCTGCCCAGCTTGGCTCTTTCTTCTTCTTGCTCCATCTTCAGCTTCTTCTTGTGGAGTCCTCTGAGCACATATGCTTCAGCAAAACCATAACCTACCGTTGACATGGCCTAAAATATATAGGTTTTTTGGGTGTTCAAATGAAGGAAGAAATGGGGTTTTTTCTAATTTGATGTGGTTTGGGGCTTGGGAAGCATTTGGGTTTTCAGAGGGTGATGAGTGGTATTTATAAAGGTTGGGGTTGGCTTGGAGAGCAAGCAGGCACGCTTCGCTTATGGCGGAAAGAAGCTAACGCGATATGACGAATATTGACCGTTTAGGTTTCTTTTTCGGTTGATCGTTGAATTTTATCTGTTTGTTTGGTGAGGTCTTTGGAGTTTGAGGAGGCAAAGAAGTAATTGGCTTCTGGGCGGTAGAGATATGACGTAGATGCGTGCGTGGTCAACTCCTTGGTAATTCCTGACAGTTGGATCGTGTGCGTAGTATAGCCGCGCGGCTAGACTATTTATTAAACTAAATAAAAAAGAACACGCCTGCGCCCATTTTGCCTCGTGTCAAAAATATTATAGCCAGGCGGCGATACTGTTTTTAATAAAACTCCCGGGTATAGTCGATCGGCTATACTATAATTAAAAAAGGACAACCCGCTGGCCCCTAGCGACCGTTTCGCCACATGTCAAAAATAGTGTAGCCGCCGAGTGGGTATACTCATTTTTTATAATAAAAACCGTAGTCTAGCCGGTCGGCTATACTATTTTTAAAACTCCAAGTATAGCCGCACGGCTATACTTGTTTTTACAAAAGCCGCCTGGGGCCTGCGCTCGCTTCGCCACGTGTCAAAAAACTACAGCCGCCTGGGGCCTGCGCTCGCTTCGCTCAGCTCCCAAACATACAGAGTTTTGGTAGCCTCCTTAAAGTCACACATCCGCACACATCCTCCGAACATACCTAGGTACTCAACTACAAAACGTCCATTTAGAGGCTCCTCAAATACAGTCAAATGAAGTTTATGATCAATAACGCCATCACCATTACCGCTACTACTACTACTAGTTGTCGTGTTATTGTCGTTGAAGGGACCCAAACCAACAAAAAGAAGGTCTTCGTCACTTGTCCAATATAACATCCCATTGTATGCAAAGGATATATCTTCAAGGTCATCAAAATCAAAGTATCGTGGGGAAGCCACAACTGATTCTCTCCATTCACCAGTCTCAGAAGAGAAGATCTCCACACTTAATTTTAAGGAATCACATTTGTCATCATTTGCAGATTCATCAGGAGGAAGAATTCTCACAACGTTGCACACACACTTAGCATTAAGCTGGATGTTATGCCCTTTCCAATCTTCTTTCTTAGAATTATAGTAGGGAATATCACAGATGAATCCCACTAGTACCCTATCGTGGCATCGACCTGGGGTGGGAGGAAGAGCAACCCATTGCATGGTGTATGCATTGCAGATGTAGTAATTGCGTTGATAATCCTCAGTTGCGCAGCACAAAACTAAGTCATTATACGTTGCTACCACAACTGGCCCTTTTCTCAAAGAGTGGAAACTCATTATTTGTTTGAACACTGGGGTTAGTAGCTTGGATGACCATGGCATTTTAGGAGGGAATTCCTCTCCTTTTTGACTTATTAGAGTGCACATCTTTGGAGTTTTCCTATAACCTTGGATATGCACAAAGCGGCCAATAAAATAAGGATCTGAGATAAGTGTGCGCCAACGCTTGGACACACATTGGCATTGAAACACAAATTTACTTGATGGAAGTCGGCAAAGGATTTCAACCAATGCCGTGTCAGGAAGATCATCAATTGATGATGGTCTTCTTTCTGCTGGTGATGATCTCTTTGATCTTTTTAACTGACTAGAGGTTGGCAATCCAAGAGATGACTGGGATCTCTTCCTTCCTTTGGTAGGAGTATCACAATTAATCAACCTGAGCCATGCAATATATATTATACACATAATGTATGCCCTCTAAAAAAATGCTGTGTGGAATTGACATATTAAGGGAAAAAAAAAAAATCAAACAGTCATGTTTAACCTTGTTACTAGATATGGCGATGATGTTAGCTCATCAAGAGCCAAGTACCAAGGGATATAGGAAGGTATAATGATTACCACTGTTTTCTTTCTTGATGCATCCTTGTTCACTAAAGTGATATACTATTTTCTCATCCTCTTCTGTTTTTGAAAAGTTTTAGCTGTTTTTTCAACAAAAATAAAGCTTCACCAAAAATACAACTGTGTTCAACAACTAGCTTCCGACAAAAAAACCTAAATCTAAATGTTGGAAACCTGGGTCTGAAGAATTTTATAAATAAATGAGGCATTGATCAATATGAATGTTCGTAAAAATAATTAGAGATATTTAGTGATATACCCATTTTTAGCACTAATATTATAAATAAACCCTACACCATTGAAATTCTATAAACAAACCCAAACAAAACCCAAAAATGACAGCTGGTCTTATTAAATTTAATATTGATTATTAAGTTACTTTAATGCTCTATTGTTTTTTTTTTTTTTTTTTTTTTTTTTTTTTTTTTTTTTTTTTTTTTTTTTTTTTTTTTTTTTTTTTTTTTTTTTTTTTTTTTTTTTTTTTTTTTTTTTTTTTTTTTTTTTTTTTTTTTTTTTTTTTTTTTTTTTTTTTTTTTTTTTTTTTTTTTTTTTTTTTTTTTTTTTTTTTTTTTTTTTTTTTTTTTTTTTTTTTTTTTTTTTTTTTTTTTTTTTTTTTTTTTTTTTTTTTTTTTTTTTTTTTTTTTTTTTTTTTTTTTTTTTTTTTTTTTTTTTTTTTTTTTTTTTTTTTTTTTTTTTTTTTTTTTTTTTTTTTTTTTTTTTTTTTTTTTTTTTTTTTTTTTTTTTTTTTTTTTTTTTTTTTTTTTTTTTTTTTTTTTTTTTTTTTGTTGGTCTTAATTTGCAGACTAGTAATCTCATGTTCTAATGACAACGTAGTATGTGTGAATAAATACAAAAAGGGAAATCGTGAGAGTTTGGAATCTGTTGGTAAAGAGTTGGCCGAGATGTTGAAAGCTACAAGGGTAAATACTGGAAAATTTGAAAGGTCGACACTAGTCAGTCCAATGCAGAAAATTAATCAAGAGCCAAAAAAGAAAGTCCAAGCAAGCAGACGACGACATACTGCTCTCTTTGAAAGCAACCGCAACATTCCAGGAAAATAAATGGCACTTAACTAGCAACTCCTCAACAGAAGGCCTCTGAAAAAAGTCTTGCAACCTTAATATTTCTGAAATCTAACGCATGCAGATCAAGATCAGGTCATGGAGACTTGGTTATCTTGAAAATTTCTGCTGTAATTAATAAACTGGGTGTAATAAGAATAAGATGGAGAAAACAGATGAACACAAAGAATAACTGAAAAGAACATATTAGGGTAATTACCACCAAATAAAAGTGCAATATTGATGCGTACACCAAATACAAATAATCCAACTTTAATAAATAAAAGTTAGTACTTCAATTCTTGCTATCTACCAAATGCTAGTTCCTCCACGATGGGCATGTTCTGGTAATACAGGAACTGGAGTCGGCCACCATGGGAGAACAATTTGGTAATAGTAACCATTAGCAACCGGACACTGTCTAACTATCTTACACCACTCTCCTGTACGAATGTTGAACTTGATAAAATCACCATCCACACACAGATACAAAATATCCTTATTATTTGGGTCAAATTCCTGCATTGTACACGTTATTGGATCATCCGGATACGTTTCTGGGTCCAAGTGATATATCCTCTGGTTACTTACGCACAACTTGCTGGCAGCTGCATCGACCATCCGATCATGATCTTGTTCTTTCAACTCCCAAACATATAGAGTTTTGGTACACACCTTAAAGTCGCACATCCGCACACATCCTCCTAACACACCTAGGCACCCAGCTATAAAACGCCTGTCTAGAGGCTCCTTAAATACAGTAAAACGAAGTTTATGATCAATAACGTCATCACCATTACTGCTACTACTACTAGTAGTTATGTTATTCTCGTTGAACGGACCCAAACCAACAAAAAAAAAGTCACTTCTATTCCAATATAACATCCCATTGTATGCAAAGGAGATAAGATCAAGATCATAAAAATCAAAGTGTAGTGGGTAAGTCACAACTGATTCTTTCCATTCACCAGTCTCAGAAGAGAAGATCTCCATGCTTAATTTTACGGAATCACCTTTCTCATCATATGCCAATTCATCATGAGGAAGAATTCGCACAACAGTGCACCTACACTCAGCTTTAAGCTGGATGTTATCTCCGTCTTTCTTATAATCATAGTCGGGAATATCGCAGATGAATCCTACTCGGACAATCTCGTGCCATCGACTTGGGGGAGGAGGAAGAGCAACCCATTGCCTTGTGTATGCATTGCAGATGTAGTAATCGCGTTGATAATACTCACTTGCGCAACACAAAACTAAGTCATTATACGTCGCTACCACAACTAGCTGACTTATCAAAGGGTGGAAACTCATTATTCTTTCGAACACTGGAGTTAGTAGCTTGGATGGCCATGGCATTTTAGGAGGGAATTCCTCTCCTTTTTTACTTATCAGAGTGAGTATCTTTGGAGTTTTCCTATAACTCTGGATATGTACAAAGCGGCTGATAAAATAAGGATCTGAGATGACAGTGCGCCAACGCTTGGACACAGACTGGCATTGAAAGACAAATTTACTTGATGGAAGTTGGCAAAGGATTTCAACCAATGCCACGTCAGGGAGATCATCAATTGATGATGGTCTTCTTTTTGCTGGTGATGATCTCTTTGATCTTTTTAAAAGACTAAACGTCGGCAATCCAAGAGATGACTGGGATCTCTTTCTTCCTTTGGTACGAGTATCGCAACCAATCAACCTGAGCCATGCAATAAATTATGCACATAATGTATGCCCTCTAAAAACATGCTGTGTGGAATCGACATATTGTTTGTTAAATTAAAAAGAATTTATAATATAAAAAACAATATCCTGATCAAACTACATAATCTATATCATATATGTGATGGCAGGCCAATATGGATGTGTTTGACCACTGCCAAACCCTAAGTTGTATGGCAGAACTAAGACTTAGAACCTAATGTGCATGAAAGAAGGGCATTTTCCAATGCATTGTTTGCTTAAGAAGAAAAATAAAAACAAAAGGTAAAACGTGTTTATCCTTGTTTCTAGATATGGTGATGATGTTAGCTTATCAAGAGTCAAGCACTAAGGGATATAGGAAGGTACACTGATTAACATGGTTTTCTGTCTTGATGCATCCTTTTTCACTAAAGTGATATACTGCTTTCTCATCCTGTTCAGTTTTCAAAAGGTTTTATCTGTTTTTACAAAATGAGAAGGTATATTGGAGATTGCAAAGTATGGAATTATGGATGACAGTAAAGCTTCACCAGAAAATACAATTGTGCTCAACAAGTACACTAACTTCCAAGCAACAACCTAAATCTAAATGTTGGAAACCTGGGTCTGAGGAATTTTATAAATAAATGAGGCGTAGATCATATGAATGTTCCTAGAAATAATTATCCCTAGAAGCCATAGAGAACTGACAAATCTAATCTGTTTTCAATTATAGGAATAAAAATTGCGTAATTAGAAAGAAACCTGCATTGAATGTCCTCCTTGAATTGCTTCTGCTTAAGAAATCCAGATACAAGCTTCATGGAAGCCCCGCCGCATTCAATTTCCTGCTCAGAGCTCATGAGAGTATTGGAGGACAATGCTCTTTTCTTGTGGCTCAAGTGGGGCATCTTTGCAGATCTGGCAACACGTTTAGCATCACTAGATGTCTGAATTCCTGCAAGATTTCATACATCCTCATAAACAAAAGTCTAATTAACTTGGCCACAAAAATATCAATGGTTCAGCGTATACCAGAAACGGAATCCATAAGTAGTCCATAAAAGCAATAACAATTAAAGCATCAGTCTAATGAAAAAGCTCACGCTCTTAATTTGTACACAGCAGGGTGCTTACTTTTCACAAGCCTAAACAATTCCATACTAAATTTACAAGCCAATGTTTAAAGGACATAAAACTGAGATGGTGAACAACATTGGGTTTACCAAGCGCCCAATACTTATAAAACGCCATCGCACAGAACCCATGTGATTTTCAATAGCAGCAATAAATATATTAGTTTCCTGACCTTGAACAGAAAATTTCCAATAAGACCCATTAACATAGATCGTTCTATCACTTAGGGATGGCAATGGGTTGAATCGGGAGTTGGTATGTCATTCCCATCCCCACCCCGTTAAGTATTTTTCCCCATCCCCGCCTTCATACCCGCGATATTCAATTCGGGGATAACAAAATTACATAATGGTCATGAAACCAGATTCGAAAAAGGCACCTAAATTCCTCAAATTGTAGAAATTGATAAGTTTCTTACCATTGTCGGCAATTCTTTTCCGTTTGAAGCTTTTACAAGCATTAAGGGTCTGTTTCAGGCATTGGTCGCCGTCCCCGGCCGGCTGAGGAGAGGACTGCGCGGCCCAGAATTCATTGAGGAGGGGGTTTTCCGATTCGCCCATTAGAAAAAGAAATACTGAGATAGAAAATTGAGTTTTAAAAACTAAAACAAGAGTGGTAAGTCTCGCGGCCGGAGGGGGTTTTTTTTATAGTTGATGATGAGCTGCTGTTGGCTCCTTTTGGGTTTGGGAAATTTGCAATTTTGCTCCTCAAACTATCCAGCAAATCCAATTCCTGATTGTTATTGGACTCCTGACATGTTTACAATTGAAGTTGGATGGAGGAGAATTAGATTCCGGATTTTTATTGAAGTTGTTTACTATATTATATGGATTGAGAAGAGTTAAATTATGGATTATTGAAGTTTTTTACTAAACCATATGGAATTAGGATTTGAGTAAAATGTCATATTAGTTGGGTTAAAGTAGATGATAAATTTGGAATTTTAAAATTTTTGTGAGGATATAGTGATTAAAAAAAGACGAATTCCTAATGGGTTAGATATCTAGAAACTAGAATACCACTTCTCACTCAAGAATTGAATTTCTTAAAAATCAGGATTTCAATTCCTAATTTTGTGTGGGACCCATTTACTTTTCAATTTTTTTTTTGGTCAAGGGTACTTTCATTCCAAACGAAAGAGAAGTACAAACATAAGAACAGGCTACCTACAGCCACAAATGAGAAGTAAAGCTACCAACAGGCTACCTACAGCCACAAATGAGAAGTAAAGCTACCAACAGCCAGCAAAGAAAGGTGAAAAACAAGCTACTGCTAAACTAAAGCAGCCATAGCAACAATAGAAGAAAAAACAAGCTACAGCAAAACAAACACAGATTTTGTTAGAGGCCAAACCTATGACACCTCCCAAATAGGGAGCGTGTCCACCTCTAACAGCCAGTGCTCACATTGTAGGGGGACATGGGAGCCCATCAGCTTGCAACACAAAGACCAAAGAGGATGGGAGGCTGGCTTCCCAAACCTCATCACACATCCTCTTTTTAGCTTGAGAAGCTGCAGCATTTGCCGCTTTGTTTGCACCATGGGGCACCCAGTTCCAAGAGTATGAACTGAAACCACTGCAGGCTCTTCGAATTGCCGTTAGAATGGGGAAGATAGTCCATCTACTCCTCAGAATATGGCCTTTGACAGATTAGACCAACTCCTTTGAGTCAGATTCGAAAACCACATGTGATATCCCCATTTGAGTAGCTAAATGAACTCCACTCAAAGCTGCGTGAGCCTCCACCTCAATAGCCGACGCTGCTAGTCTAGTTTTACAGCTGCCGCCCAAACATACAGCATTTGAGTCCCGAACCACCACACCCAAACTTGCTACCTTCGAACCTTTCTCCCAAGAAGCATCAACATTTACTTTACAATATGCATGGGGAGGGGCAGACCATCTTGCCTCTGCCGTCCCAACCTCAACAGTATTATCATTCATATTCATCACAAACTCAGTTTGCACTTGCATGAATTCGCTAACCATAGACTGGGCAGCACACAAAGTCTTCTGTGGGCACACCTGCACACCCTCAAAGATAGCAGCGCATCGACTTTTCCAAATACTCCAACAAGTATATGCAATTTGCGCTATAAACCAAGATCGATCATGAGCAGAGCTTTGAGGGAGCTGCAAAATCCTCTTTAGTCACTCACCAAATGTTGTAATACTTTGTCTATTTATGTTATAACATAAAGGGCCTCCAAACCAAACTCCTTGAACCCAATTGCATAACAGAAAGAGATGCTCTTCAAATTTAGGAAACTCTCCGCATAAAGGGCAAAGAGGCGAGGGACCAAGGTGTCTCCTATGCAGAGCCTGACGAGTCGATAAACAACCCTTGCATATTCTCCACAAATTTTTTTTTAGTTTTGGTACCAGCTTCGAATTCCATATTGACTTCCACAGACTCTTATCTATTGTCCAAGAGCCAGAAGGACTACTGGTGTTAGAATTATGAGAAGCTTGTATGATTAAATTATACCCAAATTTTACAGTAAAACTTCCATCTCTATTGAAAGGCCACACCATTCTGTCAGCCTCAGTTCCGTCTCCTAAAGGCAGAGCTTTAATCAAGCAAGCATCCCTGACATTGACTTGTCTATCAATAGCATTCACATTCCATACACAGGTTGAAGGGTTTATAATTGTTTCAACCTTTTCCTCCTCATTTACCTCCACACCTAGCTTTGGCAATAAAAGGCGATCTGGGGAGCAAGGGATCCACTTGTCAGTCCACAATTTAGTCCGACTTCCATCTAGCACTTGCCATCGCGCCCCGTTGGCAATGACGTCCCTGCCTGCCAGCAAGCTCGACCAAGCCCATGAAGACCTTGCCCCTTTTTTTGCTTCAAGAAAATCATTGTTCGGAAAGTATCGACTCTTAATTAACTGAGCCCAGAAAGCATCTGGCTCCATCATCAATCTCCAGCACTGCTTGGCTAATAAGGCAGTATTAAAATCTCTTGGGCTCCTAAAACCCATCCCTCCTTCCTTCTTTGGCAGCCCCAAATCCTTCCAGATAATCCAATGAATTTTATTTGCTTCCTGGTTATGTCCCCACCAAAAGTTGGCAAGAATGCTATCAATCTCTTTACAGAAGCCGATGGGAAAAGAGAACACTGACATGGGATAAGAGGGAACAGCCTGAGCCACAAACTTTATCAGCACTTCTCGACCCGCTTGCGTGAGTAAACTTTGCTTCCATCCTTGCACCTTATGCAAGATTTTCTCCTTTACAAAGGCCAAAGCCTCCTTTTCTGATCTCCCATATATTGTTGGAAGGCCAAGGTATTTTCTAGGGTCATCCGTGATATTTACATTAAGAGCAGCTCTCATCTCTTCCTTCACTTCAGCCAAAGTATTAGGACTGAAGAACAAGTTTGATTTTTCCAAATTGACAACTTGACCCGAGGCCTTGCAGTAAGACTTGAGAATTTGACTCACCACTCTACAATTTTGACTCGTAGCTTTGAGAAATAGGAGGGAGTCATCTGCAAAAAATAGGTGAGTTAGAGTCAGCCCTCTCCTACCAAAGCTTAAACCTTTAAGGAAGCCTCTCGCTGCTGCATGGTTAAGCATAGAAAATAAGACATCACTGACAATTATGAATAGATATGGAGATATAGGGTCCCCCTGGCGGATTCCCCTCGACGGCTTGAACCCACCCCCTGCCTTTCCATTGATTATCACGCAGAACTCCACTGAAGAAACACAGTTCATCACCTTTTCCACCCAAATCTCTGCAAATCCCATTTTCAACAACACTGCCCGGAGGAAATCCCACTCGATTCTATCGTAAGCTTTATTCATATCTAACTTCAGCCCCATTTCAAAAATGCTAGTAGCTCTTCTAATCTTCAGAGAGTGAATGGCCTCATGTGCAATAAAAATATTATCTTGAACTTGCCTTACAGGGATAAACGCACATTGTTGGGGAGAAATAATTGCATTTAAGTGGGGCTAAAGGCGATTAGCGAGAATCTTCGAGATTACCTTGTAAGAATAGTTGCACAAGGCAATAGGGCGGAATTGAGTAACCAACTCTGGGCTCAGAACCTTTGGAATAAGAGCAATCTTAGTTACATTCATAGCATAAATATTTTCGTTCTCTGAGAAAAATCTTCTAACCAGCCCACACATATCCTCCCCAATAATGTTCCAATACTTTTGGTAAAAGACACCGGGGAAACCGTCAGGTCCTGGGGATTTTAGTGCCCCCATTTGAAAAACAGCATGCCTAATCTCCTCATCAATTATTGGGGCCATCAAGCTTGAATTAATATCCTCGGTGATGATTGGAGAGACAAAGGATAAGATATCACCCCAGTCTCTCTGACCTTCAGAAGTAAACAAATTTTGGAAGTATGTCTCAATGGTGTTACGAACCTGAGCATCGTTACTTGACCCAAAAAAAAAACCCTGAGCATCGTTACACTCCCAGTCTCCATTTTGGTTTTTTATCCGGGCAATCCGATTTCTCCTCCTTTTCTGAACTGTACTATTGTGGAAAAAGGCTGTATTTGCATCTCCTTCTTTGAGCCACCTGGTTTTCGCCCTCTGCTTCCAATACAATTCCTCATGCCTCCAAACATCGTTGAGCTTGTTCCTTACTTGCCAAATTTTCCCATAGTTTGCATCCCAGTTCAGCTGAAGTTGATCAAGCTCTGCCAACAAGGCATTTGCAATTTTTCGATTATTTAAGAATTTCCCATCACTCCACTTCTACAAATCCACACGACACCCCCTAATTTTCCTTCCCCACACATGCATTCTAGTTCCATGAAATTCCCTTTGCCAGCTTCTGTCAATCACTTCTCTACACTCCGGATTAGCAGTCCAAGAAGCCTCAAACTTAAAAGGCTTACAACCTCTTCTTTTTCGAGATTCTGTCTCCACAAGAATGGGACAGTGGTCAGAGCCCACGACAGGCAGATGAGTAATGGAAGAATTTGGCCACTCTTCTTGCCATTGGATATTAATCTAGCCCCTGTCTAGCCTCTCTTGGATGAGCACACCATCAGCTCGTTTACCACTCCAAGTGAAAGCTTGTCCTTGATACCCCAAATCCATAAGCTGCATCTTATCCATGAATTCGTGTAAATATCTCCTTCTTCTGTTATCAAAAGCCCGCCCACCCTTTTTTTCAAACGCCCATAAAATTTTGTTAAAATCACCAGTACACATCCATGGTATCACCATAGATTGTAGAGTTGTTCCTAACCAATCCCAGAAAACCTCTTTTTCCTCCCGGCAGGGCGTCCCATAAATCCAAGTGGCTCTGAACTTTGCTCCTGTTGCTACAAATTCCACCCTGGTGTCAATAAGATTTTTGGATTTTCCGCTCACCTCTATCTTGACTCTGTCATCCCACCAAAGACATAAACCTCCTGCCATCCCATCTGGATCCACAGCAATATCATAACTAAAACCCATCTCCTTAGCAATCTTTGATAACCTATTGTGCTTTTGCTTTGTTTCCATAAGAAACACAATAGAATGGCTTTTCTTTCTTATCATCTCGCGAAGAGACCGAACTGTCAGGTCCGACCCAATCCCCTGACAGTTCCAGATGATGTAGCTCATGGCGACCTTGTGGCTGTAAGGCAGCCACCACCGCCATTTCCAGAGACTTTTGTAACAGATTCTTTGCTCCTTTTTTGCTGATCATCTCCCAACACCCCTTCTAGAGCCAAATCCACCTGAACATCAATCAAACCTTCCTCCGAAAAATCAAGAATTTTGGGGCTCTTACCTTTGATCTCAGAATTCTTATGAGCTCTGGGACTCTTAAAGCTCCTTCGCTGTCTACTCCCCTTTTTGTGCTCTTTTTCAGCTTCATTTCCCCCATTCATAACCTTTGTATGTTTGCCTTCATTCCCAGCCTCCTTCAATCTTGGCTCAGCTTCACGTTTAAACCCCATTTTTTCAAAAGTAAGATCCACATTAATAATAGGCCCATGCAGTTGCTCCTTGGCCTATTATTAGAAGAGTTTACTTGGGTGGGCTCAAGTATTTGTGGAGGTTCTGAGTATTCAAGTCCACTTGACCTTTGGCTTTCTTTTACAGACCCAGGATTGGCCCAATTATTTATAAAGTGGTGCCCAAACAAGAACTGGGATTGGGCCCATTTAGGTCTTTCCTCAAAAGCCATAGGGCCAGGCCCCTTGACTTGGGCTCATTTCATGCATCAAGAGCACGCTTTGATGGCTGGGATTATCTCTGACACCTGCGGCATTCCAGTCATACAGCTGTATTTCAAGGTTTGAACTCTATCCATTCCCATCTCTTTTTTGCATGTTCCCATCTGTCTTGTAACTAAGAGGGGAACTAGTCGTTTGCCTTCCTAACATTAAACTCTTTGTTCCTTCTGATTGTGACCATTGTTCGGCTCTAGGTGTGCTTTGGTCAGTGTGCCAAGACCCGTTGTTGTTCCCTGCAACAATCTCATTTTCTCCACTTCTCTGGGCCACACGCGCCGCTCTAGTGCCTGAGTTCATCACACATATCTGCCCTGCTCGGCGGCGAACACCTATAGGAACATTGAGGCTGACCTGGTTACGTCTTTCATGAACGGCACGAGCTTTCATCCAATCCCCAAAAGCAGCAGACTCACCATCCTCATTCTTGTCCATATTGAACTTGCATCCATTTTTTGTATGACCCAGCCTACCACAATCAAAGCAGAAATTAGACAACTTTTCATACTTTAGCTTTGCCCACGTATCTAGTCCTTCCGGTCTCGGAAGCCAAAAGCCCACAGCCAAGGGGTTTGTGGTGTCAATCAATGTATGTATTCTCAGGAAGCCTCTTGGGCCTTTGTTCCATGGGTCCTCCACCTCCAGAACAGTTCCAAGCTTCTCTCCAATCTCCATTGCATTTCCTGTTGACATAAGGTTCAGAGGAATCCCATGAGCTTGAATCCAGTACGCCACCATGTGTGTAGGAGCCTCCTCAATTGCCAAGTTGCTTGGCCACCGCTGCACAGAGCATAACAGACCAAGGACCTTCTTCAATGATCTTGTTAGCCATATCTTCATCTTGAACCAGAATGGTGAAGATGTTGTCCTTCAAGTACATGATTTTTGCCTCACCAAAACTTTCCCAAGCTTTCATTAGGATATTTTTTAGGGAATTTCACTAAAACACTCAAAATGGGGGCTGAAATTATAAAAAAACTCAACACCTAAAACACTTTATAAATACACCCAAAACCCATCATTATACACACTCAAAACTCATTTATAAACACACTAAAAAAATATACAATTGTTGATTTTAGGTGTATTTCTATATTTAAATAATGCTTGAATTTTTTTTATAAATATATGTCTAGGATTGAGTTTATTTATAAATTTGTATATTTTTTATGGCACCCATATTTGGAACCTTGTCGGCAATGATTGCCCCAATCAGTTTTGGACCACTTTCCAAACTTGAAAAGCCCAAAGATTCCTCAAGCTTGATCACCAAATCCTCAGTCTTTGCGTTGTCCATTTTGGCCCACTGAGATGGATTACGGAAGTTGGTTTCTGGAATGTACAAAGTGAGTAAAGTAACAGAGTAGCAGACTGCCAAAATTTGCTTCCTGAGGTTTGTTTGAGGCTGGGAGGCAGACTTCAGTCTATGGGGCCTCCAAGGGAAGATACAATGGTCGTTCTCCTGATTGCAGTAATTGGTCCAAGCACTGTGCCAACCAAACATCTTTAGACTCGAGAGAATGTAAATTTGGAAGATCTCCATTAATGTTTCCCTGTTAGGTGGTTGGCCTTGATAAATATCTCTGAGCATATTGTCAAAAGTCAAAGAGTCAGGATAAACTTTCAGAGTCATAAAGTCTAGGTGAACTTCATGCTTCTTTGGTGGTTGGTAGTCTTGAATATGATGTAGCTTGTTATCTTCAGTTTTGTCTTTCTGGTTTGGTTTCTCACACTTGGGTGAGGGAGCTCTCATTTTAGAGAGAGAGAGAGAGAACTAGTTGTTAGCATCACATTCATGATTCCTTTTCAATTCCTTCATGTGAAGTAAACACATGAATCCTCCATACTTACAATTCAATTCATGATTGGGAAACACACCACTAGTGTGTATTAGGAAAATATCATTTTCTCTTTTGTGATATGTTTACTAATCCGTAATTAGATTATGAGGAATTGAACTGAGGAGGAGTTGGATTTATGAGAATTAGATTTCGGATTCTTAATGAAATTGTTTACTAAACCATATGGACTGAAAGGAGTTAGATTTCGAATTCCTATTGAAGTTGTTTACTAAATCATATGGAATTGGGATATGAGTAGTATTAATTACTAGAATGTCCTCATTTTTGGGTTAAAGTAGATGGCATATTTAGAATTTTGAAAATTGTGTGAGGATATAATAGGTAAAAAAGATGAATTCCTAATGGGTGAATTCTCTAGGAATTAGAATATGACCTCCCATTCCGGAATTGAATTCTTCCAAAATCAGGAATTCAATTCCTAATTTTGTGTGGGCCCCGCTTACTTTTCAATTCCTTTTATGTGAAGTAAACAAAAGAATTCTCCATAGACGGAATTCAATTCCTTATGAGAATTCCAATTCCTGATTAATAAACACAACATTGTTTGAGTTGTTTCACTAACCTATTGAATAAAAAGAGAAGGCAAAAAGTCACTTTTCATCCTGTAGTTTGAAGAAATTCTCACTTTCATCCTTGTGATTTCAATTTTGGCAATTTAACCCATGAAGTTTAATTTTATTGTAATTTAAGGACACATCCAAATTTTCATCCAAGTTCTTGACGGAATAAACACGTGTCTCTTACATGGTGGGGTATTGACATATATATATATATATATATATAAACATATTATCACAAAAACATAAGCAACACGGTGGTTAAGGCGTTGGAGGAGTGAAATAGCAAGGGTTTGAATCCCTTAAGCGTGTGTTTTTTTTTTTTTTTTTTTTTTTTTTTTTCCTTTCCCATTACATCGTTAGATATTATAGCGATATTTTGACAAAATATTGATGAAATGTAAGCAAAATTATCGACATGGATATTTTCCGATATTATCGATATTTATACGATATGTGTATAGATACGTTCCAAAATATCCGTGACCCGAAAAAACGATAATATCATCGATATTTAGTCAATATTATCAATATTTTAGACTATGGTTTTGACATGTATTAATTTTTTTAAATAGTCTAGTTTCTTAGTTAATAAAAATAAAATTGATACATATCTTGTGCTCATATTGCTTTTTTCTCGTTTAACAAACTAGTTTTTGTGTTTTTTTCTCTTCGTAATGGGAGGGTCAAGGAACCCATTCTCTAATGAAGGCGGGAGATGGAGAATCCCTAATTTGAATATTGTGGGCATGAGGGTGGGGATGGGGGAAAAATCTTATCGGGGATGAGGATGAGAATGACATACCCATCCTAGATTCAACCCATTGCCATCTTTAGCATCTCCACATGCACTTTCGCGCATGCAAGATGCAATTTTTTTTTTCATCACAAGCGCTATGCGAGATTTTCAAAGTTTTTATGGGTTATTTCAATTTAGTACCCTGATGCCTCGTTTGTTACACATGACTATCTTGGCATGAACCATGCTTATGGACTGTCTTGGCTTGGCTTGGTCTAAGTTGGATAACACTTATCATGTTTGATGTATGCTTGGACTAGGACTATATTTTTTTATTTTTTAAAGTATATATACATAGACAATCCCCTTTAATTAAAGGATCCCTAAAATAATTTTATTTGAGAGTGCAAGAAACTATAACAAGAAAGAAGGCCAGAAGGTTCAAGGTGCCATGTTGAATGAGGACAAATACAATTATACAAGTCACAAACAATAATGGTCTGAGAAGAAACATATCTTATGAAGAATGCAATACAGTTCAATTAGAGTTTTCCTTATCAGCACCCAATAATTGTCCAATCCTAATTCATCTGATGAACCAATAAAGTACTCCAGGAAGATGGTCATCTTGCTCAAAGTGGTCACCATGTCAACTGGGTTAAAATAATTATGAAATAATTTAAAGATTTTTTAGCCTTTTTGAAGCTTCCAATATGCTTTATCTGTGGGCAAAAGCACCAACTCTTATGTGCTCTTCACCTTCCGTTCCAATATGTGTTAGTCGGAAAGCAAAATTCTATAATGAGGCCTTCTTCATATATAGACCTTAGAAGCGGACCATACATCTCCACCACACATCTTAAAAAAGTGTATTTGAGAATGAAAGTCTTGACAAATTGCATAAAGGGGCTTGGACTTCGAAGTTTGCACACAAAGACCAAATTGGTGGCTGCTTGCTTCAGGTTAGAAGGCTTGTATATATGTGTCTGATTGCTTGGTTACCAAGGAAAAGGAAAGGGAAAGTAAGACACTCTTTCATGTTTGAAAATGAAGTCAACTAGTTACGGTTTATGAGTACATTACATTTTTTTTTTCTTCTGAAGATTAGCTCAGTTGAAAACTCGATATTTGTGTTCCGGAAAAAAGAAAAAAGTACTGCTTTGGAAATATATGATCCTAAAATTTTATTATATATTTCATCGGTACAAAATGAAATGATGTGGCATGAGCTCACAGTGAAACATGGTAATCGACAGTTAGTATGAATGTACCTTATGCTTAGAGCATCATCAGTGGGGGGGTGTATTTTCAAGGGTGTAAAGTCTCTTTTACATCCCCTTTACACTTCTAAGGGATGTAAATGTTGTTTTTGCTCTAGTGAGAAAAGATGTAAATCCAAATATGTATGTTCGATTTATTTGTGCGTCCTTCCCGGTCCTCTTGTACTAGGGAAAGGTCCTCTCAATGCTCTAACGCCCACACCGGATATGGACCGAACTGTCTGTAGCACGTGTGTCGCCCAGGGCATAAGGGGCATGATGACTTGACGTCATCCTCACCTTCCTCCGGCTTATCACAGGCAGTCTCCTCAGGGTTCCAAAGTCAACGGTGGCAACTAAACACGAGGGTTGTGCTCGTTGGGGGACTCAACCCAACACCTTATGGCACGAGCTATACTTTGTAATACTTTTTTCGTTTTTCTAATTGATATAGACCCAAGTCCTATATTAAAATAAAATGAGGATGATGCAATGTGTTATGACTGGTCGGGATAGCTCAGCTAGTAGAGCAAAGGACTGAAAATCCTCGTGTCACCAGTTCAAATCTGGTTCCTGGCACATGAGTAATTTTTAAATTCTAGCTCTTCCAGAGTGGTATCTCACTGATGGCTCGGCCCCCTCAGAAGGGGGCCTTCACGACTTCCCCAGAGCCTCCGGTAGCACAGCCAAGACAGCGATGGGTTTTCCACCCTTATTCATTTTTGCGTCATTTTTTAATGTTTTATTTTTTTTAAAATTAATTTTGTGTGTGTTAAGTTTGGTTTATTTTTCCAAACAAATGGACCTCAAAAATTAAAATTTGAAAAACATATGATTATATGACAAAATAGGTGGGTATAAACTGGAGGTCTTTCATTTTGATTGAAAAACCATCTCCACCGTTGAAGTTGGAGCCGTTGGCCTTTCCTTGCAAAAGTCCTATTTTTTGACATTTTTTATATAAAAAATCTCTCAACTTTGAGTGTGCTCGCATCAGTCTTGCAACTCAAAAAAACAAAAGTGGCGAGTTGCGTTCTACTTGCACGTGAGTAGCGAGTAAGTCAGGAAATATTGTAGCATTTCACTTTCCTCTCTCTTACTTTCTTTGATTTGGGGCCCGCTTCTTGGATGTAAAACGGATGTAAACTTCCATATATTTTTCCATCTCACAGTGGCTTGCTATATTTGCAACAGGATACACCCTTCCATTGCAGTTGATTATGATCAAATGAGGTATAAATGTGCTATACACCCCCTCACTGGGATCCTCTTAGAAAGACAATTATTGTGTCTAATTTAAAGTATAGATTTTTTTTTTTTTTTTTTTTTTTTTTTTTTTTTTTTTTTTTTTTTTTTTTTTTTTTTTTTTTTTTTTTTTTTTTTTTTTTTTTTTTTTTTTTTTTTTTTTTTTTTTTTTTTTTTTTTTTTTTTTTTTTTTTTTTTTTTTTTTTTTTTTTTTTTTTTTTTTTTTTTTTTTTTTTTTTTTTTTTTTTTTTTTTTTTTTTTTTTTTTTTTTTTTTTTTTTTTTTTTTTTTTTTTTTTTTTTTTTTTTTTTTTTTTTTTTTTTTTTTTTTTTTTTTTTTTTTTTTTTTTTTTTTTTTTTTTTTTTTTTTTTTTTTTTTTTTTTTTTTTTTTTTTTTTTTTTTTTTTTTTTTTTTTTTTTTTTTTTTTTTTTTTTTTTTTTTTTTTTTTTTTTTAAAATGTTAGCTCATCAAGAGCCAAGTACCAAGGGATATAGGAAGGTATAATGATTAACATGGTTTTCTTTCTTGATGCATCCTTGTTCACTAAAGTGATATACTATTTTCTCATCCTCTTCTGTTTTCAAAAGGTTTTAGCTGTTTTTTCAACAAAATTAAGCTACACCAAAAATACAACTGTGTTCAACAACTAGCTTCCGACAAAAAAACCTAAATCTAAATGTTGGAAACCTGGCTCTGAAGAATTTTAGAAATAAATGAGGCATCGATCAATATGAATGCTCCTAAAAATAATTATCCCTAGAAGCCATAGAAAACTGATAATTCTAATCTGTTTTCAATTCTAGGAATATAAATTGTGTAATTAGAAAGAAACCTGCATTGAATGTCCTCCTCGAATTGCTTCTGCTTAAGAAATCCAGATGCAATCTTCATGGAAGCCCCGGCGCATTCAATTTCCTGCTCAGAGCTCATAAGAGTATTGGAGGACAATGTTCTGTTCTTGCTGCTCAACACTGATATATTTGCAGATCCAGCAACACGTTTGGCATCACGAGATGTCTGAATTCCTGCAAGATTCATTTATCATCATAAAACAAGAGTCTAATTACCTTGGCCATCAAAACTTCAAAGTTTATGCATGCATACCATGGCCATAACAATTAAAGCATCATCAGTCTAAGGAAAAAAGCTCTTACTTTACTTTGTACATATGATTTTCAAGAGCAGCAGCAACTCATGTGATTATCAATAGCAGCAATAAACATATTAGTTCCAAAGACTTGCTTTCTGACCATAACTAGCCAATTTCCAATAAGACCCATTAAGATATGATCCTTCTATCATGTTAACCACTAACTAATCACCAGTGACAAAATTACATAACGGTCAGAAAAAGGGATCTAAATATCACAAATTGGAGAAATTAAAAAGTTCCTTACCATTGTCGGCGATTCTGTTCCGTTTGAAGCTTGTGCAATCATTAAGGGTCAGTTTCAAGCATTGGCCGGCGATGGGGGCCGGCTCAGGAGGAGTTGACTGCGCGGCCCAGAATTCATTGAGGAGGGAATTTTCCGATTCACCCATAAGAAAAGAAATAAACAAAAAATACTGAGGGAGATAAAATTGAGTTTGAAAAAAAAAAACATTCTGGAGTTTTTCGCGGCTGGAAGGAGCTTTTATAGTGGAGGAGGTGCTGTTGGCTCCTTTTGTTTTGTGTTTCCTTTTGGGTTTGGGAAACTGCAATTTTGCTCCTAGGATCGTTTCCCAAAATTGTAGCAGCTCAAAAGGCCCTTTCCTTTGTGTTTCTCCAGATTTCAGTAGGATTTCTAGTTTCCTAATTTATTTGGATTAGGATTTCTTTCTTAAAATAAGTATTAATTTCCTTTCAATTTAGGGTTATATTATTGTAAATACTAAATACCCCTTCGTAATTCATTTGAGGAGACTTTGAGTTATTGAGGGGTGTATTCAATCCATATAAAACCTTCTGTAGACCTTTTTAAGCGAGTGACTTTCATAAACTTCACATATTTTTAATGACTTTTAAATGACAAACTTTCATAGAGTTTTATATAGATTTCATAAGCAGGAATCTATAATCTCACAAGCACAAAACAAAACAACCCTCGATAATAGATAAAAATCTAATAGACCCACAAACAATAGAAATAGAATCCAATAACCCATCTGGCTTTTATTTATAAGATTCTGTATTCTTATACTACAACACAAAACATGACAATGAATTCATGGGCAAGTTTCAACCTTGTTATCATATCCATTTCATTAAAAAGAATATATATAAAAAACTTGAGAATCTGTAACGATGATGCTTATGCCTTTTTTTAGATATTGTGTTGAGATTTTATTTTTTTGAACAAGAATGTAATCCACAACCAAACTTGCATGGAACATAACAAATACCCATCAAAACCAGAGTACTTGGCCCCAACAAAAGTCACCATATCATACTTGTCTCAATTCTACATGAATTACGCATATTTATGTCAGAAGCTGACCATGGCAAACAACTAAAATGACACTCGAACATCAAGCAATGCCATCAGTTGAGAAATGAACTTTGGGTGCCTAGCCACGTATTGTGCTGAGATTGACAAGGAATCAATTTCAAAACAAAAGAATTCAAATATAGAAAGAAATAACAAAACGGAAAAGAGAGACAGAGAGAAGTAGCAATTCTAACACACAGGAAAAATTATATGAAACTCATCCTTAGCGACTTTGGGCCGTATTCAAGAGCTTTCATGTGAAACAGTATGTTCAAAAGCTCTCTTAGACATTTGGCCAGCTAAAAAGGAATCAATTTCTAATTTGTCCAGATTTCAGTAGGATTTCTACTTTTCCAGATTTCTAGTTTCCAAATTTATTGGGATTAGGTGAGAAGCTATTGAAGAAGCACAGAAGCAAAAGAAGAAAGTGCTCTGTATATTTCCTAGATTTCTCTTCTGAATTAATTTTACAAGACCAAGCTTCAGTATTTATATAACAGCTAATCATATAACAGTAAACCTACCTAGCTCGCTGACTCCAAGACTGATTAACAACCAAGCACAAGCATTAAGTTCCTTTTCACTCTAGGGCTCTTTATTATACCAAACACACAGGAAAAATATATGAAACTCACCCTTAGCAACTTCTGGGCTGTATTCAAGAGCTTTCATGTGGCACAGTATGTTCAAAAGCTCTCCTGGACATTTGGGCAGCTATAAAGGAATTTGTAACATTCATTATCTACCAATTTTGGAGCAGGATATGATTCCTGAAATTAGTTCCTAACTTGTTTTCTAATTTTTCCAGATTTCAGTAGGATTTCTAACTTCTTAATGAATCTTAGGAGACTAAGCTTCGGTATTTATAACTAGCTTTTACAGCTAATCATATAACAGTAAGCCTACCAAACTGGCTGACTCCAAGACCGATTAACAAGCAAGCACAAGTATTAAGTTCCTTTTCACTCTAGGGTCTTTATTATGCCAAATACATTATAAAAAAACCACATGATCATAGCTAAGAGCACTATGCTTAAGATACATACGGTATCATTTATCATGGAAGCTCCTTAGCATACCATCCAATTTGTCTGAAAATCCATCAATTTGAGTTATTTTACTCTCAATATCAAACACCTTTGCTTGCAGAGCCTCTATCTTTGATTCTCGAACAATGTTGGCCAACAAATCTAGACAGTCACATCGGAAGTGACCGAACTTGTGTCTGTACTCAGCACGTTCGGATTTCACAAAACTCTAGTAATAAAATGAGGTTAAAATTCTACAAACTCTTAATTAAAATTTCCAAAAAAAAATTCAAATCTTACATGTTGTTCAAGTTCTGTGTCAAAATCAAAGTAAGCCAAATCCCCAAAGTGGCCATTACTGATGACCATTCTTAGACTTGATTCGCTAGCTATGACAAAAGTGTCATCCGTCTTCCATGTCATGGCTCCCAAATTGTCATTAGAGACAACAGCATAGAGACTTTAGACTATGCCAATGACACGGCTGGATGCTCTGCGAGTCTCGGCCTTACGTGCTTCTTGGCGGCAATACAAAGTGGTTCCTGAATCTGTAAAGTGATGGCTGATTATAAAAAGCATTTTGTTGAAGTGGAAGTGTTTCTGATGCAGCAATGGAAACGCTACAACGCACATTCAACGATGCTATTGATAACATGATCCCCAAAATGCCTAATCTTGCTGACATGTCTGACCAATTGAACGATCTACAATTACACGAAACACGTAAGGCCAAGACTAACAGAGCATCCAGCCGTGTCACTGCTTAGTTTGAAGTCTCTATGCTGTTGTTTCTAATGGCAATTTGGGAGCCATGACATGGAAGACGGATGACACTTTCGTCATGGCTAGCGTATCAAGTCTAAGAAAGGTCATCATTAATGGCCACTTTGGGGATTTGGCACACTTTGATTTTGACAGAGAACTTGAACAACATGTAAGATTTGAATATTTTTTTGGAAATTTAATTAAGAATTGTAGAATTTTAATCTCATTTTATTACTAGGGTTTGTGAAATCTGAATGTGCTGAGTACAGACACAAGTTCGGTCACTTCGGACGTGACCGTCTAGATTTGTTGGCCAACATTGTTCGAGAATCAAAGATAAAGGCTCTGCAAGCAAAATTGTTTGATATTGAGAGTTAATAACTCACATTGATGGATTTTCAGACAAATTGGATGGTATGCTAAGGAGCTTCCATGATAAATGATACGCTATGTATCGTAAGGCCGAGTCACTGGCTTAGTCCGACGCGCCGACACCGCCAGCGAGTGTTGAGCAATTTTCCAGCAATCAAAAAACTCCAAACCGCCGGCCAATAATCATACCCATAGATCAAGCACATCAAGGGGAGTAACTTTATACCTTGGCTCGAAGATCAATTCCACCGTTAAAGCCCTCGAACGACGATTTTGTCTTTGAAAAACCAAGAAAGTTTTGGGTTTGGATTTGACAATTTCTACTCTAAATTGGGTCGGATCTTTGAGGGAAACACATAGGGAGGTAAGGGAGTGTTTTGGGATTAATTTGGGGGCTGGTGGTGGCCGGAAAAGCCGTCGAAATTTCTGGTTTCAAAACAGCCGAAATGGCTCTTTTTGGCTCGGTTTTGGCTCGAATTTTGGGTTTAATTCCTTGGATTTGGGGGCTGGAAATTGGTATGGATGTGAATAGGGGAGAGAGATGAAGAGTTTGCAAGTTGTGGCGTCGGAATTGGTGGCTGGGATGGAGGAGAAATCTCAGTTTGAAGTTGGCTGTTCGTGCTGCCACAAAGAGATGAAAATCTGGGTTGTTAAAAACTGAACTTCGAAATATTTATGGTTATGCCATTGAGCTTCCGTAGATAATAACTTCTTCGTTATAACTCCGATTTGAGCCAACTATTTGTTTACGGACTCATCTCAACGTGTTATGTGCAACAGTACAATTGAAATTCCCAAATTCCTTCCCAAACAATGAAACGACCTGACCCAAATTCCACTTTGGAATTCAGGTCGAACCCTGTTAAAACTGACACCTGGTGGGTGTGGGTGATAAATGACCAAAATGCTCTGAAAAACAATAACACAAACCCTAAGGCCCTAACTCGTGGCTGCACCTGATAACTGTAGGCAGCCTACGTACCCTTACTGAGGGATCAAGCCACACGTAGTTCTTTCCTCTGTTCCTGATCTGCAACTGGTTTGTTTACTGTAAACCTAGCTCTGAGGCTGGCATTCTTGGAGTATCCGGGACTCCGTTTTACGATCCGTCAAATACCATACGATCCTGGAATTACCTAGATCAACATACCTGAACATGACTACGGTCTAACGGTTCAAACCTGCTGAACCCGAAAATCACACACTAGGTGAGATCCGTTTGGGGTTCAAACGTTATCCGAATTAAAAATCCGCGAAATCCTACGCGCTTGTGAGGACTAAGGGATTATTCTAGGACTGATTGTGGTCCCCACCCTGCTGTCCACGCGCCACCGCACGCGCCGGCAGCGCGTGGTGCCTAAAGTGATAACGCTTCGCCGAAAAACTCCGAATCACGGCTAAAGGTTCCTACCCTAGGTGCAACACCCTATTTGGAGCCACTTTTGTTCTTGGACCTACCCCAAAAACTGGCCGGAAGTGGCCGGAATCGCACCCTCAAAACCGGCTGAAACCTAACTTGGAAATCGAAGTGTTTACGCTTGGAATTCCTGAAATCCTATCCAACCCGCAGCTAGATCATGGAAAATAGCTAGAAAACCATACCTCACTCGTCCGATTTGGTGGCCGGACGACGGAGAACGAAAGCTTGGAAAATCTGCCAAAACCGGCAACTTCCTTCGAGTTTTCCGGCGGTTTCGCTGCGGCTGGCGTCGGAGCTGGGCTAGGTTAGGTAGAGGACATCGATACGAAACTTTTGCAACAAATTTCACTCAAAACGGATGGCGACGAAATCATCACTTGAAGGTGAGTGTGTGCGGAGAGAGAGAGAACCAGAAATCTGGTTTCTCTCGCGAGGAGGAAGAAGAAATAGACCCGGTTACTGTAGCACCGACAAATTTTAAAATTCCCAAAACGTCCTTTTTGTTTCTAGACCTTTCCTCCTTCGTTACAACTCATAATCGAGCGTGCCGCATGTCTACGAACTCGTTTCGTCGCACTCTACGCAACGGTATAACTGAAATCCTCAAATTCCTTTCCGGTTAAAAAGTCAACTTTTAAACTATTAAAATATTCTAGGGGTATGGTGGTCTTTTACTATAATAAATTAATAATTAAATATTAATTAAGGACTGAGTTGTTACAAACAAAAAGTCAACTTTTAAACAATTAAAATATTTTCGGGGTAAAATTGTCTTTTACTTGAATAAATTAATAATTAAATATTAATTTAGGATCGGGTTATTACAATCGGCCCACTTTGGGGATTTGGCATACTTTGATTTTGACAGAGAACTTGAACAACATGTAAGATTTGAATTATTTTTTTTGGAAATTTTAATTAAGAATTTGTAGGATTTAGGGTTTTGTGAAATCCGAACATGCTTAGTACAGACACAAGTTCGGTCACTTCCAACGTGACCGTCCAGATTTGTTGGCCAACATTGTTCTAGAATCAAAGATAGAGGCTCTGCAAGCAAAGGTGTTTGATATTGAGAGTAAAATAACTCAAATTGATGGTTGAATTGATGGATTTTCAGACAAATTCTTGAAGTTTAGGGTTCACCAAACTCTCCCGCTATTTAGGGTTTTTGAATTTTTAGCTGAAAAATGTCTTTTTTAATGTTATTTAGATTTGTTAAGAACCTACTAGAATCTCAAATTGGAAAAATTGGAGCTCTGTTTTAGCTCTTCCTATATATCAAAGAGGTATATACTCTCGCCCTCGACAATGTCTTTTTTTTTTTTTTTTTTTTTTTTTTGGGTATTGGTATACCATTTATTCTTGAATGTTTGATGCCATGTCCAGTTTTTATTTCATAGTAGTGTGTACCCGAATTTAATCCCTACGCCTACCCACCAAAATTTTGATGGTATAGAATGGCTAGCTGCTCTCCCTCGCACGAAGGATAAGGATGGCCCAAATATTCTTTCCAAAGCCCTTATTCTCTGTTGGCAAATTTGGGAGGCTCGGAACAATTGTGTGTTTAAAGACATTGCTCCTCATCCGGTTAGAGCCCTTAATGTTGCTGGTCATATTGGACTAGACTATTGGAAAATCCATTCCACTCCTCCTCAGAAGTCCAAAGGTGAGCTTGCCATTAAATGGAAACCACAACCCCTCGATTGGGTTAAATTGAACTTTGATGGCTCGGTGTGTGGTAACCTAGCTGCCACTGGTTTCGTTATCCGGGACTGGAATGGTAACGTTTGGCTCACGGGAGCTAAGAATTCGGGTCAAATTTCAATAAATGTTGTGAATGTATGGCGCTTCGTGATGGTCTCGCCCATGGCAATCCATAATGGTTGGCGCAAAGTTTTAGCTGAAGAGATTCCAAACTCATTATTGAATGTATCAACAACAAAGTTTTAGTTCCTTGGAGTATTCATCTCCTGGTACAAGATATAATGCTGTTAAGTTCTTACTGCGAAGAGATTTCCTTCCAGCATGTCTCCGAGAAGCTAACTTCATTGCTGACGCTTTAGCTAATTTAGGCTATTCTATGAACCCTTCCCACCTATGGGAGCGAGGGCTTCCTTTAGGTTGCTCTCCTCTGTTTTATTGATTTAGTTAGACATGCGTGCCCTCGTGCTTTCCGTTTGTAGGGGTTTTCCCCTTTTTCCATTTGAAAAGACAACCTACTTGGGTCTTTTTTTTTTTTTTTTTTTTTTTTTTTTTTTTTTTTTTTTTTTTTTTTTTTTTTTTTTTTTTTTTTTTTTTTTTTTTTTTTTTTTTTTTTTTTTTTTTTTTTTTTTTTTTTTTTTTTTTTTTTTTTTTTTTTTTTTTTTTTTTTTTTTTTTTTTTTTTTTTTTTTTTTTTTTTTTTTTTTTTTTTTTTTTTTTTTTTTTTTTTTTTTTTTTTTTTTTTTTTTTTTTTTTTTTTTTTTTTTTTTTTTTTTTTTTTTTTTTTTTTTTTTTTTTTTTTTTTTTTTTTTTTTTTTTTTTTTTTTTTTTTTTTTTTTTTTTTTTTTTTTTTTTTTTTTTTTTTTTTTTTTTTTTTTTTTTTTTTTTTTTTTTTTTTTTTTTTTTTTTTTTTTTTAAAAGGGAAATAGTGCCAACGAGGTCTAGTGTAATGGAAAATGGTCTTAATTTGCAGACTAGTAATCTCATGTTCTAATGACAACGTAGTATGTGTGAAAAATACAAAAAAGGGAAATCGTGAAAGTTTGGAATCTGTTGGTAAAGAGTTGGCCGAGATGTTGAAAGCCACAAGGGTAAATACTGGAAAATTTGAAAGGTGGACATAGTCAGTCCAATGCAGAAAATTAATCAAGAGCCGAAAAAAGAAAGTCCAAGCAAGCAGACGACGACATACTGCTCTCTTTGAAAGCAACCGCAACATTCCAGGAAAATAAATGGCACTTAACTAGCAACTCCTCAACAGAAGGCCTCTGAAAAAAGTCTTGCAACCTTAATATTTCTGAAATCTAACGCATGCAGATCAAGATCAGGTCATGGAGACTTGGTTATCTTGAAAATTTCTGCTGTAATTAATAAACTGGGTGTAATAAGAATAAGATGGAGAAAACAGATGAACACAAAGAATAACTGAAAAGAACATATTAGGGTAATTACCACCAAATAAAAGTGCAATATTGATGCGTACACCAAATACAAATAATCCAACTTTAATAAATAAAAGTTAGTACTTCAATTCTTGCTATCTACCAAATGCTAGTTCCTCCACGATGGGCATGTTCTGGTAATACAGGAACTGGAGTCGGCCACCATGGGAGAACAATTTGGTAATAGTAACCATTAGCAACCGGACACTGTCTAACTATCTTACACCACTCTCCTGTAAGAATGTTGCACTTGATAATATCACCATCCACACGCAGATACAAAATATCCTTATTATTTGGGTCAAATGCCTGCATTGTACACGTTATTGGATCATCCGGATACGTTTCTGGGTCCAAGTGATATATCCTGTGGTTACTTACACACAACTTGCTGGCAGCTGCATCGACCATCCGATCATGATCTTGTTCTTTCAACTCCCAAACATGTAGAGTTTTGGTACACACCTTAAAGTCGCACATCCGCACACATCCTCCAAACACACCTAGGCACCCAGCTATAAAACGCCTGTCTAGAGGCTCCTTAAATACAGTAAAACGAAGTTTACGATCAATAACGTCATCACCATTACTGCTACTACTACTAGTAGTGATGTTATTCTCGTTGAACGGACCCAAACCAACAAAAAAAAAGTCACTTCTATTCCAATATAACATCCCATTGTATGCAAAGGAGATATCATCAAGATCATAAAAATCAAAGTGTAGTGGGGTAAGTCACAACTGATTCTTTCCATTCACCAGTCTCAGAAGAGAAGATCTCCAAGCTTAATTTTAAGGAATCACATTTCTCATCATATGCCAATTCATCAGGAGGAAGAATTCGCACAACAGTGCACCTACACTCAGCTTTAAGCTGGATGTTATGTCCGTCTTTCTTATAATTATAGTCGGGAATATCGCAGATGAATCCTACTTGCACAGTCTCGTGACATCGACTTGGGGTAGGAGGAAGAGCAACCCATTGCCTTGTGTATGCATTGCAGATGTAGTAATCGCGTTGATAATACTCACTTGCGCAACACAAAACTAAGTCATTATACGTCGCTACCACAACTAGCTGACTTATCAAAGGGTGGAAACTCATTATTCTTTCGAACACTGGAGTTAGTAGCTTGGATGGCCATGGCATTTTAGGAGGGAATTCCTCTCCTTTTTTACTTATCAGAGTGAGTATCTTTGGAGTTTTCCTATAACTCTGGATATGTACAAAGCGGCTGATAAAATAAGGATCTGAGATGACAGTGCGCCAACGCTTGGACACAGACTGGCATTGAAAGACAAATTTACTTGATGGAAGTTGGCAAAGGATTTCAACCAATGCCACGTCAGGGAGATCATCAATTGATGATGGTCTTCTTTTTGCTGGTGATGATCTCTTTGATCTTTTTAAAAGACTAAACGTCGGCAATCCAAGAGATGACTGGGATCTCTTTCTTCCTTTGGTACGAGTATCGCAACCAATCAACCTGAGCCATGCAATAAATTATGCACATAATGTATGCCCTCTAAAAACATGCTGTGTGGAATCGACATATTGTTTGTTAAATTAAAAAGAATTTATAATATAAAAAACAATATCCTGATCAAACTACATAATCTATATCATATATGTGATGGCAGGCCAATATGGATGTGTTTGACCACTGCCAAACCCTAAGTTGTATGGCAGAACTAAGACTTAGAACCTAATGTGCATGAAAGAAGGGCATTTTCCAATGCATTGTTTGCTTAAGAAGAAAAATAAAAACAAAAGGTAAAACGTGTTTATCCTTGTTTCTAGATATGGTGATGATGTTAGCTTATCAAGAGTCAAGCACTAAGGGATATAGGAAGGTACACTGATTAACATGGTTTTCTGTCTTGATGCATCCTTTTTCACTAAAGTGATATACTGCTTTCTCATCCTGTTCAGTTTTCAAAAGGTTTTATCTGTTTTTACAAAATGAGAAGGTATATTGGAGATTGCAAAGTATGGAATTATGGATGACAGTAAAGCTTCACCAGAAAATACAATTGTGCTCAACAAGTACACTAACTTCCAAGCAACAACCTAAATCTAAATGTTGGAAACCTGGGTCTGAGGAATTTTATAAATAAATGAGGCGTAGATCATATGAATGTTCCTAGAAATAATTATCCCTAGAAGCCATAGAGAACTGACAAATCTAATCTGTTTTCAATTATAGGAATAAAAATTGCGTAATTAGAAAGAAACCTGCATTGAATGTCCTCCTTGAATTGCTTCTGCTTAAGAAATCCAGATACAAGCTTCATGGAAGCCCCGCCGCATTCAATTTCCTGCTCAGAGCTCATGAGAGTATTGGAGGACAATGCTCTTTTCTTGTGGCTCAAGTGGGGCATCTTTGCAGATCTGGCAACACGTTTAGCATCACTAGATGTCTGAATTCCTGCAAGATTTCATACATCCTCATAAACAAAAGTCTAATTAACTTGGCCACAAAAATATCAATGGTTCAGCGTATACCAGAAACGGAATCCATAAGTAGTCCATAAAAGCAATAACAATTAAAGCATCAGTCTAATGAAAAAGCTCACGCTCTTAATTTGTACACAGCAGGGTGCTTACTTTTCACAAGCCTAAACAATTCCATACTAAATTTACAAGCCAATGTTTAAAGGACATAAAACTGAGATGGTGAACAACATTGGGTTTACCAAGCGCCCAATACTTATAAAACGCCATCGCACAGAACCCATGTGATTTTCAATAGCAGCAATAAATATATTAGTTTCCTGACCTTGAACAGAAAATTTCCAATAAGACCCATTAACATAGATCGTTCTATCACTTAGGGATGGCAATGGGTTGAATCGGGAGTTGGTATGTCATTCCCATCCCCACCCCGTTAAGTATTTTTCCCCATCCCCGCCTTCATACCCGCGATATTCAATTCGGGGATAACAAAATTACATAATGGTCATGAAACCAGATTCGAAAAAGGCACCTAAATTCCTCAAATTGTAGAAATTGATAAGTTTCTTACCATTGTCGGCAATTCTTTTCCGTTTGAAGCTTTTACAAGCATTAAGGGTCTGTTTCAGGCATTGGTCGCCGTTCCCGGCCGGCTGAGGAGAGGACTGCGCGGCCCAGAATTCATTGAGGAGGGGGTTTTCCGATTCGCCCATTAGAAAAAAGAAATACTGAGATAGAAAATTGAGTTTTAAAAACTAAAACAAGAGTGGTAAGTCTCGCGGCCGGAGGGGGTTTTTTTATAGTTGATGATGAGCTGCTGTTGGCTCCTTTTGGGTTTGGGAAATTTGCAATTTTGCTTCTCAAACTATCCAGCAAATCCAATTCCTGATTGTTATTGGACTCCCTGACATGTTTACCATTGAAGTTGGATGGTGGAGAATTAAATTCCGAATTTTTATTGAAGTTGTTTACTAAATTATATGGATTAAGGAGAGTTAAATTATGAATTATTGAAGTTGTTTACTAAACCATATGGAATTAGGGTTGGAGTAAAATGTCCTCTTGGCTGGGTTAAAGTAGATGATAAATTTGAAATTTTAAAATTTTTATGAGGATATAGTGATTAAAAAAAGATGAATTCCTAATGGGTTAGATCTTCATAAATTAGAATACCACTTCTCACTCAATAATTAAATTTCTCCAAAATCAGGATTTCAATTCCTAATTTTGTTTGGGACCTTATTACTTTTCAATTCCTTCATGTGAAGTAAACACATGATTTCTTCATACTTGCAATTTAATTCCTGATTAGTAAACACACCGCTAATGTATTAGGAAAATATAATTTTCTCTTTTGTTTGAGTTGTTTCACTAGCCTATTGAATAAAAAGAGAAGGCAAAAAGTCACTCTTCATCCTATAGTTTGAAGAAATTTTCACTTTCATTCTAGTGATTTCAATTTTGGCAATTTAACCCATATAGTTTGATTTTGTTGTAATTTAAGAACACGTCCAAATTTTCATCTAATTTCTTGACGGAATAAACATGTGTCTCTTACATGGAGGGGTATTTTGGATGGAAATTTGGATGTGTCTTTAAATTGCAATTAAATCAAACTATATGGGTTAAATTGACAAATTAAAATTATAGGGATTAAAATGAAAAAATCGACAACTATAAGGACCAAAAGTGACTCTCAAAAAAGAAATATGCCAAACAAGTCTTGCCCAATGGAAAAGAGCTTGACTTACATCTCATGTTCGAACTCCTATGACAACTTGATAGCGTGCGTGTGAGAAACCTCCCCCGTTCTAGTTTAAACTATCGCTTGTATTAAAAAAATAAAAATAGAATATGCAATCCATTGAAAGATACTTAAAAAGGAAAAATAAGTAACAACACTCTTCTCTTATTTTGGATTCCGATTACGGATTAGTAAACATGTCATTACTCCTGTGTGTACTTCACATGAAGGAATCAAAATGAGAGTGGGACCTACACAAAATTAGGGAGGAATTGGACTTTTGGGTAGGAGGTGATTTTCTAATTGAGTTGTTTACATTAACACCCCTTGAGGTTTCTTGTGTTTTCCCAAAATCCATTCAGGTCTTAAAAATTACACGATGAGGTTTCGTTTTGTTTTCGCAAAACCCATTTTCGTTAATTGTTCGTCCAAAAATTGATGAAGGAAAAAAAACTTATGCAAATGACAAAATTAACCTCAAAGAAGTATATGCAATCTAATCTCAAGGGCCAACTTTGTCATTTGGAGAATTGTTTTGTATAAAATTATCAATCTTTAAACAAAATATAAATGAAAATGGATGTTGTGAAAACAATTTAAAACCTCAGGGGGTGTTCAAGTAATTTCTAAAACCTCAAGGGTTTTTTGAAAAAGACAAAAATCTTAGGGGGAGTTAGTGTAAATTACTCTTTCTAATTCCTGAAGAACTAACCCTATTAAATAGCTTGTTGGTTGCAAAATTTGTTGTATACTAGCAAACTGATTAAGAAAACCATACTTCTTAATTTTTAGGCTTGCCATGCATATGTAGAACTATGTATACTACCATGTGATATATGTTGATGTTTGGCTGGCCTATTTGGATGCGGAATTGGAAGAGAAAACGGTAGGCAGCAAGCGACCAGTCGCATTCTTCTTGAGAAGAAAAGCTCGCAAGGTCCCATGGCGACGATCGGTCAGTGTGGCCAATTGATCAGTCGCATTTTGGAAGCGAGTCAATTTGTAGCTTTTGCAGGAGACAATTGGTTGCATATGTCGGGCGATTGGTCAGGGTGTGTCTTTTTTTTTTTTTTTTTTTTGTTTGGAACTGGGGGGGGTAAAACCCCAAGGGCACACATCAACTACTTACTATAGACTAGCCAAGTCCTAATGACTCAAAGCAGATCATCAACAAGGCTAGCACCAATCCAGCTTGGAGCCATATCAAGAAAACAAACACCTAAGTCCAGATTGTAGCTCCACTAAGCAATATGGTCAGCAACCAAATTTCTTTCTCTATAAATGTGATGGAGAGCACAGGCATCAAACTTTCCCATAAGCTCCCAGCAGCCTGAAACTAGAGACGCCATATGATGAAGATCAAGAGTAGTAGCATTCCTCACCAACTTAACAGCCATAGCAGAATCCATTTCCACCAACAGATTGCGAATACCTCTATCTGCAGCAAGCCTTAACCCAAAAAACAAGCCCCACATTTCAGCCTCAAGGATATGACCTTTGCCCAGATTAGCAGCAAACCCGTAGGTCCAATCCCTAAAGGAATCACGAATAACTCCCCCTGCACCAATGCATCCAGTAGTACTTTTCCTGGTTCCATCCACATTCAGCTTATACTACTCAAGACTAGGTGGCACCCATGCCAGAGAAATCTAGATTTTATCACTGGTTTTCTGTAAGATTTGAGTGGTCATGAACCATTCATGGGCAGCAACCAAGATGTCGTGTCTGGGGTTAACATGCATCTCATCCTCAGGCTGAAAAATGGATTTGTTCCTCCACTTCCATAAATGCCAACAAGCAGCAACAAACACCAGATACCGAGGAATATCAGCCTGCCACTTAACCTTTGACATTAAGTTGGCCTTGAGCCAAGGTTTGAAATTTATCTGGAAGAAAGAAAAATTGGATAGAGAGGTAAGCAAATCATTCCAGACATCTCTGGCTCGATTACAGTCACGAAATATATGCAAAATAGATTCAGCAGGATAGTCACAGACAGTACAAGCTGAATCCCCAGCTAGATTTCTTTTAACTCTCTGCTCATTAGTAAGGAGTTTTCCTTGGACTGTCAGACATAAGAAAAACTGAAGTTTAGGAGGGATCCTGAGGCTCCATAAAAATTTCCAATCGTAATCAGGCCACCAAGGACCTTCAAACAACAGCCAATAGGCAGTTTTAACTGAGAAGACTCCATTAGGAGAAGGCCTCCAAATATGAGAAGCAGGGATAGAACCTATGAAACCAACATGCACATTAAGAATTTTCTGAACAAGATCATCATGAAGAGCATAGTGTAATTTGTTAACATCCCACTAGCCATTCTTGGAGAAATTAGAAACAACACTATTTAAATCAGTCACCTGTAACACCCTTTCTTGCTGAGCCAAAGGCGCATCAGTGACCCACTTATCTGTCCAGAAAAGAGTAGAATCCCATTTTCCTATCCTCCAAGCTAACCCTTGGGATAGCTAGGCAGTCCCATGGAGAATACTTCTCCAAGTACTAGAGCAGCCTTGCTTAGACCTTAAAGAAGGGTCAAGAATAGTAGAACCCTGTATATACTTTTTTCATAAATTTTAGTCCACAAGCCCTTATCCTTGCTATGCAATCTCCACCCAATTTTAGCCAACATAGCTTGGTTCATAGCTGTAGTCTTCTTAAAACCCATTCCTCCTTTGGATTTAGGCCTGCAAACTCGATCCCATTGACATAAATGGATCTTCTGCTTTTTCTCTCCTCATCCCCAAAAGAAATTCCAATTGAATTTATCCAAATCATCACACACACTAGTGGGTAATTTGGTAGTTTGCATAGCGTAAATAGGAATGGAAGCAGTAAGAACTTGTATTAAGGTAGCTCTACCAGCTAGAGATAAAACTTTACCTTTCCAAGAGGCCACCATGTGCTTAACCTTATCCACCAAAGGTTCATAAGTAGCTTTCGTGACCCTGGAATATAACAGGGTGTGTCTTTTTCACTACAGCACGTTTAGGTTTTAGAAGTGGTTTCCAAATTTTTTTGGGTTTTCTTTAGTTTCCTTATTTTGTAGGAAATACGAGTGCTAAATTGCTATAAAATAAACAAAAAAATATTGCAAACAGAGCAAATTTTTACAAAGTAGAATTGAATTAGAAGAACCTTAATTGAGTCGAGGCAAGTGTTGGATACTCTGACCTTAAGACATATTACGCCCCACACTGGTGTTTATGATTCACTAGCGTTCGCCTCCCAAGATACAACGACTCCTTTCCTTGTGAAAAAAGCACTGTAATTCACAAGGAACTTTGAACCAAATTATGCAGGAACCTCTCTTTGTGAATATGAAAACTCTAATGCTCTCTATAGATGGAAGTCTATATGTAGAGAATTAATTGAATGATAAAACTGCATGAGGATTGCTCTATTTATAGATAATGAAATACCCTTTCTAAAAAGGTATCCTAATCTAAAAAGGCAAACAATGCATCCCTAGGTCTCTGATAGGGTTCCAGACACATATGAAGAGTTGCCACCCCGAAATTGAAGATGGGCCATTATAATAACCTAAGGGTCATGTCTTTAACCTAATGACTTTTATTAATTTCCATTCAAATAGAAAATTAATATTAAATAAAATAATATTAAATTTCTCAGAATCCCCCACATGAATGGAAATTAATTTCAACAATATGCAAATGATAATGCAGACTTAGAGAAAGTTCCTATTAGAAGAATATAGCATCTGGATAGGTAGCTTTTGGCTTTGAACCTTCTGTAGTGATGTATTATCGGATTCACTTGGCTAATCAGTACACGTAATGTCTTGAATTGTTCAGCCGTTCATGTAAACCCAGACAATAATACTCACACAGTACCCTTCTAAACATATTTGGTTTGATCAGTTGTGCTCGTTTTGTCCCTGAGCAACTCTTGGTATTCATAAGTGCTTTAGAGAATTTAGCCCTAAAAATTCTCATGGAAATGGCCACATTTCGCACTCATATAGGTGACTTCCTATTGGTAATACCCTCTCATATCTTACTCGAATAATCAAGGTATAGGAAAGTATATATCTGTAGTGTTATTTTTGAGTTATCATAATTTAGTTATCCATTTTGAACCTAAATCTTGGGATTTCCAGTCAACTAGGTTAGGTTTCCACTATGACGACTCATTTGACATGGGCTTTAACCATATTCCCCTCGATAATCTATAAACTTGCTCTCCGTTCAAACCTTTAGTAAACGGATCCGTTAAATTATCTCTTGACTTTATGTAGTCAATGGTAATTATACCACTGGAGAGCTTATCGATGTTGTGTTTTCGACGTATATATCGAGACTTGCCGTTATACATATTGTTTTGTACCCTTGCAATTGTAGATTGACTATCACAATGTATACATATAGCAGGCACATGTTCTCGCCAACATGGAATATCTTCTAACAAATTACGTAGCCATTCGGCTTCCTCACCAGCTTTATCTAATGCTATGAACTCAGATTTCATTGTAGATCTAGCTATAACAATTTGCTTAGTAGATATCCATGATATAGTCGCACCTCTAACTGTAAAGACATATCCACTTGTAGAATTGGAGTCCTTAGTATCAAATATCCAATTAGCATAATTACATCTTCAAGTACAGCTGGACATCTTGTATAATGTAGTCCAATATTTTTGGTGTATCTTAAATATCTTAGAACTCTTAATATAGCTTTCCAATGATCCCTTCCAAGATTACTAGTATATCTGCTTAATTTATTAACAGTGTAAGCTATATCAGGCCTTGTGCAATTCGTAAGATGCATGAGACTGCCAATGATACGAGCATATTCTATTTGTGATACACCATGACCTATATTCTTCACAAGACTAAGACTTGGATCATAAGGTGTTCTTACTGGACTAGTATCATACTTGCTAAACTTTGCAAGTATTTTCTCAATATAATGTTATTGGGATTAAACTAGTCCATTAGATGTTCTGGAAATTTTAATCCCTAGAATCACATTTACTACTCCCAAATTTTTCATGTCAAAATTATTGGTCAACATTTTATTGATTAGATTGAATCATCCCAATATTGCTATCAATAATTAACATATCAACATAAAGACAAATAATGACAAAATCATCATGAGTGCTTTTCATATAAACACATTTATCACACTAACTGATCCTGAAACCATTTGACATTAGTGCATTGTCAAATTTTAGATGCCATTGTTTTGGTGCTTGCTTTAACTCGTATAAAGACTTAACAAGCTTACAGACTTTCTTTTTTGGTCGAGGAACAATAAACCTTTCAGATTTTTCCATATAAATTTCCTCGCTAAGTCGTTTTCACATCCATTTGATGTACCTCAAGATTATGCAATGCTGTAATTGCAATTAACATTCTTGTTGATGTTATTCTCGTAACTGTGAATATGTGTCAAAGTAATCGAATCATTCTCTTTGCTTATAACCTTTAACAACAAGCCTTGCCTTGTATTTGTCAATTGATCCATCAGCTTTCATATTCTTCTTTAAAATCTATTTATAACCCAATGGTTTATTTTCAGGAGAAAGATCCACAAGTTCCCAAGTGTGATTCTGCATGATGGATTCAACTTCGGCATTAATAGCCTTTTTCCATAAGGGAGCTTCAGGAGAAGTCATGGCTTATTTGTAAGTTTAAGGCTCATTTTCTAACAAATAAGTTAGAAACCCAAGACCTAAGGATTTGGTTGTCTTAGCTCTCTTACTGCGTCTGGGTTCTTGTCTAACTTTTTATGAGGCAGTTTGTTGAGAATGTAATTATGTAGAAGGTAAAGTTTTCCCCCACAAATTCTAGGGTGCTCCAGAACGTACTAGCAAAGCATTCATCATTTCTTTTAAAGTACGGTTTTTGCGTTCAGCAATACCATTTTGCTGTGGTGAGTATGGAGCAGTAATTTGATGAATAATTCTGTGTTAAGAACAAAACTCACCAAAAGGTGATTCATATTCACCACTGCTATCATTTCTTAATATCTTTATTTTAGGGTAAACTAAAGTAAAACCCCCAACCTATAGGGTCATTTACGAGTCCATACCCGATTTTGGGGACATTTATGGGTACATACTCAACGTCGCGGAAAACCTACAGATTGCCCCTTCCGTTAGCGAGTCCGTCAGGAAATGCGTTATCTGTCTACATGGCAAATATGGGTTCCATTTTTTAATTGACGTGGACTTACAGGTGGACAAATAACTAATAAAAAATTATATACATGTTAAAAATAAATTTTAAATAATATTAAAATTATTAAAAATGAAAAAAAATAGAAAAAGGTAAAAAGACGCAAACAGCCCCATTCCATCCCCTCCCTTCCAGCCCAACCTCCAACCCACCCTCCCCACACTCTCTGATTTGAACGCGTTCGATTTGAAAGAACAAGCTTAAGCGGTTTGAACGCCCAGTTCTGTTTGAAAGAACACCCAGTTTTTTTTTAACGCGTTCGATTTGAAATCGTTCTCGGTCGGACTGGACCTGTCCGGGCTGTTCAAAAACCATTCATACGGCTCGGCGAAGGACAACGAGCGTTTCGTGTTGGAGGAGACGATGGAGAAGGTGGAGAATGAGAGGGCGATGCCCTCCTCCTTCCTCTACCACTTATTCGTCCTCGTCGCTTGCCCAGTTAATTGATTGAACATCAGTAATCCCAAACGACAGACCGGCCTCGATGCCGTGAGGCTGATCAAAATTTGGGATGTGAAATTTGAAGTTGAACTCAGCTATGGTTTGGGGACAGCGACGACCACGACATCGTTTTGGGGTTTGTTGTTTGGGGAAAACGATCAGATCTGTGGCATGAGGGAGGTGTTAAGGCTGGGATGGGTGGCCTGAGTAAGCTTGGGTGGTGGTTTGGGTGGCTGTGGGCTAGGAGGAAAGGAGATCAAGAGAGAGAGAGACAGAGAGAATCTGGGTATTTTTAAAAAATATATATATAATCAAATTTAAAATAATTTTAATGATTTAAAATTAGTTTTGAAAAATATATAATTTTTTATTATTTATTTGTCCACCTATAAGTCCACCTCATTAAAAAATGGAACCCACATTTGCCATGTAGGCAGATAACGGATTTTTTGATAGACTCGCTAATGGAGGGGGCAATTTGTAGGTTTTCAATGATGTTTAGTATGTACCCATAAATGTCCCCAAAATTGAGTATGGACTCGTAAATGACCTTATAGGTTGGGGGGTTTACTGTAGTTTACCTTTTATTTTATCAACTTCACTTTTATAATGTTTGAACATTTCTATGGCCTCATCTTTACTTCTTAGTAAATATACTTGACAATATCTTCTACAATCATCAATAAAAGTAATAAAATTATTTTTATCACGTCTAGTTTGTACAAATTTCAAGTCACAAATATCACTGTGAATTAATTTTAGAGGTGCTATACTTCTTTCTATAGACTGGAATGATGATCTAGTTAGTTTTGCTTCAACGTTGGTTTCATATTTATTAGGGAAATCAATATGAAACTTAGGTATTAGTTCCATGTTAATTAATTGACGCAATTTGTCATACTTAACATGCCCTAATCTTCCATGCCGTAAATCATATGACTCAAGCATATAATTAGAACTAACTTCATTATTATTAACTTTGTGTACAACAATCATTACATTCATCTTGAATAGTCCATCAATAAGGTACCCTTTCCTCACATACATTCAATTCTTAGTAGTACAAACTTTTCAAACTCAAAGACTAACTTGAACCCATTCTTGTTAAGCAGTGATCCAGAAACCAAGTTCTTCTGGATCTCAGGGACATGAAGTATATTATTGAGAGTGACTTCCTTTCCAGATGTCATCTTTAGAACTATTTTCCATTGGCCATGAATTTTGGAGGTGGAGAAGTTACCCATGAATAAAGGCTCTCCTTGATCATTTGCTTCATATGTAGAAAACATCTTTCTTTCATAACATATGTGGCGTGTAGCTCCAGTATCCACCCACCATTCCTTGGTGTTGCCTACCAAGTTAACTTCAGACACGACTGCAGAAAGATTTATATATGACAAATCGGCTGAAAGCTTGTCTTCTTCAGTCATGTGTACCTCAGTATTACCCTTTTTTCTTTTGGTTGCCTTGTCCATTTCCACTTCGGCAATCCACAACTCGATGGCCTTGCTTATTGCAATTGAAACACTTTCCCTTAGACTCCTTAGACTTCTTGGAGTTCCTTTGACTTGAGCCTTCTCTAGAGTGCTTCCTCTTCTTGTTATTTCTTGACTATTTTTCTACTATGTTAGCCTTAGTTTCCATTATGGATCTAGATTTTTTGTCAGCACAACAATTATCCTTTTCGATCCTTAGCCTTACAATCAAATCCTCAAGTCTCATCTCCATACGCTTATACTTAAAGTAGTTTTTGAAATCCTTCCAAGATGGTGGTAATTTTTCAATAACATCAGCCACTTGGAAATACTCACTCAATTCCATCTTTTTTGCATGTATCTCATGCAGAATGAGTTGGAGTTCTTGGACTTAACTTATGACAGTCTTGGAGTCTACCATCTTGTAGTCAAGAAACCGACCGACAATAAATTTCTTCATTCATGCATCTTTAGTCCAATATTTCTTGTCTAGTGACTCCCATAAAGCCTTGACGATCTTAATTAGACTATAGACATTGTATAGTGCAGCACTTAAATCATTTAGGATGTAGTTCCTACAAAGGAAGTCGGACTGGTTTCATGCATCAAAAGCAGCCACTGCTTCTAGTGTATCACAAGGTGCAGGAGGATCTGCTTTCAGGATATGAGCCAAATTCAATGTGGTGATGTAGAACAACATCTTTTGTTGTCATCTCTTAAAATCCATCCCATTAAATTTTTCAGGCTTCTCTGCATGATTATGGGATGAAGGCAACACAACAGCAAGTGCACTTGTCTTCACAAAAGGACCCACTTTCTGTATCTCATTCAACATTTTCCTTAATTGAGTGAACAATCTCAATGTCAATAAACAAATATTTGGCAGTCTTAAATAGATAAATAATGGCTTAGAACAGTGAGTTACAACAAACCACAAATAGAAATTAATAATATAATACCGATAAAAAGTATAGCAAACGCAATGTGCAATTATTCAAGATAACAATAATGCAGAATGCTTAATTTATAGGTACAGTGAAATTATTGTATTTAGATAAGTATAGTCAAAATTAATAAACAGAAAAATAAAGAATGATGCCAAACCAAAGGGAATAAATTTATATTGTACGTATACTTTGTCTAACAACAGAAACAGAAGGCAATCAGACTTAGTGTATGGCAATCTTAATAGTGTGGGTCCCGATTATGATAACAAAACAATAAACCTAATGGTGTTAGAAGTCTGACTTTAAATTGTAGATAAAACAAGAGGAAAAAAAAACCAACTAAAAGGAAATCAATTAAAATATGTTTGCCGTTTGCACCAGATTCAAAACGTTTGCAGCGTTAATCTCAATGTCAATTAAAGGAAATCAACTGAATATGTTAGATGTCTGACTTTAATCTAAAGTAGTAAATTGTTATATGCATTATATTCAAACCGTTTGCAACTTTTCATCTAAATGCACAAACACAGACTAATGTATATAACAATTAACACAGACTGATTCGTCTTAAGATTGTAGGAAATATGAGTGCTAAGTTGGTATAAAATAAACAAATAAATACTGCAAACAGAACAGATTTTTACAAAAGGAGAATTGAATTAGAGGAACCTTAATTGAGTCGTGGCAAATGTTGGACACTCTGACCTTAAGACGAATTACGCCTCACACTGGTGCTTATGGTTCACTAGCATTGGCCTCCCAGGATACAACGACTCTCCTCCTTATTAAAGAAGCACTGCAATTCACAAGGAACTTTGAACCAAATTATGCAGGAATCTCTCTTTGTGAATATGAAAACTCTAATGCTCTTTATAGATGGAAGTTTTTATGTAGAGAATTAATTGAATGATAAAATTGCAGGAGGATTGCTCTGTTTATAGATGATGAAATACCCTTTCTAAAAAGGTATCCCAATCTAAAAAGGCAAACAATGGATCCCTAGGTCCCTGATAGGGTTCCATGCACATATAAAGAGTTGCCACCCCACAATTCAAGATGGGCCATTATAATAACCCAAGGGTCATGTCTTTAACCCAATGAATTTTATTAATTTCCATTCAAATAGAAAATTAATATTAAATAAAATAATATTAAATTTCTCACAATTGTATCTAAATACCTATAAGTATATAAATAGGTATTTTGGTGCTAGGATTTTCATAAGAGGGAAAACAAGGGCAACAAGGGCATCAAATTGGGTTTGAGCAGGGTGAGAGAAAAGAAAGCTAAGATTATGTGAGAGTTAAATGGGTTCTTCATTGTAACCAAAATTGTTCTTACTTAATAATGAATTTCTCGGGTGGATCACCAAGATGACGTAGGCACAACATCGAGCCTCTATAAATTCTTGTGTTTTCTGTGTGTTTGCTATACTTTTGGGTGTGTGCTTGCTTTATTTTCACGTGGTTAGTGTGTGTGCCAGTTGAATAGTCCATCAATGACAAAGTCTTTGAGTGTTTTTGCACAACAATATATTCATTGATAGTTGCCTATCCCACTTGGTCTGTTTTTTATGTGTTTTTGTTCATCTGTTTGAATGATACCCAGTCTTGGTGTAGTGTAAGACAAGAAGATGTATGAGAATGAGATGCCATTTTGTTTGGTTGATGGCAGCCTCTTTGGCCATTCTTGAGTATACAACTGCAAACCCCTTTCCTCAATTTCTTGGTATGAATTCGTTCATGTTCTTCTTTCTTTTTCATTTATATCTTTTTGGCTTGTGTACTCTGTATGATTGGCATTAGTCTGAGATGTTTTGAGTTTTGAATTGCTACAAGCTTGCTCTTGTTTGGTTTGAATTTGTTTAGTATAATTTTTCGCATAATGAGTCTGCCTAATATGTTGGTGAACCAAATGGTGCTCTTTGCACCCTTGGTGGTTGATTTTCATGCATAGCCAAAGTTTGAATACTTTTTGTGTGGACATTGGGAAGAAGTTGGAGGAACTAAGCAATTTCCCCAGTACTTTGCTTTTAGCTTGGAGAAGAGGATAAAGCCAAGGCACATGGAGGTTGTGTAGAGTTGAGTGGAAGTGCCTTGCCATTGATACTCAAGAGCACTGACGATGAGTTTAGGGAGTTGTTGACAGAATTTGAGGGTGGATGAGATAGTATTGCCAAATTTTCCTCTTTTTCCTCTTCTTACCAATCTTCTGACTCTCTACTCTAATTTTCATTTCAAAAGCTCATCTTCGATAAGATGTCTTAGATTGTGTATTTGCATCATGCCCTGTAGAAACTTGAAAGGTATAACAGCAGTTTGGATAATTTTAACAGCTGTTTATGAAATTTTGTTGGCCAAAGGTCCAAGTGGCAACTCACTTTGCTATTTTACTTGAGCTTTGGCTCAAGAGATGAAAAGCCCTCCGTCCTCAACTAACTTTGCAAATATACGAAAAATACAAAAATAACAACAACAAAGCACCAACATGCATGTCGGTACAAAAGTCATCATCAACAAGCACCAACTCTTATATACTCTTCACTTCCAGGACCAAATCGATTTCCTGGCATGGTCACTATGTCTGTTGTTTCAGAAATTTCATTGAATATATATGTTTCCTTATTTTAGGTTGGGTAGGCCGATTGAAAGAGTTTTTGGGTCCTTCTTTAATTGAGTGTTCGGGCATGCCACCACCAAGTCACGAATTTGGCTTGAAGGGAATGTGAGCGGATGATGCATCCAATATATATCTTTAATCAAATGATTATTCCACGAAGCAAGGAACCTGCCCATCCTAAGTAGCTTTATGTGACAAACCAAGTGATGTGACGTGGATAGAAATGAAGACTGACTAAGAAATGTGGATGAAATAAAGAACAAGTGCATAAATTGTAAAGGTTCTTGAATTTAAATGGAATTGAAAGGACGAGTATGATAATTAAATTGTGTAAAGTAAATTATGGAAATTAAAGTGTATAAAATAAATAATTTAAAGACTAAGTGCGTAATGTAAATTGAGTAAAATAAATAACAATTTACTCTTTTCTTAGGATAGGAATTGAAAATTATGTAAAATGACAAGTTGTGTGTTGTGTCGGGACTCCTTTCTCTCTTTTATAGCTTGGTATTTATAAGGGCTACAACACAATTCAATTTTGCTGATCATCAATTGGCCTTGAAATTGGTCATAATTTCCTCCTTGATAAATAACATTAATTTTGGTTGATTGCATCAATTACCTTGATTTATGCTTGTGGTTTAATTTGAATAATTATTTTGATTTGATCTTCATTCCATTTTGAGCTCTCCCACATTAACTTTGGTTGACCATCGCGTTGGCATAATTCACTTGGATTGTAACATGTGTGAAAATTCTCCTACGGATGCTCTCTTCTCATTTAAGTCTCGGCTAAATTTATGCATTCAACCACTTTTAGTACTTGTTTGGTATTGCTTATTTGGGGTGATCAATGATTTTGAAAAAAATTTGGGAGGCCCAGCCCGTTTGATAAAATGTGAGAAAATCACTTCTTGTTAAAAATTGTTGTGAGCGAAAGCTATAAAAGAAAGCAGCTAATGAGATACTTTCATTTTCTGATTATACAGGAATTAGTTTCGAAGAGGCACTAGGTTTAGTGTTTATGCAGCAATCATTTTCTGATTATGCGGAAATCAATACCAACAACACTTTTAACAAAAAGTTTATCAAACGCCAAGCTGATTTCTCTCACAGCAAATCTAATAGCACGACAATACCAAACTGGCTCTTAGTCATTCAACCACTTTTGTGCTCTTCGCATTTAGGTGCTCGGCCAATTTTACATGCTTGTCCACATTTACATGTTCGACCGCATTTACCTGCTTAACCGCTTTTATTAATTTTGGGCCTCTAGTCATTCTTGTTGATTTGGGGTCACTCAAGCTCAAATGGTGACCTCCTTTGGATCTTGGGTCTAACCTGATAGATTTCAACTAGCCTCAAACAACATCCCAATAACTCAACCATGGAAAATGTACCCATATATAAGGTGCATTTTCCTCCCAACCACTGTGTTTATTCTTCTGCATTAATTTTTGACAAATGGGTTTTCTCCCCAACCCCGCATAATGGGCTTATAGCCTGTCCAAGCCCCAATTTTAAAAATTGAGAGGTTCGGAGTATCCAACCGTGAAGAACTCGCAAAACCCAAAACCCTAGATCTGCGACTGACAGCAGCTCATCAGGTGAATCAGGTCTCTGAGACTCACTAAAATCCTAAAACCCTAACCCTTCCACTCTTCTCTCATGGCCGAAGCCGAATTCCAAAGAGAAAACTCCGTCACCGAGACGGATTCCGCCGGCCGTTCCGTCATCCAGGATCCCGCCCAGACTGCTCAGGCGGGTCTTGGCGCAGACGAAAAGAAAGACATGCTCGAAGTTTTGAAAGGTGACCTCTCAAGACTAGAAGGGAAAGTTAATGAGTTGGACAAAAAAGTAATCACCAATGATGAGAAGATTGATACTCTGGTCGGCTTGGTGGAGGCAAGGAAGCGATGATGTTACGCGAGCTTTCTTTGTGAAGAACTGTAATGACGATCGAGGCTCGTTCTTGTGGTGGTGTGAAGTATTTTTATGGAATTGGCATGCCCTTCTAAACATGTGCGTTTGTGGATCAGCGTAAGAATTTTTTAGGAAATCCATGATTTCATATACAATGGCTACTAATCCCTTGGATTGTTATGAAATTTGATTGTGTCCTGTTATTTGGATTTTCTGTTGGTTATTGTTTTGTTGCTGTTCTTTCTGGTCCTGTTATTCTGCATTTGGATATTCTGTTGGTTGTTGTTGTTCTTTTCGGTGGGATTCTGATGTTTGTGTTCATGGGAATCTTTTAAAAATACAGTATTCTAAGTCCAGGGATGATCTTCTGGTGATCTTATGGTTGGTTTGGGAAAAATATTTGCATGTTTTTTATTTCGAAGATTTTCATAGTCTGTTTGGTTGCTGAGAAAAAGGTGGGAAAATCGAGGACTTTAGTGAAAAAATAAGGCGGTTGACCAAAAAAAATATCTATTTGGATAATAGTTGAATTTTGACCTAGGCAGTTTCTCTTTTAGTTCGTTTTGCCAAAGTAGATACAAGCAATCCTCTATATTGAGGGAGGGTGTTTTCTTTAGTATGCTCCCTCTATATGGAGTTCCAAACACCAGTGTTAGCTGTTATAAGCGGTGCTTCTGGCACAATTGAGCATCATCCTTCTTCATTATATGGGATTGCACCATTATCAGGTTTTTCAGTTTTGGATAACAACCTAGATTAAATCTTAGGGTTGCGCCCGTAACTGAAAACATTCTAAAAATCTGTTCTAGGGTTGCATGGAATTTGGGTAAGAATTTTTATGGAATAAATGTTGTTGAACATTTTTATGGAATTAGCCTGCCTTCTAAACATGTGCATTTGTGCATCAGTGTAATCTATGATTTCATATACAATGGCTACTAATTCCTTGGATTGTTATGAAATTTGATTGTGTCCTGTTATTCTGCCTTTGGATTTTCTGTTGGTTGTTGTTCTTTTTGGCAGGATTCTGATGTTTGTGTTCATGGGAATCTTTTAAAAATATTGTATTCTTCAAGCCCAGGAATGACCTTGTGGTGATTTTACGGTTGGTTAGGGAACAATATTTGCGTGTTTTTGTTTTCGAAGATTTTCATAGTCTGTTTGGTTGCTGAGAAAAAGGTGGGAAAACCAAGGACTTTAGTGAAGAAATGAGGCGGTTGACCAAATTTTTATTTATTTTATATATATATATATATATCTATTTGGAGGATAGTTGAATTTTGACCTAGGCAGTCTCTATTTTAGCTCCATTTTGTCAAAGTAGGTAAGAGCTCTCCTCTATCTTGAGGGAGGGTCTTTTGTTTGGCGTGCTCCCTCTATATGGAGTTCCAAATATTAGCGTTAGCAGTTATAAGTGGTGCTTCTGGTACAATTGAGCATCATCCTATTTCATTAAGATGGGATTGTACCCTTATAAGGTTTTTCAGTTTTGGATGACAACCTAGATTAAATTTTAGGGTTGCACCCGTGATTGAAAACATTCTAAAAGTCTCTTCTTGGGTTGCATGGAATTTGTGGAAGAAACGTGTGTAAAAGATCTCACACTAAATGACACCATGCATAATATCATCTTCTTGCACTTTGGCGTTTCCTTGCTTTAGCTAATTCCATGTCTTTGTAGCAGCTCAAAAGGCCCCTTTTCCTTTGTGTTTCTCTAGGCTGGTGCATGCATTTGCCTTTCTGTTCAAACTGAACCATATATTTTGTTGTGTTCTATTAAATCGTGACTTGCTTTGTATTTGGCTGTCTGCTAGTTCTGCACTAGTTTAAAAATAATTTTTATATAGTTTGTGTCCTTAATTTTCCCAAAAAATAATTTAGGGGCTCAGTTCTCAACTGTTAGGAGGCAAAAACAACAGTTTGCTCATAATTTTAACAAGAAGGATAAATTAATAGTAATACTAGACGCCACTTTGTTTACTTTAGTTTTCTAATAGTCATTGTATTCCAGCATTGCAATTCTCTTTCTCAAGTTTCTCCCCTCATCTCATCACTTTGAAAAGAGCTGACAAAGCTTCTTGTCTTGATAATATGGTCATGTGCTGTTCTTGACATGCTGTCTTCTCGTTTCACCTGTACCTGTAAACGCATTGGTCTTTCAGCGCCACAACAGCTTCAGTACTTGCTGCACAATCCAAGCCCTGCAAGCATTTCCATTTTAAAACCCTCGTACCGTAATCCAAGCCATCCCGATTAATTCTGTTACATGTGCTCATGATTTGCACTTGCAAGTTAAACCAATCCAGTAAACCCCGAAAATAAACAAGACAAAGAAGAAAATTTTCTGTAGCAAAGCAACTTAGAAAAAATCGATTTTTTACAAGAACAATAACAATTTACGTTTTCAACCCGTCCATCTACCAAAATAATTTGAAATTCTAGAGGGATTCTAAGAGTCGATTTTGATATGAAGTAGCGGTGCGTACCGATCGATTTTTGGATAAAATGGAGGGGTCAAAAAATATAAAACAAAAGTATACGATTGAGTACATTTGAAACAAAATAAGCACGATAACAGATTAAAAGACTTCTAAAACAAAATTATCATATTTCGCATAACATATAGTGCAATGCAAACAACATATGAAGCACATAAGAACCAATAATATTATGGAAAAATCTAAGAACTTGTTAATGATACTTTTTCTGAAAAAGAAAATTAAAAACATGAAAATACACAAGAAATTAGGAGTAAATATTAATTAGGCTTATTAATAAATTTGAATATTGAATAAGTATACTTAACATAACCAGTTTGGTTCAATGTGAATCAATTTTTTAACGCAAAATTGGCATGGAAACCAGTCTACTACGTTGATGTTTGATTTTCAAACCTAGGTTGACTTTTTTATAAAAATATTTATCAACATAGTTTTTCAGTTAGTTTGGTTTGGTTCACAGGTTCTCACCAGTTCTAATGCCCACCTCGACAAGAAACTGGGCCAAAACAAACTTACAAATAAGCAATAGATTGAAGGAAACCGAAAATAGAAAAATAACTAAAAGCACGAAAAAGAAAGAGAAGTACACTCATTCCTCTTCCTCTTGTTTCGCGAATGAACATTGACCCAAAACATTAATAAGCATGTTATCTTGACAACTCGTTACGGACCGGACCCAACTGAAATACCATTTTCTGTACGTGTTCGTGACAAGAAACCATGTTAGAAAGGCAGAGTACAAATTTGGTACAATCTCAAGCTTTAGCAAATATGAAACTGAAGCATTTGTAAATAATTTAATCATCATTTCGGAGCTGCTGAAGAAACTATAACAAGAAAGAAGGCCAGAAGGTTCAAGGTGCCATGTTGAATGAGGACAAATACAATACAGTACAACTATAGAATATCAGAATATGAAGGGCAGAAAGGTTGTTGAATTGGCTTGCATGGGAAAACTGCAGTAAAATTTACCGCTCCCAAACAAGATGAGACAAAACACAACAAAATCCAATTGCAACATTGAAGAGAATATCAAATGCAAATAGAAGTACTTTAATTCTTGCTATCCATTAGCTGCTAGTTACTCCACCATGGATATCCATATCCTACTTAGTAAAAGCATTCAGTATGCAAACAATTAGAAGGGCAACTCGGCTATTATGTTCAATTGGAAGTTGCCTTCACTATACTATGTATATGTCATCCGACGCAGATACAAAATATCCATATCCTACTTAGTAAAAGCATTCAGTATGCAAACAATTAAAAGGGCAACTCGGCTATTATGTTCAATTGGAAGTTGCCTTCACTACACTATGCATATGTAGTCCAGGCTGCTGCTACCTGAGATAAAACAAACAAAAAGCAATATTAAAATTAAAATAAACAAATGAAAACTAAAAACTAAAATTGAAATGGTTATCAAACGGGCCCTAAGTTTTCCAGATTTCAGTAGGATTTCTAGTTTCCTAATTTATTTGGATTAGGATTTCTTTCCTAAAAGTATTAATTTCCTTTCAATTTAGGGTTATATTATTGTAAATACTAAATACCCCTTTGTAATTCATTAGAGGAGACTTTGAGTTATTGAGGGGTGTATTCAATCCATATAAAACCTTCTGTAGACCTTTCTAAGTGACTTTCATAAACTTCACAGGATTTTAATGACTTTTAAGTGACATATTTTATATAGATTTTCATAAACAGTAATCTATAATCTCTCAAGCACAAAACAAACAACCCTCAGTAATAGATAAAAATCAAATAGACCCACAAACAATAGAAATAGAATCCAATAACACATCTGGCTTTTATTTATAAGACTCTGTATTTCTTATACTACAACACAAAACATGACAATGAATTCATGGGCAGGATCATCACTCCGACTAAAGAATCTGTAACAATGATGCATATGCCTTTATTTAGATGTTATGTTGAGATTTTTTTTTTTGAACAAGAATGTAATCCACAACCAAACTTGCATGGAACATAACAAATACCTATAAAAACCAGAGTACTTGGCCCCCCACAAAAGTCACCATATCATACTTGTCTCAATTCTACATGAATTACACATATTTTATGTCAGAAGCTGACTATGGCAAACAACTAAAATGACACTCGAACATCAAGCAATGCCATAAGTTGAGAAATGAACTTCGGGTAGCCTAGCCACGTATTGTGCTAAGATTGACGAGGAATCAATTTCAAAACAAAAGAATTCAAATATAGAAAGAAATAACAAAAAGGAAATGAGAGACAGGGAGAAGTGGCAATTCTAACACACAGGAAAAATCATATGACCGAGACTATGTTTAAGATACATACCGTATCATTTATCTTGGAAGCTGCTTAGCATACGATCCAATTTCTCTGAGAATGCATCATTCCGAGCACCAATTTGAGTTATTTTTTTGTCAACATCAAGCACCTTTGCTTGCAGTTGCAGAGGTGCTATCTCTGATTCTCGAACGATATTTGCCAACAAATCTGGACGGTCACGTCGGAAGTGACCGGATTTGTGTCTGTAATCAGCAACTTCAGATTTCACAAAGCCCTAATAATAAAATGGGTTAAAGTACTGCAAATTCTTAATTAAAATTTCAGAAAAAAAGATATTCAAAGCTTACATATTGTTCAAGCTCTCTGTCAAAATCGAAGTAAGCCAATTGCCCAAAGTGGCCATTGCTGATGACTTTTTTCAGATTTGATTTGCTAGCCATGGTGAAAGTTTCATCAGTTTTCCATGTCAACGCTCCCAAAATTCCATCAGTGACAACGGCATAGAGATTCTGGACTAAGCCACGCCTGGATGCTCTACGAACCTTGGCCTTAAGTGCTTGGTGACATTTTAGAATCTTCAATTTGTCAGCCATGCGAGCAAGTTCAGGGATCTTGGTGATTGCATCCTTGAACGCGCGGTCTTTTGTTTCCAGTACTACCTCAGCAACAGCTTCCAGTTCAAGCATATTCTTTTTATAGTAAGCCATCCGCTCTACAGATCCAGGATCTACAGATCCAGGATCCAGCTCTGTAGCCTCTTTAACACTAGCAAGCATCATTTCGGTAGTAGCCCGGTCTTTGCTGACGGCTATAGCGACTTCGATTTCAACCGCCACTGTAGAGGCGTCGATTTCAAAGGAGGCTCTAGCAGCATCGGCGGAGGCTGCGATTTCGACGCCGGCCGGCGAATCGCCGCGTTTACGTTTTTCTGCGGTACGTTTTGGGGCGGCTGTAGCGGCGGTGTCTGTGGCGGCATCCATTTCAACGGCGGTTGTAGCGGCGGTAGCTGTGGCGGCTGGCAATTCACGTTGTGCGTTCATGTAGTCGTCAAATTCATGGAGCAGGTCCATTAGGTTTCGATGGACGATATTGAATTTTGAAATGCGGTGCCTTTTTTTGGGTCTGATGAAACGGGGTGTTTGATGAAATGGGGTGTTTGATGGTTTATTCGGTATTTTGTGAATTTTCTATTGGTTCGCCAAACTCTCCCGCTCTTTAGGGTTTTTGAATTTTAAGCTGAAAAATGTCTTTTTTAATGTTATTTAGATTTGTTTTGAAGAACCTACTAGAATCCCAAACTGGAAAAATTGGAGCTCTGTTTTAACACTCTCGCCCTCGACAATTGGTCTTTTTTTTATTTTATTTTATAATTGTTTTAAACTAAAAAGGTGTTAATTTCCTGTATTATCTTCATTTAATGAAGAGTTATTTAATTAACGCCTTTGAAATTTTCGATGTTTTCACAAAACTTCATGATGTTTCAAAGATTACACACACACTCCCTTAGGTCTTAAATTGTTTTCACAAAACTCATTTTTATTGATGTTTTGTCCAAATATTAATGATTTTATATAATATAAAACAAACTTATTCAAATGACATACTTAGGCTTTGAGATTAAATTGCACATACATTTATTGAGGTTCATTTGTTATTTACAAAAGTTTTTATGTATGAAATCATCAAATTTTGGATGAAGAATTAATGAAAGTGGGTTTTGTGAAAACAAATTGAAATCTCAAAAGGGGTGTTCGTGTGATTTTAGAAACCTCGGGGGGTTTGTGAAAACACTAAAAACCTCGTGGGTATGCTTATGTAAATGACCCTTTAATGAATGATTTCATTTCTTAATATTTTCATGGGTTTTTAGGTCTAATGGTCCCTAAACTTTGACCCGATTTGCATTTTGGTCCCTCAATTTCCAAAATCATTCTCGTGGTCCTTTAATTTCACTTTCGTTAGGACAAATGGTCATGCCATCAATTTTGTTATCTTTTTTGTTAAATGTGGGGGTAAAATTATATTTTTATATTATTTTTAATCCACCATATGAATATTTCTTTCACCAGAAAAATAAAAACTGAAAAACTTTCTTCCTACCCTCATCATCGCAGGGAGGGTGGGTATGCTGTGGGTAGGGGTGTGGATTGTGGGAGAGCCATTAGTTGTTGTCAAGATGGTGGGTTAATTGGCTCGATGTCGGGTGGAGGTTGTCCATAGTTTTGTTGGAATATTCATATGGTGGAAATTAAAAATAATACAAAAATACCATTTTGCCCCTGCATTTAACATAAAAAATTAACAAAAATGTCATTTGTCCTAACGAAACTAAAGTTGAAGGACCATGGGAACCATATTTTGGAAATTGAGGGATCAAAATGTGAATCATGTGAAAATTCAGGGATCATTGAACCTAAAAATCCTATTTTCATAGTATTTTACGAATGAACATTAATAAGCATGTTCTTATCGTGTCAACTCATTATGCAACCAACTCAACCACTTAATTTTTCTGTTCGTGTTTGTAACATGAAATCATGTCAGTTGGTCAAAGTACAAATTTGGTAGAGTCTCAAAAAGTTTAACAAATATAAATTGTAACTTTTGTAAATAATTCAATCATCTTCTGGAGAGTGCAAGAAACTATAAAACGAAAGAAAGCCAGAAGGTTCAAGGTGCCATGTTGAATGAGGACAAATACAATTATACAAGTCACAAACAACAATGGTCTGAGAAGAAAACAAATCTTATGAACAATGCAATACAGTTCAATTAGGATTTTCCTTATCAGCACCAAATAATTGTCCAATCCCAATTCATCTCATGAACCAATAAAGTTCTCCAGGAAGATGGTCATTCTTGCTCCAAGTACCTGTCAACTGGGTTCAAATATTTATGAAATAATTCAAGTTAAAAATAGTTTTTAGCCTTTTTGAAGCTTCTAATATACTTTCTCTGTGGGCAAAAGCACCAACTCTGATGTACTCTTCACCTCCAGGACCAAATCCCTTTCCTGGTATGGTCACTATGTCTGTCTTTTCAAGAATTTCATTGAATACACCCCAAGAACTCAACCCTGGAAAATGTACCCATATATAAGGTGCATTTTTGCCACCATACACCTTCAACCCAAGTGATCTGAATGTGTCCACAATTATTTTTGCATTTTCTTTGTAGTAGTCAACCACTGTGGTTATGGCCTGAAAATGTAAAAAGCACAACTTACAAACGGTTAAAATTTGAAACTGCATTGGATTTTAACTTACTAGAGAATTAATGGATGCTTGGAAAAGAAATGGGGTGTAAATTATAACCTGGTAACCTTCTGCAGAAAGGCATGCTAGCCCTCCAGCCTGGGCAATATTTGATGCACCATTGAAGCAGGTGCACACTATGCGGTTATAGTCCTTTATGACAGGAAATCCATTTGCATACAACAACTCATCAGGGACAACCGTCCATCCGAGGCGGACCCCTGTGAACCCAGCAAATTTGGAGAAGGATGAAACTTCAATTGCAACCTGCACACAAAATTGGCCAAAACAACTTCCAGTGAGAATCCCTTTGTATGTCAAGTTTAACAAGAAGGTTTTGTATTGTTAAGCACAAAATGATATATGGTGGTGAGGAGAACTAGTGAGAAACCTCTCTGGCCCCAGGAATTTCATAAATCGATCTCGGGCTGTCATCAGATATATAAGCAGCATAGGAGGAGTCATAAACTATTATTGATCCGTTTGCTTTTGCAAACTCCACCAGTTGCTTTAGTTGCTGCTGTGATGCAGCATTGCCAGTTGGATTGTTTGGAGAGCAGAAAAATATGATATCCGCCCTTGAAGCAGTTGATAGATCAGGGAAAAAATTATTCTCAGGCCTGCAGTTCAGGTACACAATGTTCTTATACTTCCCAGTTTCCTCTTGAAACCTGCCAGCTCGACCGGCAATGACAGTAGAATCTATATATGCCTGTCCCAAAACATAGTAAATCAATAAGGTTCCTAGCAAAAAATTTCAATGGGAAAATAAGGGATGTGTGGTCTCCATGTAGCTTTAATTTAGTATTCCAAGACGTTTATAAACATCAGCTATAACCTTGTTTCTGTAGGCACAAGAGCCAATCTACCATAGTCTCAATGGAAAAAGGAAAATTAATATTGAGAGTGAGATGACACTGATTATTTTCCTTATGTCTCATCCTAATTTAGAACTAAAGAAAGACATATTAGGTTAAGATTTGATTTGATTTATATTTACCGGAAACGAAGGGTCTTGCACAGCTACTGTCACATTGGATCCCAGAAGCATCTGCTTGGGGGAAAAGTCAGAATTAATAACACGCTTTTCATCTTAAAAGCAACCTAAATAGGAACAGATCTTTTTCTTGTTCTACTCTTATCCAATTATGAAAAGCTTTACTGCATAAACGAAGTTTTCGTACCTGAAGGCGAGAAATGTCGCACTGTGCACCATCTGATACAAAAACCTCGTCGCCTTCTATGCCCATATTGTTGTAGAATTTTTCTGCAATTGCCCTTCTTAATTCCTGCACCAAAATTTGATAACCTCTGTTAAATAAAAATAGGTAGATGGACAAACTTAATAATAATCATGGAGAAGAATGGCAACTGCAGAAACATCGTGACCAACATGAAATTTTACTCAAACTACGGGAGTTGTAAGGTATAGTTGATCCTAATTTATAGTATCTTTCCCAAAATGATTCTCTGAAAGAATAAGCAGATACCGAAGTGTGACCATTACACACCCATTAAGCTTTCCTACAAGCAGAATAGTTGCTTCCAGATTGTATGTTGATGACTTTCTTAGAGTGAAGAGGTAGCCATCGCAACAAGGCACTCTACCAGCACAGCAAGAGATGTTTTTTTCCCATTAATTAGAGGAAACTAACAAATTTTTTATATTAAGCACACCTCGCCTAATATAAAAATAAAAAATAAAACAAACGCTCTAAGAAGTTTTTTGAGGGCCACACTATTATGGAAGTCCAAAGAAATCACCAGCCATGTATTGGAGTGAGAGTGACAACAGTATCATCCAAGACACGTGGGAAAATAGACATATGTGGTTCACAATTTGACTTCATCGACCAATGACATGCCACCTAAAGGGTGAGTAAGTCTAGATTCAAAATCAATGTCGTGAATGAGGGCGGCAACCAGGCTACGCAGAAAATAAGGTGGGGAATTGTGGTTAAGAAGAAGAAAGAATAAAAAGAATAAAAATCAGAATGAACACCAAAGATTCCATCGTACCATGTGGCCTTGCTCAGCTCCATACCCTCTGTAACCTTGAACTGTTGATAGAGCATGTGCATGCTGCAAAGTAGACACAGAAACACAAGAGCTTAATATTCGTTGACAAGAAACCAAATGAAAAAAAGATCAGTACAACTTAGTCATCAAGAAAGAAAATGACAAGTTTTTGTTCTTTCTCTGTTTCTTTCAACTCCAACAAAGCAATAAACAGAAAGCAAAAAAGTAAAAGAAATGAAACGAAACGGTCCTAATGGGTGAAGAAAAGCTAGTGAAGATCCACTGCCAAAGAGGTTTGCATATACCAAGGAGTTTTATATCTCTACATCTACAAGTAGGTTATAAAGAGAAGATGTATACGATGAAGACATGCACTCGTCACTACTTTCCCAAATATTGGATTATAGTGGAAATGGAAACTAATGATAAAAATAAAAGAACAGTTCAACTGGAAAGTAATATCAACAGGACCAGCATACTATTATTTGTATTTGTGTTGTCAGGCATTCGCTCAAGTGGTAAGGCATGGTGCTGTTTGAAAAGGTTTTAGATTCAAATTTTACTCAGATGAAAAATTACGTACAACAATCTGAGATCCACAAAATTACCTCAGCCATAGAAGATGTGATTATGTCTGGTATAGGTTCTGTAGTATTACCAACACCAAGTCTTATTAATCTTGCATGTGGGTACTTCTGAGTATGCACAAACTCGCGCATGAATATCTGGATAAGCGGCCACAAGGTATGTAGAAAAATTAGCACTCAAATGGTTAAGTCACACAACCAAAAGATAATTTTGTTATCACAAATAACAAGAGTTCCAAGTTCCAACCAGGTGGAATAAGGTTTGATGCTACTCATGAGGATGCTGTAAATTCCCATTCCAAAACAAGAAATCTTAAAACAATTGGGGTTTGTGGAACACCAATCCAGACAATTAGTTTGAGACAAACTGCATGATATAAAGTGATAGGAGGGCCAAAGTTCATAATCAAGATATCAGAAGCTGCTGACCTCCGGAAACAGATATTCATTTTGCAGGTTCTCCATATTGACACTGCGTGAGACTTTTGTGCAATGACCTGTGATTGCATTGCATTGCTTATTAGTTGCTTAGTCATTTGTGACACATGAAAACAATTTTGCATAACGATGTCGATAACATGAACATATATAATTAGTACACCAACATTTTCCAAGTTGCAGAAATGATGAGTAAAGTTTTTAGATTGTAATAACTTACCAACTCTCATCTCATTTCCAGACGTTGAACTGTAAATAATCCATAAAACAATAATGCAACTGAATGAGTTCATTACATAAAACATGGCCCAAAAGAAACAAAAAAAGAAAACATCAGTGAACAATTTATGCATCTATTAACAATGTATAACCTGGTCCAGATTGTTTTAGGTTGTGATGAAATGCAAGAAGGCATGCAAATACGTGATGACAGTTGAAGATAATGCATCATGAATATCAACACAGAGGAATAGTGGTATATTCGAGTATGGTACTACGAACTGCATTAACAACAATATATATAGTCGAGCTCGAGGGTGAGTTTCCACACACAAACATGCCTCATAGCCCTTAAAAAGCCTTCTGCACCTCTGATCATTTCTAAGCTAGTTCCCAGATGCAAACAAACGTAAAATGAAGCTACTCATGACAGCCATCAGGATCATGATTGTTTGCATTATTTTCGATACAGCTTCTTGGACAATGATGTCTTTGGATGTCTCGATACAATGAACTTGTACATAAGTTTGACTGAACGTACCATTTTTTCCAAATCGATTGGTATGGAATTACAATGTAATGTCTACAAAAAGCTCCAAACACAAAGAAAAGTCATGGGGCCACGTGTTAGTTGGAATCTAGATTGTACAGTACCTTGATATAAATCAAAACCAGAAGCCATTTACGTGACACAAAAAAATTTGTACGTACGATGTTGTGGGAACTGACTTGACTGCTACAGAACCTTTCAGTAATTTGGATGGCTTGAACATTATTTTCGATCATGATAATAAATGACTAGTACGTTGCTCAAACTAAAGCATTTAGCATGGTCTCGAGAAGTAAATGAAACGTACACACTTGAGAAGCATATTTAATATGTGGTGCCTCTTCATAGTCTTTAGGTAAGATTGTTTTACAAGAAAATAGTACCTTGACTCGACGAGTAAATTTCGTACCAAGTAGTCCTGCAATGCAGGTAAAGTTGAGAGAAATTTGAATCTTCTGGTGTGGAATTCCACACCATCTGGACTTGGAAAGTTCTCATCTTCACCAAACCCAGAAGGCTCAATCAGCATCAGCAGATAGTGGAGGGACTTTCCTTTGACACCTACAGCACCATAGACAGAACAAAAAAACCATACAATTAAAGTTGGACCCTCAAACTAAACACAATGTCTCCAGCTGTGTAGATGGGTTTCATAATACCAGGAATATGCTGCAAGAAATTTGAGACCTCTGTGAATTGCTATCAAATTTCTTAGAAAGGTCAGCCATTCATGAATTATTGGAATTTGGGACACTCACATAAGCACGAAAAGGAAAGTTGTGGAAGCAAAGATGGCAGCATCTAATTAAAAGCATTTCGATAGAATTAACGAAACAAGTTAAGGTGGTGTTACCAATTTGCTTATATATTCTGTGGTTTAATGAAAAATCAATTATGTCATTCGCTTATATTATAACATGTAGATTAGTCACACTACTTGACGTTATCACCGCTGCACTCAACAATTTCTCACGACTTAGGATACTTCATATTCACTTTCCTTAAGCTATTCTAAAAACTTAGAAGATTTAAAACTTACAGGAGAAAAAAAAAGATTTATAAATTCTATGATCCTAAAATTTTAGGGTGGTGATTTTCCCACTCCCCTTCCATCCACCTACACTCCTTTTTATTTTTTAATACTTTTTACTATAAGATAAAAAGGAGTGTAAGTAAACAAAAGATGAGTGAGAACATAAAATTTTAAAAAAAATGGAGTGTAAGTAGATAAAAGGGGAGTGAGAAAATCAGTACCCAAATTTTTTCATCTATTTCATCTGTACAAAATGAAATGACGTGGCATGATCCGTGAGTCAAATCATGGCAAATCGACGGTCAGTATGGTGGAGCTCAGTATGTTTACCCTACACTTGTTCACGTCATATCTATTTTAATTATCAATTTCTCACTGCCCCTCTTTCGTCTCTCTCCCTCTCTGAAAAAACCCTAATTCAACACAACAGAGTCTCAACACAAGACAAGCAAAAGGGAAGCAATCCATATCATTCGGATTGGATTAGCCGCTGGTTAACGAACTCTTCAGCTCCTCGCTTTTTAAAAAATCAGCTTTTGACCCTCACTGCAGTCATGTCTGCTGGATCAGGTCAACTTCACTTCTCTCTCTCTCTCTCTCTCTATATATATATATATGTATGTATTCATGTATGTATCTATGTATGTAAGCTGTGGTTAAGCTGACTTTCAGTAATATATGTTTGTTCTGGATATTTTTATTGTGAAAACTCTTTTAATCTCCATTGACCAAACCAAAACATAAATAAAAGATTATGTTAATCTCCATAATTTTTGAAACCCTAAATTCAAATGATAACAGTAGACACTGAATTTGGTAATGAAAAGTTGGGTTTGTGATTGAAGTTGCTAATTGATCAAAGTCACCTCCCAAAACAAGAAGCTTAGGAAAGTAGGACAACCACAATCACACACATTTCACTCTTCAATCAATATGGACAGTAGTGGCACGAAAATAAAGAAAGGAAAAGATGAAACTGTATTCAACAAAATGCGTAGACATTAGGATTTTAATGCATTTAGGGATGCCCATATTGTATTTCTCAGGGGCCATGATTTGTCAAAATAGAGAAGCTGCCGTAGCAAGCTGTTCGATATAATTCCTGGACACACTGGTTATAGTTTTTTCCCCTTAAGAACTGGGGTAGGAGTTCCTTCCTGATAGACTGTAATTAGGCCCTTGTTTTCTGGAAAGCAAAACATCTTTGAACCTCGTCCAGCTTGTCAATAACTTAGACACCAGGGAAATTTGTGTCGCTCATCTCCCTGCTAATTTGGTTTGGTTGCTTGAATAAAAGCTAAAATGTACTAGTTTGGTCCTCCTATAAACAATTTTTCTGCTTTTCCCAAAAAAAAATTCTCCTTTTTACTCTTCATTGGATTTCTGTCATAGGATACACATACATATATACTGTTATGGTTTTTTGGCCTACGTAAGGATCTTGAAATTGTGTGTTTCAAATTACGACCTTCCATTGTCATTTTTTTTTTTTTTTTTTTTTTTTTTTTTTTTTTTTCAGGTGTCATTAGATTTTAGATTTCAGTGTGATGTTTTGTAATGTTCTAAGAGCAAGTAGAAGCTTTTATCTTTCTAGTAAGGCCTTCCATCTTCCCACTGTAATAATTGGTAGTGTTTCTTATTCAGGAATCTTCAGTACTATGAGAGAAGTCAAGGTAAAAGGTGTGTCTAGTTTGTGTACTCTTGATTCCAATGGAGAATCTCACATCCTACAATCTGAATTAGCTAGTGACAGCCAGAGAAATTCATCCTTGAACGTGCAATTCACTCCTGAAATTGAAAAGAAGTATGTTCATCATGTTTATGATGCTATTGCGCCCCATTTCAGTTCTACTCGGTTTGCTAAGTGGCCAAAAAGTAGCCAATTTTTTATCTTCCTTACCTTCAGGATCTCTTGTCCTGGATGCAGGATGTGGAAATGGGAAGTACTTGGGATTTAATCCTGATTGTTTTTTCATCGGTTGTGATATAAGTGCCCCTCTTATCAAAATTTGTGCAGATAGAGGGCATGAAGTGTTGGTTGCAGACGCTGTAGATCTGCCATATAGAACTGGTTTTGGTGATGCGGCTATCTCTATAGCTGTATTACATCATCTAAGTACAGAGGGTAGGAGGAAAAAGGCAATAGAAGAGTTGATCCGAGTTGTGAAAAAGGGTGGCCTAGTTCTAATAACAGTTTGGGCTGTAGAACAAGAAGATAAATCACTACTTGCCAAATGGACTCCACTTACCCAAAAGTATGGGGAAGAGTGGATAGGTCCTGGTAGTCCACGTGTTCGTAGCCCTTCATCCTGCACATTGGAAAGCATTCCAGAAACAGAGGAGAATGGTTTTGGAGAGCGTAAGAAAGATTCCGGCCAGAGTTATATGCAGAGTTTGCAGGAAATAACCTCTCAAAGTGAAAGTTATTCAGGGGCTTCTACTGATGTAAAAAATGCAAATAATCAACAAGAATATTTCGTCCCCTGGCACTTACCATATCATCGTGCTGAAGTAAGTGGTGCTTCTGCTTGTGCTCTTGCAAATGGCCTTGCAAAGAAAGATGATAAGAAGGGTGCCGTAGTGTATAACAGATACTACCATGTTTTCAGTGAAGGCGAGCTTGAAAGGTAACGTGTCATTTTCTTTCTGTTTCCATTTATAATATTTTCCATTTGCTCTGTGTTCCAATCAGTTAATGCTTTTCCAAATTAAGACGTGTCTAGTGCCTATTAGGACAGAATTTGCATTTGTGTGTAAATTTTTCATTTACCTAGTCTTATACATGTCTAGTGCCTATTAGGACAGAATTTTGATGCATCTATGCATATGGATTTCTTATCACAGCTGGATCGTTTAGAGCAGTACTTAATGTGTTGGAATTGTAGGAGTTGTTTAACAAACCGAGTTTTCCCCAGCACAATGATGACACCTATGAATCAAGAAATGGTCCAAATTTTTCACTCATTAAAAAATATATATATTTTTTAAATTTCTTAAAGGTGCTTCTAATGTAGAAAACGGGTAAGAATTGGAATGATAGGTACTCAAATAGACGTACATAGTTATGAAACTTGGCTTATAAACTTATTGATCTATGTGGGGCTAACATGTCACCCAACTTGTTAACTTTGTGCCTGAAAGGTGAGCTACTGCTTGTATGATTAGGGATGCAGTGGCTCGAAGTCGCATTCTACTGTCATATTGTCATACTGGGTGACAAAACCGTTCATGGCAGAAGTAAAGAGGCCAACCTTCACAGTGGTCCAGCCTTCCCTGTGGGAAGACGAGGCTCAATCATGATGGTAGGCCACTTCTAAGTTAGAGCAGAATCCTTTGATGGCAGTGGTTAAGAAATTCAAAAAAGTTGGAGGTTGTAGTCACTTAAGTTAGCTTCACACTGCTGCCCAGTTGCTTTAAAGATAGGAGACTTTAAGAGATTAGGTTCAGACTTTAGACAGTGTATCTTTCGAATGCCAATAAGGCAATACATAAAAAGAAACTGCCAAAGAAGAGCTTTTGTTTGGTAGCTTTTTGTTTTTTTTTCCCTGCTTTTTTTTTAATTAAGGAGAGGAGAGAAAAGGGAGAAAGTAGAGAGGAAGAAGATAAATGAGGATTAAAAAGAAGATAGGCAAAAGACGCGAGGAAGAGGAAAGATAGAAGAGTATACCTAAAAACTAAGCAAAAACCTTACTGGAGGGATATTAAATTGGGAGATTTACTAATATACCCAATATGGGAGTCCAAATTATAAAAATACCCCATATAAAATGAACTTTATAAACACACCCAAAACTCATTTACCCAAAACACTCAATAGGGCATTAAAGTAATTTAATAATCAATATTAAATTCAATAAGGTCAGCTATCATTTTTGGGGTTTTTTTTGGGTTTGTTTATAGAAATTCAATGATTGAGGGTTTATCTATAATATTAGTACTAAGAATGGGTATATCACTAAATATCTCTATTAAATTTATGGGGTCAGTTCTTAATGTTCTGACAATCTAACTTTTAAGTGATGACCTACTTTTTCAGCTCATTTACTTATTGCTGTCTTAAAATGCAGGTTGGTAGCTGGTATTGATAATGCTGTAATTGTTGATAGATTTTTTGACAAATCCAACTGGTGCATTGTCCTGGAGAAAAAACTATGAAAAGCCAAACAACCGAACCTTGCGGGGGCATGGAAAAACTTAATGTAAACCATAAGCTCTGCAGCCTGGAACAGCAAATGTGCGGCTGGTGTTGGACAAAATCCATTCAACTTGTTTCCAGTGTGCCATGGAAAAACTGCTTTTTGATTGTGAGGAATTGCTTTTGAATTATACAAGCCTTTATTAGAGGTAGTTGACTGCAACTGTAGTGGTCAGCTATTGTTCTGTGCCACATGCAAAAGAGAGAGCATCAAATATTATTTTGATTTATTGCTCGTCTGGTGTGGCATTAAATAGCTCTTTACACACAATAAGAAGCCTACCTAACGCAAGAACAACCAGACAATAATTGTCTTATAGTGATCAATCGTCCAATTTCACTGTACAATTTATCCCTTTTTTCTGTCAATACTGTACAATTTATCCCTCTAAAGTAGAAAGAGTTTCATGAAACTAGGATATCATTATTTTTCTATTCTTGACTAATAACATTTTGACATGCGTGATAATATTTTTACGTAGTATGGTGGTTGGAGATAACAAAAGTGTTTTTTGGGGTTGGTGAGATGTCTATGCGAAAGTGCTTATGGGCCTGCTGATTTGTTTTTTTAATATATTTTTTTAATACAAGAAATGGTATAAACCATAAAAGGGAGAGGGTTTCTCACGCATATTACCAACGTGCGATAAAAGTTCGAATCTGAGGTTACTGATATGTAAATCAATGCCTTTTTTTACTAGACTAGACTTCGTTGGTGGACTTTCTAATTATTAATATTTGGAATGAGTGGAATTTATAGCTTTTTACAGATTTACGGTGTACAGAGTCATCATAATTAAGTTAGGATAAATGGCATTGTTTTGATTGTGATTGTGTTCATTCAATTGGATATGCTAAACTCGGTTTCTGGGATGGGAGCAATAGAATCCAACATTCTATTTCAATATTTAATTTTTTTGGTCTCCATTTCCTATTGCAATATTTCATGTCTCAGTTCAAACGCATGACACCAGTAATATGTGTATGAGAAGACCTTTTTCCTTCTTCAAGAAGAAATGTGCGTACATAAAAATTAAAATATATATATTAGCTCATCCTAAATTGCGCTTTAAGATAAAACCTCACACTCGAACGGGACAAACGAAAATAACTTAACCTGCCACGTGGCAGGAAAGTACCTAAAAATTCTTATGAATGTAAGTACATGAGTTGAGCCACTGAACCATTCTTTTCCGTCATGAAAAGACATTGAAGGACCTGGACATGAATTAAAAATTGGGAATTTCACTAAAACACCAAAATGGAGTCTGAAATTATAAAAAAACCCAACACCCAAAACACTTTATAAACACAACCAAAACCCATCATTACACACATTCAAAACCTATTTATAAACACACCCAAAAAATATATAATTGTTGATTTTGAGGTTAATTTTGAATGTGTTTATATGTTAAAATAGTGCTTGGGTTTTTTTATAAATACATGTCTAGAATTGAGTTTATTTATAAATTTGTATTAAAAAGTCGCTTGCTGCTACTGGGGTTCTTTCTCTTAAATATTGATGAAGACGTACGGTGCATTAACTTCCAACTTTTCAGCTCACCAAACCCTACACGTTTCACTATTCTGATAAATTAATAATTGTTTTGATGGACAGCTATCCTTTTGTACTTAATTTATACTGTCACATTTATAATTTTCGCTTTTTTTTTTCTTATACAATATCATATAAGATTTTGTGCATTTTATGTTGTGGAAGTGAGTTACCTCCCTCTCTGGTTCACGAATTAATGTTGTGGTTCGTTGTTGAGATGTGGACACTCATATATGATATTGAAACGTGGCACAAGTTGGAAAATCATTATAACCGGCATGAATTAGGACCCTACATTATAACAATGAATTGGCAAATCATTGGAAGAATTTAGCCACGCAGTATAACTTCATGCGTGTCCTCGTGTACTTATATACATTTGGACCACTTGATGACGGAATTTTTCGGATTATGATAAAGTATGATTGTTTAAGCGTCGTATTTGTATACTACAATTGATGTGATTAATTGAGCTGAATTATAAGGATTTGATCTAGTAATATTCAATCTCCTCGTTGAATAAACAACGTATTAATAGCCTCTTTAATAGGAAAATACTTGCTTCCTTTCTTACTTTCTTGTCAATCATTGTTTTACATATGTGTAGAGATTTTTCTTTTTTTAGTTTTCATGAAATTATTTTTGCATATGTGTCAAACTGTGATTTACAGGAAGTAGGAATGCCTCCTTCCAAGGAATAAGGAAAGCGGTGTCCTCTTTAATATTGCAACCTATTCGAGTTAACTCATTCCTTATATAGGATTTTAGCAATAAGCTTATTTTAGCATGATATATTATACAACTACCCATATAAAGCCTATTATAAGGGAAAAATCCAAAACTAAGCCACTTGTCATTTTCTAATTAGTTTTAGAAAAAATTTAACACACTAAAAACCAATTAAAAAATGACAAGTGACTTGTTTTGGGGTTTTCCCTCCAAATAGGCTCTATATAGATAATTGTAAAGTAATTCGTGAAAAACAGAACTAACTATACATAAATCATGTACTTATCTAATCTACGTAAATTAAGGACCTGAAAAGATTAATTTGTAAATTTTGTATTACGTATAGTTCTATAGGGTTACCACAAACTTTCCCTTTTTTTCCTTTTGATGAAATGGGGACCAAAGAACTCCAAAACCAAAATAACTACTCCTTACAGACTAAACGACAAACTTTCCATTTTTCCTTCCTTCTTTTTTTGGACAAATTATAGCTTCCAAATATTGCTATGACAAATAAACAGTGCTTCAATTTTAGGTTAATAACTCGTTGTCTAAACAATTCGTATATTCATTAATCTTGTTTTTACACATTAGTGAAGATATTTTGGTAATTAACTAATTTACTACACATTTAACATATCCAAGTGTTTGCTTATATTTCAATTTCTCATGTTGATTGTTTCCAGCTATACTCTTAGTTATAGCAACGAACTACTCTTTACAGACTAAACTACTTCTCACATACATTGCCAATGGGGTCTAATCTAGTGGAAAATAATATTGACTTGCATATTATTGATCTATATTCAAACCCCATATGACTCCTTGACAGTGTGTGTGAGAAACGCCCTCTTTCAATCGCTTATATATATATATATTTTAAACTATATTTATATAGTTTTTTAAATATTGCGGTTAAGTGTACTTTCTAAAAAGCAAAGATGTCGTGGATACTTCGACCTTACACGTATCAATACATTATCGATACAATTCGTGGATCAAGTTGACTGGACTATATATATATAATATATATATTGTTGGTACATTATTGTGATGAATTTGCTCAAACACGTTCGCCATGTTGGTTGGTTGCCCATGCAGGTACGTTTATTTTGGACGGTTCGATTTAGACATTTCATTGGTTGTTGTTGGTCACTGTTATTCATCTTTGGATTGCCACTCACGACACCCATAACACTCATTATTCTACTAGATTCTATTATATATATAGGATCATATAGGAGCCCAGAAACTCTCTCTCTCTCTCTCTCTCTCTCTCTCTCTCTCTCTCTCTCTCTCTCTCATATGCGTGTGTTTGTCGTTTTTGCAGTATGATGACTCCATCAGTCCATCTGCTTTCCATCTATAAATTTGGGTCCATCGCAGAAAGTATCGTAAACCAACCAAGAAAAGATTATCACTTCAAAATTTAATGTGCATGAACATGCAAATATTGATTACCATTTACTAGTAAGTTGGAAGGGTTTTATGAACGTGTACGGGATACATGTTTAGGTGACGTAAAATACGTACGTGCAACTGTGTTATTGTTGTTTTCTAAAGCCCCATTTGGTTCACGGAACGGATTTAAGAGGAAATTATTTCTCATGTCATTTCCTAAGAGATGAGAAATTAAAGATTCTTTTCCCACGTTTGGTAATGCCAGAAAAGTAACTGGGAGATATCACTTTATTTTTTTCCCATGTTTGTTTTGAGTAGGAATGGAAAACAACGTTTGTATAATTTTCCAATTATACCCATATTAAATAATAAAAGAATACATTTAATGATATATTGTAATTATAAATTGTTAATAGAGACAAAATGATATATGAAAAATGTGCATTTAATATTGGCTCATTTTCCCAAACTTTCCCATGAGGACGGAAAACAAAACTCAAGTTGAGAGGAGGGATTCACTTTTCTCCTTACTTTCCCATGTACCAAGCAACCATTTCCCATGTTTGATGAATAATTGATTTCTCATCCCTAAGCCTCCTTTCCTATGAACCAAACAAGGCGTAAAAGTAAATAATTGAGGTTGATATTAAGTACTTAATATAGGTATGGGGTGTCACAGTTGTTAGAATATGAGGAGCATTCAACTCAAAACCAATTGACAAAGGATGGAGAGAGGCATAAGATCTTTTAAGTTGGCAACTTGACTATTATATCATGTTAGAATGTGATAGCATCCAATTCAAAACCAATAAGCAATTGGAGATGCTCAACATCTTTTAACCTCTTTACTAAGCTTCCATTTCCAATGTGAGACATATTCGAGGTCATATGTTTAATTTTCATGTCCCAAATATCACTTATATTGTGTAAAAATGGTCATATGTGTCACAATATGATAAAATATGTACATGCTAAAGTGTAACTACAGTTTTGTGTAAGTAATATAATTTGTTTGGTTATATTGGAGATCTAGCCTGGTATAAGTTAATCCACCCTCCCTCGTCACTTTTTTTTGGTTGTCAAAGTTAGAAAGGGGGTGTTTTTTTTTCACATGCATCCAATTAATATATTGTGGGGGTTCGAACATGAGATCAGTGAATTGAAAATTTAGTCACCAAATATTAGAGAAATATACAAAATAAATATGGGACAAAATGAGCACACAATTTATTTTTGAAGAGAAAATGAGCCCAGTGTCTTCGATCTTTAATGCAATACTAACACTAAAAATAAAATACAATTTCTAATTTTAAGCACTATATCTATGTTTTATGCTTTATGCCTTTTGGTGCTGAAAATATAATGTATACTTATATCCTAGAGAGTCAATTGAAAACCCATACCTAAACTTTGATAGAATCATAAATGAACGAAACAAGTATAAATAAATTGGTGCATCTATTGCAACAAAAAAAGTAGCAGGCAACCAAAGATGTCTGGAAACCTATGCTCACTAGAAGCTCTTTCCTCTTCCTTCCAAGTCCATAGCAAGCCAAGGGAAACATCCCCTCTAGAATACAAGGCCACCAAGCCCCATGCAAACCACCTAAAATTTCAGAAATTCAATTCCCTTGCTCAGTCAGCAAGGGAGCTTTCAAACAAAGCAATTTTTTTCCACTTTGAGAAGACACTTTTGAAGTCACCTTCCCTGTTTCCTTACTTCATGCTTGTGGCCTTTGAAGCTGGTGGGCTTTTGAGGGCTCTAATTTTGTTTCTTTTAAGCCCTTTTATTTGTTTGGTTGGTGGAGAGCTGGGGCTCAACATCATGGTTTTTTTGTGCTTTTTTGGAATTAGGAAGGAAAAAATGAGAGTTGGGACAGCTGTGCTGCCCAAGTTCTTTTTGGAGGATGTTGGGTGTGAAGGGTTTGATGTGGTGATGAGATGTGGGAAAAAAGTTGGATTTAGTGACTTGCCTAGAGTCATGGTGAAGGATTTTTGAAAGATTTTGTTGGGGTTGATGTTGTTGTTGCAAGAGAACTAAAAGTGGTTGGTGGGTACTTTGTGGGTTTGATGGAGGCAAAAAATACAAACAGTTTGGATTCAAATCTGATTCTTGGAGAGGAAAAGTCAGATTATCAAGCAATTGGTATAATTGGTTGCCACAATGAAAATATGCATGAGCAACTCTTTTCTCATTGCAAGGTTGGTCAATGGTCTTTCATATATATATATATATATATATATATATATATATATATATATATCTCTCTCTCTCTCTATTTGAAACTGTTTTTGGGTTTTGAACATTTTCCTAACAATACCCATGTTATATATTTTTCAGGAGGTTTACTTGGTGACCGAAGCTGAGAAGCGAAGCTGGAAAAGCCTTCCAAGAGAGCAATACCCAGAACCATTGATTTTCCATGATGGAAGATTGGCCTTCAAGCCAACCCAACTTGCCACCTTGGCCATGTTCATGTACATGCCACTAGGAATTTGCCTGTGCATCCTAAGATTCCTTTCTGGCATATTTCTACCTCACAGCATTTGCAGTCCAATCTTGGCCTTCACAGGAACAATAACCACAATTTCAAAACCCAAGTCCTCTATTTCCTCAACAAATGGTGAAGGAGAAAAACAAAGAGGCAGACTCTATGTTTGCAACCACAGAACCTTGCTTGATCCTCTCTATGTTCAATTAGCCACCAACAAATCTCTCACTGCTGTCACTTACAGTTTAAGCACAGTGAATGAGAAAATTTCTCCCATGAAGACTGTCAGATTATCAAGAGACAGAGAGAGAGATGGGAAAAAAATGGAGAAGCTGTTGAGCCAAGGTGACCTAGTGGTTTGCCCAGAAGGAACCACATGCAGAGAGCCTTATCTGTTAAGGTTCAGTCCATTGTTTGCTGAGCTCACAGATAACATTGTTCCTGTGGCCATAGATGTGAAAGTGAACATGTTTTATGGCACAAGTGCTAGTGGGTTCAAATGTTTGGATCCAGTTTTTCATTTTATGAACCCAAATCCTGTTTATAGCATGAGGTTGCTTGAGAATCTGCCAGGATCAAACACATGCAAGCTTGGTGGAAAATCAAAGTTTGAAGTTGCCAATTATGTACAAAATGAGATTGGCAGGGCCTTAGATTTTAGGTGCACCAGTCTCACAAGGAAAGACAAGTATATGGCATTGGCGGGCAATGATGGGAGCTTGAAGGGCTCAAGGAACGCGACTCATGCATGAGTCATAACTGTGAAATTTAATTACCACCAGCTTTAAGACATATGTATGTTGAAGAAATCATGTGTAAGCATCAATAATGTATATTTCAAATTGGGGTGGTTTCAAGTGATCTAGACCCTTGACTGTAACCAAAGATTGATCTTTTTTTTAAGTTTTAAGCTTTGTATTAGAATAAATTGGGTTGGAAAAGCAAGAGGCTTTTAGTTCAAGTAGTTAAGAGCATTTATCCGTGCACCCGAGGTCCTAATATCAGTTTTGGTAGAGGGTTTTTTCTCTTTTAAAATATAGATTTTTTTTTTTGGGGTAAAAAAATTGGATTTGACAATATAATGCAATGTTTAGACCATTTGAAATTTTATCTATTCCCTCAAAATCCAGTAATGCAAGATTTCCGGAGAAATGATTCATTCTCACCATTATAAACAACATTGCTCAAGCTAAAACTGTTAAGTAAAAAGCCACCTGTTCCTGAGTCTCTCTTCTGTAAAGACCATGGAAATGCAGGATTCACAAATGTTCTATTAAGCAATCAGTGCATGTCAAAACATAAAAGTAAAAACTAAAAGACATAAGACAACATTGTAATTTAATTTAAACCAAGACCATCATGTATGAGCCAAGTACATCTCCAATGCATCTGCCGGACCTATTTATCGAAAAATGCATCCTGCTGTGACTATGGAACTACAAATGGAGATATCCATTATGAAGGGTATCCCCATCCCTTCACTTATGCTAAACTTTGGTAAAACAAGGGAAGCTACTTAAAGCTGTATATGGTATGCAAGAAAGGTATAATGGCGTTAGCAGTTCACACCCCAGTCATAAGGCTGGTACATCACCTTCAGCTGAGATTTGGCAAGCGATTCCAGTAAAGCTTCTGAGACAGCCGGCTCGAGGTAGTTTGATGAGTGCTTCAGTACCTCTACCTCATTCTTGCCGAAATCAACGCTAAACCTGAGCATTAAGAAGTGTTGTTGGATGAGGCAAGTTAATTATTAAAAATGTTTCAGAATATCACACAATAAGGAGGAAGGTTTTGGGATTAAGAATATAAATTAGAGCCCTTGCTTAGAACAGCTTACCATTTAAGAATCTTACTAGCTGATGCAACCTTGGTATCAAAATCAATAATAAGACCTCCATTTCTTAAGAAATTACGAGCTGCTTCCATCAGTTCTTTATCAATATCCCCTGGAGAATAGCATCGAAGAGCAGGGCCAGATCGAGTACCACAAACCAGTGCAAAATGAATAAGAGGCTCTGGGTAAGGAAGAGTCACCTGGTATGGAAAGGGGCAAAAATGAGGTACAATTAAGAGGCTGAGCTCATAGGAGATAAGAGTTGACTGGCAGACTACAATTCTGGAAAGACAAATGTGTTTAACCATGTACATGTAAATACAAAACCCTGTCTATTAACTATGAAAACACACACATGATGGATGTGCCGGGTATAAGTTTAAACCATATCAAAAATGACGAATATTAGTACCGTCTTACCATGGAACGCTTATCTTTTGCACCAAATGGCTTCATGAGATTGTATGGTGGTCGCTGGTTTCCCCGTAAAATACCATTTTGAATAGCCGAAAGTGAGTATGTGGACCCACCAACAACATACTTGAAGTCTCCAAACAACCTCTTTCGTTCAATTGCCCCAGCTGGATGACCCCATACCAATATTGCATGGATGGCCATCAGATTGTAGAGATTTATAAAGAAAGCAAGTTTCTCCTCCCTCTGCATATCCTTCACTTCCACTCTTTGAAGCTCTTCTACTATTCTTAGAAACCTACAAAGATATTACCATCCACAATATCTTAGATATAAAAATAAAAATAGTTTATCAAGACACAAAACTGCATTTCCCAATAGCAGTTAAAAGAACTCATTTGAGGAAAAAAACAAAGGAAAAGAAAAGAAAAACCTTGCAAATTCCTCACTTCCATGGATACTTCTGTAATCAACATGCTTTCCGTCTTCTGACACATAGGCTTCAAGGATTGCATAAAATAAAAATCTCAACCTTGATGCAATGTCTAGGATGGGCTTTGGCTTCACATCAATTATACCCCTTGGGATGTTGTGACAGTGAGATACAATTGGATCATCGTCCAAGAACCGATACAGGTGGTTCCCATCCTCAAATAGATTTTCCCTAGAGAAACACAAGAAGAGAAACGTCAACAATGGAATAATACATGTGATGCAAATTGGTTTGGCATTAAAAAAATAATAATAAATGAGCTAAAATTCTTCGCTTAAATATCATGCATTTTATAGGAAAATATGTGTCTTCCACCACTAACTGTCCTTTTGAACAGGACAATGAATCAGGGAGAGCTGAGACCTCATTTTTCACTTCATGTTTTTTCCTCCGCATTTCTTTTGAACTACTTTCCCCTCAGACTGTTCTAGCAATGAAACAAAGCAGAAGAGAATTTAAAGACACTTCAAGGGAAACTTCAAGGGACTCACTCAAGAACATGATGAAAGAAGAGTTTGCTTGCAAGCTTTCTCCCAAATTCAATAGCCTGTCTCATAACACAAACCAAAAGGAAAAGGGAAGAGTTAATGATAATGAGATTCAACTGGAAAGCATTTGTAGTAAACCCAACACACGTAAAAATTGAAATAATTTCATGTATATAAGACAGAATCCAAAAGCATGACTTACGACCAACAAACTAAAAGAAAATGAAGCCCAGTAATTCCTTGTAAAATGCAAAATAATCTGGCCAATTGAAAGATGGAAGTCATATGACCACTGCTTTCCCAATAACTGAAAAGAAACTAATAAAACCAACTAACCTCTTCCCTTTCCAGATACTGATCCTCTGCTAAGAAATCCACCGCTTCTGAACCTGAAAAACAGTTCGTGAACCTGCGCATTTTATAAAACCGATCCTTCACAATAACAAATTCTTTCATCTTCCGGGCAATTAAAGCTAGTTCATCAATAGCTCCACTATTGGACAAATCATCTTCACCCGAAAGTGGTGGCAAAGGAGCTTCAAATGATGGTGGTTCACTGATCAGGTAATCAATCTTCTCATCAAACTTTCCAGACTCATTCAAGCCCTTTAGCTCACTCAAGCCTCCAATAAGGACTTCATTAAAAAACACTTTTGGAACAGAAGAAGACCCAGCAATTTTCTCTAACTCAAGCTTTCTACTGGGAAATACATCAATATTGATCTCAACATATCTGAGCTTCTTCCTATACAAAAATAATCTAGCCTCTTTGCAGTCCTGGCATCCTAATCTTGTGTACAGTATAACTCTTCCTTTTATGGCTATAGCTTGTGCTGGTTCTTCAATGACCTCCTCCCTCTGCTCACCATCTTGGGATGTCCTAATAAAGCTTAGGGGATTCCATGCAGATCCATCCACTGTTTTCTGAGAGACTTCTCCAGCTTCACTGTCTTTAGTGGAATCTGAAGCATTCTTATCTGCATTGTCAAGAACATCTTGTTCGTCTTCATCTCTTTTCCCAGAAAGGCGACGCAGAAAAGTGGAGACTACAACTACACCTTTAATCTTAACAAGGTTTGTTAGCGCCACTGCCTTTTTGACTACTCCCTGGGCCTCTGAATCAATATCTAAAGTATGGGTGGACATACTTCTGTTAGCTTCCATCCCAGGAACCTCAGTTCCATCAAAGACTGGCTCTAGCTCCTCCTCCTCTCCAAGAATTTTATCTGTTGTTTGGTTTGTCTCCTCTTGAGCTTTGGACTCCAAATCCTTACCCTGATCTGCCTTCTTACCCAAGTTATCATGTCCATCATTGTGTAATTTTTCTTCTTGAGCTGTTGACGTCACCTTATGACCAGAGTCATTTTGTTCCTTACTTGAGTCTGAATCCTTTTCTTGAGCTTTAGACTCCAAATCCATTCTCTCATCAATCTTCTCACCCACGCCACTGTGACTTGGATTACTGTCTAACTTTTTACCCCGCTCTTTAGATTTCAAATCACCGCTCACATCCGTTTTTTCAACCAATCCATCTTCTCCATTATTCTCTAACTTGGGACCACCAGTGCTGATACTCAGAGATTCAATCTCCCTTGATGGTTCTCCTCCCTGAGATTTCTGAAGATCAAGTGTATCTCCGTCCAACTTCTGAGCAGCCAGAGAACTTGTGACATTTTCCTTAGTTGAAGCCTCCTTCTCCATGAGGCAGGGAAGAATAAAGTTCAAGCACTAACTCATTAAAAGACAGCCCTAAAATGTTTAGACTGTGAACATTCAATGATTTTATGCAGGATCCTGCAATAGTTTAAACAAAATTTAACAATGTCATGACTTGCAAAGCTGCTGAGTGTTGATTAATTCGATAAATTAATATTGCAATAAATTTTGGCTTGCAAAATCCTAGCTCATCAAAAAAGTTATTTTCAATGAACATGTCTAGCAAGATTGTAATTGGCTAATAAAGATTGAAGATTAGACAGTACTAAAGCAATTTATTAACACTTCCCCAAACAAAAAATTTGCGTGTGGTTCCTGGTTGCCACCAACCAATGCCTAAGCAATACTACCATCACTCAGAAACACCTACATTAAGTGATGGCTTTCATGAACAGCAGCCTGGCTACCTTAGTTGCTAATCAAACAACAAAAGGAGCTATTCAACTCAATGGGTAAGAAAATATCCATAGCCAGAATAAAAATAGTTTTTCCACTGATCATGTTGCTATATTTTTCCATACACCAAAAATTAATGCTTCTTTTGCTGGTAGGGTCATCCGTGAAAGTCAACCCAGATCGAGCAAGACAAAAACATAGCAAACACCATGTATCCAATTTAGCACACACTGCCGCCGGCCCACTAAGCAAACATAAAAAAAATTGAAAATTGAAAAACAAAGAGATATACATGACTTGGCATGCTCATATTCATACACTAAAATTTCTAGAAAGGGTCGTGCTTAGACCTCACCTAAACTCACAAGTGTGTAAACAAGAATCTGCAAATCAAGAAAGAAGGTGCAAAAACAAGAAACCATTTGACTGGTTACAGGCTAGGCAGCAAGTCATATTGTTCGCTTATGAGAAAGATCCTTGCCCAATAAACAGGTGAAAATGACTACCTGCATGTTTAGTATATGTATGAAGACAGTACAATTTTTTGTATACCCAACAAAAAGCAAGCCTTCACTGTTTCCTATATAATAGCATTATGCAAAGGTGAATTTTCAACTACTTTGACCAAAGAGCGGGTGCAGATAGTAAAGCACAAATGACTTTCCATCCCAATTTCCTCAATTTCTCAGTAAACAAACAGGTAATTAAGAAAATATAGTAACCAATTGAAAACAATTAACTAATAAAGTAAACAATTTATACGAGAAAGAAATCTTACAGATCTGAAATGGGCTGAGAGAGCGCGATGGGATTGGGGAGGAACAGTTCAGAGAGAAACAAAAAGGAAAAGAAGAGCGAAACTGGAGAGAGAGATCTCTGAGCAGTTACAGAGATGACATTAAATGGTGTGTGAGAGAGAGAGTTTCAATTGGTTTTTGGGGAGAGGGAGAGAGAGAAAGAGATTGAAATGAAACCGCGATTTTCAGAGGGAAGAGAGGAACGCAGGAAGCGGGAAGTCCGTGGGCTCGAGAAGATAATATTTAAGAGCGGGTTTTTGGACTTTCGACCCAGTACACACTTCAGTATTATATACGTGTGGACTGATCGGGTTGAATTTTCTTACACAAAAAATATTAATTAAATAAATAGCGACTTTGTGTTTCAAATTAGTGAATCTTTGTCCATATAACTCATGTTTTTTTAAATATATTTTGTACCAGATATGTAAAGTTAATTCCTTTTTTAAAATGATATGTTTAATGAGTCAATTGTTATGTGAGAAAAATAATTGAAATGACCATATACATGAAAAAATCCATGACCAAGTGTGATGTCTTATCAACATCGCAGAAGATGAGATATTATCGAATGACATTGAATACTACTACATACTATAATCCGTCAATATGGTATAATATGTGTGAACGACATAGTTAAAATCTCGCTTTTAAAGTATAATATCAATAAATATTCATGTTAAAGAACTACCTTATGTGGCAACCCTACTTAAGAATCCCTCTGATACAAATAAAATATAGGGCCTGTCTGGAAAAAATTTGAGTAGGGTTAAAAGCACTTCAGAAAAAATAGACAGAAGTATTTGACTTTAAATAGACAAAAGTGCTTTTTTAGGATTAAATAAACACTTTTAAGGAGCATTTTAATTTTAGCGAAACTTTTTTTAAAGGTATCTATTTATCTATATATTAATATAAAATAAAAGAAGGCCAAAATGGTCAAAGGGCACACCAAATTCATTCTATCTCGAGGAAAGGCTCTAGTCACGGAGGAGCCAAAATGTGGTCCAATACCATAAACTTCTACTCCATTGATTAAAGGAAAATATGTGGCTAGAATAAAATGCAGAATGAGCTTCCGTCAGCATGAACTTGCAAAGAAAAATTTCTGAAAATGCAGACTATATTGAGAAGATTTAACATCTAACTTTTTTTTTTTGGGTAACATCTAACATTTCAAAACATACATCATACATGGCTTGTTAAACTGAATGCATATTTACATAGCTACCCTACAGCGAACACTGCTTCTGCTTACATTCTCCATGCTAATTGTCATATTTGCAGGGTTCAGTATTTCCCAGGGCCCTTACTCGGTAACTTTCATCCGAAGAAAAGGCTACGAGGGCATATCACTTGTATAAGAAGCTTACAAACCTGAACCCTCCCTTTCTTCCTTTATATAATGAAAGAGTAGGCGTTGTCGAAGAAGAGGTTGTGGTATGTCAATCTTGACAAGGGCTTCCTCCCATCAGTTCAGCATCTTTCCCCCTTTCAATTGATAGATACACTGGATATAGTGGATATATATCTCATATGGGTAGCCATCGATATCTTCAACACAATTCCACCTTCATCTGAAGTTTTGATCAGGCAAAAGGATCAACTGGACTGCAAGCTACACTCAATGAAGGGTCCATCTCCCATCCGAGTTCTCCACATGCAGTAAGAACAGTGGCAAGGATGTAATCATCCACCTCAAAACCCTCTGTTCGCATCCGATACATGAGCTTCATAGCCTCCTGGCAGAGACCATTCTTTGCATAACCCACTATCATAGCCTTCCAAGAAACCAAATTCCGTTCTGGCATGCTGTCAAAAACTTGAAATGCCTCCGTTACATAGCCACATTTTGCATACATAGAAATCAAAGCGCTACCCACAAAAACATTAGACATGGCAGGACTTTTATTTGCAGAGGAGTGAATCAATTTCCCGTGCAGAACGGTTTCCAGCTGGGCGCATGCTTTCAAAGCGGATGAGTAAGTAAATGCGTTGGGCTCCACCCCATCCTCCATCATTTCATTCAAGAATTCAAGAGCTTCAGACTCAAACCCAAGATGAGCACAGCCAGAAATGATGGCAGTCCATGAGACAACATCTCTTAGAGGCATTTGTTGGAGGACCTTTGTAGCATTAGAGTACTCCCCACACCTACAGTAGAACCACACTAAAGTACTTCCTAGGTGTAAATTGGTTTCAGTTGAGTTCTTTAATATCTGTGCATGAACTTCCCTCCCCATCAGCGAATCCCTCATCAAGCCACATGCTCTGAGGATGCTTACAATGGTCAAGTTGTTGACAAATATATTTCGCCTCTTCATTACTTGAAAGAGGCATATGGCCTCCTCACTGAAGCCCTTCCGAGCATACCCTGCTATAATAGATGTCCATGTAACTGTGTTTCGGTTCTTCATTCCATCAAAAACTGTTCTTGAGTCTATCATCTCCCCGCATTTTGCATACATATCAACTAGAGAAGTGTCTATAAAAACATCATTCTTGTAAATCTTCTTAACTAAGGCACCATGTAACTGCCTCCCAAATCTTAACTCCTTCTCTTCCCCACAAGCCTTGAGAACACCACACACCGTAAACTCATTAGGTGAAAACCCCTCACTTAACATCTGCGAGAACAGTGAAAAAGCCTCCTGTCCATGCCCTTGTTGGGAACAAGCAGTTATTATAGTTGTCCAACAAACTACATCCCACTTTGGCATCTGATCAAATGCGCGGGAAAGCACTTGACAGCTCTCCACATTGCGCATATAATTTAACAACGGCGCTGTCAACAATCAAGTTGCTCCAACCACCCTTCAAGACACCACCATGGACTTGCCTCCCAAGCTCATAATCCACCCTCTTACTACACAAATTAAAGACACACACAAACATATTACCGTTCGGTTGAACCCCATCATTAATAGCATCACTAAACAAACCCAAAGCTTCATCATCCAAACCGAAGTTCAAGTACCCGTTAATAATGGCGGTCCAAGAAACCACATTCCTAACAGTCATTTTGTCAAACACTTTGCGGGCATCGACTAACTTCCCAAATACTAAATAAGCACAAATCAAATTATTAAAAACATACGTAACAGGATTCGCTAAACACCTCAAAACAACTGCATGTAATCTTCTCACTTCATTTAGACTACGACATGACCGGAGCCAAAGAGCAAGCAAATAGGGTCTGGAGCTTTGGCTCAGTGACTGAGTATCAGAGAATTCGGCATCTGGGTTTTCTTGGGAGCTTAAATTCTCAAAGTCGTAAGTAGAAGATGGGTTTTCGCAATAAAAACAACGAAAATTCGTGGGGGTTTTACGATTTCTTGTTTTGAATTTGAATGCCTTCTCTGTATTGGTGGTTGAATGGAGAACAGAGAAGGTGTTTGATAAAGGTGATGCCAATACGTGGTGGCAAGAGAGTCGGCGAAAGCATTGCCTATTTTGCAGTTTGAAAATTCCCGCGAAACAAAGAAGAACTCAAACAGAATCTCAGTTTGAGAAAGCTGGGCTCCGCTGGGCATTAAAAGTTAGTGCACTGTGCACCCCGCTTTTAATATATCCTCCTCATTTTTCTCAAAACTTCAATTTTCAGAATATTTTAAGAAAAATACTTTTATTTATTTATTTTTAGATTCATTATTCTCTAATTATAAAAAAACAAAAAATTAAAAAAAACAAAAAAAAAAAATGAACTTTAGAAACACACCTAAAAAACTCATTTACAACATAACAAAAAAGCTTTTTAATTTCTTTTTAAATTTACAAAACTACACATAATTTTTAAAACAAACACAACCCCAAAACCTCATAAAATAGCCAAAAACAAAATAAGACATCAAAATAATTTAATCATTAAAATTAAATTTAATAAAGAGCAAGCTATCATTTTTTAAATTTATTTATAAAAACTAAATTGTGTAAGATTTATATATTATTAATGTTAATATGGGTATATAACTAAATATCTCTTCTTCAATTTTTAAGGTTGGGTGAATTTAAGGGAAATTTGGTGAAAACCCCTCCTCCTCTTTTTATTTGGCTTGAAAAACCCTCCTAGTCTGTTTACATTACGTTGCCATTTCTTTTTCCTCTATCTCTTCCGGGCAAGCAAATAATTTTGGCGCAAACTCTATGGACGTTTCTACTGCCACTCTCCAACCCTCTTGTTCTTTCCCACTAAGAGCCCCTAAAACCGCTACCAGAGACCGCGCTTCTTCTCTCTCTTTCGTCAGAACCTCGTATAGAAGTATTTCCCTATCTTCCAAAATCACCAATGGTATGTACTCTGTTGCTTATTTATTCCAAATTTACAAACTTAACTTTCCTTTTGATTTTTCCTGAAATGGGTATTGTTAATTTGCACTCACCATACAAGTGATTGCTGTTAATTTGTGATTATGAAGTGAAAAAAAAGAAGTGAAATTGTGTCCAAAAAGAACCAATGGAATTGGGAAATACGTTGTTAGTTTCTTAGAAGGAGCATTTTTGTATCTGGGTTGAGGGTGTTTGTGTAACAGATAGCTGTTATGAACTGGCAGATTTAGAACATGCTTAATTTGATAATTTCCTTTTGATTTTTCATAAACTGGGTATTGTTAATTTGAACTAAGCCTACACGTAATTGTCTTTTTTGTGCTTTAGTTTATCTCCAAAGCCTCTTTCTATGACATCGAAGCCTTTGTGTATGTCATATGTCAAATTTGGAAGCTGAAAAGAAGAGAAAAATTATGTAACTTGTGTCCAAAAAGCATCAAAGGAATTGGGAAACACCTTGCTGATTTTTTAGGAGGAATATTTGTTGTATTTAGGTTAACCGTGTTTACTGCTGTTTTGAAGTGACTGTGTAATAGATAGCTGTTATGAACTGCTAGGTTGTCTCTTACCAGTTAAACAACCAGTCAGGCCTGTTGCTGCTGCTACCGTTGGTGATACAACTGCAGTTCCAAACGATTGTTCTAGTGCAGAAGAATTGTCTATTTCTGATTCTTCTAACGCCACATTGGTTGAAGATGAATCCAGAGGAAGTGGTGAAAAGGGGGAAGAGAAAGGTGGTGTGGGGGGCTTGGATGACCACAAAATGACCCGAGTATGTGACAAGCTTATTGAGGTTTTCTTGGTTGACAAGCCCACTCCAACTGACTGGAGAAGATTATTAGCTTTCAGTAAGGAATGGGATGATATCCGGCCTCATTTCTATAAGCGCTGTCAGGACCGGGCAGATACTGAGGATGATCCTGGAATGAAGCATAAACTACTACGGCTTGGGCGGAAATTGAAAGAGGTAGGTCTAGCAAGTCAAAATATGATAAGCCCTGAAAGTGACACTACCATACTGGTGACCTAAATGTCTTTTATTGAGGTATATTATATTTTTACTTCTGATTAGAAGACTTTTTTTTTCCACCCCTTGGTCTATGAGTGAGCTAACCCTGGTTCTCCCATGATCCTAACTACAGCTTCCTCAATCAGGTGCAAATTCCCCTTCACTAAAGAAAAAAGCAGGCTTTTACTTTCTTAAGATAATACTTGTTGGGAGTTCAAGACTAAAAGGATGTTCACAATCTCCTGGAGTGATAACTTGTGATGAGGATAATTTAAAATCGAATTTTCCCTTTCCATGACTATACGAGGAAATTGGTTTTTTTCAATTTGGTGGCTCTTGTAATCATCAAGGAATGCTTAAATTTGTTTGAGTTTGTTGCGCCGTTAACTTAACAGTATTGGGTGCTTCTTTGCAGATTGATGAAGATGTGCAAAGACAAGATGAACTTCTTAAAGTCGTTAGAGGGGCTCCATCAGAAATTAGTGAAATAGTTTCCAGACGTCGCAAAGATTTTACACAAGAATTCTTTGTGCATGTTCACACTGTTGCTGAATCCTATTACGACAATCCCACAGAGCAAAATGGTGAGACTGTGTAATATTTATGATATATACTCATCACTTAATTATTTGTTGTTTGCAAAAGATGTGCATTATATAATTAACACAGTGTTTGTCTTGTTCTTGAAGCATGATATCATTTAATCACTATCATTCCTTCCTGCTATATTGTTAATAGTAAAAAGATAATCGGCCTGCCTTCATTTAAAAGCATGATACACCTATGTTCTAATATCAGCTGTGGGGTAGCAAACTAGATATAGCAGTTATCTAGCTGATTTAATTAGGGGTACTTGCTTAAATACTGTGTGAAAGTGCCACTAAAACCAAGACTTGTTTACATGTCATGTAATTTGTTGCGTTACTATTAATAATGTAAACCGCAGGTTATGTGTAGTAGTTTTTAATAATTTAAATTAGATACATTCGAGGCCAAAAAGAAATTATATACATTAAATTATGCAATTGGGTCCGTGCAAGGCCTTAACAGGTCTGGATTTTAACCAAAATTAAGTTGGAAAGAAAAAACAAGCCATTGAATTGGAAACGGCCTAACCTTGTGGGGCAAGAAGTGAGCTGGTTTAAATGATGAGGCCTGAAATCCAGCCAATCTCTATATATTTCTTACTCCATTACATTGTGGGTAGAAACTTACAAACTCTTTCTTATATGAATAGGTTTGGCAAGTATTGGAAATACGTGCTTGGCTGCTGTACAAGCATATGATTCTGCAACTGAAAGCATTGAAGCACTGAATGCTGCAGAGTTGAAATTTCAAGATATTATCAACTCTCCTTCTGTTGATGCTGCTTGTAGGAAGATAGATCACTTGGCTGAGAAAAGTCAACTCGACTCAACATTGGTGATGATGATTACAAAAGCTTGGTCAGCTGCCAAGGAGTCGAGCATGACAAAAGATGAGGTGAGATGATAGCTTGCCAGAGATACTGTCTTTCTCCAATTATGATTAAGCTGTCGCAGCACTACTATGTGTCTATGACAATCCAAGTTGTTCATATGCATAACATAGAGACAAGTATCATTTTGACGTACTGGTCCTAGAATTATTTTATGAACAGACACAAGGAGCTTGATTAGATTGTGATTCCCAACCTCCCAAGAAAAAAAAAGAAACAAAGAAGAGGAAGCCAAACTTTCATTTTTTGGGTGGTGTAATACTTGCTAATTTATGGGTTTTTTTTAATGTTTGAGTAGGTGAAAGATGTATATATCATTTGTATGTGACTGCAAGAGGTAATCTCCAGAAGCTCATGCCAAAAGAAATTCGGATAATTAAGTATCTTCTCACAATTGAGGATCCTGAGGAGCGTCTGTCTGCATTACATGATGCATTTACCCCAGGAGAGGAACTTGAAGGGAAGGATGTAGATAACCTATTCACGTATGCATCAAAAAATTAATTACTCTTTCTAATGAGTTCGTATAAGTTTATACATTTGGTAGCTGTATGAAGTTGAACGGCTATCCTCTGTTTTTCAAAGCTCATGTTTCCTTTTTCTTATTTAATTTTATCAGGACTCCAGAGAAGCTCCACACCTGGATAAAGGCTGTTGTGGATGCTTACCATTTCAGCCAGGAAGGCACTCTAATAAGGGAAGCAAGAGACCTCATGAATCCAAAGATCATTCAAAAACTGGAGGAGCTGAAGAAGTTAGTAGAAAACAAATTCTTGTGACCAATAACACATACATCATGAATTGTACTTGTCCGCATGTCAAAGATCACTGGTATTCATCTCCAGGACCGTCTATTTATCTCAGCTAAACTTTGGAAATACAAGAGAACCCTAGCCATGACTCTCCGGATTTTCTGAAGTTCCTAGTGGCATGCACTATTAAGGTTGAAGCTTCAAACATCAAAATGACTTGTCAGCCTTATAGGTCAAAATGCTGTAGTTTGTTGGGTTTTTGTAGTCTGATGTACACCGACCCCCTTTGTCATTATAAACTACAGCTTTGTAAAATTACTGGCTCTAAGCTTGAAAATAAAATCAATCTCATCCTCTGCACCAATTTTCAGTGAACGGTGTGTTTACAGGAGGAAGCTTTATTTTCTCATAATTGAATGTGCCATCTTGCTATTAGATGAGTGTCGCTTACATCACAAAATACAGATTATATGCACCCACACAAGCATATGTTAGCGCTCTCTTGTCGTCTCATGTTGCAAGACTATAAATCTGAACAAATTTGGGAAGAATTAACTTAATCAATGGTTCATGTTCACAGTCTAACAACATACCTCTCGTTCTAGCTTTCGGTTTGACATGTAAGAAATCAAATTTTCATCTAACCAAGCCTTGAGACGTGTTCGAGGATTGGTGATGGCCATAGCCCTATAGCTCATTCAGCTCCCAACATGTTCCGTAGATCAACTGGCCAAACGTACATACGGATTTGTACTTGGAGCTCATTCTGGTTTGGGCTCGTTTATTATATAAATACGGGCCTTAGCAAAACCGTAGAAACCCGGCCCATTACAGGCCCAATAAACCAATGAAAATATTATTATCTCCTTTTCATTTGCCAAATGCCCAGCCGAGGCGTCGCCCTCGCCCTCTCCCTCTCATAACGAAATTATTACGAGAATGAAAAAAATCCCAAAAATTCCGAGTCCACTTCAAATTACAGAGTTTTGCGCGCAAATTTAAAACCCTCGTTGTGTAGATTGCACGTCGACGACTCTGCCTCAGGTAAATTATCTTCTTGTTCTCCCTCCCTCTGATTTTTCATGGATTTGTTTGCTTGTTTGTTGAGAAAAGTTGAAATTGATTATAAAAAAATAAAGAAAAAAGTTCTACGTGGTACAACAATTTTGAGTTTTCAATTGGGTTCTGATTTATGTCTTTTTGTCTTTTGGTTCTGTTTGCGTCGACTTCTGCCTCAATTCTGTCCATGATGATCAGCATATGACTGAATTAAATTGAATTGATACTGAACTAATTCGGATTGTGATATTTTCTCAGCAAAGCATTTGCTATTTCTTAGGCACTGACTTTTTAGATGTCTTGAGAAAAGCCAGATGATGAACAGAAAATCAAGTAATTGTGCTATTTGTGAGAGTTCAAATCTCGCTTCTGTCTGTGCTATCTGTGTCAATTACAGGTGTGACATCTGAACTTAATGGTCCTTCAAATTTATTGTTGATATTATGAACTTATTCGAATCGTTGATATAGCTATTCTAACTGTTATAGAATAATTGCCTGTTTACATGTCCTTAATCTTATATATGGGTTTGCTTGTTTTCAGATTAACTGATTATAACAGTTCTTTAAAGGCACTGAAGAGTCGTCGTGATTCCTTGTATTCAAGATTGACTGAAGCGCTTGTGGCAAAGGTTTGTTTCTGCCTTGGATTGACTTAGGTAGCCTTTTCTTTTCTATTACTTCATACTCTTGTCCTTGCATTCCAATGGCCTATTTCTGCCAAGTACAAATAGAGTTTTCAGGTACAATCCTGTAAGTTAATTAGAATAAAACCATGTTTTCTTACAACATATTATGTATTGTATTGATGATATTTTTTGATCGGTTCTCATTAAAAAATATTATTGACCCGATTAAAGTTTGTGAATGCCTATGGAAATTGACATGATTGAAATTTAAAGTGTTCCAATAAGGTGTCCATTTTGTTCCGAGGGGAGTATTACTTAAAAGAAAATATACTGAGGATGCAAAGATGGGTAATGGACTCTAAAGAATCCTGCTACTTTATTTATACTGATGTTTTATACATTCGTCAGGGTAAGGCTGATGATCAACTAAATTGGAGAGTGCTTCAAAATGAAAAGCTTGTGAGGTTAAGGGAAAAGCTCCGCTGTAATAAAGAACAGCTTGTGCAAGGTTGGTTTCCTATTGCCAAATAGAATTTAGGTTGAAATTCATTGATGTTGTTCCTGTAAGACTGATTGAGATGTTTACAGGCAAGGCAAAGATTGAGAAGATGTCCTATGACCTAAAAGTAAAATCTGGGGTGCTTGACTCAGCCCGTGCTGTGGTACGACAATTTTTAGAAATGTCTTTGTATTTGATTCTATAGAAATCTTTAAGATATCATGGACTTCCAAATTTTCCTATTTGCAGTTGGGAAAAAATCGTGCAGAACAACTGGAGAAGTTCTATCCCAACCTTATATGCACTCAGAACTTAGGGCATGTAAGGCATATTTATACACTCCTTTAATTTAGATACTTCTTTCGTGCATTATTAATTAAAGGAAGTTAGTATAGCTTTATTGGCTCAGAAGATGTGACGATAGTTATGTTTTTACTTTGCCATGCATTCTTCTTATCCTTCTCTTCTAGACATTTTTCTTATTTGAACAAAAGGTTTGATGCTTGATTCGTTCTCTGAATTGCAGATGGCAATTACCTCTGAACGCCTTCATAAACAGTCAGTGGTTATAAAACAAATATGTAAATTGTTCCCCCAACGTCGGGTAAGCTCTTCAAAAGTAGATGTATGTTGATTTATGTGCATGAATTATGGCTTATAAGTTGAGTTGAGTATTAATAGAAACATCCTACACATGCTCTGCATGTGTGATGAGAAATTATAGGAAGTTAAAGGGTAGGATGGATAGTTATGGTAAGACCCTTAGCTTTAAATTTAATTATGAAAAATTGATATTTTATCCCCTTTGGTTGACAAAGAGAATTCTCTTAGATAATAGTGTGGATGAACTCAGTGGTTTGATTATATTTGATTGATAATCCTTGATGACTATGTTACATGAAGCTATTGACTGACTTATATAAGTAGAATGAAAGCTATACCCATTTTGTTTTCCAAAAGAAACAGCATCACTGTGGTTTTGCTCTGGGTTGTTAATAATTTGTAGCATTTGATATTCCTCTATATAATTATTGGGGTTGGAGGAGCTTAAATCCAAGCTTTTTTATGTTCATTCTTACTTTTAGGTGACTGTTGATGCAAAGAGGAAAGATGCATCTGGTGGTCAATATGATCAAATTTGTAATGCATGCTTACCAAGAGGGCTGGATCCACACTCAGTTCCATCAGAAGAGCTTGCTGCTTCTTTGGGGTAATCTCTCTTCAGAGTTGTAATATCCTAATATTCTTGTAAGCAGGAAGCTATTTGGTACTGAATTATGTTATCTCACTGATTCACCACGAACTTGCTGAGAATTATTGCTTTTTCCTCTTGAGATTATGTTTTTTCAGTTAAATCCAGTGCAGTTGAATCATGTTTAGCAATGGTGATTTGCACTTTCACTGATAACTGATCACTATTATTGGAGAACAGATACATGGTTCAACTCCTGAATCTTGTCGTTCAGAACTTAGCTGCTCCAGCACTTCATAACCCAGGTTTCGCAGTAAGCACTGTTCACCCTCCATGTGATGGCTTAAAGATTCCCTTGAAAACAATGGTCTTTCCTCACCGTTAAGATTTACTATTAGCGAACTCTTTAGGGGTTTGAAAGTACTAATGATGATTATATGATTGTTAAAATGTTCTGGAAGTATTAGTGAAAATAGATGTTTACGGTCTCTGAAAGTTTCCCAATGTTTTAATATATATATTGGAAATTATTCTTATTTTTATTTGTCAAATTAAATTGCTCGTATTGTTAGCTTATGACATGTGTTTTTATTTTTATTTATTTTGGGAAGACATTTGGTTCGGAAGAAAAGCATACCTTCATTTGAAACCTCTTTCTGTGAAAGCATTCTATTTTTATTTGAAAGTTTCTCTTTTCTTCTAGAGATCTTCACTAAGACATTTGAAGCTTCATATGAGGCTTTTGATGTTGTATTTTGGATTATTTTTAGCTATATTTCGTCTTAAATTGGGATGCCTTACTTCAGGGTTCCTGCTCTCGGATATGGCAAAGAGATTCTTATTGGGATGCGTGCCCTTCTTCTAGGAGGTACGTTGGCTGGAGATATTTTTTGACATGGGAGAGGATTTCTCCTCCTGGTGACTGAGATAATTTATTTTATTGCAGCAATGAATATCCTCTCTTTATACCACGGCAAAATTATTGCTCCACTAGTGGCGAAAATTCGTGGTCTGATAGAAGCTCAAGTAATTTTGGTGTTGCTTCAATAGATTCCGAGAGGAAACCCCATCTGGATTCTTCTGGAAGTAGTAGCTTTAATTATACTTCTGCTTCTCAACACTCTGTCGAAACACACAAAGATTTGCAGAGAGGGATTTCACTGCTCAAGAAAAGTGTGGCATGCATTACAGCATACTGTTATAACTCACTTTGTTTAGATGTCCCTTCTGAGGCATCTACCTTTGAAGCATTTGCAAAATTGTTGGCTACATTATCTTCATCCAAGGAAGTTCATTCTGTTTTCTCTTTGAAAATGGCTTGTTCAAGGTACATTGTCCTGCATCTCCTTTCTTTGTCAATTATGTTCTGTGTGCTTTCATTTTTGTTCTATTGTGCATAAGCAGAAGTAATAAAATAATAACTGTTATCTGGTTTTAACAATGTTTGGACAAACATTAAGTCCTGAACTTCTGAGAGAGTATTTTCTTGCAGAGTAGATCATTGTGACTTTTGTAACATCTGAATTAGAATGTTAATTGCTTCATGTTTGGGTTGTTGACTGAGCCAATGCTTCATCTGCTGTAACAAAGCTTGAACTACTTACAGGCTATGCATAGGTTGTATGCGACACCCTTAATTAGATAATGAAGCTGGTGCTGCATGGGATCTTTTTACTGTCCCAAGGCGTTGGCATCGCAATTGGAAGGCGATTACAAACCTTAAAATTGAAAATGTATTATTTCATGAAATTACAAGAATTATCTATGTTATTGGTTTTTAATCTCTGTGACCTTCACGGCCCCTTCTATGGTCATAAAAATCCTAACTTCTCTAATAACTTTCGTACAATTAGAGAGAGTACAAAATTAAGATATCTACTAAATTTCCAAAGCTCTCTCTTGTCAAACAGAACACACCTTTATAATTTATGGGTAATACCCTTTTAAGCCTTTCATTTATTTGCATGATCATTCTTGAGGAATTTCTTCTGTAGTTGGAAGGTTCAATTCCTTTAGCCTGGATCACGAACAAAATATGATCATTGCAGAATTTTGAGATGGACTTATGGGACAGTGTGCTGATGCCATGTAGGGTTAGTGAATGTAGCATAAGGTTTGGTATTTTCGTAGACTTCTCTAGCAAAGGTTACTCAATTGTATTGTTTTAATCTCTATATTTGTCTTTTTTTTTATGTTGAGAACAGAAAATGGATATAAAGTTGTGTGCGCTGGGTTTTGCAAGAATTATTTTTGGACTTATGGCTGTTTATGCTTGAAATCTGAACTGTAATAACCTCGTTTGCCTGTATACTATAGATATTGAAATCTTTGCATCTTTTTACGTGGACTGGAAATGGTCTTCTTAATACTCAGCTGCTTGTTAAAGAACTCTACTTTAGTGGCATGCTATGGATAGTAGATAAACATTCATTGGAATTTCCCTTTTAACTTTCAGGTCATGTAAGCAAGTTCAACAATTGAACAAATCTGTTTGGAATGTGAATTCTGCCATATCGTCAACCACTCTACTGGATAGCGCACATGCCATGACAATGACGGTAAATGTTTGGGCTTTAATTCTGTTTTGTTAGGACATTTGGGTTTTTAGCTAGTGTACTTTTGTGCCTCAATCAACAATGTTATTGGTTTTGTCCTTCATTGGCCTATAATTGCTTTTGTAGGAGTGGTCCTATCTCATAGCTCAGTTTTGTGTACTTCTGCCTTTTTGAGTTAGGAGCTGTTTGATATTATTGTTTACATCTTTTCACATACATAGGAATAAGAAATAATTCGGTAACTGTTAAATTGGTATGCCACTGTTCTTTGCATGGATGAAGACTTTACTTAATTGTCATACGTTTTCTTTTGCCTTGCAGAAAAATTTGAATGAATATAACCTGCCTACTTATGCCACCAGCTCTCTTTGTTCCACTGAGTTGTCTGATTCTGGGAAGAATGAATCCCTTGTAGAAGGATGGGATCTTGTAGAACATCCAACTTTTCCTCCTCCACCATCACAATCTGAGGATATTGAGCATTGGACTCGAGCCATGTTCATCGATGCTAAAAGAAAATGATTTGGCGCTACAACCGTCTTTCTGCTTATTTGTAAGTCACCATTTGAATAGTTTTCTCTTCACAATTCAAGCTTGCAACTCTGTGAATAGTCTCTGTAATTTGTCTATCGTCGTTATAAATACCTTTTTGAGTATTCTTGCACCTTTTGTTTGCTTTTGTGGCTACCAACAAGAGCTTTCTTGAACTTTTTCTGTTTTCTCTGTTTTTTGCTGGACAGGTAAGTCAAAGTAGACACGAAAGTTCAAACAAAAAGTAAGACCGCATTGACCATGGAGGGCTCTGTAACATATTCTTCAAGTGTTAGCTTGTAAATAGAAATGCTCTAATGGTTGTTTGTCTATACATGTAAATAAAATAGAATTGAGGGGTTTTTCTGTTACAATTTTAACTCTAGTTACCTTTATCCTTGAGATTCGTTATGCTAGATCCTTGAATTTAATCAAGACACTTCTATTGCCAGCTTTGCCGTCCATTGGATTAGGGAATGTATAATATGGGGTATCGTTTAGGGTTCGTTTACGGCTATGAAATTACACATCAAAGAATGATCTTCAAAAATAAAATTTTCTTTTCTTTTCTTTTCTTTCTTTTTTTATATTTTGTTTTTGGTTTTTTTGGTAAAAAACTGCATTAGCATGGGATATTGTGAGAGTGTTGGGTTATATTTTTGTCTTTTCTAAATATTATTGGACCATAAAATGTGTACGAAATACAAGAAAATTAGCCTAAACAGTTCTGGCACAGAAACTTCCTCCTATAAAGAGAGTACGAAGTTAAACAGCACTTTTCATCGTTGGCACAATGAGAAGCAGCAGCTTCTTTCACTTTTTCCTCTTCTTTGGGGGCTGAAGGGCCTCTTCCTCATCCTCTTCTTCATCCTCTGGTTCATCCTCTTCAACAATTTCTTCCTCCTCCTTGTCCTCACCTTCATCATCATCATTCTCCTCCTCGTCCTCATCATCTTCATTGTCTTGATCTCCATCATCATCGCCATCGTCGTCGTCGTCGTCATCACGGTTGTTGCCATCTTCTTCTTCTTCCTCTTCACCATCTTCGCCTACTCCAGCGGCTTCTCCTCCAGACTCAGCTTTGGAGTTGTTGCTTTTGCCATTAGGGTTGTTCCCACTGCCTCCCCCGTCATCAGACGACAGCTCCTCTTCGGTCTCTCCTAATCCACCATCGTTCTTCTCTTCGTCTCCATCTTCGTCAGCATCCACTGCTTTGTAGTTGGAATGTTCACTCTCATTGTCTCCTTCACTTTTTGGTCCACAAGCTGTTGAGGGCGCAAAAGGATCCTGAAACCAGGGGATAAACGCAACTCAAAAGTGGAAGTCAAATAAATTTAACAAAGAAATATGCAAAACAAGAAGGTTTAAGGTTAGACATCCAATAACGAACGGACCAAAGTAATTTTTAAATTAATGTGATTAAACTTCACCAAGTCTAATCAATTTGTAACAGAAATGACAACATTTAGCAATGTACGACCTTGAATGCAATGGATGTTGACTGCTAAGTAGCTCAAACGGTCTGTAATTTTTTGTTTCGGTTTGAGGTGTGAACCAAACCGAACCAGAGCTCATCCCAACATGTAACGGGGTCTACATTCCTATGTATGTGTCTCGCTCACGAGTCATCAAGTGAGAAAAGAGACAGACACATGGGGTATAAACTGTCACAGATAAATTTTGTAGGTCTATAATAAAGATAGACAAACAAATGAACCATCCACCTTATTGCATGTAAATTTTAAAAGAAGTAAAACGAAAAAAGGTTTCCATAAATCTGAAGGTGAATCTCCAAGTCTTTCCTACTTGTTTTATTATTTTATTTTTTTTTCCTTTTTGGGGGAAACTTATCCCAAATTGGGAAGTAAGTTATCGTCTCCACCTTTTGGAAGAGCCTTTTATACTAGAATGTCAAATGCCATCATCTGTCACAGGGTGCGTAGGTACACACCACCAGGCCACCGTGGGGGTGTAGCTTATAAATTGGACCATAATGTAAGTCCAAAAATATATCCAGAAACCATGAATGATGTGTGACAAGATTTTCATAAAATTCTAAACCAAAACTGACGTGACAGGTGCTAAGAAAATATCTTAATTAATTACAAGAAATTAGATTTTTCTTTATTTTAGTTTAACTTGTACGAAGACCGTTGACTTCCATAACAAACAAAAACGACACAGAATATCCTTTCGTCATATACCTTCCTCGCATATAATAAACAATAAATAAAAATCCCCGGAACCGATTAAAAAAATTCTCCAAGAAAAACCAAAAAGCATGTAAAAAGATATTTTCAAGGCTCAGCTCAGCGCAGAAAAAAACAAGAAGATATTTTAAGAACATTAATAATTAAATTATTCGTGAAAAATTAAAGAGAAAAAGAAAGAAAATGAACTCACTTGAGCGGCCAAAGAAAGCAAGGCTGACGTAAGCAGAGTAGCAAGAGCCTCCCAGGCGCACGATAGCAACCAGACCTGGCCAACCGTAACCTCGCCTCCACCACCACTCCTTTTCGTCTCCATTTGTACGGACTCGACGACGTGCGCAAAGCCCTGTCAAGTCGACAACAATTCAGATGGACCGTCAGATCTGTTCCCTTACTTGGCCCCACCGTTAGATCTGGCAACTAAATTACTTAAGCACTAGACAAAATATTTTTTAAAAAATAAAATAAAATAAACTGTAACTAAAACCGGTCGTCGGAGTTCTTTTTCCGAGAAAACTATGAAGGAGCGAAAACTACGACGTCGAAGAGAAAGTTGAAAACCGTTGAAGCGAAGCAGTGTGAGAAAATGGGCTAAGTGAAGGAAGAAGAAAATTAGGTAGAGGAAGAGAGCGAGGACCTGAAAGAGATGAGCTTGAAACAGAGCAGAGAGAGATCTGAGAATTTGTGAAGCTTCTTCGTCTGGTGGTTTAGTGTGGTGAGAGTGTTTCTGTGTTTGTGCTCTAAAGCGTCAGTGAGCTTTGCGTTGGAATGACTTTCGTTTTCAGCCGTTGGATTGTGATCCTGCACAGAAAGAACCTTTCCTTCTGTGTCTGTGTGCGTGAGAGAGAGAGAAAGAGGAGAGAGAGGGAGAGACTGGCCGTAAAGTTGGAAATCAATGTAGTAGGGCCAATAGGGAAGCATGGGCAGTGATTCAAAACTAAATTACCAACCAGTCCTGTGGGAAGAAAATAACTTTTTTCTTTTCTTATTACGCGTGACGAACGACAGAGATAGACACGTAATATATCTTTTGTTATATTTTTACAACAACATTATACAATTATACAATATATAAAAATTACTTCTTAATCTTATGAGTAATATGTCGGTATGATGATGTGATATGATAAATTTATACGCATTTTTCTTTGTCAAATTCACTAAAATAGTCATTTTTCACAATTTTTTTTCTAAATTAATATTTATTATTTTAATACTCGTTTACGGAGTACATGATAACAAATTGAGAGTACGAATTAACATTTCTCGTTTTTTTTTTTCGCAGTGGTCCAGTCCATAACAAAATGGTGAAAAATATTTACGAGACCTAATATATGACATGCCTGTCATGATCTTAATTAGTTGGAGGGCCCAATCAGCTCATTTCACTTTAAGTGATGCTGCAGCATAATACCTGTGATTTTGTTCACAACTTTATTTATTATTGTCATTTTAATGTGTTTTATTTTATTTTTTTTCCGCTTAAGAATTGCTAGCTTCTTCTACACTTCAAGTCTCAAGTCTCAAACAACTTTGCTGGAGCACCAGAAAAAGCAGAAAAGAAGAATATCATAATCCCAGCATATCAATGAAAGAGAGAATATCATAATCTCAGCATTTGTCCGCACTAATTTTTTTACAGTCTCAGAGACAGCAATGCTTTATCTTTATGTGAACAGGCACTTGGAAAGTGATCAAATTCCGCTGATATTTTTTTTCCCAAAGACTTTGACCCTTTATTGATTCTATCTTCAATCTTCCCACCACCTTAAGGCATATGTCCCTTCCTCCTGCGATTTACCCAACCCAAAAAAAAAGAAACTCGAAGGACATAATAATATATGAACCAATCAACCCTCCAGCTTGGGTTTGATTTGTATCACTTCAGTTGCCCCAATTTTACCAACAAAATTCGTCCGAAGTTCGAATTCCCCACCTTTGTTGATTAAAAAGAAGCGTCTGTTACGAGTTATATTGCATTATATCCCAAGATTAGGTTTTGTGCTTTTGTCTCACATAACGTAATGGCATTGCAAAGAGGGAAATGTGAGAATGGCACTCAAAATTTAACAAAATAAATACTTTTTTTTAATTACTCAACAACTGTCGTTTATGAAATTTGAATCGGTGACTTTCTAAATAAAAAAAATGGAGACGGCTTGTACTAGAACAAATGATCATTGAAAACAAGATAAATTATCTTTTATTTAGATATATGGGGGAAATTTAAAGAGGAATTTACCTAGAATTATGCAGATGGACATTCTTAGTACAAGCCCGAATAAGTAATTGGGCTAAGCAAAGCCCAAGTGGGAACCAAAGACCATACTAGAAAATTATATATCAAAGCTTGAATGCTGAATTAATTAATTTATTATCTTTTGTTTATGTACTTTGCAGTCTAATAATTAACAATATTGTTGCTGCACACCTTTTTTTCTGGTTGGCTAAACAAGATTATGTTATCTATATATAGTTTTAAGATTAAAAATCAGAAAGGAATCACAAGCACAGCGTGGTCAGGATGGCCGAGTGGTCTAAGGCGCCAGACTCAAGTTCTGGTCCTCTAACGAGGGCGTGGGTTCAAATCCCACTTCTGACAATTCATGTTTTTTTCTTTTTTTTTTTTTTTTTTTTTTTTTTTTTTTTTTTTTTAATTTCTTTTGAAACAGAAAGAAAAGAAAAGAAAAGAAAGTTCCTTCTTATGGAAAATACCAATTTCTCAAAAATGCAAAACCAAAAAAATTTCTGAATCATAAACAGCAGAACAGATGAAGCTCAATCATAATGGAGGAAGAAGAAGATGTATAAACAAACAGATGCATGCTAGTAGGGAGCTGAACTCGTACGCCGGAGTTGGTATTTAGGCATGGAAGTAGGGTTTGAAGCTAAGATCAACTCCACCTCCTGCAACAACAAAAAAGATAAAACACCAAGAAACAATCATTTTCCATCCAATCTTTCTTGCTTTCTTCACATGAAGATAATGACCAAACTTACAATAGTCCTCTTAATATGTCACATTGCAAGTAAATAGTTAGCTGGTGGCTCTGATAATTCTAAATGCATGATTTAAACGAATGCTAAGAAGAATTTGGTACCTTTTGCCTTTTGAGCCAGCTATTCACTTTTCCCAACTGGAATACTTCATGCTCCAACTCATTGGTATAAGCCTAAAACACGAAACAAAGAACTCTCATAAGTTGCAAGTTTATATTAAATAGAAATCTTGCTTAAGATCCAAGAATTGTATTTGAACTTCAATTTTTTATGACCTGCTTCCTTGCCCTTGACCTGGCAGCTGATTCGCGGTTCTTGATCATCCTCTTCTGTCTCCTCTCTATAGTTCTCTCCTTCATTTCATCCGAAAAATGGCGCTTCCGCACAGCGGTTGCCTGAGACTCGCAAGAGGAAGCTGAAATTGCTGGCATTGGCATTGACATGCCAACTTGGTTCTCTGAGTAATCAAAATTCACAGCTGAGTTCTCATACACTGACTCACGAACCTTCAAATTTGAATCCAGCATTGTCATCTGCTGCTGAACAGCAGCCATTTGAAATTGAAGCCAATCTGTCTGCTGTGATACAACTGTTGGATCAATTGCCATGATTGGCTGAGCAGCATTCATGAGACTAGGTTGGTTCCCTATGTTAATGACACCGCCACGAACTAAAAAATGTTCGGGAGTAGCTGGAGTCTCCCCGATAGTACTCAACCGTTGCTGCAACGATTCGTTGGCCACCACGGTGTTGACATGTTCATGATGAGCTATTTCCTTCCACACCTCATCCGCAGTCTTCCTACTCAATGCTCCATTCAAGTTGAAATTCCCAAGAAAAATGAAGCCGGCAATGAGGAGGAGGAAGGGTTTTGTAGCTGCTGCCCCTCTTCAACTGATATCACATTTTTAAGCAACTCATCAAAATGCATGCCATTCAAAGGCTTGCTGTTAATATTTCCCAGGTGGCTCTGGGCCTCATCCAAATTAGAGAGATTGTAAGACTCCTGCCTAGCCAGAGGAGGAAACTGTGGCCTCTCACCTCCATTTCCAGACTCCAAAGTCCTGTCCTCCATAACCCCTTACACTAAATTTATCTAAATTATCGGAAAGCTTCTAAAAAGAAAAGTTCCCAAAAATTTGTTCACAATGAAGAAAGCTATCAGAAATGCAAGCAAAACCAAGAAGCAGCATGATCAGATTTTAAGTCAATTGATTGTCACTCACTAAACCCAGTAGAGAAAATTATATAAAAACTTACGTAAGTCAAAATTTTGAAAAGGACAGTAAAATTTTATATAGAAGAAAAGCCATCATCACGTTGTGCAATGTGGAGAATGGAAAGGTTGGTGAAGACTGGAGAGTGAGGAAGTAGTGAGAGAGTCCATAAACAAGATTTTGAGGAGCGAAATGTGAGCCGCCAGAAATGATCTGGCTGAAGTTGATTTGTTGTAGAGGATCCTATTTTCAGTGAGAAGAGATTGTAACAGAGTTGCTCATCTCAACAGCCAAACCAGATTTTCATGCTACATTTTTGGGATAGAGACACCCAACCATTCCACTCTTCTCTCTCTCTCTCTCTCTCTCTCGATTTCTACTGGATTTTCTCTTTGTTGAGTGAGAATTTTAGTGCGGCCAGTTGGTACATGACCGTTATGACAGTTAGTTCTTCTAGAAGACCTTGACAGTTATTGGACTCAGCCACACCATATACAAGGCCCCAAGGTGAAAAGATGGGCTTTCTTTGAGTTTCTTGTTGAGATTTTTAAATCCACCACCAAAATCAAACCACCAATGAATTGGGTTTTCAGATTTATGTCAATTGGTTTAGCCCAAAGTAGTTCATTCATATTGTTATTAATTTTTGTTAGTACAATCGATAGTCTAAACTACAAGAAAATGAGGGATGTTTATCACACATTATCAAGGTGCTATGAGAGTTTGAACCAAGTCTACCAGTTAACGCCATTTTCCACTACATTAGACTCCTTTAGCGATATTCGATAAGTTGATAACCGTTAAAAATTGTAAAGCAAGAGACAATGACTAAAGTTACATTACATGCATTTATTTTATACCCACAAAACAAAAACAAGAAGAAAAAAAAAGAAAAAAAAAGGAAAAGTAAATCAAGTTATCCCATCAGTCAAGAATGTATGTCTTTTCCTTTTGCCAACATGGTATTGACAATTTCACCACTCAAAATTTTCTTTTCTTCTTTTTCTTTTTATCTTAATAAAAGCTTTTTTAAGGAAATAAAAATACAAAATCACAATAAAAGCTAAAACCAACAAGGGATATAAAGAAAGGTTCCTCCTCAGCTACGGGAAATAAATTAAATAAATACAATAGTATTCTGAGTGTGATAATTTTCCATGAGTGGTGGTTGTCGATAACTTTATAAGAGAACACTGTACTTGATTTGTTTTTACCTTGGCTTGTCCTTTTGAGCCCAGGATTGCTCCAAGAAATAAAAAAAGAGATTATCCTCAAACCCATGAAAGCTTATACATTCAACCCAAACAAGAAAAAAGAAAAGCAGAATCTACTTTCTCATGCGTGGCTCAAAAAGGACTTCCTCTTGCACCACCAAAACAAGCATAATATTGGACAGAAGAACAAACATGTATGGTTGTTGTTGGAACACCTTCTTTGTTTTCCCATATGCCTTCTATATTCTTAAATAGTTGCACCAAGTACCAACAATTAGATCACGCATAGTACTTGACCCACAAACAAAAAAAAAAAAAAAATTTGGTGTGAATCATTTTTGGGGTTTGAATATAACAAAGATCTCTGCAGAAAAGCAGAGAAAACAAAAATAATGAATGAATGAGTGGGAGGGGATCAAAGTGGCAAGTTGTAAAATTATTGCAGCATTGTGAACCCTACTTATTGATTAAGTGAATGACGTCCGCGTGTTCAAGTATGCCGTGACAAGAAAAAGAGAAAGAAATGTTGATAAAAAAAGGCGGCTTGGTTTAAAGCCACACTAGGATCTCGTGTCAATTTTGTAAAGAGTCATCAATTGGTATATAAAGAATTACACCATACATACCAATGTCGATGTCGTATGATAAAATTCTATATCCGTTTAATAACCCAGATAGCTAAGTTTTGATAAAATATCGACCTGTTTGGTGTAAGCATGAGTTCGTGACAGCAAAAAAGAAGCTTTTTTTTTTAAATAAAAAAAAAGTGGGAAAGTTGCAATCACATACATCAATTATTTCCTATGATTTCCCATAAACGAATAGAATTTGAGTATTTGACAATCACCATGCTAATGGAGAATATTTGAAGCCGTATAATGCTGGTAAGATAAATGGTTGGTGTTTCGACATGCTTTTCTTTTTGACTATTTTTCAATGATCCCTTCGTGTGGAGGATCAGTTCACATAACATGGGACTAGCTTGGTCACTAGAATCTCATCTGAGGACTAACCCACTTTGATAGTTAGGCCATATTCGGCTGCACTTGGCGTGTACTTTTGTGCCATCTTTTGCAAATACATACATTAATTATAAAAAGGAATATGAAGAAAGAAACTTGTTTTTTAATGGAAGCTTCAAATTTCTATTGCTTTGACCTCAACAAATGCATAATGAATTGCATAGGTTACATTGCTTAAGCACCATCAATTACACGATTCTCTTCCCCTATTTGGAGTGATTCGTTGAATGCAAAGTATTGCACCATATAAGATCTTGAGTCTAATCATCCTATACAATTACATGTATTACGATTTATCTCAAAATTTTATACTTTACTCTAACTTATAGAAACGATAATTTGAACTCAAGTGAAAAGAAGACATGCACACTATTCTGGCCAACCAACGTAATCCACGCATCTAAAATTTGTTTATATTTAAGTTCACTTTAAATCTAATTTAGTCTTAACAAGTAAGATATTGACAAGTCACATACCACATCATATCATTTGGTGATTAGAATTTGAGAAGAAGAGTTGTAAGGAAGAGAAGAAAACATAAAGTTAAAAAGGGAAGGAAAAAAAAAAGGGAGGGAAGGCGTGGGCAGGGGGAGAGACCAAAGTCCAAAAAAAATGCCTTTTAGTAAATGATTTTTCTTAAAGTTATGTCATGCTGGAGATGCGTTCGGTATAAGCACTAGAAAAATCACTTTAGATTTTCATTAGTGATGGGAGTTGGGAAGCAGATGCCATTAGCTCATGGAAACAAATTATTTATAAATAGAAAGAAAAGATAAAAAAGCTTGAAAAGAAATCAAGGTCCCATCATCCCTAAGCATTATAAATAAAGCAAAAGTGAGGGAGCCCTAATTTTATTCAGATTAATCTGACCCTTATGGATGATGCATGACTGTCTTTCGTTTTTGAAATGAATTTATATACCCCAAAGAACATGCGTGCTAGCACAAAACTGACCAATTTTTTTTATTTCTTTAGTTACTTAATTCATTTGTTTATCATATGTGATGGCAACAGCAGATATCGTTTTAGTAGATATTAGATTCTGATTAGATTTAGAAAAGAAAAAAAATCTCTTTATGGATCAAATACATGATTTTTTATTTTTTTTAAATATAAACAATATTGAAGGAAAACGAAATCAAATATAGAATCTACGTTGCATAGATAAATATTCTTAATTACTTAATTACAATTTCTTATAAGTTATTTATATTATTTTATTTAGAATATTCATGTTGTTATCTGATTCTTAGTTTAGCGGTATTTCTCTTTCTAATATTAAACGATGTCTCGAATTTAAAACCTAACAACTTTAAGAACCTTAAACCTTAAAGTAGTATACATAATAAAAATTATATTTGGTGTAAAGCAACCTAATTAATTGATTACTTTTTTCAATGTTAATCGCTTGATTAGTTGTAGTAAATATCATAGCTCAATAATTGGTGATCACCCTGGTGGCGATCATGGCCAAACATAAAGCATAATCTATTATATGTAATTTAGAAGGCCACTTGGCTTTTTGTCGTTTTTTCTAGGCTCTGTTTGGTTTTTTTGCTTGCTTTTTCTTGCACTGTGTGTGTGCTTGGTTGACGCAGCATTTCGTCTTACATGGTATCCACAGTGGCAGTGCACCATTATGCTCTACCAGAACGAAAGAAAATAGAATATGACATCCAATATGGCAACACATTAGTAATGCTATCTTGTTCGATTTATCTTTTCACCTTGAATTTAGAGTAATTTTTAAGTATAATAGTCACGTTGTCACACGATGTTATTAGACTTTGTCGTCCATTCAAAATTTAACATGTGAATTAGTAACATCATGTGACAGTGTGACCGTTATGTTACAAAATTTTTCGTAAAGTTTATACCTCGTATTCATATAAAATTTAACACGATCGGTGATGTAGATTTGAAATATTAAACCCATAAAATAGTCTAATATAATAGCATTTCTAACGTGTTGGATATTCACTTTGAATTCTCACAATTGTTAAATTGTATGTGATCAAATGCAATTGCTATTTTGGATGTGGTAGCCATATGTACATTCCATTTGGCAAAAGGTTTTACATCCATTGTGGAGGCTTTTAATAATAGCTTCCTAGTTGATGGGAAAGTACCAATTTTCTTCCATTTTATCTACTTTTTCATGGACAATGAACAATCCTATTCGGGGTCGTTTGGTACGGCGGATTGTTATGGACTGAACTAAGTCCTAGGACTGTCTGGGATTAGCTCGGATTGGCCTAAGCTGGATTAAATACTAACCTACGTTGGTGTTGTGTCAGACTAAAATGCTGGATTGTAAAAATAGTGCAAACCTATGTTTCATGCTATGTCGGACTAAATTTTTTTTTTGTAATATTTAAATTTAATTGGGGATTTTGACTTTAAAAAATATATAAATTTAATTAAGGATATTTAATTAGGGCTGATGTGTGAAAAAATAATATTATAATTATAAAATTATAAAATAAAATAAAAAAAATTCCATTCTCTCATTCTTTCCTCTTCCTTCCTCTCTCCCCACACCACAACTTTTCACAAACCAATTACCACACCACAAAATTAAAATTTAAAAAACAAAACGCCCAATTGCCCAAAGCACAATTGGAATCGTAATTATCCCTTTCTTCTTCTTTGGCCATTACCAGAATGATGGCCGCTTGGCTCCGATCAGCGGAAGCAGCTGAAAGACATCTTCATGCGATTTGACATGGACTCTGACAGCAGCCTCACCCAGCTCGAGCTTGCTGCCATGCTCCGATCTCTTGGCGTCAAGCCCACCGGCTACCAGCTCCAAGTCCTCCTTGCCAACGGAAACGGCACCGTCGAGTTCGACGAGCTAGTCACCACCATCTTGCCCAACATGAACGAGGAGATCCTCATCAACCAGGAGCCGCTCATGGAGGTCTTCCAGTCGTTCGAGAGGAAGAGAATGAGAGAGTGAAAGCTGTGTTGGTCAGACTCGTGCGTTCAAAATAGCACACTCGCTATTTTGCGAACCACATTTCATCCTCGTTGTATTGAACGAGCGAGTCTGGTGTTTTTTTGACTCATGGACTGTACAATCCCATTCATGTTAGTCCCTCTTTCACCAAACGTGGGTTTCAAAGTGTTATTTAACACTGTCCTGGGTAGTCCAGCCTACCAAACATGCCCTTTCATGTACTAGTTTTCGACTATCTTTGTTGATGGAGATTAATAGATGTAATGAAGAATTGATCGACTCCTATGTCACGAAAAAAAAAAAAAAAAAAAAAAAAAAAAAAAAAAAAAAAAACCCTTCTTTCAAGGACAAAATTACATAAAACCCCCTAAATTATAGGGTTATTTTTAAGTTTATCTTCAATTTTAAAGACATTTACGAGTACATATTCAAACTCCCGAAAAACCTACAAATTTTCCTATATCACTGATGCTAAGAACAGATATATAACTAAATATCTCCAATTTCTTTCTAGTAGGAGACACTGGGGACGGTCAGACAGTTCACAAGCATGTTGGACCTCTGTTCAACTTGTGTCCCATTTTAACTTATTATTCTGGAAATTACTAAACTAACCTTATTCCTTCGAAACGGACCTGCATTCTCTATGCTCACCGCCCACGCTTTGTCACCGACCTTCCAGTACTCTCCACCTGGCGTTTCAAATGTAAATGATGTCATTCACGCCAAACGTCATTTGGCCTTTTTCACGAATCTTCACTCAAGTTATTAGTATGTGTAATTCTATTAAAATTTCTCATTTTCTTTTAATCCAGTGCTACCTCGCATTGGAAGAAATTGTTGAATTTTCTCCGGATCGACTTTATGCTCAATTTGTTTTTCAAAGCCAGATGCGGTAAGTTTATCAGCGGCAATTGTGATTATAGTACTCATTTAGATTTGTGAGTTGTTTTAGAGTTTCAGTTATTTTGAATTTGTGAATTCGTGAGTTGTTTTAGAGTTTCAGTTATTTTGAATTTTGTGAATTCGGCTTGAAATAATGTTTGATTTTAGTAAAGTGGGTTCGACTAGAGATCATCTTTATGTGTATTTTGTTCGATTTAGTTTTTCCTATTTGAGCTCGTTGATTTTGTTGTATTTTCGGACTTGATGCTTTGATTGTATTTTTGAAAATTTGCTATTTGATAAATAAATAAATAAATCTTAGTAGACTACAATTTTTAAGATCAATCGATAAATGTATAATATATATAAAAAAATCAATTGATAATAATACATGGATTATAATTTGAATAAATTCGATACACAGTATCCGTATGCTCCATGATATCTAAAATACACACAATTATTTCTTTCTTTTGTTTTTGTTTTTGTTTTTTTTTCCTTTTGTTGCAAAAGTAAAGAAAAAAAGTTTTGAAAAAGACGTTAGTGGGGACGTTGCGACGTTAACGGTTTACTGTGGTGCTTTGAGAAAAGAATGAATATTATAAGGTGGACACAGAGCTTATGGTTCTTGCAAAGTTTGCTTAAAAATGCTCTGAGGAATTGGCTGACAATGATTCCCAACAAAAATTGGGTCACACCAAATGATCATGAGAATGTTGAATTCTTTGGGTCCTCAAAACTCTACCCAGAAAACCCAATTAAGTTCCCACTCCCACAACTGAAAAAATAAAAATAAATTAAAAAACCTTCAAGCTTTGAGGCCACAAAGTTTGAGTCTTTTCAGAAAAACCTGGAAAACCCAAGAATATTTGCTTGTGACTTTGTTGGGTTTGAATGAATCAGAGCTTTGGTGAGAAAGATATTCATTTTTTGTTGGAATTATAGGCTTCACTGAGAGCTCAATTAGGCATGTTACAAGAGGTAATAATGTCAGTTTTTTCTTTCTCATTCTCTATATGCAGTACATGTGTTTATGCAAGTACTTTAGATAGTATATAATATATAGCTGCAGATTATCACTTCCCCCCCAACTTTTTCCTGATCTTTATCCACTTCATCAAGATTCATCTGGTTTATTTAAAGTGAAAGTTGTTAGTGTTGTTTAGGCAAGCCTTTAATGAATGAATAAATATGCTTCTTCTCTTCTGTGCTTTTATTGTTTCTTCTGGTTTGGGCACAAGGCTGGATTTGCTTAGACTCAGTATTAGGACATCTGAACAACTATTTCACCATGCAAATTCTTTTCTTTTTTTGAGGTTCCAACTTTCTGATGCTGCGCGATTTGTTCCAATCCCACTTGTTAACTTTACGTTTTCTGTTTCTTGCTGTGCTGTCATGTTCATAGGTCTTAATCTTGGAGCAAAATATGCAGTTGTGTTTTTGCAGCAGAGTGATTATGAGTGCTGTTTGTTTACTTGTTTGTTTGTTTGTTTGTTCAATTTGTTGATAGAGAATGAGCTATCCATCAACTCAATTTGCCACCTCAAGACAAATGGGGATATACGAGCCGTTTCGACAGGTTGGTGTGTGGAAAGAAACATTCAGGGGTGATCATAGCTCAAACACAGGTGCTTCTTCAATTCTAGAAGTGGATGCTGGGATAGAAACCAAGGTGAAGTTAAATGAAGCTTGGTCCCTTTTTCTTCAATGTTAGATTCACTGTACTTTTACTTCATGAACTTAAATTGATTCTCTGATTCTTCTCCTCCAGATTGGATATGTTTCTCATGAATCCTTGGCACCATCTGGAAATGATCAAGAACCAAACAGATCTTCTGATAAGGTGATGGTTTTGCTTCCCACCCCACCTCTTCTTACTTTCTTGTACTGCTGACCAAAAAAGAATTTGTTTGGTTGAACTGATGACACAGGAAGAAAAATTATTTACCAGCTAATTTACCTGTTCATTTGCTACCTTCATCGTATATTTCAGCTCTTTAGAGTTATATATATTCGGATTGACTTGTATTCATATGGTACTTTCTTTGACTAGAGCACATAAGGGCACCTTCATACAGCATGGTCTGGCGGAAAATTAAATATGTGATTTGATGAAGCTGTTTTCTTTCTTTCTTTTTTCTTTTTCCTGTAAACGGACTTTGAAGTGTAAATATCTATGTACAGGTACAGAGGCGCTTAGAACAAAATCGTGAAGCTGCTCGCAAAAGTCGTATGCGGAAAAAGGTGAATATGATTATAAATCACCTACAAGTCTTTCACTGATGTTTTTTCATTCCTAGAACTTGTGATGTTATTTGAACAATCTCATCTTGTTCTACCATAGGCTTATGTTCAACAACTAGAAACAAGCCGCTTAAAACTGGCACAACTGGAGCAGGAACTTGACAGAGCTAGAAAACAGGTGAGGGAAAATTACCCTTATTTGTCTTTGTTCATGTTACCATCAGATGTATATCCTTTTTAGTCAGCATTGAAATATAATTTCATCAGATAAACCGGTGGCTGCCTGATTTGCAGGGTGCCTATGTAGCCAGTTCATTAGGTACAAGTCATATGGGATACAATGGAGCTTTGAATTCAGGTTTGTGATTCTGAACTGTTTTAAATTGTTTTGAACAGTTCCAGCTATGGAAAATATTGCCCTTAATGACCTAACTACCAATTAGTTTTCAGTAATTTAAGTCGTACCTTCTATTGCATTATGTTAATTCAGCTGTGAATCTTGCAGGGATCACTACATTTGAGATGGAATATGGACATTGGGTTGAAGAACAACACAGACAGAATGTTGAACTCAGAAATGCATTGCAAGATCATGGAACCGATATAGAACTTCTTCGAATACTTGTTGAAAGTGGCTTGAGCCACTACGCTAATCTTTTCCGGATGAAGGCAGATGCTGCAAGGGCTGATGCCTTTTACTTACTGTCTGGCATATGGAGAACATCAGTAGAACGCCATTTTCACTGGATTGGAGGATTTCGCCCATCAGAGCTTCTAAATGTAGGGCGTAATTTAGTTCAACTCAGCATTTGAGGACTGCAGGGACTTGATTTTTTTGGTCATTATTTCTGATAGGCTATAGTGCAATTTAGTTCATCCAATGTGTAACATACTGCATTGTTTTCTTCATTCAGATTGTGTTGCCACAGCTTCAGCCATTGGATGATCCACAATTTGTGGATTTCTGTAACTTGAGACAATCGTCTCAGCAAGCTGAAGATGCTCTCACGCAGGGAATGGAGAAGCTTCAGCAGAATTTGGCGTTGACCATAGCAGGTGATCAAATCAGTGGAGAAAGTTATGGATCTCAGATGGCTACTGCATTGGAGAAGTTGGAAGCACTGGAGACCTTTGTGGGCCAGGTGATGTATCAATTAGGATTGAAAGCAAATTGCATAAATCCAACACTCATTGGCTTTCTTCATGATGAAATGATCACATTGAGAGATTTTGGATCTTTGTTGTCAAAAGGGTTTAAATAATGCACCATCAAGATTTAACTGTAAATCTGCTCTATAATATTTCATGAATTTAAAGTCATAAACACATGTACACATATGACTCCCCATGTAAATATGCTGAACTGCATATGTTGTTGCTCTTGTCCAAGACAGGCGGATCACCTCCGGCAGCAAACTCTGCAGCAAATGTCTCGAATCTTAACGACTCACCAGGCAGCTCGAGGCTTGCTTGCGCTCGGAGAATACTTTCACCAGCTGCGTGCCCTCAGTTCTCTTTGGACTGCCCGTCCCCGTGAACTGACATAGTCAGCTGCAAGCCTCATCTGCTTAAATATATATTCTTTTCCAATCAACTTGCCTTGTTTCAGAGGTTGTAAATATGTTCAGCTTAGTGGCTGCCTGAGAGTACCAATTCAAAACATATAGGTTTTCAAGTCATATGTCTCCAATGCCTGTAGCATATTAGCTAGTTTGTTGGGTAGATTGATTTGAAATGCAAGATGAATTAGCTGTTACTTGTAGTGTAAATTCGCTTGAGACAATTATTGCCATATGCATGCCAGCAGTTACTATTTCTATTTTATTAAGGTTTGGTCAGGGAGTGAAATGTGCAAATTGTTCTTCTTCTTGTTGTCATCTCCCTGAAGTTATATATTATTCGGAATTCATATTCCTGTTTGCCTGATGATTTGCACATTTGATCAATAGCAGAATTATGTTCCTGGTTTTAAAGTACAAAATATGTAATACATACTCGTGTTTATGAACACAGCTTAATCAAATCGTGAAAGATTCTCTTATCAGATAAGCTCACGTGGAATATAATCTTATGATACGATTCATTTTATCAATTTGATAAAGTAAAAGAATAGTAATCCATAATTATCAATTTGATTATAAACTTCTAATCAACATAACTAGCAATTTGACAAAAGAGAGGCCCATCTCAATTAGCACTTAATTTATGATCAATTAATTATTAGACTCTAATTGTCATGGATGAATATTTGCTTTTGTGAAATGAGAAAGAGGTTTTATTTATATTATTGTGGTGCCTCTAATATTTTTTAAAAAGAAAAATACCACATTTTCCCCTTTTTTTCTTTTTTCTTTTGGCGGGTACAGTCCGAAGTCCTAGCTGTCATGCTACGGGAAGCCAAACCGTCCACAAAAATTTCCCGGGTAAATTAAATATAAAAAAAGAGGAAAATATAAATACCAAAATTACAAATTAAAGAAAAATACAGGAAAACTCAAAGATTCAGTCAGATTCGAAGAAATGTTCATTATCAGAACCTTTTCACTTTCTTCACGTCTTCAACCTTCGTAACCCCAATTGTTACCCCAAGAGCAAACCCTAATTTTTATTTCTAATTTGATTCTCTTCATTTCCTTCTAATCGGTCGGAGGTCTGAGCTGAAAGCCTGAGATAGTACGCGAAAAAAATGAGCAATTTGAGAACCATCTGTAGGCCCCACACGGTCTTCACCTCCTTCATGTGTTGCAGACACCAAGCTCGCTTTAGCTCTAGGGTTTCATTTCGAAACCCTAATTACAACCCTCGTTTTGCGCCTGTGTCCGATTTTGCAAGATTAAATTGGAGCGGGTCCTGGTTCAGAGTGAATCAGAGGAGAACCATGGTTAAGGCATCCAATTGGGACCAACCCAAGTCTCCCTACGAAACTCTGGGTGATTGAATCTTTCTTAACTGGGAAAAGTTTAAAGCTTCACGCTTTGATTTTGTGAATTCTGGTATTTCTAACAAGTTCATTGTTTCTGTTTTTTTTTTTCAAACACAGAACTAGAGAGGGACGCTGATGACGACCAGATCAAAATTGCTTACAGACGTTTGGCCAAATTTTATCACCCGGATGGTTTGTTCCTTTGTCTTCATTAGAAATGCTTTTCAAACCTTTTTCATATCTGTAAATTGCTAGTATAATCACAAATAAAAAGAAACATTTTGTAAGGAAATGATGTATGTAAAAAAATTAGTGGTTCAATTAGGTGAAACCCTTTTTCTTGAATCTATTGGCCATAATGAAGGGTGCCTTTGTTTTATTTTTTATTCGGTCATGTTAATTCTAATATGAGAACCTTTTTTTAATTTTTTTTATACAATCGATATTCTACTTTAATCTAATCTAAATTATGGGGAATGAGATTCGAACCTGGGTGCAGAGTGGGGAGCACATCCACCCTAGCCAACTTGGCTAAGCCCATGTCTGCCAGCATGAGAACTTTTTGGATGCAACAAAGTTATAGTGCAAAACAGAAACTATTAGGACATTGAGAATTGTTATTTGCTTTTCTTCCTTAATTTTCATGTAATATTTTACTATCTTTCCTTGTGTATTAGATAGGTGCATGTATTTTTATTTTTATTTTTAAGTTTGGTCGTGAGTGAATGCTCTTTGCAATATATTTGTCCCCTTTGCTTTCTATTGATTTTTGGGCTTAAAATTTTGTCTTTATTCTCTGAATTTTAAGTTGATCTGATTGTCTTTCTCTTTTCTAGTCTATGATGGTAGAGGGACCCTAGAGGAGGGTGAAACAGCTGAAGCTAGATTTATAAAGATTCAAGCTGCTTATGAGTTGCTCATAGATGAAGACAGGAGGGGACAATATGATAGGGCTAACCGAGTCAACCCAATGAAAGTAAGATTCGTAGTTCGCATTTTAATTACAGTGAACTTTCTTGCTGATTATTTTAGGATATAGAAATGCTAATGTTTTGAGCATAAATACGAAAATGTAAAGTAGATTCATGAGTTGTATGATAATTTATTAATAAACTGATAGCTTGGCTCCTTTATTATTATTTTAGTAATGGATTCTTTGTGTGGACTGTTATATCAGGCATCTCAAGCATGGATGGAGTGGCTAATAAAAAAGAGAAGAGCTTTTGATCAGCGAGGTGATATGGCAATAGCAGCTTGGGCAGAGCAACAGCAGCGTGAGCTGAATATTCGTGCACGTCGACTTTCTCGTTCCAAGGTATAGAATCGTTCTTTTAGTACATGAGTTAGCTGTACAAAATTGTTTATGTAGTTCGCATATGAAAATAAAAACAATATATGCTGCAGAGCCTTGCCTTTTGCGGGATGTAAAAGCATCAATGGCAACTATATATCCTACTTGTCTCTTATCATTACTGACCCAATACTCTGTTCAAAAAGCTCATGCTCATTTCTATTATCTCAATTTTATAAGTAGCATCAAGCTATTATGTCATTTTATTTTGGCTGCATTCTCTCTTACTTAATGCCTAGGGCCATTGGAAATCCAGGTTGACCCAGATGAAGAGAAAAGAATCCTAGCAAGAGAGAAAAAGGCCTCGGCAGAGTATTTCTCCAGTACCCTCAAGCGGCATACGCTAGTGTTAAAGAAAAGGGACATAATGAGAAGGAAAGCAGAGGAAGAGAAGAGAAAGATCATCGGTCAGCTTTTAGCGGCAGAGGGACTTGAGCTCGACACAGATGATGAAGAGTCACGGTAGAGAAAAATTTACTCATTGGCTTCCGACATTGTATTATAGAATACCTTTTGGATTGGCCCATGGAGACAAATCCTTCCATATTTGTGTTGTACAACGAAAGTAGAAAGAATCTGTATATATATCTCCCGTTGGAGAAATTTATAGAAATTAATGAGAAATTTAGATTTTATTAAATCAGTGCATGCCTCTGCCTGTATTTGTACATGCTTCAAAGAGATCTCTAAATTTTCAAAATGTTTGAGCAGCCTTGAACTTAGCCGAAGTGTTTGACAACGCCAATTTAAAAATATAAGGTTTCAATAAGAACTCAGCTTTATTCACCAGAACTTTACAGTTCCTCGAAATAAGAGAGATAATTACAACTTCATCATCTCCCCTCAAAAGTATGATATACATGTTACAAGTAATTTGATTACTTTGAAGAGCATATTATGCTTAACAATCTTTTGCTTGGTAAAACTAAGTACTAAAAGAAAATGTTGCCATCTTCTTAAACAGAAACTGTTATTTGCGCCGATCCTCTATCAGATGAAATCGAGCTTTACTCATCATATATCAGAATTGTTGACATACGCTGAATGCCTCTCCACAATAAGTTCGATAAGCGGACTTTCCACATCATTATCACCGAGAGAATTGTTTCGATGAACTGAAACTTTTTCGTTACTTCTGACAACTACAACCTCTTCCTTGCGGGTCGAAAGTTCATTCGCTACAACCATATGCATCTTGTACTTCTTGAGAGCCATATCAGCCTTCTCTAAAAGAATCTTCGAATCCGTCTCTAGCTGTTTAGACAGTCATGTCAAAGGTTTTTATTCCAATAAAGTAATACTGCATCTTGCAAGTTCTGTAATTTACTTTCATTATGGATATGACAGGTGAGCCAGTTGAGCAGGGGGACTAAACTATCCATTTTTAAAATAAAAACATTAAGAAATTAGAGAAAGTTAAGGGGTATGATACTTAATGGTATATATATGATTGCATCGTACATGTCGGGGAAGATATACGCATCTACTTTCTTTGAGACTGAAGACATAATGGACAACTTCAACTTGAGTCAGTTAACTCAACCTTTTATATTTTTCATGTCTAATGTAACACAAACACAAAGATTAGAACTCAGTTAAATAAATTGGGCCAAAAAAAATCATGTACTGTTGACCCAGCCTCGCCCACAACCCTTCTGGACAAAAGGCCATACATACTGCTAATCCCCAGATACAGGAAAAACAAATAAGGACTAAATTGCAGCAACAGAACTCATGAACAGATAAAATTTATGGATATGCCAGTAACTAAAGATAAGCAGAAGCTTCATATCTAACCTTGAAAGATATACAAAAGGCCTTTGGTGCCCAGTCTTGCCTAAGCACTAAGAGCATCTTTGGCACCTGAACAAGTCGCATGTCCAACGGACCAGTCCCTGACTGAATTTTGTGTTCAGCCTGCACAATCCTGCTTTATTAAGAAAATGGTGCAGCTGATGCTTATTCTTGGATGAAACTTGTACATATACAGGATGGAGGAGGATACTGATTCTTTTTCCTTTATTTCATAAGCAAACTTCCCAATGACTAATCGCCAGCAGATTTTTATTTAAACAAGCTATTAAACATCAAAGATTCACATGTCAAGCCGTTCCCGCCCACTTAGAATAATATTGAGGTCATAAAAATGTCTAGCACTTCGCAAAGGACTAGCTTATATTATTTGACTCCAGAGGTTCATATATGCCACTAAAGAAATGCAATCAAGCTTCCAAGGAACATAGTCAAGCTATTGCTACCCCTTCCAATGAATATTGAGGTAAAAAAAACACATCCTCTAGCAATTTTAAAAGGGCTGCGCTTATGTAATCTGTCTGCTGACGTACAGCAAGAAAAACAGAGTAAAAAGCACAACACAAATTTTCAACATATTTACCATGCTCTTCCAAGGAACATAAAAGTCAGACACTGCCGCTGCAAGATAAAGCATTGCATGTGGTCCAAGACTTCTCATTGATAAAGCAATCATCTGCAACATCTGCTCATATTACAAAGACCAATTAGTCAAGCATAGGAGAATAACTATTATATCTAAAACAACCGACAACATTTTGTGTTCAAAAATTGTATTCAACAACTGAAGCGAACCTGAAGATACTCAAATATGGTTGTAAAGGGAAGTTTCAACAAGAGGCTTCCTGTTACTGCCTGCAATAGAATACGGCCCACAAACATTCATTGTTACATTGAGCTATTATAGACCAGGAAAACAGTCAAATTACAGAGTGGGTAAAAAAAGTTAAATGCGGAATAAGTAAATACATATACTACTGAATGCATGATAAATATAAGTGGTCCATACAGCACGATTCTTAGTGATGGCGTTCCTCACTGCTTCAGAATGTGGCTGGGACACTGGAATGTGAAACAAAGTTCAGTCATCTGAGCAGGAACCGTCAAAGGTTTGTATAATATTAATTGTGAGATTTGATTATTTGGCATCACCTGGAAGCTGCTAAAGAAAAAATACTTGAAAGATTCTGGTTTCCCATCTCCCCAAAACCCAATAATCAAGCACAATCAACTCCCTTAGAACAAAAAAAATCCAATCTTTTCTAATACTCTACCAAACATGTCAAAACAAATGGCTACAACAATGTAGCTGACAAGGAGAAAGTGTTATGTAGCCTATCAGACTCATTGGCAATTAGGCCATGTTTGAGTAGTGTACTTATAGAGCCATTGCACAATGATTGTGTTCCCATCACATATTGTGGCCTTTTCTCAAGGTAGAAATTTTTGTTGCTGGAATAAATGGTATGAACTAATTTAAGTATATTTTGTCAGACCTAAACTTGAGAGGGAGGGGTATAAGTTTTCACTACAGTCATCCATGTGCATTTCTATTCTAAATACAAAAAGAAAAACATATTACAATAACTACAAACCTTTAATATTTGACTCATCCATATATTCAAAACATTCAAGCAAGGGATCATCGGGAAGAGATCTGCAATATGGCTGGCAAGTTCCCCTGCATAACATTTAAGGAAAATCTAAAAAATATAAGCAATAAGTCTATACTACCGTAAAATTGTTGAAATGAATAGAAGATATATAAAATGGTAAAACAGAAATTACCTCCGATAAAGAAAGATAACAGCATAACCTGCCTTCAAAAAGTACCTGCAATATTATCAGGCAAGTTTAATCTGTAAGTCTGTAATATTAAAGATGGCATACTCAGCGAGTTGTAAGGTTATATACTCTGTGGATGCTGCTCCTCTATAACCTGAGCTGAAGTTGTCGATGTAGCGAACACATCGTTGCTCTAGAGGAACTGTGGTACCCCCCGATGTCACACAGACAACCTTCCTAACTCCTCCGCTTCCTACATAACATGTCAAATCAATCAAAATCCACTGAACCTAAGGTGATCAATGAAAAATATAACTGTGACAAAGCAAAAAGTGAACATGCCAGAAGGTAATGAATTCTTCTTCACAAATTCCTCGAGTTTTTCACTGATATCAACTCTGTTCTTCAAAGGAGGAGCTGAGTCAAAAAAGGCTTGGATTTCTGCATCCAGTGTTTCTTTTGGAATTTCCAACCCATTTGTTAGAGACATTTGCAATTGCCTGCAATCCAATTTCTTATCAAAAACCCACAATATGATTTCATGTAAATATGCAAATGCACCGCCAACATACAGAGAGATTAGTAATTAAAACTTTCCAACTTGGTACAAGGTTCACTAGTCTGAAGATTATGAAGTTACCCTCATAACTCAAATTATAAACCATCTGCTAAGTAGGAAAATGACTACACGAAACAGATTTATTAAGGTAGAAACTGAACACAGTTGAGACTAAACTGAGGATCAACTACATATAAACCCCAGCCGCACCAACCCCACACAACAACCCACCAGCCACCTCCCCAACTCTCCTGCCCTTACACCACCGCCACCTTCTTCGTCTCTCTCCTCCGCCTACACCACCTCCTTCCTCTCTCTCCTCCGCCTACACCACCTCTCTCTCTCTCTCTCTCTCTCTCTCTCTCTCTCTCTCTCTCTCTCTCTCTCTGCCCCAACTCTTCAGAATTTCATACGCAATCATGAAAAAGGTGAGAGGACAGATATGACATATATGGAAGGGAAATCAAACTGAATGCCTTTACGTAACTACTAAGCATTTCGTTTGATGGAGAGGTCCTCAAGTTTAATCCAAAATACAATCACGACATTGCTAACCATATAAAATTGTAACCCATAATACAAATTCAAAACCAAAAAAATCCGAAAAATCAAAAGGGATTAGAGCATTGATGGGAAGTTGAAAGCTTACCTAAAGAACAAAGACAATGGCAAACTTGGTTGAGAAGATTTGAGAGCTCAAAATATAAAGAAAAGGATAGGTAATTGTAAAATGGGGCAAAGATACCCCTAAATTCTCAACCCCAAAATATGTATGCTGGGATATTAAAGCAGAGATTCATTACAAATCAGAACCAAATTGGTAATGAATCCCCCAGTATCTTTGAATTGCGAAGAAACTCAAATGCATAGAACTAATACAAAAAGGAAAATTTGCCACACAAAAAAACCTGTATAGAGAGACCTGAGAGCAGCTGGTGAAGAGTTGGAACGGGTTTGGTTTTTGATGCAGAGAGACGGTGCCTGTTTGAAGATTGGAAAGAACAACAATTTATTTTGGGTTGTGTACTTTTAAACTTGTTACAAGTATGGAACGTTGAGATGTTTCACAGCCGTCTATTCCCGCGAAATATGTAAATGATGAAAATCAATGGACATGAATGTGACTGTGCGAAATCCAACCATAGTTGACCCCACCCACTCTATTTCGGCAGTCCAATTTGACTTGGTGTATAATTAATTATGAACACAATTTGTAAGGAGATTGTAGTTTAAATGATTAAGAATATTTATCTATTTCTAATTTGGATTTTCCTTCCCTTTTTCAATGGGTAAATAGGGTTTAGGAAAATACTGCTTGTAGGTTGTATACAACAAAAAACAAAAAGAAAGTCGAAACAAATTTCTTAAGAAAATAAAACCAGATTAAAGTGAAGGAAAATACTTCCCTCTTAACTCCATATTTAGGAACTCCTATATTACAGCAAATAACAATATGATACGCGTGTATAAATTTTTTTTATTTTTATACTTTTAATTAATTATTTTTGTACATATGTCAAACTGTGAAACACCTAATTCCACGTAAAGAACCAAACAATATCCAAAGAGAGAGGTAGCAAAATTAAGGTAAAGGTTTTTTTTTTTTTTTTTTTTTTTCGACAAACAAATAAGATAAACGTGCGTGGTATATCTACCTACCACAATAAATTATTAAATAACATAACTAGGAAACAATAAAAAAGGAAACCGGGTATTGAACCCGACGTGAATCGAACACGCAACCTTCTGATCTGGAGTCAGACGCGCTACCATTGCGCCACGGATCCGGTTGTTAAACTTCTTGCGTTAGTTTATATATATATTAACTCTCTAACTAAGCGACGTCGTTTCCTAACTGCTCATTAAGTAGGTACACTGCCAAAACGCTTCAAAAGAGACTTCCCGCCAGAGCCCAACCGTTTAACAGCTGGAACATCACAGCCGTCTTCTCCAAGTAACCCCTCATTTCCCCACATTCTTGCAGAGAACCCAACAATGGCCTTCGACCCATCAAAGCTTCAGACCCAAATCGACATCAAGCCTCCACCGCCTCCGTTCTTCACCGAATCAGCTTCCGAATCCCTCCAAGAACCCAAGCTCTCCTTCTTCGCCTCCCGCTACCGTCGTCCTCGCCGCCGTCGAGCTGACACGTGGCTCATATCGCTCTTTGTTATTCTTCATATCGTCGCCTTCATGGCCACCATGGTCGTCAACGACTGCTGGAGCAAGTCTCATGGCGACTGTGCTCTGAAAGCCTTTGGGAGGTTGTCGTTTCAGCCGCTCTCCGAGAACCCACTCTTCGGCCCTTCGGCTTCCACGTGAGCTTCCCTTGCTCTTGTTTTCAAGCTTTTTATTTTTATTTTTTTTATTTTAAGTGAGGATGAGTTTTCTTGGTGAAATCTTGGTAGGTTTTGTGTGAGTTTATGTGGGTTCTCTCTGTTTGTAAGGTTACTGAGAAAATGTGGGAGAGAAGTAAAAGAAATGTTCGTTCTTTGGGTTGAATTAATCTCTTCTGAGATCTTTCATCTTAAATGTTCGTACTGTGTATCTGGCTGCTGTGATCAATTTTGAGCAATTGGTTGGATGTTGCGTTAGTCTAATTAGGTTTTCTCTGTTTGGTTGCTGAGAAAACAAAGAAACTCGTAAATAAATAGAAAGGTTTTATTTTTCTCTTTTCACATAGTTTCCTTTATTATTTTTAAGTCTCATCAAAGGGATACATCCGATTGTTGTCACTGGCTTTTAGAAACTGTATCAAAAATTTTCTTATAGAACACATTTGGTTCTTCAGTTCTGTGATCGTCCTAAAGGTTTTGTTGCCAAAAATTCGGTTGCCTGTTCTGTGGAGGCTTTGGTAGAATTCAAAGTGATTTTTGTAGTCTTAGAATTTGGCCTCATCTATCGAATTGTATGAATTAAGAGATTGTTAGAACGGTGATTCTAAAATCTGTGTTTGAGAATGCATGAACATGTTTGTGGTTTCTGGTACATATTTTCTTTTGTCCTTCAGACCTAATGTTAGTGGCATTGCAGGCTTGATGAAATGGGAGCTCTTCGACGGACTTTTTTGACAGAGAACCACCAAACTTGGCGTCTTTTCACATTTCCATGTCTGCACGCCGGAGCCATCCACCTTGTGATCAACCTGAGCTGTGTTATCTTTGTTGGAATTCACTTGGAGCAAGAGTTTGGACCAAGTAGATTTTCCTTCCCATTTCAATTTCTGGACGTTATTTTACATGAGCAGTTAGGTTATGTGTAGCTCTTGAAAATTGCAGACACTGAATCACTGATGTTCTTAAATGTTTGTTTCTTTCAAACAGTAATGGCAGGGTTAATCTACATACTCTCTGCTTTTGTTGGTACGTTGGTGGCTGCACTTTTTGTTGAGAAACGCCCATCAGTCGGTTCTTCCGGAGCTCTGTTTGGGTTACTTGGAGCTACACTTTCTGCACTGATTCAGAACTGGGAAATGTACACCAATAAGGTTTTCCACCTACTGCCTTTCTCATTCAGTTTGATCTGTGTCCCATGATCTGATTTAGTAATGTAATGATTGTTCGTTTTTTTCGTTGCAGTTCACAGCTCTGGCATCAGTAATATTTGTCTCCATTGGCAATTTTCTCCTTGGTTTGCTACCTTATGTTGACAATTTCTCAAGCATTGGAGGCTTTATATCTGGGTTCCTACTCGGATCTGTGTTTTTATCCAGTCCCAAGGTCAAAGAAGTGGCACAAGATAAAGGAGGCCTCATGGATTATGATCTCAAAAGTTATATCAAGTCGAGGTTGAGGCAGAAGTTGGACAGGCCAGTCTATAGGAGTGTCTCTATTCTTCTCTTTGGTCTTATGTGAGTGTTTCTCGTTTTTATAGAAAATGCTGCACATTGTTTCTTATCAGTTTAAATTAACATGAGCTCTTATAAGTGGAGCTTTATTATATGCTGCAGGCTTGCTGGATGTCTGGTAGGAGTTCTGCAAGGCATTAACATGAACCAGTACTGCGGGTGGTGTCGGTATGCTGATTGTGTCCCTTCCAAAAGCTGGAGCTGCAGAGACACGGAAAATTATTGTGAGGTATCTATCTGATCCTAGCACTTCAATCTGTATAAAACTGAAAGTAATCCTCCCCTCCTTTTCCCCTTCCCCTATACCAAAGAAGCAAGTAATCTATTAGAACCTAAACATGGCTTTAGTTTGATGGACAAGGGTCTCTCTTCACACTGTTGAGAAGCAGTGCAACCAAAGATGATTTCAACAACGTTCTAGGAACCAATAAGAGGAGTAAACTATTAGAACCTTTAACAAGCATTAGCACTCATTATGATTTCACATGTACCCTGCTTAGAAAGTGAGCCACCCTGAACATGGAAGTTCTGCTAGGAAAGTATTAGTCATCTAAAGAGACTCGCCGGCGAAGAACAGAACTGTAATTATAGATAAGATAGGAAAGGAAGGTTTTCATCTTATATGTCAGCTTGGAAGGTTATTTCTTCCTCCCAATCACTTCAAATGCACTCAAATGTATTCTGACCAACTTTCTTACAATCGATCTTGCAGACCATGGCGAGCAATGAACAGTTGACTTTGACGTGTATGGCTAACGGGAATTTCAGGGTTCTTCCATTCACCAACATCTCTCAGGCTAGGACGAACGACTTGTGCAGTGTGATATGCTCATAGAATTTGCCACTCTTGTGATTCTGTTACAGCATGGGGAAAGATACAAACTTGTAATATCAATACTGTGTTGATAGCCATCTAGTTAATGTTGACTTTTGCAGTAGAAAAATTTCAGCAAAGTTTGTAAGAGCATTGACATGAGATATATTTGCATTTTGAGCATTTTAACCGTCTCCCTTGTTGATAGTACCCCATATCAAATGACGAAAGCTTAAAAGCCCGTCCATTGTCAATTAGTTTTGGGTTGAATGCTCACATTCTAATAAGAGGCAGAAAATTGAAAATCGTTGTCAAGTTTCTAAAGGGTCTTGTTTTCAGAATTCCAATCCTTCATAAAATCTGCATTTCTGGGTCCCCTTTAGTGTCGGCCGTCAGGCTTAAGTTTGATTAGAATTCAACTCATCCATCCACGGCGGGACCGAATCAAACAATTATCATAAACGACTAGTTAGTGCAACTGTTGCTATTTGTGATGAAATTTAACTGTTTGTTGACTCAAATAAAATATTTTGGGAAATCTCAACATCTAGCGCCCGTGGCCTAATGGATAAGGCATCTGACTTCTAATCAGGCGATTGTGGGTTCGAGTCCCACCGGGCGTGCTTTCTTAATTATTCCATTTTTATAAAACTTAGGCTCAGAAATCTTATCAAAGCCCACCTACACAGTCGGTTTTAAATATTTTGTTTGGCCTACCAAAGGACCTTGGCTCTTCACAAAATTTATTTCATATTTGTACAATTTTATTTTAGGAAGTTGATTTTCTTACTTCTCTTTTGTCCATTTATACTCCTTTTGTTGAAAATTGTATGTTATCACTCCTCTTTTATTCACTTACACTCCCTTGTATGTTATTATTGCCCTTTTTTATTCTTATAAAGGCGATATCCTAAACTATTCTAATATATCGGAAAGAAGTTCAAATTCGAATACAATGGGGCGGACACACTGCCTTAACAACTAACTCAACCCACAATTGCATGTACAACTTGAACTATTAAATACAACTGCTTGATAGAACTTTTATTTAACATATAAATTACCCAAAAAAATTTATTAATATATATAAATATATGTAGATACTGATCTGAGGAAGATGTATTTAATTTCATAGTACAGAAGAATATCACACAACTTTTTCTTTTTTGTTAATTTTTTTGACAGATGCGACCCCTTTTGCGGCTCTAGGTCTACACATTGGCCGCCCTTACAGTTAATTTACAGCCTTAGAGTGCCAGCAAACCGCAATGATTTAAAAGGTAAATACTCAATTACAGTGCCAGCAAAACCCTCAATTCACTCAACTGCTTTTAACAATCACAGTTTTAGGCAGCCCAAATGCAAAACTCTTATTGGGTTTTCAAGCTTTATGCTTTTCTTTTCTCTTTTTTTTGGTATTCTATTTGATTTGATTTCGACCATGGAGGAGAAGTAGGCAAGTAGGAGGAGAAAATGCATTAGAAAAATGCAGCTTTGGTATTTACTGTTTGGGCTGAATTTTTCAGCCTTAGTTGGACTCTATGGTGCTTTCAATCCAAAACCCTAGATCTTGGACCATCCACAACAATTTTTGTACTTAACCCTCCTCCTGCTGCTGCTGCTGCTGCTGCAGCTAAATCCATAAATAGCCCACAAAGTTTTTAAACAAAGCATGCACCAACCATAATGTCTCTGTGTGGGCAGCCTTAGCACACAAAAGCATACAAAGTAAAACTCCTAGTCTCTCTTTTGTGTGCTCAATTGCCAGCTAGTCTTGCCAATAATGATTTTTAAAGAGAAATTCTTTTGTAAAAGTTAAGTTTCAAAGATTCTTTGACTAAGGAAGCATTTATTGATGCCTTTGTTGCACACACACGACACATTGCCCTAAAAGCGAACCTAAGCATCAAATACTAAGAATGTGTATACTACTAACACTGTGCTTACCATGCATTATTGATCACATCTCTCACAAATACGAGATTGTTTATGCCAACGGATCTTGTTCGTACAAGAAATATGATTCGAGTCGCAGTTAGTAAATTCTCCACATATAATAAAAGGTGAGAGGTTTGGTGTTATTTCCTTGTATGGCCTTGGTGTGTACACTCACTACACTCCATGATCAAATTATTCTAGGTACTTGTTTGCAGGAGTGTGAGTTGGCTAAATCAAGGCACTCTTGGTCAGAATCAACAAGCATGTCAGCTGTCAAAACTTATATGCAATTGGCATCTCAACAAGTGTATTGTTTTGTACCATTGAGCTTTTGCAACCATTGATTTGGCAACATGTGGCATGCTCTCCCACTTATG